TGATTAATATATTTATTCAAAATTGTTAGAGCAGTTTTCGATAAAATGGTAAAAATGTGAAAAATCTATGATATAAAGAAAGAAAAGTAAATTTTATTCTGGAACATTCAGTCCCTTAAGAATAATTATAATAAAAAAATTGGTGACATTTGTCTTACATATAATAATAGATTCAAATATAAATAATAGATAATATATAGGTATCTATAAGATAACAAAAATATTATTCTTACATTTATTCGGAAGATTGATTACTGAGAAGATAGAAAAATAAATGGTGTTTAAATGAGGTTAAGGATGAGGATTTGCATACGGAAGTAGGTAAGGAATTCCAAAACAAGGTAGCACGTATGAGAAAGGATTTTTTAAAGGAAGCAGTTTTATGAGAAGGAATAAAAAGGTTTGTGGGCTGAGATCTCGTGTTGAACGAATGGACAGAGTAGCAAGGAGTAAACCGATCAAGAAGGTAAGCGGGTTTTGTGGTTGTAAAGGTTCGGAAACACCTAGGAGATATTGCCGTCGAAAAACTGGATAGAGCCACTTCTATTCAGCATACCAACTAGAGACGTGGGAGCATCCGGGAGCTCCAAAGATGAATCTAATGAAGTGATTCTTCAGTCTTTTCAATCTGATCTCAAGCCTTCCAGACAGTCCAAGTATACAAAGCAGCCAAAATCGAAGTGAGAGAAAATGAGAAAGAAAACTAGGAGTTGACAGGTCTTTAGGGGCATAGAATCAGGGAATCTCAGAAACTATTTTAGGGTAGCAATAGATTTTCGGATAATTTGGAAAATATGATTGTTCCAGGAGAGGTATTGATCAAAAATTACTCCAAGATTTTTAACGGAATTATGGAAATGAATAGGTAGTATGAATAGGTTAAGGTAGAGTAGCGGATGGTAAGGAATAGAATTGATAAGATGCTTGGAACCAATGTGAGTGGCTTGGCTTTAGTATGGATAAAGATACACTCTAATAAGACAATTTTAATGAAATTGTTGATGTAATATCCCAGGTATACATCAGCCTTAAATACATAATTTCAATTTTGTACGACTTTTTGTTTTTGATGTGGCTGTTCACAAACACACACACAAGTCACAACATTATGCAGGACTTGGTTATTTGGACTCAGGGATCTCAAAATGTGTATTTCTGTTGAAAACTCAAATTTTCTCAATCGCTATATTTACCCTTACTATATATTTCATGTATAGGTAAGTGAAAGTAAGAACATATACAAGTCCCTTACTATACAGCTGAGAAGACTTACCATGTTGACTTATTGATACTATAAAAGAACACAAGTTATTCATTAAAAAACAAAATTAAGTCACGTCACACAGGTAAGAAGTCTCATCGATGTCCCCACAGTGAATACGAAACCATAACAAGTGGTCAATTAAAATCATATTCCACGCAAAATCATCACAGTGCTGACACCCAATAGTCATAGATTTTAATAAATGTTGATATGTCTTAAATAAATAAATAAAAATACCAAATTTCATCGAATTCTAACAAATATTTCCCTAAATTATCTTCTTTTGAAGTCTAAAAATATTTAAACTTCAAGGGCAACATGGACTAGGAGCCAATATTTGGATTTTCTATCTAAAATCAATGTTTCTTAATTAGATGGAACTATAGGTATGGGTATTATAATTTTTCATCATTGATAAAATTATTCTTAAATATAAAAATGAATAGTCTCTAAAGTTTGAACACATATTGTAACATCTCTCTTATATGTTACAAATAATAATATAACCTTGGAAGACCACTTTAATACTATTGGGATACTTCCAAAAGAAATAAGAGGTTATTAAATAATAAACAAAATTATGAGAGTATTATTAATATATTAAATTGAAATTTATAATTATTTTATCTCAAGGTACGGGTTATTGACAATCACATCAAAACACTCAGACAAACTATTTACACTATTTATACTAAAATTAAACACTGATTTCAAAGTAAAGTCAAGTATGAATTGGCCAGCTAACCTTTTTTCTATATACACTGGTTCTTCCTTTGTTGCACTAAATTTATTTGTCTTTGAATGCTTTCTTATGTTCTGCCAAACACAACTTCCAAATTGGTGACACTATCTTCTGCTTACAAGCTGCTCCCTAACATTCTTTTTGAGAGGATCCTCCCGTATTCTGAAAAGGAACTAAAAAGAGTTGGTGGTGAGGTGGATCTGAACTCTCCATTTGAGGTAGGCTCTTTTAAGTTTGAGAGAGTAAAAAGTTTTATATACCTTGGGTCTGAAATAAATAGCAAAAATGATATGGCTCAAGAAATGTAGAGAAGGATTACGGCTGCCAATAGATGTGTCTTTGGACTTGGCCGACACTTAAGAAGTAGATACCTCTCAAAGAAGACCAAGCTGATTCTATACAAGACCCTTGTAAAGCCTGTTTTGACATATAGCTCAAACACTTGGACGATGACGAAGAGTGATGAGATGAAGCTGAGTGTGTTCGAGCGAGGAGTGCTCGGAAGGATTTATGGTTCAGTAAAGGAGGGTGATGTCTGGAGGAAAAGAAAAAATAGGGAGCTCAGTTCTTTTTATACAGACATCGACGCAGTCACCTATATTAAACTTGCCAGATTAAGGTGGGCAGGGCATGTGGCCAGAATGAGCACCTTTGAAATACCCAAGAAAATAATGATGGAGGAGCTGCACCTCACAAGACGGGTAGGAAGGCTGAGAACGAGATGGTTGGACAACGTGGCCTATGATGTGAAAATCCTGCTTGGCGTACAGAACTGGAGATCTGCAACAGAAGACAGAGCCAACTGGCGGAGGCTCTTGGAGGAGGCCCAGTCTCGGTAACGGGATGTCGTGCCACATATGTATGTATGTATCTTCTACTCAACTCAAGCTCCCTGGGAGATACTCTCTCTTGTAATTCCAAACAACTAGTCTCTTTGACAAACAACAACTTCCAAGATGGTAATACTATTACTGGGTTTTACCGACTGGAGCCAGGTCCCTTCTCCTATCCTCTCTTCACTCCAGCCAAACATCAACAACTGTCCGCCAAAACAAAAACCTTTGTCCCTCACCTTTTTGGGATTTTCCTTCTTGGGAAACTACAGAGCAGCCATTTTCTTTTCCATGCACTAGTAGAACTAGATTAGCTTGCCTTTTAAATGTTCAACATTAATTTATTAAACCCTTTTTACTCACTTCCAATAAAGGTCCTCAGAGTAGATACGTATTTTCATATAAAGATATTAGACATATATATATATATATATATATATATATATATATATATATATATATAGAAGTCAAAGTGAAAACAACAGTATAACTTCATTTAAAACAATTAATTTTTTTTTCCACTCCATCGAATCTGTTTAATTTATATGTTTACATCACTTTCAATTTCCTTTTATGACTTTTAGTACCAAACAACACTAATGGTTGTGGGAAAAAATAAATCTTTTGGAAAAATTCGGATTTTCATCTGAAACATTTATCACAAAACTCATCGAAAAAATAATTTAAAGTTAGTAAATATTGAGTATTATTAGGTTTATTTAGTATATCCTCAAAAGCCTTTTAAAAAAATTATGAATAAGTGATATATAAAAGTTAAACTAACAATATGAAATCCAAGGTATCCAGTATTAAACTAACAATATGAAATCCAGGTATCCAGGGAAGGGTATCCAGTAGTAAATGAAGAAGATTGACAAAAGTCGAGCGCTCTCAGCCATAGCGCTCCCGTATAGCTTCCAATCCTTATTTCTCCTTTAGTTACCAATCAATTTTCTTCATTCATTATATTTAACCATTTTTCATATCAGTAACGACTGTGAAATAATTATTTCAAATAAAAAAAAATAAAGGTACTTTAGAGGAAGAAATTTTTAATTTTGAAAATTATCTATTTAAACCCTGTTAGAGAACATCAATGAGAATATTAAAAACAGCTAAATTTTACACTGATATAATGAATTTAATCAAAATCGTTAAAGCTGTTTTCGACATAATTGTAAAAATGTGTAAAACCGGTGGTATAAAGTGGAATTTTTGGTTAGCCGAATTTGACAAAAAAGTTTCAGTTACATCCTAGGCATATATAAATCTTAAATACACAATTTCAGCGGTGACTTTTTGTTTTTGAGCTAGACTGTTCACATACATACCAACACGCAGACCATTTTGCAGGTCTTGGCTATTTGGACTCATGGGATCTCAAAATATGTTTTCCGTTGAAAAATCAGATTAAAAAATCTCCACAATCGCAATACTTTCCCTTACTATATAATAATATATATAGGTAAGTGAAGTTCGGAGCAGAGTGGCTATGTGTGTTGCCCGGCAACCTGATAACCGAAGTTGGAGACAGTAAAATAATTACGAATTTGCAGCCCAGTACTCGTGGGAGCTATTAATTCTGGCAATAATCCCTCTCCCTCACCCGCTGGCCTGGGAAAAACCCTATAGCCTAAAAGGCAAGGTAGGGGAGGGGGAAAAAAAATATACAGGTAAGTGAAAGTAAAAATTAATATTTTTTAAAGTTTGAACACATATATTAAAAATAGTCAAAATCTCTCTCCTGGTACCTTATACAACATACTCCTGAAAAGAGCATGGAATTTGCTTTCAAATGATGAAACAACATTAGTGCGTTTTATTACAATGTAAATATAATAAATTCAAAAGTTTTATAATTAGTAAACAAGCCAAACATTTCTTTCCAAATACCGTAATAACACCATACATAACTGAAAACAGCATGGAATCTCCTTTAGAATGAAATAATATTGTTGGCTTTTTGTGGTGAATTACAATGTGTTATTTTAACAACAACACTATAATTTGGTTAAGACAGTAATATATTATGGTTAAGAATATAAAATGGTTAACATTTAAGAAATCAGAAAAAAACTCTTTTTCTTTGTACTGACTGTTTGTATTTGTCTTATATATTTGTAAATTGAAACATGAAATATCAATTTCAATTGATGAGTTATAAGATTGAAATCAAAGTTAAAATGTACTTTTGAGAGCGAGCCTGAAAGCGACCTCGACCATGCTTTGAGGGCAAGAGTCCCAGTAGCAGGCGTAGACTTCCTTCAGGTGCGGAGAGAAGAATAGTCGACTGAAAAATATAAATCACAAGATAAACTCGTCAATTTGCTTATTCTAAGGCCAAAAGTATTATTTATTAAAAGCATTAGTATTGTATTGGGAGTGGAGTAGCTCAGTGGGTTAGCACTGACTTCCACAGCTCAAGGGCCAAGGGTTCGAATCTGGCCGATGACTAGTAATTTTTCATTAGCCATGGACCGACCCTGGGACAGGGAGACCCTCCTCGCGCACACCCAGCTTCTATAAAGTGGGTAATCTTAATTAAAAATAAATAATTAAGGGGAAAACCTGGCGGTTGAGCATGATATTGGTCCAATCACCTCCTGGCACAACTGTTGGCCTTGTAACACTACTTCCTCACATGACCCTTCCCGGGATGTAGTGGTACAGATTTTTTTTGTAGTATTATTGTATTATTTTTTCTTTTCTTTTTCTGTACAGACACATTGTTCTATATCTATATTTTATAATTAGTTTACTATTGTATCATAACTAGTTTTTGTGTTTTAGTTTCGTCTCTTTAATTATTAATTAACAGTGACGCGGCTGGGAATCTCACTGAGAGAAGCACTCAATGAGAGAAGCACTGGGATCTCCTGCAGTCCTGCCTTGGCTTCCACATCGGGAGATAAAGCATTACTCAGAGTCCCCTGGGTGAATGTAAATATTGTACATAGGTGTGAATGTGATTTATTTACTTTAATTTCATTTAGCTTTTATCTATTATTATTATTTTTTTTTTTGTACACAGGCATATCAATTTACTTATTTTATTTTTTTTATATTTCTTTTTCTTTATTATTGAAATATTAATTGTATGTACATATTGTGTGAATGAATCATGTAGCCTTAACATTAATGCCCTTTAATGTGGCAGAATGTATTAATATTTAATAAAGAAAGTAAAAAAAAAAAAAAAATTATTAATACTTTTCTTATTTATTATTAAAGTATTATATTTCACTGTATTTTATTAGCCGTCTTTAATTATTAATTAGTTAGATTTTATTCATATATCACCTTATTATTAGGCTTTGTTCCTAACACTTTGTGTTTATCATATACTACTGTTTTACAAGTAACTCCAATTATTGTAGCATGCTGTGTTGGACATACATTCTTATTTTTATTTTATTTATTATCTTATATATTATTATCAGGGAGTGGGATAGCTCAGTGGTAGGGCACTGATATTCTAATTCTTAAGATCACCGTTCGAATCCCGGCTCATGGTAGAAAAATTATTTATTCTGTTTCATCAGCCGTGGGGCAACCCTGGGATCAGGATATCTTCCTGGGCCACAGCCAGCCTCTATAAAGTGGGTACCTTTAATAAAATAATTAATTATGGAGGAGAACCTGGCAGTTGATTAAGATCTCAGTCAAATCATCTCCTTGCAAAACCATTGACTAATAAAATCTTAATTATATCTCCATTGCACACTGTTCTTATAATATTTACTATATTATTTATTTCTCATTCTCATTGATTTCTAAGTATTCTTATCTTGTTTTATCCAAAACACCGAATATTTGAAGTTGTTGAGTCAAACTGTTAATAAATAAAACTTAAACTCTAAAAGGTAAAATTATATATTTTTTATATCACTCTCCTTGATATATTTGTGTTTGTGTGCATATATATATATTTATATATTACTGTTTATGAATTCCCAGTCCTTCCTATAGCCTATTTTGCATGGTGACAGCAACTATGACAGTTGTAGCCAGTGGTATAGCATACATTTAATGATAATATATTTGTACTATAAGGTTTTGCATGATAACTTACAATACCTGTCACAGGAGTAACAGCTAAAGTCACATTAACTGCTACATTGAGGTACCAGCCAATAAGCTTTTGTACATCACTTAACCTATTCAGCTGTAATGTTGCTTGTACAGGAATAAATTTTTGTATTGCAAAAGAAACAAACACAGACGTGGATACAATATGCTAGCAACATCATATTAACCTGTCAACAAGCAACATTTTACAATGTTGAAACAAGGTATCAAAGAAACTTGTTATTTGTATCCCTTTTGCCTATCACAAATGGAAAACATTGCCTAGAGTCTACCATATCATGTCAACGAATGGTGAAGAAACTAATAGAATGTAGGTTTTCATTACTATTATTATCTTGTATTTATCTTATTAAAATTATTTTGTAGTTGATAATTTATAATATTTTGAAGCCAATATCATAAGAATAAAGAAACTCATAATAGACCTGATTGAAATGCTGAGAGATATTCCTGCAATGCTGAGTGCCTAGCAATACTATATAATATTAGGCAAAATTTGAAAAACCAAAAGACTAGGAACTAATGTTTAAATCCCTAATATTACTGCAAAATAAAATAGATGCAATAATTCTGAAAAAAATAAAAACAATAAAAATTTCTAATAAATAATAGATTTATTTGTAAAAAGTGCTAAATTTATACTACTATATTTATTTTTATAATTTATATAAGATTTTCTAGGATATCTCAAAGATGGAAAATAAAAATTGAATGAGGACTTACCCAACGACCCAATACGTATGAGACACTCCTTTTTTGTCTTCATATCCGAACAAGATACCATGTTCTTTAATTGCGACCAATGACTTATTAAAGGAAACAGCAGAAACCTCTGGAGTTTTCAATTTCTAGGAAAAAAAAAAATTATAATGAATATGAAAAAGTACAGCAAACATAAAACACATGATGGAGGGAGGAAGAGGAAGAGGGGAGGAAGGAATAATCATTATTTCAAGCACAATAAACCATAAAAAATATAAAACTTATCTTTGTACTTTATATTAAACACAATTAGTTGTCCTATATGCCTCACGATTGAAGGATAACAAACCAAGTGAGTCAATTCATTCAAAGTGTATTTAATAAGTCCCAAATTTCATATATATATATTCTTATTGTTTCTTCTCACTCAATGTCACAAAAGGTATTAGATTCCCGAATTCCCAATCACAGTTAAACACCCTCAAAAAGTCTATATCCAGTGCCGGGGATTTGTTTAAATATTCACGAGTGTAAATAACCTAGTTCCCCGATATAAAAGCAGAAGGCTATTCACTATTCCCGCCAAACTAATTATTTAAAATTAACTTTCAGTAGGTTATTTACAACAGACAGAGATGGAGCAGCCTTGTTAAGTCAGAAAAAGATCTATATGATCAGGAATGCCAACCGAAACAAAAATTTTATGATTTTCTCAAAACCAAGAAATAAGGAATAATATACATCAATATAAGGAAGGAATAACAAAAGGAAGCATCAATAGAAAATTTTAATAAAAACTAGTTTCATCAATCGTTGAATTTATTTAGTATTTTTTGTAAACAGATAAAACAATCTATTAGAAAATTCGAGAATATTCCTCATTTTAGAAAGGACCAATATTTTTTTTAAATTATGAAATACTTGCTTGTGGTAACCTGAAAGATTTTCAGTTTGGGTGCAAAAATTAAATTTAAAATATATTGGTCAATTTATAGATTAATAATAATTTAGTAGCAAGCAGTGTTGTGTTACTTTATTTAATTTTGTATTTTGATAAATATTAATATTAAAAAAGAAAAAAGGTAAAGTTTTAAGAACTGTTATTTATAAAAAAATATAATTTTCTAAGTTTTACATAAAAGCAAAAGAAGATTGTGCTGTATTGCTTGTTGGGGAGAGTGGTCTTTATATTTCAAGTGTCCTACTTCTTATTACCATCCCATGATATGAAGGCAGAGAGGTTAAGATGGGCATGGCATATAGATTGTAACAATCCATCTAGAAGTCTCTACGTAACAATGAATGCCTCAATAGAAGGCAAAAGAGTAGGCCAAAAAAAAGATGGATAGATAGAATTAACAAAGATGCAATAGAGTAGTGTGCAGATAACTGGAAAGAAATAGCCCAAGACAGTGTAGTAGATAGCCCCCTGTATTTACTCCTTTAGTTGACATTGTGTGAGGGAATGAGAAGGAATATATAGGAATGTGAGGTTACACGATGAATTGTTCTCAATTGAATAGTGGACAAATTATTCATTGAAAAGTCTCATATCGATAAATAATCGATGAAGAATGAAGAAGGTTGGAGGTACCGAAAGGTACCAGCAGGTAGCAACAGCTGGAGAGGGGAGAGGGCATTCTAGGCCGGGACAGGTAGGAAGGAGGTTGTCAGGAGAGAGCAGGAAGACGGACTTGAGGCGGAACACATACTCGGGAAGAGAGTCTACTACAAGATTTAGAAGATCAAGTCTATAGTAATAACGTTTTTATAGAGTCACTTTATTACAGTTGTAGAAATAAATTATTTTGTTATACACGAGTGAAAAGTCATTTATTTATTTAGTTGTCCTATATGCCTCACGATTGAAGGATAACAAACCAAGTGAGTCAATTCATTCAAAGTGTATTTAATAAGTCCCAAATTTCATATATATATATTCTTATTGTTTCTTCTCACTCAATGTCACAAAAGGTATTAGATTCCCGAATTCCCAATCACAGTTAAACACCCTCAAAAAGTCTATATCCAGTGCCGGGGATTTGTTTAAATATTCACGAGTGTAAATAACCTAGTTCCCCAATATAAAAGCAGAAGGCTATTCACTATTCCCGCCAAACTAATTATTTAAAATTAACTTTCAGTAGGTTATTTACAACAGACAGAGATGGAGCAGCCTTGTTAAGTCAGAAAAAGATCTATATGATCAGGAATGCCAACCGAAACAAAAAAAAAAATATTTAATATCAATTTAGATAATTTACAATGTTTACCTAATTAATAATAATAACATATTGGTTACACCAATAATAATATTAACAAATGGTCTGATTCCTAAGTCAACGGTGGTAGGTACAGGCGGCTTGGAATTATCCCTTGTTGTGTTAAGGGATCCACAGCAAGCAGTTCTCTTGGATACAGCCAAAATCATTAGAATATTTTTAAATATTTGACAAAAAAAATTTCCAGAAAAGGGTTTAATCAAAGGTTACCCCAAGGTTCTTGATGATAGGATAAAATTTCATGGAGTTATCATGTAGGAATAGAGTTGGAATGTTATTTAATGTAATGTTAATTAGTGAAGTTAATAATGCAAATAAGATTATAAAATCAAAATGACACAAAACTGGATTTAGAAGAATATATAGCTGATGCACAGTACAATAATCCAACTATGTTCATACTCTTTTACTAGTTTAAATGTAAAAAAAAAAATTAACTACTAAATAATATGAATTACCTTAAACGCTATCGTGTTCAATAAAATTTTTCTTATTTGATGAGCGTGATGCCTGAAATTGTTCAACAGATAAGCGTGATCTGGGCTACTGGTCACGGGCGATATCAATACACCCTCGGACTTGTCCAAATGAACGTAATGTATCATTACATCTTCTTTACCCGATGTTAGCCTGCAATTACATCAATTATAAAATGATCATTTCATTTTAATTAAAATATTACTTGCTTTAAAAATTAAATTATTGAAATACAATGGTTCTGAAAACAAGGAAGAGAGACCAAGTGAGATAAGACAAGTGTAAGAGAAATTTGAAGTTCATTAATCGTAACATTGAGTGCCAGATGAGGACAGCAGCCAATTACTAAGATGGGTGAGGGTACACACATCGTACAACCCCCAAACTCCTCGAGACAACTCATACTTTGTAGAATGTGTTGATTCTATGAAATGGAGATAGTAATAAAAACAACTAAATAATGAATGAGATTTTGTTTTTCTATTGGAAATAACATTTAAAAGAAAACACTAGATAAAGATTTTTTAAGTTCTACATAGAAAGCTCAAGGGTATTTCCTGTTTCATACATGTTATGTATGGTAGATCACTTAAATCACCCTAATTGATTTTTTTGGAAATGAGACAAGTATCGATTCCTATGTAAAAACGCCCAATGAAATTGATAGTGTAATTTTTTTTCAAAAATGTACCTCAATAATAAAAAAAACTAAGGTTTGTGCTTTTTACTACATGATAAAAGTGAAAACATCAACAAGGCGAGATTAATAATATGAAATATAAATTATAAATAATAGCTTATTTTTACCTTAAATTTTCAAAATTTCAAAGAGCATATATTAATAATAAAATTTATAATATCGAGAAAAAAAGTTTTATTTCACCCTTATACAATTATTCAATTCTTTAATTCATTTAAACTTCCTGATGAGGTTTCGGATAATTTTGCCCATTTTCAAGTCGAATATTTATATCATTATATAAAGCTATATAATCCATACAATTATACTTTATTATATAATTATTGTAACATTTATCTAACAGCCAGACTGTCGTATTTAAAGTGGCGAAAATGTCTAGCATTTGAGTAAATTTAAAATGAATTTCAATTTTCGATTGTCCGCAGTTGTTTTGACTTTTCATAAATAATTCATGAATTTTATAATTTGAAGAGATAAATGTTACAATAATTATATAATTATTTAGATTATATAATAATGATATAAATATTCAACTTGAAAATAGACAAAATTTCCCAAAACGTCATCAGGAAATTTAAATGAATTAAAGCATGGAATAATTGTTTAAGGGTGAAATAAAACATTTTTCTTCGATATTATAAATTTCGTTATTTTTTCCAATTCCGCCTCTCTAACACAGCATCGCGATACAATTTTGAATAATTGCTCATTATAAAGAGGATGAAATGCTGAACAGTTCCCTTGCTTATACAGGTCCGATTTTTAGTTTCTGAGATATTTAAATCCATATCTTCAATAAAACTCGTTATCACTTGGTTTTTGACACTATTTTTTCCTTTTCGCCTCTCTAACACTGTGTCCCGTTTAGATGAAATTTTGAATAATAGCCAATTATAAAGAGGATAAAATGCTGAACAATTTCCTTGTTTAAAGTATGCAGGTCCGATTGTTTGTTTCTGAGATATTTTAATCCATATGCAAAAACACTTCAATTAGTCGACTCTTATTTACTTCTTTCTAAAACAGACTTTAAAGTTTAATTAGTTTGCAGATTCTTCTTAGAAAATTTATCTCCATGGCTAATAGTTTTTAGAAATATTGATATTTTGGTATTATATCGGAATGTTACTAATAGAAATGAATGATATACACTTTTTTGTTTTGGTTCTAAGGAAATATTCTTATTTCATAGAATCGAGTTAAGGATCTCAATAATTTTTCTTAACTTAATCAGAATGATTAGTAAATGAAAATATAAAACATTATTAGAATTATGGGCATGTTCCTAAGCTTGGTGCAGAGTTCAGCCCTAAGTTTAGGAACTAGCACAATTGAATAATAAATACTTTACTTCACCAGAGTATAGAACACCATTACCAACCACTGCCACCGTAATCAGGAAAAATACCAGACTGTCAATCAGGATGAGTTATAACGTAACAAGTACATGATAAATTAAATAATAAATATTTAATCGAATCATAAAGCAATATAACCAAACTCTACCACCTTAGTTAGGAAAAATAAATTTAATGAAGAGCAAGAAAGGAAAAAGTTATAAAAATGCTGAAGATGATAATGCTAGCTTAATTTTCTCACTTCAGCTGGACATTGACTTCAGTGCCTTCCAAATCGTGTGAGTGGCCTTTGGAGTAGGATTTGTAATCCTGTATAAAGGTCACAATTATTAATGAATATAATTTAAGTAATAAAATAAATTCATAATTGTTTATTTTTTAAGAATCGTCATTTATAAACAGGAAATTAAAGCTAAAGATTGATATATTCATTCTGAATCAGATAACACATTTTACAGTATGATTAACTGATTATATTATAGTATAATTAATAAAGGGAGAATGGTAGCTCATTGGATACTGACTTCCAATACTCTAGATCCCAGATTTGACTATGGCTGCAGCGGCTAATTATTTTTCAGTTAAATAAACCGTGGATTGATCCATAGTACCCAACCTCTATAAAGTGGGTACTCTTAATTAAATAATTGATTAAGTAGAAAAACCTGGGCAATTGATAGTGTTCTCGGCCCAATCACCTCCCTGAACAATCATTGGCCTTGAAACAGTAGTTCCTTACAAAATACTGAATCTAACTCTTCATGGACTGCAGAGGCACAAGTAATAATCATAACATTTTTATAACTAAAAAAGAAATTTTTCAGAAATTTCTTTATTTATTTATTAAGCATGATTTCGAACAATTTTCTATTTAACTTATTCTGAGTAATAAAGAATGATTATGAACTCCATAAAAAAGTTTTAATTAAAATAAATCATGATTTTTCATTGAAAATATACCTTGTTCCAATCGGAATCGTCAGAAATATCCGAAGCTCTCGATACCGTCTCCATTGCTAGTTCTCGTTCAGCACGCCGGCCAATAACCGGAGGGCAATCGTCACTACTCAAAGACTCATTGCAATAACCTGTTCCAATGTCATAAATTTATTCATTTGCATCTTCAGAAACAACTAAACTGCTTAAAAAATGAATAGAGATACTGTTAGTTATGTGCGATTTTATTTTTCTTAAAATTTTTATTTTTATTATAAAAATGATAAAAAAATTAACACAGATAGGATTTATTTGGCTATGAGGAAATTTAAAAAAGATATTTTAAAAAAAACTATGAAATAAAATTAAAGTACTTTAAGTAAATTAAATATGATTTATTTATTTTTACTTTGTTCTTTTGTTGACTGAACACCCCAACAAACTTGTCTTAAATATATCTACGACAATCTTCCAATTATGTTTCTTTTTTTATTAATAAAGATTCTTATCGACTCACCTGAAGATGTTGAAACCAAATTGATATTACTCCGTGATCTAGGTAAGTGGCTAATGTCCAATGAGCGGTAGGATACTGTGAAAAGTTTAAAAACTGCATTAGTAAAATATATTTTTAGAACATAAACGATTATTAGACTATTATAAATATATCAATTTCTTTTGTTTTCTGTCGGCATTACGCCATTTACAGACCATGTAGATATTTTGATGCCCTAACGAGCCTACTCCATCTCTCTCTATCTTGGGCTATTTCTTTCCAGGTATCTGCGTGCTGTTCTATTGCATTTTTCTTGATTATATCTCTCCATCTGATTTTTGGACTTCCACGTTGTTGTAGTAGACATCCCCCTGTATTTACTCCTTGAGACAACATTGTGTGAGGGAATGAGAAGGAATATATAATATATAGGAATGTGAGGTTGCACTGTGAATTGTACTCAATTGTGCAGTGGACAAATTGCTCATTGGAAAATCTCATATCGATAAACAATCGAAAAGAAGAAAAAAGGTCAGAGCAGGGAGCTGGCAACAGATGGGAAGAGGACGTCAAACACTTGAGGCCTGGACAGGGACAAGAGAAGACGTCATCTGGGAAGAGAGCTTACGACATTGAAGACCAAGAATATCAAGCCGACCGTTCACTTATATATTCATTATCAATTGTTAAAATAAATTTGTTTTGTTAGACAGGAGTGAATAGTCCTTTTATTTAGTTGTCCTATAGGCCTCACAATTGAAGAATAAACCAGGTGAGTCAATTCATTCAAAGTGTATTTACTAAGTCCCACATTTCAAATATATATTCTTATTGTTTCTTCTCACACAGTGTCACAAAAGGTAATAGATCCCCGAATTCCCAATCACAGTTAAACACCTTCAAAAAGTCGATATCCAGTGCCGGGGTTTCGCTTTAATAAATCACTAGTGTAAATAACCCTAAACCCCGATATAAAAGCTGAAGGCTATTCGCTATTCCCGCCATAACGAATCATTTACATTTAACTTTCAGTAGGTTATTTACATTGTGTCTGCCTTCTATTGGGACATTCATTGTCATGCAGAGGCTTCCAGACGGATTGCTCCGAGCTACATGTCCTGCCCATCTTAATCTCCAGGCCTTCATATCATCAAATATTGATTGACCAGTTCCTGTAAGGAGCTCTTTATTGGTCTTTCTTCTTCATGTGTTAGTACTCTGATTCCAGATCGCTCTGGTTATCCGGAAGAGGATTCTTCTCTCAAATCTTTCAATACTTTTTTTCTAGCGCTCTGATTAGTGTTCAGGTCTCACAGGGATATATTAGAAATGGCTTTATCATAGCATTGTACACCCTTCATTTAAAATTTCTTGGGATTTTTCGTGATTTCAATACCTTTGAAAGGGAGAAGAAAGCTCTGTTTGCGCTTGTTATACGTTGGTCTATTTCTGGTCATTGGTCATTCACTGAGGTTATGTCTATTCTCGGAAAAGATTTCCTTCTACGCAGATCCTGTTATTGGGATGGAATTTACAGCTTACTATCATATATTTTGTTTTATCTTCATTCACTTCCAGGCTGATTTTCTCTGCTTCTCTTATCAGAATCTTAGCGAGTTTCTCAATGTCGTCTTGATTACTGCCAAGAACAGCAATATCATCTGCATATCCAAAGATTTTATGATTCATTCCAACATGGATCCCTCCATAATTTACTGGGGATAATTCATATTATTAAAAATGACAAACCGAAAACCTTCTCATCTTTGTAACTTTTGTCATACATAAAATCATAATACTAAATTTTAAAATTATTTAAATGTTCTTTTTTTCCTATGCCCGTTGACTTCGATTTTTTTAGTGATAAGTCTTCTTCAGCAACTTGGGACTAATAGAGCACGCGGTTTACTAACCAGACGCGATCACATTTCACTTCCTCTTCATTCGGAATTTTCCTGAAGGATGGTTGGCAATCTTTTGCTTCAATCTTCCATCCAGTTTTTTTATGGGATAGGGGAGTATCAGCCCTATACCCAACCCCCAACATGGAGGACCAGAGCTATAGTATAAGGCAAAGGGGTTGCTCACCTCCCTATGAATCTCAGGGAGGGAACATTACCGTCTCCATGCGGGAATCGAACCAGCGCTGTAGTAGTCTAAGTAGTCAAGAAGGGCCTGCACTTATTAATTTTAATTTTTTTTTGTCAATAATTCCCGCAAACGGGATTTGAACGCATGATATAAAATTTTTGAAGGCGCCTTATAACTAGCTCGACCACCGCAGTCCTGATTATTTAAATATAAATGTTACAATAATTAATTTTCAATAAATTTGTGCAAAATCATTACAATATATTTCCAAGAATGTAAATAGCCTTACATGAGTGCTGCTTATTAAGAGTGGTTTCACTAAATGATGTATGAAGATTATTTTCCATTGATACTGAAGAATAATTAGATATTGCAGGTTTTGATGTATCCTTCAGTTTTAATCTAAATTGAGAACAATATTTTATTAAAGATTTTTCGATAAAGAATAATGAATCCAAAAATAGAAAATTTCTATGTACTTAATTACAATTTATTTGCGACAGCAGGAATCCCAATTTTTATAATATGTTTAAGAGTAGCCAGTGCTTCCTCGATGTAAGCCACATCAGGTCCTGATTTTTGAAGAGTTCTTAAAATATAATAAAAAAAAGAAATTAAACAGATCAAGTTATCAATAAAAATTGAAATATTATTAAAGAATTATTAATAAAATTAGTAGAGTGGAGTGGAAAGTTTTTGTTACATAAAAAAATTTGACAAAGGCCTGAACCAGGGAGAAGCAAAAGCCCTGGGATGCAGAATTTAGAGGGTGACAAAGTTGGATAAAAATTGGTTTTTAGCTTAAGTATAAAATATTTGGGTCACCTATTCACCACTAGTGTTGCCCAAATGCGAGACTGAGCCGAGTCTTAGTCTTGCAAACTCAGTCTTGCTCATGGTCTTGGTCTTGCGCAACAGTCTTGCAGTTACTTATTAGCTTATTTTTATAGAGATATTACTGTAGTTTTTTAGATAGGAGAAACCTAACTAAGCCCGAATGAAAAATTGCACTTTGCAAGACCAAGACCGATTTTGGGCAACACTACTCACCACCATCACACAACTGTGGGGCTTTGTTCCTCAGTGTCATCCTTTTTATCCGCTCATTTTTGCACATCTCAAATTATTTTATTTTGATTCAGTGTAAAATATGGTATGGATGTGGAAGAATTCTTAATCGAATGTGTAAGGGAAAATAGTCTATTTTATACACAAATATTTGTTTTTTCTTTTCCGCTCCGACATGATCAACTTTGCTATTTTTTTTTAAATATTATATATGCTATATATACTTTTTAAAAATATTATAAGGAATATGAGAAGGGTAACGATGCAAGTCAAGTTGCTGATTGAGCTGAGCTCTGCTACGCAATTGGCCAATCCCCTCTTCTTTGCTCAGCTCAGCTACGCTCAACTCAGCTCAGATGCGCTACGGTGGCCGGTTAGCCTTATTGAAGGTAGCAAAAATTTGGTCCAGGATTTGGGAAAACAAATTTAGGGATTGTTCAAAACTGTGATGTTATTCATTGGATGGGTAGAGATGGGACAGATTGTTTAAAAAAATTTGATGTGGAGATTAAGACCCGGTTATGTTCTTAGGAATATATCTGTACTTATTTTTCAATGTTCTAAAATTTAACATTTCTGAGATAATGTAGAGAGGCCCAGACTACATTTATTATATATCATAGAGGTTTTAAAACTTAAAAAATTGCTTTCTATTATACAATATAGTAAGTTAAAAATCTATTAAAAAAGTAAACAAAGAAGAACAGACTTGAGGACAAGGTAGAAATAGAAAGAAACATTTTGATATTTTTAATAAAAATAAACATATTTAGTGAACTAATTTTGGTTGTATAAATATATAAGGGGTAGAACAACAAACCTCTTTTCTTTCTTTTTCTCCCCTACCTCACCACCGTGGCTGTGAGGTTTTTTTCCCTAGACCAGAGGATTAATGGTAGAGTTTAAAGTCCTCCATGTACCAGGATTCAAACTCATAATATCTTCAGTTTATTTGGTAACTAGACAATATGAGATCAACACACAGTTAGCCCGCTCGGTATCTCATCCCCAAGAACAACAACCACCTCTCGGCATGTACAATTTAAAAACTATTTATGGCCTTATGCCACCCCTGGGTTGGACACCCATGTTCTGAACTACAAATCTGATATAATATATAATACAAGTAAATAAACATAAGTATATGTTATTCTATAGATTGTGAAATGAATAGATTGTCAGGTTTGAATGTTTTACACCTAAGCGATAAAAATCCGGTCTCTACTCATATACTACTTATTATATAACCACAGAAAATATACTAATGATGTTAAAAAGAAATACTTATATACTTTAATAATATAATATGTGTTCTTACCTAGCAGTGTGACTTCCAGATTCCAATAAGACAAACAGAAAGTTTTGATCCTTACAAAAAATAAACAAATAATTAAACATTTTAATTACTTTTACAGGATTAAGTATAACGTTTGGGTAAGAGAAGACAATTTTATTTGTTGGCAATAGAACACTTAGATGTAAGAAACTTATAATAAAGCCACTGAATGAGAAACCCAAATTATCTTTTTTTTTGACAAAATAAATCTATAAAAAATAACAAAAATAAAACACTCATTAATAGACATACTATTGATAAAATGGTTAAAGATATATCAAAAGGATTATTTAATAAGAAATTTCAATTGATTTTTTATTATTAATAGGTCTATATTTGCAAATACGGATGACAGAGAACTCGTTTTTAATTATGTTCATTGCAAAATATAATTGTTCTTTAAATGAGCTTTGTAAAAGCGTTATTATTTGCTTTATTTAAACGCCTAATCATGAAAACTTGTAGAAATTCATGTAATTTCTCTTCTAAATAGAGATTATTTATTATATCTTTTAACTCTATCTATAAACATTTCTTCTATGTATATATTAAATAGTGTAAAAAAAAAAAATGTTAATATTAATACATTTTGTCCTGATTTAAATATTCAAAATTGAGATTAGGACTTCATTATTAATTTTTGTAAATGTTGGACATATTATTTAAAAGTCAAAATGTAAAATATTTTAAGTGTCACACGAGAAAGTGTTGTAGTAGACAGCCTCCTGTATTTACTCCTTTAGTTGACATTGTGTGAGGGGAAGAGAAGGAATATATAGGAATGTGAGGTTGCACGATGAATTGTACTCAATTGTACAGAGGACAAATTATTCATTGAAAAGTCTCATATCGATAAATAATCGATGAAGAAGGAAGAACGTTAGAGGTACCGAAAGGACCGAGGAATTAGCAAAAGCTGGAGAAGGCATTCTATGGCGGGACAGGTAGAAAGGAGGTTGTCAGAAGAGAGGAGGACTGACTTGAGGCTGAAACATTGAGGCGGAATGACATACCTGGAAAGAGAGTCTACTGCAAGATTTAGAAGATCAAGTCTATAGTTATAACGTTTTTATAGAGTCAATTTATTACAGTTGTAGAAATAAATTATTTTGTTATACAGGAGTGAAAAGTCATTTATTTATTTAGTTGCCCTATATGCCTCACGATTGAAGAATAACAAACCAGGTGAGTCAATTCATTCAAAGTGTATTTACTAAGTCCCACATTTCAAATATATATTCTTATTGTTTCTTCTCACTTAATGTCACAAAAGGTATTAGATTCCTGAATTCCCAACAACAGTTAAACACCCTCAAAAAGTCTATATCCAGTGCCGGGGATTTGTTTTAATATTCACGAGTGTAAATAACCTAGTTTCCTGATATAAAAGCGGAAGGCTATTCGCCTATTCCCTCCAAAACTAATTATTGACAATTAAACTTTTAGCAGGTTATTTACAGTGTAGTGGGCTACAGGTTATTCATATCTGATTTATGTTATCTGTGCGAAAGTAATTTTGGTGTTTACAAAAAAATTACTTTGAGTATTTAATATACATACACATAAGTATGAAATTATAAAAAGTTTCAAATTTCCAAAAAGAATAAATAAAAATTCAATGAATCACTAATTTTGATTTACAGAGTTTCGACTCTGTCTTAATGAAATGATGAAACGGTTCTGATAGTAAGGATCAGGAAAATTTCAATATTTACAGATAGCCAAGCGTTTATTGGTACCTTAAGTGATTATCAACCACGGTTTAAGTTGGTGGATGAATAAAAAGGAAATTTAATATTATTTCTGTCAACAACAAGGTGAGGGTTGAGTAAGTCCTCGGAAACTCATGAATTTTAGATAATGAAAAAGTGGATAGCCTTGCTAGGATGGGCTCAGAACTGGTATCTATAGCAACAGTCCCATCTGTGGTATCAGCCTCAGTCATGCCAAAAAATATATCAAGGTAGTCGTAGGAAATAAGACTAGATTCTATTGTGAAAATAGATAGAATTCAAAGCCGCTGAGTCCAAAGATAAGTGCAATACTCTTACTCATGGAAAGGAACATTCTAAGGTGTGTGACAGGATTATACACAGGTCGCACTTGACTAAATAAACACCTCTTCAGTCTGGAATAAACTGAGCACCAATCTGCAGGTTCTGTGGAATGAAGGATGAAACACATGTAGATCTGATGTTTAACAAAGATGTGGTACTTCCATTTTAACTATTACTGTATTACTAACTCTAATGGTGTATACAAATTTTTAAAGGCCATTGCCTTATTTTAACAGAGTACATTAAGGTTCACAATACCTGTAAGCTATGAGGCCGCAGAGAGTTTGTGTTGGAAATTTAAAAAAATTATAAGTTTAAAAGTTTATTATAAATGACCCATACTTTGGCAACAATGAGGAGGTACCAACTGGAGGGGAGAAGGCTGTAGGGAGCGGCAGCATGAGGTCCGAGGCCACGTCCCACGGAACTAGGGTAGGCCTCCTTCCAGAAGATCAACTCGCTCACGCCTGACTTCATCAGGCTCAGAATATCGCTCTGTTTACAAAGTGATATTATGTCGACGAGGTCTTCTTTAGCAAAGTGAGAACATACTTTGTATCCCTAAATAACATAAAAAAGTTAAAGTAAACCATAAACCAAACTAATATTACAGAAACAATATTCTAAATATAATGAAGAGAAGGATGGTGGGGGTGAAATTTATAAGTTTCAAACCGAAGTTCAGGCCTTCATCAGGGCTGAACTTCTGATCGAAACGTCGGCAAATATTAAAATAAATATTATTATTTATTTTAGCCATTTTATTTCTGACTGATCACCCCAACCATCCTTCTCTTCATCATTCACAACAGTCAACCACCAACCCACAATTATTCTAAATATAATTGAATAAATTATTGCAGATATGATATTTGAAATTTTCATGATTTATATTTCATGATATATCATCGTCCTTCCTACGCCTACAACCTTCTTCAATTCAAGTCCTCAGTCCACTCCCTCTCCACAAGATCTCGACCTTCCGACCTTTACATTCCTTCTCACAGATCTGCCTCGTTCCAAAACTCCTTTATTGCTCGCTCTATTAATTTTTGGAATTCCCTTCCTATCAAAATTCGACATTCTTCATCCCTATGTACATTCAAAACCCTCCTATTCCAATTCCTGTCCCAAAAACAGTCAGATACCAGCTAACCTTTTATGTAAAATTACATATTATTTATAATCATATATTCACATATAGCTCAAAACTTAAATACTTATTGTAGATTCGAGTTTCTTTTTTTTTCAACAGAAACACGGATTTTACTGTTAAGAAGAATTTATATATTTTTTTTTCTGTATTTTTTATTTTTTCTAAAAGGGTTTATTAATATTTTACCATTGTACATAGTTTTAATTATCTTAGTATGGTTTCAAGAGTTTTGTATATAGATTTTTATTTTTATTTTGTATATAGTATGTATAACTAATAATTTTTTTTTACTGATTTATCTTTATCTTTACTTTTTATGTTTGTTTTTATTTGGCCAGATATAACATTTTAATTTCTATACTTTTTTGTTATTCTGAAGGGACTTCGTCCCAGAATAAAATTATTTTCTATTCTATTCTAATAGTGAAACGTTAGAAGATAAAAATCTAGAAAAAATAATTAGGAAAAGAAGTTAATGTTTATTAAATTTGCCGACGTTTTGAACCACTTGCTTGGGTCGAAATTACAGCAAACTCTTTCATCATTTGATTCTTTAATTTTAATTATATGAGTAATGATTTAAAAGTTAGAGTATTACTTCTGAAATAAATAACCTTTATTTTACTTAAATTACAAAAGATAAAAAAAGAATAAATAAATTGATTTGACTCCAAAACATTAGACTTTTTTACTTTCCTGCTTATATTAGGTAAGGAAAGTATTGCGATCGGGTCAAATTTTCGATATGCGGTTTTCGACGGATCTATACGTTTCAGTGCCCCCTGAGTCCGAAGAACACGTTTTTGTTGCTTCTTTTTTTATTTTGTAGGGTTTTGACTACTAAAAAAAACATTGTTTAGCCTGTTGTTTTTTTAAAGGTGATAAAATTCCCTACAAAACTACATATCGTTCATTTCTGATAACTATTAACAAAGTTACTAAGTTATTCATTTTCTAATGAAAGATTACGGGGGGTACATATCCTGGTGTCAGAAAGGGATGAATGAGAGAAAAAACTTTATAACTTATGATGATGTTGATAACTTAGTGAAAGTAAGAAAATCTGTTGCCCGCATCACACAAGTTCATTATTTCCTCCATTTTTAACAAAAATTATTGTTTGACAAAATTAGGCTATGGCAAAAAGTTTTTGATCAGCAATATTAGAGGGTATTGAAATTTTTACACTGATTTACCTTAAGCTGGTTTACATTGCTTTAATTTATCAAATAAATCGTACTCAAATATTTTCTTTGATCAATATTTTCAGGAAAATAAATCTAGTTCAATTTTTTTTTTTGTTTCTTCATAAACATATGTAAAGATATAAAAACTTTTCTGAAATAGGTAGGAAAGTTGTGTGAGTGAACACACCAGATTTTTTAAAATGGTTTTTGGATTCTACATCTTTTGAATCATAAAACTTCAAACTCTGAGGGGAGTTTAGCAATTTGTTTTCTTTCACGATTCCTTGCTCAAAATTGATTTTTTTTTCAAGCAATGGATCATGAAATATGTTTTTTTTTTTTTTTTTCACTAAATGAGGCATGCAAGATCAATGTGCACAAAATCACTCTTAATTCAAAACTAATAAAAATGTCTATCCAAAATCCATTTCTGTAATAACTGATCCAATTATTTATATTAAAAAAATGATTTTTGTTACCTTATAAAAATAACTGGAACCAATAATTGAGTACAATCTCTGGTCCTCCTGTATAACAGTACGTAATAAAAATAAAATTATCTATATTAATATATAAAAATGAATACATTATTCATTGGGACTTTATAATTTTAGGAATTGAAATTCTTGATAAATTCTTTTTGCATTAGATAGATCGTTGGTTGAGGAAGACTTTGGAATATCGAACGTAGAATCAGGTTTCCACTTTGGTGAAAAAGTTCTCTTTTTAGGGAAATTCCAATGTTAGAAGGGAGAAAAGCGATACAGTTTTAACAATCAAAGCCTATTTGGAGCACACTTTAATCTACTTCTTTAATAATATAAGTAAAACGGACATAAAATGAGTAGTTACATATAATATTATGTAGTATTTTGTAAATATGTGGGTGAAAATGATTTTTAAGTTCTGAGAGAAAATAAGGGAGAATCTGACTGACCAAAATGGAAATTTAAAAAATGCTGTGTAGAATATTTTGGTTTATTATTTTCAATAATCAACCATTATGATCGACCAAAAAATTCAAAAACTTAACCCTCTCTCAAAATTTGAGGTTTAACGTTTCAGGACGCGTAGAATTTATAAAACAAATAAAATTTTTTAGTCCGTCCGCCGTCCACTGTCTGCGCATTTTCTCCGAAACTACTGACCGATTTTTTTAAAATTTGGATATAAAATCAGAGGTCACCCGAGGATGATCCTCCTTCATCGACATTACTATCCGCCTTTTACTTTCAAAATGGTGGCCAAAAAACCTGCATTGCTATAGATTGTAGCTCCTAAACAAATATACAGATTTCAATGAAACTTCGCTAAAGTCATTTTCTCGACGCCCTTTAAATTTATCTATATAACATACTTCAACAAAAAGAAGCTGAAAAAAAAAGGATGGTAAAATTAAATTCCGAATAACTCGAAAAGTTTATACTTTTTTGTTGATATTGTGATAAGATGTTTCAAAGGTATTTAAATTTCCTAAAAAATGAAGGAAGTTTCATCAAAATCAAATAGTTTTTTTAAAGTTTATGAAATTTTCTAAAAAAAAAAAAAAAAATTGTTAAAATCGGACAATTAGGAGCAAAGATATGGTCTCCGGTTTTTTTTTATATGTTCTACTCCAAATGTTATATCCTTGGTTTGGTTTTTAAATTTTAAATTTGTTACTGAACTAATGCTATTTTTTTTTTTTTTTTAGCATATTACTAATGATTAAAAAAAAAAAAGTTTAGCCCAATAATTGGAATCACCTTTTGTTTATTTTTCTTTGTAACTCGGTAGGTAATGTCACTTTAGATGTATAAATAAACCATTGTGAAATAATTTGTAACGTTTTTTCATTACATTGTAGATTGTATGAGGTAAGGCAATGGGGAACAAGTTTTATGGCAGCATTCATTTTCTGAGATGTTAAGAGAAGTAGTTAAAATAATTCCATTCATTGATGGACATGAATGGAATAGAGGAATATTTCCATGAATGGAATATTTCTATTCAATATTTTGTTTAATCCTTATCATCTTCTCCTGTATTACTAAAGTTATTATTACTGCTAATATAGTGCAGTGGATTGCAGTGGATGGCAGTTAAGTACTGCTCAGCAGTCTATGTATGACATTTTCTCATCATGAGACTCATATTTTTTATTCAAAATAATACAAGAAACCATCGCTTCTTTAGGAATAATTACCGCTTCGTAGGAAATAATATAATGGATAAAATTACATAGTACAGACATAATCTTTTTATTAAACTTAAAATATCAGGCAGATTGGCATGTATTTAATGAAATAAGATAAAAACTCAGCCACTGTAAATATTTCTACCATTTTCATACAAATGAAAATCATTAAATTTAAGCCTAATTTTTTCATTAAAAAATGTTTTCAACTAGGATGATTAAGTCGGGAGGAGTTGGGCGCTATGGTGTAGTTTCAGTGAAATAAACAAGCAGAAACAGTTGGCAGTAATGGATGGAGGATCCTTCCATCTGCCGTGATAGGCAATTAAATCGATATAGTAACTTTGGATTAATTGTTCCATAGATAATAAAATGATATGGTTATATTAATGAAATACTCACATAGATTTCTATGTCGTTGGCTTCTAATTCATTTAGTGCATCATCTACCTGAACCTGAAACAAATTCATAATTTATTTTAAAAAAATAAAATTTGTTAAAAATAAAAGATATAATCATCAAAAAATTACATGATTAAGGTAGAGAGTTTGATTAAGTGAGACCAAAGAAGTTTTAAAAACATTATTTATATAAAATGATATGTTTTATTTAATTTTGTAGGAAAGTTATCTGTTTTGGGAAAAATTCTTTTATATCAGATAATTTGAGTAAAATAATTACGAGTTCGTCTCCCGGTGCCGAGGGGGTCTTTTAACTCTGGCATTAATCCACTGCACTTCCTCCTTGGCCTAGTAAAACTCCCCTATAGCATAAAAGGCGAGTAAGGGGAGGACAAAAAAAAAAAAAAAAAAAAAAAAACTGTCCAATTTAATTAAATTCCATTAAACAATACAAATTAATGAACATGACGGTTCAGAATATAAAGGGTGTCAATAGTTGTAGGAGGAGAAAATACAGAAAAACACATTTTATATAAATGTGTATCTACATCTATCTACATGCAGTTAAAAGATTTTATACTTCATTCGAAAATTCAATTTGAACTATATTGTGTTGTGTCCATATGATGGGTATAACATTGTCATTAATTTGATTTGATGGACTTTATAGAGATTGTGAAATTCCAACTTCTTTTGCTTAGAAATGCATTTTTCCTTGACAAGACTATACTTCAAGATAAGCTTTTTCTTTAGATTTTATTCCTAAAACGATCTTGGACGATGGATCTTGAAATATAGAGGTCATTATGTAACCAAAGGAAATGGTCAGGAAGCTAAACTGACCGTACTAAGAAGTTTTTTTCCTTCCTGTTAAAGCCGCAGTGTTATTTTAGTTCATCTCATAAAATGAAATCAATCAATAATTATATAATCATAAGCCCCTTAGCTTATATTGTTTATATTCGATAGACTTGTTAATAGTTTATACTTAAACTGTTATGGATTGTCGGAGCTTAACACCCCTAAACATGAATACATAAAAAACATGTTTCTATAATATAATACTTACATAAATATGATGAGGTAGTACGAGGCGATGCGCAGCAGGTAACAGAGATTCAAATTCGCAAAAGAATTCATCTACATTCTTTTTTCTGTTATGTAACCTTTTGAACAATGCGTGAAAAAATTTCAGAAGAGAATTTATATTCCTTTCATTTCTAAAACATCTAGAAATTAAAAATATAGAGAAATTGATAATGGATATAAGAGCTCGGCGAGAAAATAATAAAAAATTAATTGTAAATGATATTGTGTTAATAATGTTTACCTTGAAACTGTTTGAAAAGTGAACTGTAGGCACCTGACGACATTAGCATTTACCCAATAACATTCTTTTAGGGAAATCCTTTGAAAAAAAAAATAATATCACTGTCCATTCATGATTATAATTAAAGGATAATGATGAAATATTTAGATATTTGTAATGATAATAAGTGTAAAAAGGATGCTAAAGGTTGTGTGTCCTTGCTAGTAAATACGACATTACAAAGGCAAATCGTAAACAAGTCATTCTCTAATGATTGCAAAATTTTAGTAAAAAAAAAACCAAAGAATTTTTCTAATGTTTTAAAACTCAGTTTACAAAAAAAAAAAAAAGTTCAATTTAAAAGGCAAAGCTACAAAAGTAGAGCAAAATGAATGGCCTATTGAATGGATTAAATAATAAGATAATAATAAAGGTGGAAAAGACAAAGGAAATATTTTCTTGCTCTTACCTCGAGTCCGGTAAGGCCAAGAACATTACATCATCTTCATTCCTGGTATAGATGATGTGGACTAACAATCCATTTGAGATAACTGAAGAGCTAAAAACAAAAAAAAATCATACATAAAACATATTTTCTTTATAATTAATAATCCAAAATGGGACTTTTTACTTTCCTACCTATACTAGGTAAGGAAAGTATTGCGATCGAGTCAAATTTTCGATATGTGGTTTTCGATGGATACGTTTTAGAGCCCTCTGAGTCTAAAAAACACGTTTTTAGCCATTGGTCTGTCTGTCTGCCTGGCCAAGATTTTCTCGGGAAATAGTGGACCAATTTTGTTGCTTCTTTTTTTATTTTGTAGGGTTTTGACTACTGATGCTTGTGACACAAATTGAGTGCTCCATGCGTAATAGCTGCTACGCAATAAATGGAAAACATGTTTTCTGTAGACTGTAGCATGAAAACAGCTCCAACGATTTTGATGAAACTTTCCTATGATGTTAGGATATAGTACACTTTCCTATAGTACACGCTATAAGTGTACTTTAAATTTTCGTACATGGACTAAATTCCCAAAAAACTTTCGATATGCGGTTTTCGACGGATCTATATGTTTCAGAGCCCCTTGAGTTTGAAAAACACCGCTTACATTTTCCTCGCTTACAGTTTACAGGTCCAATTTTTAGTATCTGAAATATTTTAATCCATATGTTCAACTAATCTCGTTATCACTTGGTTTAGGATACTATTTTTTCCTATTCGCCTCCCTGACATGGCGTCGTGTTAAGATACAATTTTGAATTATAGCCTATTACAGAGAGAATGAAATGCTGAACAATCTCCTCGCTTACAGTATGTAGGCTCGATTTTTAGTTTCTCAAATATTTTAATACATATGTAAAAACATTTCAATTAGTCGATTCTAGCCGACTTTACCCGAGCGTTAAAACTTTGGAAATCTGACGAATCAATCTAATTCACTCTCCAAAAAAAAGTGTAAAATTAAAGATAATATTTGTTATTTTTTTTGCTTATTTCTACATTTTTCGGCCCTCTAGCTAGAAATTAATCAAAAAATGTCTAACATGTTAACTTCTTTCTTTTTTTTTAAATTTAGGTGCTTATTAGATGAAAATTGGCACTAAAGTTCTTTTTTGGATAATAAAAAGTTTTAAAAAATCAGCCTCTAAACACTTTTCCTGGTATACCTCCTCTTTAAAATATGATTTGTCTGATTTTGATGCCAGGTTTTACACAATTAACTAATAGCTATACAAATGGGTCATTAGAGATAAATCAGCTGTTTTCAAGGAAAGTTTAAAATAACTTGGCTGATTTTAATGAAACTTATCAAAATACTTCTAAATAAAAACACGCTATGAACTCTCAGGCCTCATTCCATTAACCCATATGTATAATATTTCTATTTAGAACTCTTAGTTCCAACCATATTTTAATTTTTTGACTTAACCAATTTTTCTATAAAAACAATTTGTTCTTAAAATATTTACGATATGTATATTTATTAACTGTATTTTCAAGAATTCATAAGAAATCTAAAATCTGATACCTGATCGGCTGACCCGCTCCTAGGGAAGGGAGTAGATGAAGGAGCGTGAGAAATGTTCCTCTGATTGAAGACAACATATTTCGCTCCGATGGATAACTGAATATAATGTCGTCTGCTGAGATACTACTGTCATTACTTCCGGCTCTTGTACCAATGTTTGCAAAAAGGACACCGAACCCTTCCAATTCACAATCCTCCTGTTATATAGCAGATCATTTAGATAAATTATAAATTAACAATAATTTCTTAACTACTTAAAATTTTTACAAAGAGAGATACTGTTCACATCTAAAGATAGAGTAGGAATTACTAATTTAAAATAGACTTTAACTGACACAATGAGGTCACATTCAGCGGGTCACCGATTTCAATCTAATTTTTTTCAGAGTTAATTTCTACTACCGATTTAGTAAAAATTATTGGAAAATGTAAGTAGTATCAAAACTCTGACGGTAATAAGACAGCGAATTGAGATAGGACAAAATGGTTTTAATGATTTTTAGTTTGAGCTCAAGACTCACTATACTTATGGTATATTGTTCAAGCTCTTAAAAATTAAATTATTGCTGTTTATTTTAGTCTATGATAAACTACTACTGATGTAAGCTAGATCACGGGCTTCATCTTCAATCAAGTTCTATAATTTCTTTATAAGAAAACTTGTACTTCGTTAATATCTACTTATAATCCATTTATTTTATTTTTTACCTCGTAACTATTTATATTTATAATTCGTATCTTTTGTAGCCCTGATGAAGACCCACAATGTGGGTTTAAACGTCGGTGTATCTAATACAGTACTATTTTAATATATAGTATTGTATTCAACCGCACCCCCGACCAACTCCTTCTAAAATTGTAATCATGGTCAACCATCACACCATTATAAAAAGAATTTTGTCTACATTTATAATAAAAATATGTTTTGGGGCCAATTTCTTGGTTGCTAATTACAGCATAGCGTAAATGAAGTTCTTATCCAGATCTCACTCCTATACTCTACTCTTCATAAAAGAGATTTTTTTTTTTTAATAAATGAGATAAATATAAAGCAAGAACCCTGCTCTCCTCCGCCAAGCAACTTAACTGGTCTCAGCGAGTACAATACAGGTTAGTATACTGAAGCTATTTATTTACATTGGAGGACAAACTATTTATTTACCCATCTAACTGCTACTTGAACATAGTAATCGTAAAATATATAACTTCACCAATTAAATGTTGCAATAGTCTTTCATGGTAATATTATATTGTTTATACAAATAAATAAGTTTCTTTTTTTTGAAATGAAATGAAATGAAAAATAATTTTATTCTGGGACTGAATTCCCCTTAGATTAATAGTAGAGCTCAAAAAAAAATAAAATAAAAAATAAATAAAATATATATATATATAAAGATACTAAAGAAAATATAAATATATACAATAAATACTGAGAGAGAGAAAAAAAAGTGAATAAATAAAAATAAAATGGCTCCTATCAATTAAATGCTGGTGGCCACCGTAATTGTATAACCCAGAAATTCTTACAAGATTGCGGAAGTTTGAATTTTTAGTAGGTGGTGGAATAGGAGTTGTTTGAAGGAGTTTATGGACGTGGTTTGACGTATGGAGATGAGAAAGGAGTTCCAGAAGGAGGTAGCACGAATGACGAAGGATTTACTGAAGGAAGTGGTTTTATGGGAGAGGATATATAAATCTATAGGTTGAGATTTGGTGTTGAGAGAGTGGATAGAGGAACGTAGAGTAAGGAGTTCTAAGATGTAGGGGGATTTTTGGTTCTGAGGACTTGGAAAAGGAAAACACCAAGGTAGAAATACCGTCAGGAAGTAACATAAAGCCACTTCAACTCGGTGTACCAAAAGGAAACATGAAAACGCTTGGGAATTCCAAAGATGAATCTTATGAAGCAATTCATTTGTTTAAGGATAGTTATGGATTTATGGTTAATCTGGGAAATGTGGTTGTTCCAAGAGAGGTTCTGATCAAAGATCACTCCGAGGTTTTTGACTGTCGGAAAGAAATAGATGGGACGATCATTGAGATAAATTAAAGTTTCTTATATAATAAACATGTATATTATATTACAAATTACCTGATCAGCAGAAAGATGAGTCTTTGAAACTTCTACTTTTCTTTTTGAAGATTTCACTCTATGAACTGTTAGTACAACCTCAAAAATAGAAATTTAAAGCAATTTTACTTAATTTACAAAAACAATTTTAATAATACTGTCATAATATCAATAGAGTTTTTATTTCATACCTCTTTTATTTCTTTCGAAAAAGATATGTTCCTTAGGTATTGTTCAATATTTTCAGAAGTGACTAATATACCATTTATGCTATGCAAACAATCGCCTGAAAAAAATATGGTATAATTAATAATTAAATATAAATATGAATGATAAAACCATCATTCATAATTACAAATTCACCGACATTCACCAATGTACAACTTAACACTGGAGAAGATAATAACAGCAACATCCCATGAAAATGTGAGAGTGCACATCGGAATGAAAAATAAAATCTTTGGATACGCAGATGATATAACTGTCCTTGGAAGCAACAAAGAGGGCATTGAGATTCACTAAAACTCTGATAAGAGAAGCAGAGCAAATCGGCCTACAAGTAAATGAAGAAAAAACAAAATATATGATAATATGCTGAAAATTCCAGTTCAACTTCCACAAAATTATTGAGTGAAGAGAAATTCAAATTCCTCGGCTCCATAATAACCTTAATGAACAGTCGAAAATATACTTGCTTATAACAAGTGCAAACAAAGCTTTCTTCTCCCTTTCAAAGTTATTGAAATTCCAAAAAAATCTCGAGAAATCTCAAATTAAGAGTTACAAATACTGTCATAAAGCCATTTCTAATATATTTCAAAATTCAGAGTACACTATCACATATTAACAACAATTCAGTAACCATGAATTTTAATTAAAACAGTTTTTTGAAGTGGTGAAGAGTTTTTTATTCTCAAGAATTTTTATTAAATTATGTCCCTTCACCTTAAGAATAGTTGTACTAAAAATAAATTAAAATGAACAAACCTTTTTGGAAAGCAGTCTGAAGATAGAAAGCTGGACCATTAGGAATGAGGTCTAAAATGATAATCTTAGTATCGTAGAACATTATCTTAAGGCCTAGAAATGTTTCAACGGCAGTGGCTCTTCTTCCGATTGCCTTTATATTTGAAAAATCAATTTTCATGTATATATTAACAGTTTCTATATCCTCAGCCCCCTGGAAGATTTAGTTATGTTTTAAAAAGTATTTTGTATCACAACTATTCAATATTAAATAAATTTAAAAAAAATATATATATATATTATATATTGAAGGATCTATAGCTCAACCACAAGAACATGGAACATGGCAGACTAAAGAAGAGAACTTGTTCAAATTATTTAGAATACATTTTCAGAATCACGGTGAAATGAAAATGAAAATATCATTTATAGTTAAACAAAGTCAATTAAATCTGTGGAAGGGGGAAGAGTTTTTTCCTCTCTTGCAGATTTTCATAGTTTTCCTTATGTCATATTCTTGCAGCAATAGTCACAAACAAGAGAATTATTAATAAAAATTATGAAATGATACTTATGAATAATTCTAAAACAATATTATCACTACACATTATCTTAAAATATAAGGGTATATTATACGTACGGGTATGTTTAAAAATTATTCTTATATAAATTTTATGAAAAATTAAACATATTTTATTGTATTATGAGCATTTTTACTTTTTCTAACACCTCAGGTAAAGGAAACTGGTCCTCTGCTGAAGAAGATCCAGGAAGATTGGTGTCTAATTTAGAACTGTCTTTTCGTTTAAAACTTCTACGGCTACTTCTCCTTCTCATAAGTCTTCCAAAAATACCTCCACAAATACACAAAAATATAGTCACTTATAGCCATTTATATATCTATTTCTTAAGCAAATAATACAATTACTGAAGATAGACTACAACAACTTCAAGTGGTAAATTTAAGAACCCATAGACAAAAAAATAATAACATCAGCGATTTAGTATTACATTTAATGTAAATAAGTAATGTTTTAAATATGACATAATTTTTCAGTGATATTAAATATTTTATAGAAACCTGGGTTATCTTTATCATTGCTATCATCTGTCTGAAGAAGAGATTGATTGCAAGGTTCATTAACGTCAGCTGGAAACGGATAATGTTGAACATAAAATAATTCACCCTGAGAGTTCACTTCATCTTCCCAAGCATACCTGAAACAAAGGAAGCGATCATTAACATAAAACAGATACTCTGATATTCCATAAGGTCAGCAAGATTAACCAACTTAACCAAGCTAATGTAGCTATTAACGGAATGGAAGAACAGTAACAATTATTATATAAAAATCATAAATATGGATCATATTCTAAGAATTCCCGTCTCAACTCCCTATTTATTCTCTCTTCAAACCAGACCACTTTTTTTTCCCATACCCTGATGACCCCCATAACTCCCATATAAAATCCTGCACAAATGATTACAGATTAGATAATATCCCAGCCAAATTAATTAAATTCTCACTTTCTATCATTCTTTTAATCCTCTATAGTACATAGGTAAAGAAATGTTATTTAACTTTATTAATAGTTATTAGACTATCAGAGTCATTATTGTACAACTACAACTTCTCACTACAAAACACCACCTTCTCTACATCGTGGAAAAACATCCTAGTTTGCCCGTTGAAGAACACTATAATCCAGTAATCCTTAATGATTTCCACCCAATTTTTTTCACCAAATCTCCCAAGATTTCCATAAAGCCATGAACCTTCAGAAATTTACCATAATTCTTCTTGACTTCTCTATCAACTTTGATTCGGAGAAACAAAATATGTTTCTTGCCAAACTTCATGCTCTATTCTAGTCATCCGCTACCCTTGCAGTGGTTCCAATCCTTCCTCACAGGGTATTTCCACTATATTACTGTCCCCAATAAAACCCCCTTAGATTTTCTCTCTGTCCAGAGGCACATCTTAAGATTAATACTCATCTCGTACCCTTTTTTTCGATCTAAATCAATGATTCTGTCTTCTATCCAACATTCTCAATATCATTTAAATTCCTACAACATCCAGACATCAGCCGAGAAAATCTCAAAGGTCTGCTTCCATAAAGCATAAACAAATTTCTAATGGATCTTTATCAGTTGAGTTTGGGGTCTTACAAGATGAGTTAGTCACCAATTAAGCCAATTTGAGAATTCAGTTTAGAGAGTAATCATAAGACCTTGCATCAACCCAGGAAAGTGGAACAACTTGCTAAGTAGTACCAAATGGTTGTAAAATAATGACACTGATAGCCGAATAATTATTAATAAAAATAAATACCTATGAACAGATCAAGTCATCAAACCATAAAAATAGGGCCTACTGATAAAGGCATATTAATTATCTTATAATTACAACCAACTTTAAATAATGTTGATACCTTTTATCTGAATGAGACAGACTACTTGATTCAGATCCACAGTTCCAATTCCCTTTTCTTAAGTAAAATTCCATATTATTAACATACGATTATCTCATGACATAGAGAACATCCAATAGTTGGTGGACAAGAAAAGCGACATTATTCATGCAATTAATTCATAGCTGTAACAATTAATGGAACTAAGGATAGATAATCTAATTTTTTTTAATGATCAATAATTGTTAGGAATGAATCAAAAAAATAGATTTAAGCAAAAACATTTTTATTTTTCTTAAATAAAATTAATTTTTATCGAAAAAAATATTGTTATCTTTAAAAATATTGCTCTAATCCTTGAAAGATTTATAACAAGAAACTTTTAAAGTTTTTTTATTAGGTGTTTTTTACATTAAATGAATTACCATTTAATATTACATTTAAATTGAAAAAGAAAAGTGTTTTTTCTAATCAATGGCACCTGTTGTAATATTAATTATAATCTGAAAATGACACCATTTTCGACTAGAAAACAATGTAAACAAACTTAGCATCAGACTTTTGAAGGCTGATAAAATCAGGTTATAAACAGTCATAACAGTTTGAAAAAAATCGATTTTAGTAAATAAATTCTGTGAGATAGGTATGAAAAACAAAAAATTCTTCTCTACACCAGGAAAATTTGTCAATTGACTAAGTTCTATGGCTGATGAAAAACAGGCTTAATTTGACTGTTCTGCTACCATTAATAGATAGATATGAAACCCACATTTGTTTCCTTTTTCCAATAAAGACTAGTGATTTGTTGGGCAAAATTTTGTAACATAGACAAATATTAAATATATAGGCGCCTGTAATAATTAATGATACTGTATGTTTAATATTATGAAGAGGAAAATATCATTCAGGAAAAAGTATCGGCTTCCCGAAAACTGAGTGAGATTGTCAACATGAGAAATAACATGATGGTAACCCATTCTTGTGTAACTTTACGATATTACCCATTAATCACCGCAGATTTTAGCACAGACCGAAGAGGCACTTCCCTGGAGTCGCTATATTAAATGAGCTGCATAATTGCAATGCAAAAATATTTCGAATCATTTTAAAGAAAGTCTTCCTTAGAATGAAATCCTAATTCTAAAATTTCCTCTACATTACTACATCACACTATTTCTTACATATCATGATTTCAAAAATTCATTTTTATCTTTAGTATAAAAATGTTAATGTTTTTTTTTTTATATTTATCCAAACCAGCATTTCCCTCAATTGACAATACCCAACAAAGTTTATGTTTATCGACATTTTTTATGTGTTTTATCTTATTTATGGTGAGCTGTTTTGATTGTTCCATTGCCTTGAACTATGTAGGAACGTTAATCAATTAAAGACTCTATCTTATCTATATTACATATACACTGATCATAATATTGCCTCTGCATTATATTTTATTAATAATATATTTGAAATAAATTGTTATTAATATAAATTCAAAAATATCTCCTGACAATATCAAAGGATTTCGTTTAATTAAAGAGCAAGTATAGAAGCGGAAAGCGATGTCTACGCCAAGTCATAAAAACTTAAAAAACAACATAACAAAGCACTATTTTTTGCATTATTGAACGTTTTAAACATTTTATATGTCCTTAGATTGACCTCGATAAAGAATGACAAAATATAAATAAAAAAAGGTGGTAAATAAAAAATATTTACTTTACAGTAACTACTTTAACTGAAATGTGCCTCTTTGGCTGATCAATCGAAAACGTCATAGTCGGTTCCTGTTTTTAAAGTGGATTTTGGGATGATCAAGCTTCTCTCTATCTATATATTCCTATAATTAAATCTTTAACCTTAAAATTTTCAAGATAATGGGAATAATGTTTAAATTAATATCATAATTTAATATTTCTAAATTTGTGGTTACGTTTTGAACTAAACATATAGCTTTATCTCCTTCAGTCTGGAGATTTTTTAAGTTCAACTTCGATTTAAAATTAGTTTGTTAGCAATGATAGATGAGACATTTATTTTTCACGGCATTTTTGCCGTTATGTGGCTTGAGTATCTTTGGGAGTCATATTTAACATATAGACAAGTATGATTGTAAGCTTATATTTATATTCTTTCTTGTTGTTGAATCATTAATTGCAATTTTGCTTTTAGCACCAAGTTTACAAGACAGTAGATGCTGTTCCACCAGAGCTAGCTGATAATATCAATGAGGAAACTTTTCAGAAGTCAAGAGCATATGCTTTAGACAAAAGCTATTTTTCTATGGTCAAAGGTCTTTACAGCATCACACTTTCCTCCGTATGTAGACACTTAGTTACCGTGGAATGATAAATAAAAAAAAATGATAAAATCAATTTTTTTTTTTGTTATCATCTATGAAATATCATTTATTTATTTTCATTTCTAGGCCATGGTTTGGTTTTATCTTCAATTTCACTTCTGGGAGTACAGTAAGCAGCTATTACGCAGTATGAGTCTTCCCATGAACGAATTACTTATTAGTTGCACATTTATGATTGTTACCAATAGTATAAATATGGTTGTACATATGCCTCTTTCTGTTTATACAACATTTGTTCTTGAAGAAAAACATGGATTCAACAAACAGGTAAAAAGAGATTGGTAACTATATCCTACCTATTTTTTTTTCTTCTTTTTACTGCAGAGTGGAGAAATTAAATATTAAAGTTATTGATGTATTATTACGTATATCAAAATTGCATCAATGTTTAATTCATAGTTATTCTTTGGTATTGCACGAGATGTTATTACAAGAATGTATGATGGTGACGAGATATTTAGACATTTAGATGAAGTGTGAATGTGCATAGATATTACAGTCACTGAACAAATATAGTTGTGAAATATTTATTATGTTAATGGTTTAGTGTTGATAGGTATGTTAGTTCACACAGTTCCATGTCTGGATGGTGTATGTACCTTGATCACATTATCATACTGGTCACAGAATGCTGAAAATAGTCGTTTTTCCCAAAAGATTACATAGGCGATTAATCTTCATAATTCAAATTGCCCACAATACAAGGAGACAATTTTTGATCATCTCTTTTATGTTTTCCTTCTAATGAGTATGAATTATAGTGTGAAATGAATTCGGCATATAAGTTATATAATGTGGTGATTATTATAAACATATTTTTTATGTTTCTGACCAATGAGGTTAGTAATCATAACTCCTTGTACTTTTTTGGATTTTTAAGCACAATAAATACATAGCTAAAAATCCAGTTGAATAAAAGTGATCAAGTAGGGAGAAATTATAATAATAAATACTAACTTATTAATTTACAACAGAAATTATTAATTAACATAATCAAGACTAAATAAAATAATTTATAAAAACAAACTAGATTTTGTTTTTATTAACTTGTGTATTCATAATAATTTGTTTATCATCATACATCTACATATAAATTTGTAAGATAGTTTTTTTGTTCAGTAACTGCTTTCTGTCGTGAGATAGTTTTTTGTTCAGTAATTACTTTCCATCTTGATACTGAAATAGCCAGGATAATTGGTGCATTAGACATGGAGTAAAATTATAGATTAGAATAAATAATAACACAGGATATAAATTATATATCATTCTTTAAATTATTTTTGGCCAAGGTCAACAGCTATTTTCTTTAATATCCTTTTATAATTGCCTAAGTTCCGGCTTCAGGAGCCATTTTCAAGTATAAACTATGAAATTATATTAATCAATAGAACTTTAAAATATTACAATTTTAACACATCAATTGTTAATTTTATGTTTACAAAATGTCATTAATATAATGAAATTCAGTATATTGCATAATTAAAATTAGATTATTTTATTTTTAAATAAAATATTACCTATCATTAATCTTCTCTAGATTTTTATAATTTTTAAATATAAACTGTCCTTGTAACGTCTGATCAGTATTATGGCTATTCTGTAGATATTACTAAAATTATATAAGTTGTATCATAATGCCAAAATTATTTTTGAAAAGAATTCAATTATTTTTATTATAATTAGGTACTGGGTTTGTTGGATGATAAGGAAAACGGATTTGGTGGTGATCCTTGGCCATAAATCATTTAAAGCCATAAACTAATCATAATATGGCACCAAACATTAAAAAATATGACTAGAGAAATAATTTATATATTTTTATTTAATGTTTAACCACTGTGATGAAATTTGCATATAATTATTTTTGAAAATTATACGAAACTCCTATTTTGTATCTTATTTAACTTTTAAATGTAGGCTGAAAAACCTAAAACAAGTGAGTTTAAAGACACTAATAATATCCAGGTTTGTCATTGGATTACAAAACAATTTAACAAATTCACTCATCTTACAAATAGCTTCAGAATATTTTCTACAAAAATTTTTAATTATATAAAAAGGAGATGGTCCGGGGTGGCGGTCATAAATAGGCTAAATAGTGGCACAACTATTTTATTAAAAGCCTAATGGGTGTTCAATTAAAAGGTGTGTTCCATATTTCCATGAGATAAAAAAACTCAACTAAGGGTTTTTTTAAGTGAAACTCCTAGCTGAACACACCTACCTGAAGAAGACCTGCAAAGTCGGGTCGAAACGTTGGCTTTTAATAAAATAGTTGTGCCACTATTTAGCGTATTTATGACCGCCACCCCAGACCATCTCCTTCTTTTATAATGCAACAGTCGACTATTAAATATTCAATATTTAATTATATATTTGTTGAAAGTATCCTCAGCCTATGGAAAAGAAAGTATAATGGTATGGGGATAATCATAGATAAGGAATGCCTGTACAATTTACAATTTGCCGATGACCAGGTCATTATTGCAAATGAGGAAGCTGTTGGAAGCTTAACGGAAGGAGGCCTGGAAATCAGCAAAACAAAAACTGAATACACGACATTCAATAATAGTGAAAACTCCTCATTAAATGTTAGCAAATGGGAGTTGTCCCCAATTGAGCAATTTAAATATTTAGACAGACGGCTTGCGAAGGAGAACAACAGATAAAAAAAAGTACATTAAGTAGATTAGTCCGATTGATTGATATCCCAATTTTTTTTTTTTTTTATTAATTAGCATTACCCCCATTCGCCCATCCCACCCCCTTATTGATATCCAGATAAGTATTATCCTATTGTACTTATGTTATATATGCACAAGATTAAGTTATTAATGTTATATATCACAAACATAAGATATTATCTTGTCCCTTTAATTTAAAAGGGTATTTATTACTGTATATTTTAGATCTATATTTGAAAAAATATTTTCTTAGTAATGTTTATAATTGTGTATAAAAATTGTATTTATTTTTTTGTTGCAGACTGTTGGATTCTTTATCAAGGATCAGATAAAATCTTTCTTGGTAACATCTGTCATAATGGTGCCCCTAACAGCCATGGCTATTTACATAATCCAGATTGGTGGAGATTATTTCTTTGTGTATCTTTGGGGATTCGCAATGATCGTTCTCTTATTCCTCATGACAATATATCCAGATTATATCGCTCCCATATTTGATAAGTACACTCCTTTACCTGAAGGCGAACTGAGATCAAATATCGAAAACCTAGCACAGGAACTAAAATTTCCGCTCTACAAACTGTATTTAGTTGAAGGCAAGCAAAATAATTTTTTATTTGGTTTTGAAATAATTTGATTTGATTTTATTATTGCATCACTAGGACCACCTCTATTCGCTTTTAAAATTAAAATATAACTGAATAATTTGAGAATTCAGAGGTTGTACCGTTTCTGAGATTATTAAAAGGCCTTTGATACTGATAAAACACCACAAATTTTTAGCATATTTAAAGCCAAAAATATTAAATCTCAAATAACTGAAATATTTTGAGATACCATTAACTTATATTATACTATGAAGTCGGTGGTCCGATTTTCTATAAAAAAAAATCTATAAATATAAATGTATGAAAGGGGGTCAGCCAAGGAGAGAGAGGCTCTTCAAAATTAATTACCTCTCTGCCGTGGAAGGCCACCTATAGTTGTATCTGGCATGAATGGATATTCTAATTGATAGGGCTAAATAAGTTGGAATATCTTAATGAACAGACCCTAATAGAAAAAAACGCTGAAATTTTCTATTAAATGGAAAGGAAAAGCCAAGATATAGACCTTAAAATTAATTTGAATATAATGAATGTTAAGACACAAAGAGAGGTTAAACTCAAAGGTAAACCCTTAGGAATCAAGAGTTGTTTTTACTAGTGACAAATAATTAGCACGGAAGCCCATCCCATGATTAAACTAAGGAGTAGGACTACAATGAGACTTAAGAAGAGTCTATGGTAGTCAACTATGCTGCTGGCGGGTGATCACATATGGGTGCAAAACGTGGAATCTTTCTCAGAAAGTTATTTGTTGTTAAGAAAGTTATTTATAAATTGTGGATATCACAGAGAAATATGGAGATATTCATGTGATTACAATCAGGAACTAAGCAACTAAGAGGTTGGATAAGAAAGGCGGATATCAGCAGAGCAATGTTCATGTAGAAATGAAAATGAACAAGTCACATCAACAGAAGAAAAAAAAGATAATTAAACAAGAAAAATGTCCAAGTGGATTCCAAAATGGGTACAACAGATGCTGAGTGGTTCGTTGTCGACTAGAATGAGAAAAATAAAAGTCTATTGTGTATGAATATGCCTACTACCAAGTCTAGCTACAAGAATTGTTAAAATAAAAAATAATGGAAGAAAAGAGGAAAGATCCTCAGTATTTGCTAATTTTACCCAATACAATAGAAGATTATTATTATAATGAATAAAGAATAACTGCATAACCTATTTTAATTTATTATGTGTAACCTTTTTTTATATTTTTTAATTATATATATGATTGTTTCAGGTTCCAAACGATCTGTTCATAGCAATGCTTACTTTTATGGATTCTTCAAAAACAAACGCATAGTGCTATTTGATACATTACTAAAAGACAAATCAAAGGACGATGACAAAGGCTGTGAAAATGATGAAATCCTAGCGGTTTTGTCTCATGAGTTTGGACATTGGCAGTATAACCATGTAGCCAAAAACATATTAATTACTCAGGTAATTTAATTAATATTTGTATCATTTCTTATCTTTTAGAATTTGGAGACTTGTGAAAATGCATGCATGCGACAAACTGAATATATTCTGTCTCTTTTCTCTTTATTAGAGATATGGTTTGTAAATTTACATGAACTGCTTTCATTCTACTAAATATTATTTAAGAATAAACAATATTATCACAATAAGAAGTAAACTATATAATATAAAATAAATCATTTTTTTAAAATATTTAAATAAACTAACAATTTTTTGTAAGCCAAACGAGGAATCAAATTTCTTTACTAAATGAAATGGGATTTTATGAAATCATGTTGCAATTTAAGAATTCTTTCTATTCTTAATCTATAAATATTCTTTTGTCAATTTATTTATTTATTTCCACCCTCCCATGCCACAATGGCCGTACGGATAGATGCAATAGTATGATGTTACGCATTATAACATTGCATAACACACTTCTGCAATTATCACAGTATAAAATATTCACAGCTGTACATACAGCCTAGCTGTTTTTATTCTTTAGTCTTCAATAAATAAAGCCTGGCTTCCATAATCTGGAGGTCTTTCCAGTACTTGTCCACTTCTCCTTCTGTGGGTCCTTAGATTGAAGTGACCAGGACCTACCACCATCCTCCCAGCTCTTTATGAAGTCTTTGATCCAGGAGAAGTTTTCCTCTCTCACCAACTGAGGAAACTCGTCGGTGAGGATGTAGATTCCCGTGGTTCTTAATCCATCGAAAGCAGTGCAGGATGTGACAAAATGGTCAACAGTTTCTGGAACGCCACAGCAGGACATTGGGGATCTATATCTTGTAGAAAGCCATGTTACTTAGTTCTAAAACTCCCATCTCTCGTAAGAAATTGTGAAACCTAATAGTTCAGTAGGACCCATTTTACTTATAACCAAGATTAAACGGTGGAGAAGGATTTTCTAGGCACTTCTTTTCGGAATTGTCACCTATCATCTGATCCTCTCTTCAATTGTTTCCTCCCAGTTTATCTTTTTCTATTTATTAGGGTTTTTAATGATCCTCATCCTTTTTTTTATGTAAATTCAGAATTTTTTTAAATTTTGGGTAGAGATATATTACCTTTTCTGTTTGAAGGACAAAAAACATTTATACTTTAGCTAAAGTGATTCCTATTGGGTAAGATTTGTATGTTCTGGAAGGACATTGTATTTTCTCTACTTAATGTTTTACTTTCTTTGTATATTATATGTATTTTTTTTCTTCTTTGAATTTGAATGTATTTAATTTCATTGAATATTTTGTAAGTTTTGAAGTATAAATATTGCTTGAAAAAACAATTAGTGATTATCAAACTTTCAAGAGAAACTTTTTCTTTCACATTTATATGCATGATTTTGTTCAAGCATCAAAGCAAATATGGAATAAGTTATTGATTTTATTTTCAAATTAATTAAAAATATTCTCCTTGAGGTAGTTAGTTTAAATGAGTAAATCTAAGTAGTTTTTAAAGGATACTATTAAGGCAATCGTTAATTAATAAAAAACAGATGTAACCTCTCGTTCTATCTCTAAAAGTTTGGTCTAGCTAAATGTGATTTAGACTAAACAATTCTGTCGCCCATATTTGGATCATTGGTAGGACTGCTCACATTTCTATTTAGCTAGAACGGTGTTGTGAAGAGGAACCAAACACGATCCTATATGTGACAGATGCTTGATTTCTCTCTTCCTAATTTTTAAGTTCACGATATACGATAAGTATACAGCATGTATTGCTACCATGAACTTGACTGATAGTGCTGTATCAGCCAAGTAATGAACATTCACAAAGGTGTAAAGTAAGACTAAATAATTTTTTTTTATAAATATCACTTGTTAAATTACTTCTTTCAAGAAAAACATAATAATTAGTATTTGGCATAATTCTTATTTTCTTGTTTCTTGTGGGTCCCTCAATTGCGAGGGACGTTAGGCCTACATAGATGAAGCTTTTCTTGAATAAAGAAACAAAATTTTGATGGGTTTCTTTGACAACAGCATTTATATAATTATTTATTTAAAAATGTATACACCATATAAGTGGTATGAAATGTAAATTATGTTTTCCATCAAGAAAGACATTTTTATTATTGTGTTATAATTAAATAGTGAATGAAAATTGACAGCATATATTAAATTCATTAAATAACAGTATTTCAAAAATTAATTTTGATTCATTTCTTTTCAATATTATTATAAATATTCTTTTTTTTCTTAGGTGAATCTGTTCTTTCAATTTTTTGCCTTTGGATTCTTGTTTAAATATCCTGTTCTGTACCATGCGTTCAACTTCCATCACGAGCAGCCTATCATCATTGGCTTGATTATAATTTTGCAATTCGTCTTCTCACCTTATCACACTGTAAGTATTAGCATATCGTCTACAATTAACTAGTAACATTAACTGTATATATATATATGTGTGTATATATATATATATATATATATATATATATGTGTATATATAGTGTGTGTATATATATATATATATATATATATATATATATATATATATATATATAGATTTTAACAGTGGTAAAGTGGGACAACATTGACCAGGGGGACGATTAGTTGGTGAACCGGGACACCATTGACCAGGGGGAGAGGGGGAAGTTATTGATTAAAATTTGGTTCATTTATTAAGTTTAAGCAATAGTGGGGGCGGGGTGGTCAAGCGGGCTTACGTGTATGCACAGCACCGTGCGTTGTCCAGCTACCTGATAACTGAAGTTTGAGATAAAAAAATAATTACAAGTTCAAATCTCAGTGCCCAGTGGGACTTTTAACTCAGCATAATTCCCTCAGCTCATTGAAGTCCCCATATAGCCCGAATGGCAAGGATGGGAAAACAAACAAAAAAGTCCAAACAACAGTTCAAATTTGTGTTACAATAATTGGTAAATAGTTGACTGTCATGAATAATGAAGAGAAGAATAGTTGGGGTGATCAGTCAAATAAGAAGGCTTTTTTATGATAGTATTTATTTTGACCTTAGCCGACTTTTCGACCTGAAGTTCAGGCCATCATCAGGAATAAGAAAAGAACCAGATAACAAGGTTTTCTATCTAACTATTCTATTCACAATATCTTAATTTTACTGTTTATTTCCATTTCTTATATAACCTCATATTTTTTTGTTTTTACATTTTATTCTAAGATTCCCATTTTAATACTTATGTGTTTGATTATGTTTACTTCATCATTCCACACTTTGTACCACTTATTATCATTTATCTCTTTGTTATTACTATTGTCATTATTCTAACAACTGAATTTTACTTTAATTTTTTTTTACCTACACTATTTATGTTTCTCATGCCTTGTTATCTGGTTATTTTCTTAGCCCTGATGATGGCCTGACTTCAGGTCGAAACGTCGGCTAATGTCAAAATAAATATTATAATTTATTTTTGCCTTCTTATTTGACTGATCACCCCAACTATTCTTCTCTTCATTGTGTTACAATAATTAATTTTACAGAATGATAATCTGGTGTAAATGTTAATCAGGTGACAATATTCAGCTGAAATTGTTTAGAATTTAGGTATAAACCATATTTTTAAGAAAGAATTATTTAATGATGTATTTGACGTCTAATTTATGACCAATAATAACACATTTTTAAGACTTAAATGTTTTGTGCCAGCAGTTTGTACACATTCAAGTTCCTATTTTTCAAAAATGTATAAACTTATTGAAGTTGAAAACATTTCGGTGATTGAAGTAGTAAATGAAGTTAATTTGCTGATGCCCAAGATTTAAGCTTTTCCTTATCAATATAATTTTTAAATAACTATACCTCATTAAAAGGATCATTTTCGGGTTATTTAATATCGTTAAGTCCAAACAATGGTGGTCGAATTTTAACTAATGCTATTCAATTTAAACAATTTATTAAGAAGTAAGTAAATATTAATTTATTATTAAAGTTTAACATTATAAAATCAATAAAAATAACATAAAATCTATATCCTGGCAAAATAGCTACATGGCTACAGAAAACCATATGTTCTCTGCCCGTTCCCTACCTTCTCGTATATTCTTTCTGAAAATTGGGACTTTCAAAACGCCATGGGTCGCAGGACAAATAGTTAAAAATTGGGACAGTTCCACCAAAAGCTTGTCTGATCACCTTAGTATATATATAATTAAAGGATTATCAGTTAATTTTAATGGGAGTTAATAACATCAATTGAATCATGTTTACATATTAAAAATACTCCTGGGTTAAAGTGAATAAAATTGTTAATTTGCATTGGCATTGGTAATTTAAAATAGTGGTTATTTGATTCAAAGTTAAGAATTCATATTTTATTATTTTGAGTGAGGGGAGGGGATCTTCCCATTCGGATTAATTTGTATTTAAACAAAATAATCATTTTTAAGATAACACAATTTTTATATAATTTGGGAATGTTTACAAGTTTAAGCAATTCAGTTCTTTTTTTTGGAGGGGGGAGAGAGGGATAAATGGAACCTTCAGAAGCTGTTCTTTAAAATACTTTGTGATTTACATTTCTCCTTGACAGTTTTTTATTTCTTAAGGCCTGGTTCACAGTTTCATCGGCAAAACATAATAATTAGGGGTAAGACAGATCTTTGTTTTGGAGGTTGATTCAAACTAGCATGTTGTAATGAAAATCCTTTTTTTTTTTTAAATAGAATTATTCAGTCATGTTCAGCACACTTTCATGACAAAAAAATAAATAAATGTGCAGTGCACGCATCACACAATTTTCACTTACCACCATTTTCTTTGCAGAAATAAGTATTTTCATACAAATTGGAAATAAACGTTAAAATTATAGATGCTATATTTATTTATATTTCATTGGGAATATTTTTATTTGTTTAAGTTACCAATACAAATTTTTATTTTTATATCACAATTAAATATTAAATAATACCATTACAACTGTTCCCCGTTACGATCTGTTATTTCTCCTTTAGTAACTTATAAATTATTTCATATTTTATACCTAACTATTTTTTATATTAGAGATCAATGTGAAATGGTTAATTATTTTAAATAAAAAAATGTAAAGGTACTTTAGGGGAAGTTAATATTGAAAATTAGCAATTTAGGCCCTGTTTGAGAATATCAATGAGAATAAAATCTACATTATATTTAAAACTGCTTAATTTTACACTGATATAATGAATGATGAATGAATGAATGAATCTAATCAAAATTGTTAGTGCCGTTTTCGAGAAAATCATGAAGTGTTAAATTGATTATATAAAGTACCACTTCTGGTAGGCCGATTTTGATGAAAAAGTTGCTGTAACATTTCAGGTATATATGCAATTTATATGCAACCTTAAATATGCAATTTCACTTTCGTACAACTTTCCATCTTTGAGCTAGACTGTTAACACACACACGCCATTTTGTGAGGCTTGGTTATTTGAACTCAGGAGACCTCTAAACGTGTATTTCCGTTGAAAACTGAGATACAAAAATTTTCACGTTCGCAATACTTTCCTTTACTATATATTTCATATATAGATAAGCGAAAGTAATTACTGCATTCTACCGAACTTTTATCGTTACAGTATATTATTAATTTTTTTTTTTTTTTGTAGATTACCTCATTCTTTATGACGATGTTGAGTAGAAAATTCGAGTTTCAAGCAGATTTTTATGCTAAGTCTCTAGGAAAAGCTGCATATCTAAAGAAGGCGCTGATCAAACTGCATAAAGATAACCTCAGCTTTCCCGTGTACGATTGGCTCTATTCTTCATGGAACCATTCGCACCCTCCAATACTCGAGAGGCTGGAGGCTCTCAAAAAAGATGACTGATAAAGATTAGTTTGAGAGAGTCTCGTCACAACGCTGTCGTAATTTTCGTCATTATAACGTTTTTTTACCTAATGTTTCTCTTGAAAAATCATTGTTTAGTTTTAATACCTATCATTCCTATTTCTTTTTTTTTTTTTTTTGTCCTTAATCATTTATAATTTATGTATTAAGTAATTAGCAACTGCTATATGAAGAAATATTAAGACTTATTCACTAAAGTACTGACTTTTGTTTTTTATGTAATATATACTTTTTCTCAAGTTTGATTTCCGAATTATGAGTAATTCATGCATTTTTTTATTTATAGCGATAGGTATGTGATTATATTTTAATAGTATATGTACCTCTAAAGGACGGCAACATTTTTTACTATGTTAGGATTAAACATTAGCAGTTTTCAAATATAAATTTTCTTTTAGTTTGTTTATTAGTATTGAATGAATTTATTTTTAAAAACAAATTGTTTGTTATACTTTTTTAAAGAAACTCGTATCTAGTGATGGAATGACCAATTTTAGTTTGTTTACCTATTAAGTCTCCAATAATAACATCAAATTGATTATTATATGCTTGGATAGTTGTTCGTGTTTGATATTTAGATGATTTTTGTAAGGAGTGGGAGGTCAAAATAATAATACACAGTTATTAATTAATGTTTACCCATTTTACAGGGCTTTATCAGGCTATTTTTAAAAAATCATAATTTCTTTTTCATGCAAAATTATCTATTAAACAATCATTAATGCAACTGAATTCTGATCTAAGTCCAACAAAATTTTCTTGTAATTCAAAGTCAAGATGGTAGGTTGTTCTATAGTTTCAATACATGGAGGAGAAAGATCGATATAGGACTGTTTAAAGAAACTGTTCAGTCTATATCTAATGATATGAAGGCAGAGAGGTTAACATAATGAGGCAATGTAGCTCGTTACATGAAGTCAATGAAAGTCAACAGTAACCGGCTAGAGACCAAAAACCAGATGGATGGATCAAATCAACAAAGATGCTGAAGAGCTGCATGGAGCAAACTATAAAGCCGTAGCACAAGTTACGGAATGGTGGAAAAGGTTTGTTCATGTGTTAATCATCTATGAGGTCTAAAGCCAGAAAAAACAAAAAAAAAAGTCAATAATAAAATATGGTGTCATTTTATATTATATATATATTGTCTTCATGTGCTATCTTCGTTATTTATTACTTACTTATTGATCTTGTTTTTATCATATAAATCGTCAAAGTGGATCAACTCTTAAATAAAGCTGTTGTATTATATTTTGATGGCCAAAATAAATTTAAGAATTCCTTTTTCCTAGACCATTGTCTCTTAGATGTAATTAAAAGTATTTAGTGTTTTTTATAATTGATTAAGTATAATTATTACGCTGTCCATTTATAAATAATTATTTTGTCCATTTTTTAAGAATAATTGTACCAGGTGCACAAAAAAAAACCATTTGGAGGAGGTTATAAAGATTCTTCAATTACTCTAACAGTAATTGGAAAAAAACAAAAACGGAATAAGTAGATAATAATTGAACATTGTGTTTTATTAAAATATAATAGTTTTAATTCTGTTTTGTTGTGTTTATAAACACTCGACAAACCGCATCTTATGCTCAATTTTTATTATTTTAAAGACCTGTATACGTTGTGTAACTAGTCATAATATTTCAAGAGTATATTGAATATAAAACATATGTTGGGTTTAAATACAATTGTATGAACTGTATTTTTTTTTTTTTTTTTTACAGTTTCTCAAATCTGATGATATATAAAGTAATTGGATGCATTTAAATCTTTAAAAAATCATAAATGATGTTTATACATCACAATGTGAGATAAAATATTTCAGCATAAGTGTTTTATAGAACGATGATTGTATATAATTATATTATATACCTTTTTTTTTTCTCCATATCTCAGTGAGAAATGATAGAATAAACTTTTAAATTATTTAAGTTTTTTTTCTCGGTGTAACCAAGTTTTAAAAATTGTATTTTGCAATTTAAATAAAGTCTAATATTAAAATTTATTAGTGTGATTTATTATCAAGATCATTGCTGTCTGCACTCAATTCCCAAAGTTTCTCCTTCTTCTCAACTCACCTACCTACTGGCCCACTGATCCTAACCGCAATCCTGATATCCTCGATTTTTTTATCCAGAGTGGTTTAGGTCCACTCAATCATTACCTTAACCGACTTGATGAACTTTCCTCAGATCATAATCGATTAATACTCCAATTATCTCTAGCTTTTATTCCTAAACCCTCTCCACCATTCTTCATCAGAGGCCCAGTTAACTGGAAACTTTCATCAAATCCTTTCCGATAAAATTGACCTCAGAATAACCTTGAAAACCACAGAAGACCCTGAGAATGCCGTACATTCTTTCACCACCACCATTCAACAAGCAGTATGAACAACATCTCCAAATCATTCCTCAAGAACCCTTAAGAAAAATAATTTACCCACAAAACATAGACATAATCCACACCAAATGCCGTGCCAGATTATAATGGCAAAGTACCGAACATCAATTTCTGTCACACGGGGCTTCAACAGTAGTGGGTTAATATGTAGAGTATATATTCATTCGCTACTGCCAATAAAGCACTTTATTATAAATTAGCTTTTATTAAAATTTGAACTGTGGTGCAGCCAGGTCCACGGATGTGCACCTTACTGATGGGGGGCGGCACATCCTCTGCCGGATCGGGGAAGTCCGTTTTGACAAGGATGAAGATACCAGTCTTTCTCGACAACCTGGAATGGTGTCATTCCACTGATCTACAATACAATACTGAAACCTATTTGGACTTACGGACTAGAACCGTAGGGGACATCAAACGCATTCAATCCAAAGTCCTTCAAACAATAGTCAATGCTCCTTTCTATGTAATCAACAAAACCCTACATCATGACCTCAACATCCCATTTGGCCTAGGTATTATCCCAGAAAAATTCTCCAAATTTCACCAGAACCTTACCTATCCAAATCCTTTTGCACCACCCATCCCTATAATCCTCCAAGAAAGTTAAAAACGGCAGTGACCCCGCATCCTTTTGTAGTTTATATATTGGAGTTCTGGCAATGGTCAGATTCTCCACTCAAGACATGAGTATATGTGGTTAAAGAGCGCTCTCGATCAATCTGCTGGCTTTAGTGCCACTGATGCGATTGAGAGAGTAGCGCAGGGATCTCATGGAGTCCTGCTTTTCCCTCCATAGTTGGAGGAACAAGCCTGCCTCGCAGTTCTCTCGCCTGATTTTTAATAGCGTATGTAGGTATGTATATGTTTTTGCTTTTTTTAATTTCCTTGTTTTTAAGTTATTTTATTTTATTTATTAGGTATACTTTTTGATTATTTATTAGTTAGTTTGTTTGTATTTTTTTGTACATATAGTCTGAATGTGATCTTAACTCACTACAACCAATGTTCAAGTGCTAGAGTGTTGTAATATTCAATAAATAATTTTTTTTATGTACAAAGTGGTATTTTTAGCAAGTCGATTTTAGGCTCAACATCCCAGCCATATGCCTTTCTTAGGTAATTTCGAGTTTTCTTTTTTGAGCTATACTGTATAATGACACAGAATATTAGTAAATTATGTAATGACTAATTATTTAGGTTGAAGTCTGTTTTATGCTTGACAAGTATTCACCAAAATCAATCATGTGATCTATATTAATTACGGCTATCGATAATTGTAAATATTAGACAGCTTTAATTTGCAATTAAGGATTTCGAAAATATTTTACATACAGACCATTTCAGTTACCTTCAGGTACTTTTTTTACTCAGAGGGGTTATTCTAGAGGTAGAACCAGATTAGGAAGGTCAAAATTTATTTTGTGTGTTCGCCACGAAATAAATTTCAACCTTTACAAAATAAAATTTCAAAGTTTACGCTTTAACATACTCCGCCATCACGTTGAAATAAGGATTCTAAGATTTTCATAATCACAATATTTTCTCTTAGTAAGTCTAGAAATATCTTCGAAATCACGAAATATCCTTAGCATTATTATAGGTTTATACAAATCACAGCTGTAATATTTACAATTATCGATAGTCAAAATTGACATTACATGTTCGAATTCGGTGAACACTCGTCAGAGATAATAGTTACAAAAACACAAATAATTAATCATTACTTAATTTATTAATCGTTTAAGTCGACATTAAATTTTAAAAACTGATGATTTTATTAGACTAGTATTCCATTATTTCTAATATTTCAAGAGATGGAATATTTCTAAGAGTCCTTTTTTCTTTTAAGTTGTAAGCGAGAGGTTAGTTTCTATTTTATATAAATAATAGTAGGTGATATCATTGAATATTTCTTTACAGAATCAATAGACGGAGATGAGACGCAAACGTATATGCTATAAACAACTTTTCGGTCAAAATCAACATCAAGTCATTAATTTTCTTTCACAGCTGTGCGTCTTATTTATTGTTATGTACAAAAGAAATCTAAATTTGAATTTTTCCCTACGTTTCGTACTAAACCAAAATCTATAATTAAACTGATATTGCGAGGATTAATCTGAGAAAGTAAGTACTGTACTTAAACTTGTGTCTTTATTGATCTTTTTCAGAAACAAAAACATTACCTCTTTGTTAACTGCTGTGACTTGATCAGAATTCGATAGTGTGTTTTCTAATAATTAATGTACATAAAACAAATGACAATAAGAGAAGGCCAAGTTGAAGAAAAGAAATAAAAAGGAAAACTGAGAAGGCGTTTAATGACTTGTCAACATTTCATTATTTCGATGATTTTATTAATAGTTGTACACATTGTTATGCAACACTGTAGATTATCAGTGTGTGTAGCTTCCTTCATCCAAAAAACTTATTTCCACTGTTTGTTTATATTTACACTTACCTATATATGCATTATATAGGAAGGGTAAGTATTACGATCGTGAAAATTTTTTAATCTGAGTTTTCAACGGAAATTCTGAGGTCTCCTGAGTACAAATAACCAAATCCCGCAAAATTGTCTGTGTGTGTATGTATGTATGTGATCAGTCTAGCTCAAAAACGAAAAGTCGTATGAAAATGAAATTTCATATTTAAGGTTATGTATATATCTTGGATGTTACAGCAAATTTTTCGTCAGAAATCGACTTACCGTAAGTGACATTTTATATAATCGATTTAACACATCTTTATTTAAAATGTATATCAGTGTATTATTAAAGCAGTTTTTAAAATAATGTAAGTTTTATTCTCATCGATGTTCTCTAACAGGGCTTAAATGGCGAATTTTCAATATTGGCTACCTCCAAAATACCTTTATTTTTTTTATTTGAAATAATTAACCATTTCACATTAATCTTTAATATAAAAATCTGGTGCACGCAACACACAACTTTCACTTACTGCTCTACTTTGAATAGAAATTATTTTCTGGCAATACTGGGCTATTATAAAATTTTTTGAAGTGCATTTTAAACGGTGCTAAAGCTTAAAGCTTACAGATAACAAGTCATTAAGACCATTATAATTACAAAATGTCTATTTAATATATCGACGACAGGCAATAAAAATCTAGTCACTCCATCTGCTTTTATAAACCACACAACTAGCTTTCTTTGCTTTTATAAACCACAGAATGACTAACTCCAATTTCAACATTTTTGAGTAATGTCAATTTAGTGATATTTTTAGTTGAAAAAGTTATCTATGCAGACAATGAGTAAGTTGATTCCGGAGGTGGTGATTGCAATGTTAAAATATAGAAGTGAGAATAATGGTATAAATTTAGGTATTTATTTCTTATGAAAGATGTTCTTAGGAAAGACACTTTATTAAATATCTGTAGAAAAAAGGTTGAGTTTTTAGTCTCAACAATTAAAAAAATATATTTTAAATTTATCCAAATTTTCGCCTCTTCAGGGAAAAAAATTAGAGGCCATATCTTTCCTCCTAATTGTCCGATTTTAACGATGTTTTTATATTTTTTTAGGAAATTTCATAAACTTTTTAAAAAAAACATATACAATATCCCCCAAAAAGCGTATACTTTTTGAGTTATTATTTACGTTGAAAACTCTGATTCAAAAATTTTCTCGATCGCAATACTTACCCTTACTATATATTACATATATACGTAAGTGAAAGTAAAAAGTAGTTAAATATAAAATATGAAAGTAACGGATAATGGTTGAAATGGAGGAACCAAAAAAATACGAGAGTACCCGAAAGATTTAACAGGCTTGCATACGTATCATGAGCTTAAAATCATAAGGACTCTGATAATATTATGTATGTATACATGTGTGGTTTTCATAAATGCTATCGTTGGTTTTATTGAATATTTAATTGTATAGATTACTGCGTAATTGCGTGAACTGTATCCGAGTAATATAATTGAGATAATTTTATCGCGGCGAATCAAATGGGCTTGTAAAGTTGTTGGACTTAGTAACGAGAGAATTCCTAAAAGGCTAATATTTGCTGTGCCGAATGGTAAGCGTCCGAGGGGTAGACCGAAGCGAAGGTGGGAAGATTGCATTAAAGCCGATCTGAAGGGACTGGGTTTGGACGGCGAACGGTGGAGGGAGGTGTGCAATAAGCGATTGGTGTGTCGGCATCGAACCTTCGGGTTCGCTAAGCCTTTTATTATTATTATTATAGATTACTGCAATATAAAAATTAAAAATTATATATATTCGGATAATTAAACAAATAAAAATACTCACAATGAAATGTAAATAAGTATAGCGTCTATAATTTTTATTTTCACTTCCCCTTTGCCTGAAAATACTTATTTCTGCTAAGAAAGGGGTGGTAAGTGAAAATCGTGTAATGCGCGCACCAGATTTTTAAAGTCTGGTAGAAGCCTTTTTTCAAGTGTAAAAATAGACATAATAAATTTTAAAACAAACAGTGAAAATAAGTTTATTTGGAAGGAGGAAGTTAAACACACTATTAATCTATAGTGTTACATAACAATGTGTACAACTATTAATAAAATTATCGAAATAATTATAGGCCGTGCCAGCTCTTCCCAATTTTCCTCTCTATTTCTTTTCTTCCACTCTTCTTCAACCTGGCCCTCTCTACCTACAATCACTGTAGATATGGAAACATTAATATTTTTAATAAAAACTAAGTAGCAATTGCAACAACAATGTAGCAATAAAAATACAACGGCAGCAAAGTGAAATTAGGATTAAACAATTTTTTTATTGATTTTATTTTGTTTTGTTTTTTTGTAGGCATTACAGACTTTGTAGATATTTTACGGCGTTAATTAGTTTTCAACTTTGCTACCTATTTTGGGCTAATTCTTTCCAGTTATCTGCATGCAGCGTTATTGCATCTTTGTTGATTCTATTGAGACATTCATTGTTGTGTAGAGGCTTCCAGATGGATTGCTTCGAGCTACAACATGCCCCCCACCCATCCTGACCTCCGTGCCTTCATATCACGAGATATTGATTGGCAAGTTTCTGTAAGCAGCTCTTTATTACTCTTCCTCCTTCATGTATTAATATCCTGATCCCAGATCGCTCCGGATATCATGCGAAGGATTTATCTCACAATTCTTTCTAGAGTTGAGATCTCGCAGCGGTATGTGAGAACTGCCTTCATGATAACATTATACGTCATTAATTTAAGATTTTTCAGGATTTCAATATCTTTGAAAGTGAGAAGAAAGTTTGTTATACGCTGGTCTATTTCCGACAGTTGATCATTCGTTGAGGTTAATGTGGAGGCGTGGTTTTTAAAGTTTCTACTCTTGGGAACGATTTCGCTTCTATGAAGATCCTGTTGTTGGAGTTGGATTTTCCGCTTATTCAGAGGTGCCTAGGAGGGGATTTCATGGCGCAAGCTGCTCCATCAAAATTTTTGAGGGAGGCACATTTTGACGGGGTTATGAATTTTCGTTATGAAAAGTTTCATACAAGTCGACAAGAGAAAAATGTAGAACAGACCACTGAAAGAGTGATTGTATATGACCTATGATTTTTAAAAATCTTCTTTAGCTTGCACTAGTATTAAGAAGAGAAGAAGAGTAATAAAATATCTAGGGAGAAGGAAAGAAGTTCATTCGCCATCGACCTTGGGGAGCATATGAGTGTAGTGGCAATGAGAAGTCTTCAAAGAGAAGATCTAAGACCGTTTTCATTACCGGTTTTGTCCTGAGGGTACCCAGTTTGGTACACACGCGTTGGATGCCGCCCCAATCCAACGAACAAAAAAAAGTATCTAAATGAATCTATCCATTTATTTAAGAAATAACTGTGAAACAAACACACTCACAGATCAATGACCGATATCCTTCTTTTTTTTTAATCAGAGGGCTCAGAAGAATTCACATAAAAAAAATCTTCCGCATTAAGATATTTTCCTTATTTATTTAGCAAATGCGTTGTGTTTTGATTTAAAAACATAATATTTAAAAATCTGTAACTTATTCGTTTTTAATAATATTCCATCGATTGTTAGAATATAAAGAAATTATATGAGCATCGTAAACTATGACAGTAACCCAATTATTTCTTTGATGACTAAAATATTTTCTGTTCTAGACAGGACTCTACTAAGAGGAAGCGATGTGCCAGAAAAGTGCAATCAACAGCCCGGAAACAGCTGTGACCGAGATGCTGGAAGGAATGAGTTACGCTTTTCCTGGTCTTTATATAAAACCTGAAGATGGGATAGTGATTATAGAAAAGGCAAATTTCATATCTATGCTAATAATTATTTATATTTTATTGATAACAAAAATGAATGTGATTAATTTGTAGATTGTTAAAGTTATGATGTCGAATTATCTTAAAATTAATCGTTTTTCCTGTTATGACCAAAAAAAAGATAAATAAAAAGATAATAAAATAAGTTTTAGTAAATATAATTTTTCATAGGAATTTTTATTTGTTGGGCGCCTGGCTTACCAGCCTTTCATCTCTAAAGAGATAAATCTATAAAACATAAGGTACTTACCCATTATTTGGCCATCATTAAATATTTATTCTACCATGCTAGCTCAGGTGAGAAGGGGTTAGGTTGGATATTTTTATAAAGCAGCAAAAAAAGGTTAACAGATCTATTTACAGACAGAAATATTTACAGAATTAATACTATGTACAATAAAAAGAAATAAAATACAAGGAAAAAGAGAGAATTTAAACATAATTACTATATACAATTCAAGATAAATAGGAAGATAATAAAAATAACCAAAAAGATAGTTATTCTATATACAATAGTATGGCATGCCACATATATACATCAAGAAGCGATAGTCAAGATATAAGAGATAAAAGCACATGCACATGCTAAAATAGGAATTAATAATCAGTCACAGGAAACAAAAGAGAGAAGAGTTATATTTGTTTTTTACAATGCTTCCTTAATCTCGGTTACACTGTAGTCAATTCATTTTGATTGGAGAAGGTTAAAATGAAACAATTTCACTAATTTCAATAAACCGTACTTGAAAGGTTAGTAGTACGGATAGTTATTCTAGCTTGCTTGCTGAGGAAAGTCGTCCTCCGTGATGATGTAGAGTCGAGTCCGGTTTTCCTCAGTGGTTTCACCCTTTTTGTATTAAAAGTGGTGGAAGGTCGTGTCTACATGCTCAGCAATTTTCGAAACAACACAACTGGGGCATAGAAGGTTTATATCCTACTGTTTTTATAATTTTATGCCAATCCTTCAATCAATTGATTGCTTTATTTTAATTTAGGATTTGGTACACTATTGAAATTTAGATGGCTTGCGATTTCATACTTGCTGTTGTTGCTTGCTTCTGTGTTTCCATCTTCATTGCCTCTTCTTTCTTCCTTTTGAGGTCCCCTAGTTGGGCCGTTAGCGTTTATTACTCCATGCTTTTGTCAATGTATTGTACAGAGGATATACATTTACCAGAAGGCCTCGGCAGAGCGTGTTCATTATAGGTAAGATGACTAAGTTTGAAGGAAGATTTGTACAAGGATGATCTTAAATGTCAGGCGGATCAGCACCCGATCACTCTTGGTCTGCGGTGTAAGGGTAAGGGATCAATCTTAACACTCCGTAATGACTGTAACCACAAACGGAGGGATGAATCTCCAGACTTTGTGGGGGGGGGGGGTGAAATACTGACGGAGCTTCAATCTTCTGACTTAACATGTAGGAATACAAGCGGACGGATCAGTATCCAAACTTGTATGGAGAAAGAGAAGATGATAAAAGGTTTTAGGACAATGAATTAAGAAGGTAGATTGATGAGAACAAACGGCTTATATGAGACATATAATGATCATCTGCGTGTAAGGTCCACATCCCGAAAGGCGAAGACTCGAGGACCTCTGGCAACTTTGTGAAAGGACTGCGGTAATCATTCCGCCATGACTAAATCGGCCATCAAGAGCCATTATGGTTATTTTTAAGGTTTGACCAGTATATGTTATCGCCATTAAACTTTATTAATAAAAACGTATTTACGATGTATATACATATTTCAATTTACGATTTGAGTATTTTATGTGGCGCTGACAGGTAGTGGACAGGTGAACTAGTTGTCCCTTGTAGCAAGTGGCTGTCCAGCCAAGTGATCTCAATTCTACGGAAACATCAATGCTTAAGGAATGGCGGAATATGCATAGCATCTGATAGTTGTCTTCAGTATGCCCACAGGTGGTAGCAGTTTTTTTTGGCCTCAATCCAATCAAATGGGAAGTTTTCTATGTTCCCTTAAAAACCCCCGGACCCTGTAAGAAATTTTGTTTCCCAATAATCAGGGAGGACGCATTTGGCTGCCTCCCAACTATGAATAAACGGTAGGGAAGTATTTTCTCATTGCTGAAGGAAAGATCTCCGAAAATAGAAACAATAAAGGCCTCCTTTCAGTCAATTTGATATTTCTTCTTCTTTTAAACATTGTGCGGGAAATCGCGTTAAAGAATAGATTAAGCCTCGAGTAAGTAAAGATGGTAACGGCAATGTTTCAATTTATAACAAGGTTATTGTTATCTAGAAGCATCTCTGCAACCGTTATGTCTGAAAGGAGTTCTCTTTCTTTCATTCAGTTTCATAAATGAAACATAAATGACCTATTCTTTTTCATTTATAAATAACCCATGCATAGCGTCCCTAGTGTCAATTCCACTCACCATTGTATCCTCCTGTATTACTATTTTCCATTTAGATGGATCTGCTACATTCCATCTGAAAATATTTTTTTTTAAGAGCGTATTTATTAATAAATGTAACATTTTCATTATTATTACGATTATTACAATATACATTTTTTAAATTTTATTTATTTATTGAGTATTACAACAATCTGTCAATTGGACATTAGTTATAATGATTTAGGATAATATTCGCCCTATATGTACAAAAAAATATATATAAACTAAATAAAAGCAAAATAACAATAAATAATAATCAAAAGGTATATACAATAATAAATAAAATAAAATAACTTAAAAATAAGAAAATTAAAACAAAGCAAAAAACACATGTATACCTATATACACTATTTACAATCAGGCGAGGGAACTCCAGGAGAACCCTGCGCTACTCTCTCTACCGCATCATTGGTATTAAAGCCAGCGGAGATTGATCGAGAGCACTTTAACCACATACACTCATGTCTTGAGTGGAGAATCCGGCCATTGTTAGAACTCCAATATATACAATCTACAAAAGATCGCGGGGCCACTGCCGTTACAATCTTCTTGAAGGATTATAGGGATGGGTGGTACTTGATAGGGTTGTGCAAGAGGATTTGGATGATACTTAAGGTTCTGGTGAAATTTGGAGAATTTTTCTGGGATAAGCTCTAGGACAAATGGGATGTTGAGGTTATGATGTAGGGTTTTGTTAGTTACACAATCTACAATTAAAAGCGTTTTTCTCCATCGTGAAAGAATCAAATAAAAAACTTTTTTATTTTGTTGTTCCTTAATAAATCGCATACTGTGGACCTTAATCAAAAAATGTCGTTAGCATCAGTGTTGCCGCGCGCTCTGTGACAAATCCTCGTACTTCAAACCTCGTACGCTTGCTCATTGAACATTCGTACTACTGTAGGCCCAATGTTATTGTTTTTGTTGTTTAAATGTAAAATTAGATCAGAGCTTTGCTTATTACATCTATTCATATATTTTAAAGCCTATTTACATTTTTTTTTTTTTAAGTTAATGGGTCAAGAAGTAAAATGAGTTTAATTAAAGGTACGAAATAGAATACGTAAAAAAGTGCATATATTTTTAGAAACTATTGAAAAACAGCAAAATAAACTTTTTAAAGGATACAATATTCCTATTATTATCGAAAATAAAAACATTATTATGACTCCATCGAAGTTCGAAACTAGGTAACATATAATTCCAAATAATAAATATTATAATTTTTATTTTTATTCTTCTTACTTAGAACTATTTAAATGAATTATGTAACAATCGTAGTTTTATAAGGAATAAGGAAATAATGAATATATTTTCTTATATTTTACAAAAATCGAAAGTATTTTTTAAAATATTATAGTATTTTTTTTTAATTTTGTTCTATACAAACCTCAAACCTCGTACATCCTGGTACGCTTGCTCATTGAAAATTCGCTCAACTGTAGGTCCATTTGTTTTTTTTTAAGTATTTTTTAATATATATGATAGTAACAATTTTTTTTAAAATTTTGTTCTATATAAAATTTAAAAAAAAACATACATATAACGACAGTTCTATGAAGGAAATAATAATCACACTATAATTACAGTAGATATAATTGCAGTCACGGGCGGATCTATGGGGGGCAGGGAGGCTTTCGGGCTGAAGCCCCCCCAAAATGGTAAAATATAACCATGTTTTATGGAAAAATATATTAAAAATTTATATCTTAAAGTATTATTGTTCGTGTAATTACATTTAAAAGGACTTAAGGAATCACTTAAACACCATTTCATATAGGTAGTTAGTATCTTTCTTTTTTTCCAAAGTAATTATCGTCATTTTTACTAAAAAAAAGCTTTCGGGCTGAAGCCCCCCCAAAACTAAATCCTGGATCCGCTAGTGATTGCAATTTATTGTCTATAAAGCAACAGAAGTTAAGTATTGCATATTAATATAAATAATAACACAGTAAAAATAATTGTTAAACAAATCTAACCTTCATTCATAAAAATATAACTTACGAGATACGATGGTGGCGATCTTTGTACCTCGTACAATACGTCATAACCTCGTACATATACTAGGATCGTCATGGGAACGGCAACACTGGTTAGCATACATCTAATTATGATATATGAACATGATTGTCAAATATTTTGTTACGTTTGGCATTCTTCAGAATTCTATTGACAGTTTGATCAAAGTGATCTTGAAACCTAATACTTAACTTAAATTTGAAGATTTTATTCTCGAATCTTGTAAAATAACCTTATTTTGTATTGTTAAAGGACAGAGGTGATAAGGTGGCTTTGGTCTGTGGCTGTGGAGCGGGCTACGAACCCTTCGCTGCAGGTATTAACCACAATCGATTAATTTATTATCTATTTTATAGATATTACATAAAATGGAGTCTTCACAACGTAATATAGGTCTTTCTGTTAAATCAGCATATGAACAAAATCAGTTATGACAGTCTCTTTTTAGAGTTGATTTTGTCGTATTCTATTACAAATACTTAAAATGATTATAAATCCTTATGCATCTATTGTTTCGTTAGCTTCAGATCTGATTTCAAATCAACCGGGGCTCGTACTCAAATAGTCAGATTTACCCTATTAATAAAGCAACTGTAGTACAGAAATATTAAATGAAATAAGGTTCAAATATTATATAATACAAAACTACTTGAGATAGATATATATATAATTTTTTGGGGGATGATGTCTTTGCCCTTTGCCCGGGAGTGCCCCGAATGTCTAAGGTCGGTACTGTATATACAATATATCGGACTAGCCCCCCCAAAATTAAATCCTGGATTTGGGGGCATCAACCCGAAAGCTTTATATACATATAATGATAACTACTTCGGAAGAAAACGAAAGAAAGAAAGAAACTAACTACCAATATGAAATGTTTTTTGACGCTCTAATAAATAAAAAAACAATAAATAAAAAATAATACCTTTAGGGACATGTTTTTAATACTTTTTTGGGTTACCCAAGTAAAGATGATTGTGGCGGAACTTGGATGTCGGGGACATCGACAGAGTGTTAAACTCTAAATCAAACCCAAGATATAGAAAAATCTGTTCCTTTAATGTTACCAGACCAGAGGATTATCTTCAGTTCAGGGCTCTGAATTTAAACAAAGTAAGAGCCGTTAGTCGTCTCAGAGTAGCAAGTAAAGATTTTATGAAGATATACTTAAAAGATGCTACTTTGACTATTAAATATATTGAAGTATGTGGTGCATGCAACTGCCTTGTAACTGACCCGGTAACTCATTTTCTGATCCAATGTATCAAGTTCAACGAGCCGAGAAATAAGTACTTGAAGGCATTTATCACTGAATCCAGAGAAGATGCTAGTGTGGAGGAGATACTGAAAATAGACACTACGAAAAAATTAAACCAACTGTATTATTTCATACAGGGCTGTTCATTGAACTGTTAAGTGGTATAGTTAATCATATAACATATATTAATTCTTATTTATATTGTCATTTGTCTTATACCTCTCGAATATTTAAAAAATAAAAAAATGTTTTACTAATTGTTATGTATATATGTATATAGATCGGTTACTAATCTGTTATTATATGAGTCATACTTAATGCTGTGGACATTGTTAATGTTATGTTTGAATGCAGTACTAGACTCAAGATCTAACATTGTTAATTATACCATTATATTTATTTGTACAGGAATTTCCTTAGACAAATAAAATAAACTATCTACTTTTTCCTTATACATGGTTATACTTAGTATCATTATATGCGTTATAATTTAAAGAATAAAACACATTGTAATTGTTTTAAGTATTTAGCATAGATCACTTACAGTAAAAAATATGGACAAATGAAAAAAAGCTAGTTAAAAAATACAACTTAGTCCTGTCGAACTATCGTTAAAGAATGTCTGATTTTTAAAATAATGTAAGTATACAAATATAATACGTTGTTTTAATGATTTAGGTTTCGTTGGAGAAGGGATGCTTACCGGATACATCTCTGGCAAAATGGCGAAGGCACCTCGTGCTGGGGTCATATTTTCGGTCATAAAAAGACTGGCCGAACTCAACAAGGGTGATTATTTTTATTTTTAAAATTAATTTGAGGATATTTACTTTGAATAATAAACTATACCTTTAGTCTTTGTTTAGCTTTAAGGTTGTGGTGGCTGGAAGATAGATGATTTTGTAAACTATTTTCTCGTTAAGGATTTTAGAAGCTCTAGCAACTAGAGACGTTGCGAAAATAGCCTCACATATATTATTAAAATGCGGCTCGGAATGCTAATATGTAATTTTTTGTTGTTTTCATTATACAAAACAATATGAATTGAACAATGAAATTGATAACAATATGAATTAACTAAATAAATAAATTAGAAAAGTAAAGAACGAGATTGTAAAGATATGTGGAAATATTGGCAGATTCCTGAGTGACAATTAACAAATTTAATGTATAAATCTACTTTACTAATTAATTATATGTTTATATATGTGCATTGTATATTTATATATGTATATTGTATATATATTCTACTTTAATGTGTATTTTAAAAGTATTTTTAGATGAATATGGTGCAGAGTACAGAAAGGTCCTAAACATAAATATATGAGACTATAAAAATAAGTTTTTTTTTTATTATTTTTAATACTAATCTATACAATGTTATTCAATATTATAATAAAGAATACTAAAATCAGTTTGGTAAACATGTTTTTCTGATTTTAGGTGGTGTTCTGGTTTTGATTTTAAATTATTCACGTGATGTGTTAAATTTCGGCCTAGCTATAGAGCGAGCAAGGTGTATAGGATTAAAGGTAACATTTATCATATATTAATCAATAAATATATAAATATAACTGACATCATTTGGTTTTATTATATAATTAGGGTAAAAGCACCAGTAATCTGAGATGCTTAAGGAAATTTCATTGAACTGTTACATGTATAAACTTAAATATTGTTGTTATTATGTTTATAATGGCTTTATCTTTTACAAATATTTCTCACCGTAACAAGCCATGTTTCAAATCCATTCAGCATTCATCTAAATTACAAAAAAAAAAATTATTTTTTTATTTATTTATTTATATGATATTTACAACTTTATACAAAAAATACATCTAGGAAATTCTCACATGAATATAATGAAATGAAACACATGTTGAGAAATTACCCATTGGTAGCACTCTAATAATATGTCTATATTAGGAGATCACGTGGCCATCTTCTTTTCAGACGCCTCGGAGGGTTATCAGGAATTGAATAGGAAGCAAGGTTAGAAACGAGAGGGTTGGGATGATTATGAAGTTTATTTTGGAAGGATAGGTGTCTGGATCAGGCCAAATCTGATACATAATAAACATTAAGATCTTTATGGATGATTTTATTTGTAACAAAGTAAGGAGCGTTGAGGATTTTACGAAGGATTTGGATTGTAAGGATTGGATACGAGAGGAATTTGAAGGTTTGGTGGAGCCCCATAGCTCAACTCCGTAATTCCAAATAGGCCTTATTATAGTCATGTATATGAGTCTTTTGTAATTAATTGGAAGGTTAGAGCGTTTGTCTAGTGCTGAAGTAATCGGAAATGTCAAGCTGTTTCTTGTCGTTTCAGTCTGGTATGAGGATTCTAAGTTAGACGTTTGTCCAGATGGAGTCCTAGGTTTAAAAAAAAAAATAAAAGAGAATAGTTTTGGTGTACCAACTAGTAGCTGACACTGTTCGATTTGGAATATTCGTAAAGCGCACAGGGATGAGAGGAGAACAAGAATTTCATTTTCTTCATTTTAAGATTAACAGAAATTACCTTTAACTTATTATAAAACTAACTTCCCGACTTAAATTTGTCAATAAATGATGGTCAGGATCAAGAGCCTGTTTTTGGTAATAAGAAAACCTATTTTTGCTTTACATTTAATCCAAATCGTTAGCATTTTTTTTTAAACGAGTCATTAGTGAATGATCCCCTTTTTAAGACTCGCTGTATTGAGTATATCTCTCTGGATTTATGAAAGTAAAGGCCTGTCAACAACTGGCGAAATGCTCCATTATAAGGCTCCAGTAGCTGACACCCATTAAATATCCAATTCCTTCATCAAGATAAGTTAAAAACAGATAAAATATAATTTAAAAACACTCCAAAAAAAACAATCAAACAAAAAAATTGGGATAAATCAAATTAGTTAAAGAGAAAAAGGCAAACTTAAGGTACGGTACTCTTACTAATATTTGATAGTTCCTGTGGCAGTAAGTGGACCGTGATATTACCTTCCTAATTTGCCACTCATTATTTCGGTTACGATTTCCAGGAAGACTAAAACAAAACAAGCAAATATACCAAGAGGAAATATAGAAACCAAAAATATGTGAAATAGGGGTCTAGGAGGTCCTGCAATTTTATTATTCTCATTTTTAAGGTTCGGTTTTAAGTGTTGGTACACTCATCCCTGTTGAGCAAATATGATACCTAGGACTCCACCTGGACAAACGACTGACTTGGAATCCTCATACTAGACTGAAACAACAAGAAACCTCTTCCGACTACTTCAGCACTTACTAGACAACGCTCTAAACTTCCAATTAATTACAATAGACTCATATACATGACTATAATAAGGCCAAACAACAATCAACAAAAATTTTGAGATAAATTAAAGTAGTTAAAGAAAAAAAGGCAAATCTAAGGCACCCTTACTGATAGATAGTTTTTCCTGGAACACTAAGTTGACCGCGCGGGTCCTTCCTAATTTGGCACTCATTGTTTTGGTTGCGATTTCCGGCAGTACTAAAGCAAAGCAGACAAATATATGAGGAGAAAATATAGAAACTAAATTAAACTGATAAAACTAAAACTACCTGAAATAGGGGTTTAGAAAGTCCTAAGATTTTATTGTTCCCATTTGAGGTAGATGTCAGGTATTGCTGCTTTTACCCAAAATAATCGCCTGCCGTCCATTGTTGCAGGTGGAATCGGTCGTGTTGGTCGACGACTGTGCTCGATGGAAAATGATGAGGGTGCAGCAGTTTTCCAACTTGGCCTACAAGAAAGGTGTCGCTGGCAGCGTTTTTGCATTCAAAGTGAGCAGCGAATTTCTTTCTGCATCCAAACATTATGTTCATAAACTTGTAACCTAGATTAAGAAAGCGTTGGAAAACATAGAACACTTCTTTCTTTTGATGTAGAAATGGTTTACCGTTGATATAATATGAGGAGTTGATCGGGGAGGGGGGATGCGGTCAAATTAATACTAAATTAAACAAGTAGAATTATTTAATTTTTGCCGACGTTTCGACCCACTTTGCAGGCCTTCCTCACCGCAGATTTTACACCAACATCACCACATCTCAGACTCTCCACAGATAGCTTCACATCATTCCATCCATATCTTCAAACTTTAGATACTCTAATTTCCTAGGTTTTTCCCTCTTACCCAAATATGTTAGCTTCCCCTATACCTGCCATTACCCTTGGTTTTCCAGTTCTAAGTGAAACTCCTAGCTGAACACACCTGTAAGTCTCTAATTTTATTTACTAATTTATTTAATTTTTGGTTTCCTTTTTTCTTTTCTTTCTTCACATTCCTTTATACCTATTATTTCATATTATATCCTTTTTCCTTTTCTTTCAATCTCTCCTGTAGATTTGTAGAAGTATATACACATTTTCATTTATTATGTATTACACTACAACAATTGTTAGCATCTATTTACTTCAGTTTAGGATCTTGTTACTCAGCTTACTTTGTTCATATTTTATTGTACTTACTGTTTATAATTTTAATAAGCTTATTCACATTGTTTATAAATTATGTCTAAATATTATGTAACTTCCACAATTCTCTATCTTTTTGTATCTTGTCCGTTCTAGCCCTGAAGAAGACCTGCAAAGTCGTATCGGAAGGTCGGCTTTCAATAAAATAGTTTTACCACTATTTAGCCTATTTATGACCGTCACCCCGGACCATTCCTTTAAAATGCAACGGTCAACTATTAAATATTCGAAAATAAATCTAGTTCAATTATTTTTTGTTTCTTCATGAACATATGTAAAGTCGTGTGAGTGGACACACTAGATATTTATTTATACAAAGAGCATTAATGTGGTCTCTGAACAGTATTATAAATGGCCAGCCGAATCTTTCAATTTGAGACAGATTTAATATTTCTCAATCGACAAGTTCTAAAAAATAAAATTGTTGGATCTTATTGTTAACCACTGTTGTACTAATTAATTGCAGATCCTCGGCGCATTGAGTTCCGCTGGTGCCGCAATATCCCACATGGTGGCCGAAGCGAGGAACATCAACTACCGGCTGACCACTCTCGGCTTTGTCACGGAGCACTTCTGTTTCCCAGGAGCGGACAAGCCGGCGTACACCCTCAAGCCTAAGGAAGTTATCATCGGGATGGGCATGAACGGTGAGCGAGGCATCAAGAGTATTGAGGTATGATATCGATTGACGTTATCAAATACGCTTGGTGGATTGTTTTCTAAATTTATATTTACATACTTTGATAATTTTTGATAGATGAGATAACGAATTGAGGTTATATGGATATCAATGTTCAATGCCGATAACACAAGTAAGCGTTGGCCATTTTTTAATGGAAACGCCACATTAACAAAACAAATGGATAGGAATGTGAAGGCGTGTTTAAAGGAAGGACGATAGTACATATCAATGTATCGATAGATCAAAACTATCGATAGCACTTCTTAGTGAATATCGATAGTTCGTACCTTACCTTAGACACATATTATTTTAAAATTTTATACACTTAAAGAAATAATTTTAATAACAGGCCTTCATAATTCTACCCATTCATTAATGTACGAGAAATGGTGTAAATATAAAAATGTAAAATTTATATGTTTGATAAAAAAAAATTGTTATTGTATAATGGGAACGCTACATTAAGAAAATAAATAGATGAAGGTGTGAAGGCATGTTTAAAACCATTCTTATCAGTATATAAAAATGAAACAAAATTGAACAAAAATCCTCCATGATAAAAATTAATTTAATCTCAAATTACTTTCTTAAAAATTGTGTCGATGGAAAAAAAATGTTACATTTACCTCACCTTTTTTTATTTATTTTTTCATAAAATATATATATATATATATATATATATATATATATATATATATATATATATTTATATTAGCTACTGATATATTAAGCACATATATTAAGTAGCTTAATATATGTGCTAGTGGACGGTGCTGAGGCTGTCGGTGTGTCCCTGGCCTGATCGAAGCTCTATTTTTTTAAATTCTAGCTTTGAAGAGGATCCCATGGTTGACTAATAAAAAAGAAAATACGGGATCGAAACGTCAATAAACAGAAGAAATGAACATTAATTAGTTTATTAAATAATAATTAAGTGACCTTAATTCCCAATAAAAATAGTTGAAAGTTTGAATTTAATACTCAAAGGTCGATGAAGGAAAAGTTGTATATATATATATAAATATGATCTACAAGGACGCCATTACAGTGATATTATATTTTTAACTAAGTAATATTAGCAAAATAAATTTAGAAAATTAGTATCTTGAAAATTAAAAAACATAAGCATTTATCGCCTCCTTCTTTTTCAATATAGTTAAAAAAATACTACCTATACGTCGTCGATGTTTCTTGTTTGAATTCTACAATCAGGGAAATAAATGCAATCTATTTTTCTGTGTAAATGTATTTTCGCATCAATAATTTTTATAATTATTTATTTAATAATGTTTATTAGTGGCTTAACATAAATCTTTAAGGATGTATTTGATATAAATGGTAATTGTTATAAAAGTTATGCAGCATTATAAGCGTTGGCCATTTACCTAAGCCTAATACAATCGAACTTATAAATATAACCGCAAGTGTACCCATCCACCAACTCCAAAGTCAATAGCGCCTAAATCTTCATCCTTCCTCCATCCGAAGATATGTTGTCGCTCTCCTCTTCTTAAAAATAGTGCAGGACAAAAGACTTGTTGTTCAATATTTCTTTCCTTGTCTTATTATTTATATTCTTAATCTCTTCGAATTGTGCCTCCTCAAAAATTAAAAGTTACATCGAAATATGATCCTTTCAAAAATTTTGATGAAACCACCTTCTGGGAACTCCTGCCTTCACAGGCGGATCTACGGAGGGAGGCTTTCGGACTGAAGCCCCCCCCTCCCAAATGGTAAAATATAACCATGTTTTACAGAAAAAAATATTAAAAACTATCTCTTAAAGTATTCTTGTTCGTGTAATTACATTTAATAGGACTTCAAGGACCACTTAAACACCATTTCATATAGGTCGTGGTAAAGGTAAAACACCATTTCTTTTTTTTTTTGATTAATTATCGTTATATATATGAAAACAAAAATATTTCGGGCTGAAGCCCCCCCAAAAATTAAATCCTGGATCCGCTAGTGCCTGCCTTTACTAAGAACAATTCGCCCAGCTGACCATTCAACTGGTCGTTTCAAGTCTCTATTATCTTATAAATAATTTTATACGATTTCAACTGTATATTTACCTCACAAAGAGGGCACGATTTGATATACCTTTCAACTTATTCTTATCTGGACCAAAATATCCTGTTCCGAATTACTTTTGAAAAAAAATTTAAGAGATTGTTTAACTTAAATAAACATGATTCACTACTTTGAGGAGAGCAAGGTTAATAATCGGTATTGATCTATATACGTAATACTTTTTAATTTCAGGAACAATTATTCGATTTAAAAAATTCTTTTTGTGTTAGTCAGACCGTGAACTGACTCTATTCTTTAGTTATTTACTTTATAATGCTGCATAAACTTTATAATAATTACCATTTATGTCGAATACATCCATAAAGATTTATAATGATGTAGAGATGGTTGACCGTTGATATAATATGAGAAGGAGTTCATCGGGGGTTGCGGTGAAATTAATACTAAATTAAACAAGTAGAATTATTTAATTTTTGCTGACGTTTCGACCCACTTTGCAGGTCTTCATCAGGGCTACAAAAGATACAAAACATGGTGAAAAAAAAATGAATATAAGTAGATATAAAATAAGAATAAGTTGTCTGATACAGAAATAAAAAGATATAAATAACAATAAAAAATAATAATAAGAATAAAAAGATGATATCAGAGATATAGTGGGTGACAATGTAGTTAAAATATCAAGTATTATATGTAGAAGATACAAACACTTTCCATTTTTTGTTTGTATCTTCTACATATAATACTTGATATTTTAACTACATTGTCACCCACTATATCTCTAATATAATCTTTTTATTCTTATTATTATTTTTTATTCTTATTTTATATCTACTTATATTGATTTATTTTATTTTCACCATGTTTTGTATCTTTTGTAGCCCTGATGAAGATCTGCAAAGTGGGTCGAAACGTCGGCAAAAATTAAATAATTCTACTTGTTTAATCCCCCGCACCCCCCGAACAACTCCTTCTCATAAAGATTTATGTTAAGTCACTAATAAACATTATTAAATAAATTATTGATGGGAAAATACATTTATATAGAAAAATAGATTGCATTTATTTCCCTGATTGTAGAATTCAAACAAGAAACATCGACGACGTATAGGCAGTATTTTTTTAACTATTTAGAAAAAGAAAGAGAGATAAATGCTTATGTTTTTTAATTTCCAAGATACTAATTTTCTAAATTTATTTTGATAATAGCACTTAGTTAAAAATATAATACAACTGTAATGGCATCCTTGTAGATTTTAAATATATATTTTTAATATGAAAAAATAAATAAAAAAGGTAAGGTAAATATATTTTTTCCCTTCGACACAACTTGAGGTGTAATACATATTTCTAAGGAAGTAATTTGAGATTAAATTAATTTTTATCATGATGGATTTTTGTTCAGTTTTGTTTCATTTTTATATACTGATAAGAATGGTTTTAAACATGCCTTCACACCTTCATCTATTTATTTTCTTAATGTAGCGTTCCCATTATACAATAACAATTTTTTTTATCAAACATATAAGTTTTACATTTTTATATTTTCACCATTTCTCGTACATTGATGAATGGGTAGAATTATGAAGGCCTGTTATTAAAATTATTTCTTTAAGTGTATAAAACTTTAAAATAATTTGTGTCTAAGGGAAGGTACGCACTATCGATATTAACTAAGAATATCGATTGTGCTATCGATAGTTTTGGTCTATCGATATGTACTATCGCTCCTTCGTAGTATATTCTGATTTACACTTACACCATAGTATCTTCCCGTTATTATATCGTGTTTAATTTAATAATTTCAATTGACTTTTTATATATTGCTAAATATATTGTATATTCTACAGCTAACATCAGCTCGAGATGTAATAAGAGTGGTTATGTCGATAATTTTGGAAGAAGCTAACCTGGGCGGTGATTCGAACGTCTTCGTCTTGGTCAACCGATTTACCTCGATGACTGTCTCTGAAGGCTACGTCATAGCCAAGGAGGTATATAAATATTTAGGTAATTGCATATCGATCCATCGATCATTACCACCATTCTAGCTTAACATTTTAATATATTATTCATAGGCGCTATGAAGAAGATTATTTTGATGAATTTCTCTTCATTAAAACCCTCTTAACTCCTCATAACTTCATTGTTTCCTCTTTAACAAGTGCTTGTGAACCAAGTCATAAGCACACACTTGCAACATGTAACAAAAAACCCTCAAATATGCAGCGAAAAATCTCCAAATATCCAATAATACACCTAAAATATTCAATTACACTATGACACTGCAAAAAAAAAAAAAAATTGAAGGATGGACTAAAAATTAAATATAAAGTTTTTATTTTTTAACCAAAATAAATAAAACATATTATTAAAATAAAAATATATATTTATTAATTGAATAGAAGTTGGTTGTGGTGTTCAATAAAAATACAAAGAAAACATAAATAAATAATATTTTGTTTTTATTTTTGCCAAAGTTTCGGCCCAAAGTTCAGGCCTTCATCAGGGATAAAAAAGACAAGATAACAATAGGTATGAAAAATTATTAACCGTAAAAAAAAATATATGTAAGTTAATGTAAGTTAATGAAAGTTATAGTCTAACAACATGTAGATAGAATAAACTTAGCATTAATAAATGAGCAGAAATATAAATAAAGGAAATATAAAATAACGATAACAAAGTAGGAACAGAAAGTAGCGGTAGCAATGTTAGAATATGCAACATAACGATATCAAAATTAGGAATTTATGAAAAAAAAATAACATTAACAGAGAGGAACTTATGAAATAAACAATAACGGCAACGAAGTTAGGGACTAATGAACTAAACATAATGAATTAAATAAACATAATGAAATTAGTTAACAAAAGAGTTGAAAAATGCATTAACAAAGAAATGCAATGAAATATTATGAGTTAAAAAACGGAAGTGTTAGACATAGAATAAACGGAGATGTCGTAGTTGCTAAAATATGATGTCTTAGTATGCTTAAAGACATAATATATTTTAAAGATTATTTAAATTTGTTTGGTACTTCTTCACTAGCAGGCCGGTACTGACTAATAAAATAAACAACAAAAAAAATAAACGCAAAAAAAATAGTTATGTACATATAAAAGAAAAAATATCAACACTAAACGACATATGTACAATTTATTTTCACTTCGTCTTATTTATTTTGGTACACAAAATAGTTTTATGCTATTTAAAATAGCAAGGAACGGGTCCTCTTCTTTTTGAACCCACCGCCACAAAAATTCGCATAAATATGAATCGAGGTATTGTCTGGTTCACACAATTTCACGTCTGCAAGTATTCCAACGTTTTGAAAATATAAGCCTGTTCTTCTGAAGAAGATAAATTCCAAAATGTAACAAGATTCATAATTTGATGAAAATAAACTAAAAAAAAAAAAGAAGAAAAATAAACACAAACGGCCAAAAATAAAGAATTTAATAAGTGAACGTAATAAGAGAATAACTGAAAACTAAACAATGCAATAACTGAAAGGTTTGGCGGGATAAGAAGAGGGAGGTTATGTGACGTGACGTTAGATAAGAAGTGAGGTTTCGACCCGGCCTGCTAGTGAAGTAGTACCTATTTTTCTGTTTTAGCAAAGAAGAAGTTGAACATAATACGCCTCCTGGTAAGTCAGTTCATGTCATCTTTCGACGCTAAAGGGGCCCACATTTCAGTGCTGAACGTATCTCAGCAAGGCATGGATTGGCTCCAGTTATTAGAAATGGAAACAGAAGCTTACGCTTGGCCGAACACCAAGATGTCCTCCATCAATCCTGGTTATCTAATGGACGACATCGTGGACGATTTCGGGCCTGAACCTCAGGTATGCGATATAATTTAATGACATATTAAAAAGCATAAGATATATCAAAATCATTATAGAAATTTTCATATTAAACCTGTTAATAATGAATGAATGAATGATACATTTATCTATTTTATTAAAGTAATTTATTTTAGTTAAGGCTATATAGTAAGAGGTGGCGTTGGGGCGAACGGTATTTCGAAATTAAAATACAATTCTTTCCCCGGTGAGTTTCCTCAAAGGCTGGGAAAATACGAGTAAAATTAAACTATGGGAAATAATGGGACCTGTAAAATAAGAAAAAATACATTCACGTCAAATCCTGTATATTATTTCTAAAAGGTGTTTTCTTGTCAGTACGCCATAACTTCGTCAATTCTTCATCAAATCCAATGATTTGACCACTCATTTTGAAAATATTATGCTCCTTCACATGCGAAAAATAGTCCTGTCCCCCAAAATTGAAATCAAAAAGTTATTTATACGGCCTTGAAGAGCGATAATTCAGCTTTCCAATGGTTCTAGAAACATTGAATTAGGATAAAATCCTGAGGAGTTATGAATGTTTTAGTTAACATGAATGTTTTAGTTAACAGCAGGCAAAAACATCACAATGAAAAGTGAAGACGTTGCCATAACGACTATCCCAGCACAGCTGTTCTATCCTATATATTGTTTCTAAAAGGTGTATTTTTGTCGGTACGCCATAACTTCGTCTATTCTTCATCAAATCCAATGATTGACCACTGATTTTGAAGATATTCTTCTCCTTCACTTGCGAAAAATAGTCCTGTTCCCCCGAAGTTTCTGGAAAAAAATTTATGGAGGAAAAGATACTTTATTTGCGAATAACTCAAAAGTGTGTATTTTTTTCTGGATTGTACCCATGATAATCAGAAAGATTACTAAATCGCCAACAAAACATTTAAAAAATCGTAAAAATCTATTAGAAATATGTAAAATTTAGACGATTCGTATTGACGGAAGGAGTAAAGTTTGTTGAAATATTTTTTTAAGGAGAAACAGAGTTGAGATTTGTATTTCACAGCTCGAAAGACCCTCAAATACGAATTTCCATTTCGATCGAAAGACCATCAAATACGAATTTTCATTCCGATCGAAAGACCCTCGAATACGAATTTTCACTCCGATCGAAAAATAATTATTTTTTTTTACAAATTTGACATAAGACAACCAACCCCGGCCCCCTTTGATTTTATTTCGAAAATCACAAAAAGTGTTATAACTTCAATATTCTTTCACCTATTCACACGAAAGTTTGCAGGGACATAGGGTGCCCATGACAATTAGAAAGATTACTATATTACCAACAAAACAAAAATACAAAAAATTGTAAAAATCTAACAACTATTAACAAAGATACAATCAATTTGTTTAATAATGTCTTTCTTATTTAAGATATTGGATTAAGGAGTAGAATAGTCTACTTTTTTCGATATTTTTTAGGGTTTTCATCTATAACTCCTAAACGATGCATCAAAGCGAAAAACGTACTCATTATTAAATCAATGAATCTTAAATTGTGGACGCAAAATTTAATGCTCTACAACTCTGATTCTATGGATTTTTCCTCTTAGAGAACTCATTTCCAAGTTACAGGGCCATTTATAGTAATTTGTCTCAGTTTTTGAAAAATTTGGTAATAATCAGCGTTGGTTGACCGTGGTTTTATACCTTATTATGTGACCAAATCATAATGTTTATCTACTCGTTCAATTCCACGTTCTTTCATTTATTAAAGAGTACGTTTTTCGTTTTGATGCATCGTTTAGGAGTTATAGTTGAAAAACCTAAAAAATATCGAAAAAATCTGACATTTTTTGCTGTAAAAAGTTTTCCATCGGTGCCCTGCAAAACCACATATACAACTTTAAAAAATAAAAACTTTTCATACATTTTTCATAATGGATTTCCCTTTTCGATCCTTCCATTAGTGGCCTAATATTCTTTATACCAGCCTTTTTGAAAGCAGCGGCTATGTAACGGCAGACAAGGTTCTAGTCTGTGGGCCAGACCCCCTTACCGTGCACCCCCCCCCCCCCCCACATCCCTATAAATTGCATATCGTTGTGTTCCTTGTGACAATTTATTAAAAAAAAGCCAATGTTCCCACAAAAAAAAGTGAACGAACTGCCCCAAAATGGCGTCCAAACATGGCGGATTGACGACTTTGACTTTAGTTAGTTTTTTTGTTACTGAGAATCAGCATTTGGCTTATTTTCATTATAGTTGGTCTTTTATTAAAGCTGGATAGTTAGAGAATAATAAAACATGAAAAAATATTGAAAACTAATTGGCTTAGGCATTAAAAAAAATCGGTAAAGTCAATTTTTTTTACAAAAAAATTTTCAAGTTGAAAATCAAGCGTCGTTTGTAATTAAACGGTCAACATTTCTCTTTCTAAAACACTGATTACTTTTTAAAATATTTGAAGTAGTTCCGTAGAAAATGCACTTAAGCGGCAGAAAAGCGCTACTGGCGTGGGTGCCTACAGGCCTCTACCACACCACTCAGTACTCATAAATGGCTTAGTTATAGTGCTATAATAACGTTTTTGTTATATTTTATTGATTATATTAACGAACAAATATTAATACAATAATTTAATTGTAAAAAATTATTTTTTTTTAAATTTATTATTTTTGTTTTTATTTTTCATTATTATTATTTTTTTAATTTAACTTCATTTATTCTATACGGAGATCGCTTAAGAAGACCTCTATTATAAAAATTATAAAATTATAATAATAAAACTTAATTCAAAAATACTTTGCAGAATATCTTGATTTTTTTTATTTAATATTTGCAATTTAACATTTTGTTTTATATATTTACTGATTCTTAGAGGTAATTTAAATTGTATATACTTCCCCCAAAACGAGTCATATTAATATCTGTTTTTTAAACTAAATAATATATACCTAATCTGAACTACTTTTAATGAATAGGTGATGGATTGTTTAGTAAAATTCATATATCGCTATTAAAAAAATCATTTTTATTTCCTTAATTTTATTCGGAAGTTGGACCATATCATAAAAAATATGAACTTTTAATATTAAATGCATTATTCCCTCTGCACAAAATAAGGATGGAAAGGGCGAAGCTATAAGTTCTTCTAGGTAACTGGAACTGATTGTTAGTACTTGATCTCAAAATGAGGGAAAACGCGAAATTGAACCCAAACATTGGAAAAATACATTAAGCGAACGACAAAGGAAGTGCCAAAATTTTGGAAAAGAAAACAAGGATCCGTATCCGTTATATGGCAAAACGAATATATAGTAGACAGATGAACAGAATATTTCAAGATGCTGCTAAAAGAGGGTCAAAATGCTTGATCAGTTTGAATGATATTAAGGAAGTTTATTATGGTGAAGACGATTTCATTAGCAAGAAGGATTGGTTCTAAGCAATTGGCAAGCAGGTCTGGAGGAAGTAAACGAGGTTTATAATGGTGAAAACCACTTTATTTTAGATTGCTATTGAAGTTGCACAGATATTAATATGACTCGTTTTGGGGGAAGTATATACAATTTAAATTACCTCTAAGAATCAGTAAATATATAAAACAAAATGTTAAATTGCAAATATTAAATAAAAAATTCAAGATATTCTGCAAAGTATTTTTGAATTAAGTTTTATTATTATAATTATATAATTTTTATAATAGAGGCCTTCTTAAGCGACCTCTGTATAGAATAAAGGAAGTTAAATTTTAAAAAATAAATGATAATAAATAAAAAAAATATAATAAATTAAAAAAAAATTTTTTTGACAATTAAATTATTGTATTAATATTTGTTCGTTAATATAATCAATAAAATATAACAAAAACGTTATTATAGCACTATAACTAAGCCATTTATGAGTACTGAGTGGTGTGGTAGAGGCCTGAGGCACCTACGCCAGTAGCGCTTTTGTGTCGCTTATGTACATTTTCTACGGAACTACTTCAAATATTTTAAAAAGTAATCAGTGTTTTAGAAAGAGAAATGTATTCTCCAGATGTTTTATTTCAGCACCTTTTGCATTATTGTTGACCGTTTAATTCAAACGACGCTTGATTTTCAACTTGAAAATTTTTTTGTAAAAAAAATTGACTTTACCGATTTTTTTTAATGCCTAAGCCAATTAGTTTTTAATATTTTTTCATGTTTTATTATTCTCTAACTATCCAGCTTTAATAAAAGACCAACTATAATGAAATTAAGCCAAATGCTGATTCTCAGTAACAAAAAAACTAACTAAAGTCAAAGTCGTCAATCCGCCATGTTTGGACGCCATTTTGGGGCAGTTCGTTCACTTTTCTTTGTGGGAACATTGCCTTTTTTTTAATAAATTGTCACAAGGAACACAACGATATGCAATTTATAGGGATGTGGATGGGGGGAGTGCACGGTAAGGGGGTCTGGCCCACCGTGTATTCTTTTTACTCAGAATAACATACACTTTCGTAATTTACAATCAAACCTTCACCTGCGATGAGGTCGATTTCTGGGCCCTGGCTTCAATCCTTGTTTTCAATGGACATTTTGCATATTTCAAAACATAAATGTTGCTTCATTCCTATATACTTAATTCCGTATACACGTGCTTTATGAATAATTCTACATACATATTCATGTGCTATTTTCATAAATACTAGTGTTTATGGTGTTAATAACAAACAAGGAAAATCCGGCTCACCTTTCATAAGCCACTGATAAAAGTTTGAACCATATTCATTTTTAAATATTAAAATAAAATAACCCATATAAATAACCAGTTCATAATCAAAATAAATAACCAACTAAAACAAAAAGTGAGCAAATATTGACATTCTGTACAAGAGGAATAAGATTCCGGTTATTACTTTTGTCAGCAAACTCAGTTTCGTGTTAAGCGACCAAAAAATTGGGTCATACTTAGACCTTACCATTTAGTTTTTAATATAATTATAAATTCATGTTACAGATTTAATAAATTTAAGAACACTTATGTAATAATAGGTACATATTGGTTTATCAATTTCAAACGTTGTAGTTATATCACAAAGTAGCATTATTATTATTATTAGTATTTTTGATTACTTACTGCTGGGCGCTACGGTCCAACAATGACCTGTGTCTTCTCAAGAACTACAATCCAGTCATTTCTGTCTTTCGCTCGTGTCCTCCGTCCAAGAAACTTGAGGTCCTCCTCGACTTCATCCAACCATCTCACTCAGGTCTTCCTCTGTATCGCTACGCTCCAATTTTTCCATACAGCAGACGTTTTGGCATCCTTTCTACATGTCCGAGCCATCTCAGGCGGAATACTTTAACAAGAATACCAGATTTCATTTCCCATACATTGCACGGCTCTCAATTCTTCCTTAACCGCCACGTGCCATTTTATTATAATGGCTTATTTTTTTTTCCCCGCAGACATTGAACCTTCTTTTATTGGTCAATACCCAGGATTCGCTGCTATGAATAACTGTGGGCCTCAGGATGGTATAGGTATATCAGGAGTTTTGCTTCGAAAGATTTTTAAACCTTAATGTTTTTGTCGCATTAACTTCATCTTACATTCTGTTATGACAGAACCAAGAAACCTTGAAGTGTCGATACTTTTAAAACTGCATTCGCCGATCTGCAGACCGTGGTGTTCCAGTTGTTGATTCCTGAAAGTATTTAAATATTTCGTTTTTCTTTATTAATATGAAGGCCAACTTCTGCCGCTTCCATTTCAAACTCTTCAAAAGCTCCTCCAAGTCCTGTCGTGCTTCTTGTAATTTATATTGCCATTCCTCTTCTCCCTTTCTATTTGGTTTGAGTGATAATCATTATATCACCTATTATCCTTTCTTTCAATAACTTTTTACCTGGTCAGGGGCAGAAGAGTGCAAGGGGGTAGGTAATAAATGTAAGATTTAAAAGAATTCTCAGCAACGGGATTCGAACTCGTAATCTTGGTTTAACAAGTTGTAAATAACCAAATAAAGTTAAATGTAAATAATTTGTTTTGGCGGGAATAGTAAATATTCTTCCGCTCTTATATCGGGGAACTAGGTTATTTACACTCGAGATAATTAAAACAAAAACCCGGCGTTGGATATGGACTTTTTGAGGGTGTTTAACTGTCGTTAGGAATTCGGGAATCTAATACCTTTTGTGACACTGAGTGAGGAGAAACAATAAGATTATATATTTGAACTGTGGGACTTGGTAAACACACTTTGAATGATTTGACTCACCTGTTTTGTTATTCTTCAATCGTGAGGCATATAGGACAACTAAATAAATAAATGACTTGTATAACAAAACAATTTATTTTGACAACTGTAATATAGTGAATCTATTAAAGTCTTATAATTGTAGGCTTGATATACTTAGTCTTCAATGTAGTATCTCTCACGGGCGGATCTACGGGGAGGGCTTTCGGGCTGAAGCCCCCCCCCCCCAAAATGGTAAAATATAACCATGGTTTATCGAAAAAAAAATTAAAAAAGTATCTCTTAAAGTATTATTGTTCGTGTGATTAATATTAAAAGGGCTTTAGGAATCACTTAAACACCATTTCATACAGGTAGTTAGTTTCTTTATTTTTTTCCAAAGTAATTATCGTTATTTTTGTGAAAAAAAAGCTTTCGGGCTGAAGCCCCCCCCAAAATTAAATCCTGGATCCGCTAGTGGTATCTCTCTCTTCTTACAACCTCCTTTCTTCCTGTCCAGACCTAGCGTCCTCTCGCCTCCGTGTCCTAGCCTCAAGTGCCTTCTTCTCTCCATGGCGTCTTTCTCCAGCTGCTGTTACCTGACCGGACCTTTTTCCTTCTTCATCGATTGTTTATCGATATGAGACTTTTCAATGAAATTGTCCACTACACAATTGAGTACAATTCACAGTGCAACCTCACATTCCTATATATTATATATTCCTTCTCATTCCCTCACACAATGTCGTCTAAAGAAGTAAATACAGGGGGATGTCTACTACAAAGTTACCGGACAACACGTGTTTTATACACTTTCAGATTTGTAAGTTCAAGTCCTAGTACCAAACTTACAAGATTACAAGTTGTAAAGTTGTAATCCCAACTTGTAGTTAGGATTTCTAAAACCCGTACCTTGAAACGAAAAGTATCACTACATATAACTTTGAAGTTTGAGTAAACGATTTAATTATGATACGCTGTCTTTCCATTACTCATCATCATCTATTGGGATCAAATAATAATGGGAAGGCATTATTTCAAGATGATAATAATGACAGGAAAACAACAATAAATATATGCTGTTGCAGGCCGGGAGAGGTATGATGCTCTCCACACACGAAAGCTGGATATTCCGAAAGGTCATTGAAGCTGTTTGTAGATCCCTGATAGACGCGGAGTTGGTACTGAACCAGTTGAACGCCTATTACAACAATGGCGATTGCGGTACGAATCTGAAGTCATTCGCTGTCGGTAAGTATTAATTATCTTACGCAGTCTACAGTTTTGAACAAGACCTACTTACTACTTGATGAAGTTGCTCGGCTGTTGCAGCGGTTTTGCAGAAGCTGAGGGGTAAGAAAGATTGCTTCGAAGACGTCTCGCTGGTCTTCCAGGTGATGGAGAGGTGCGCCGAAGAAGTTATGGATGGTGCGATAGGTTCCGTGTACGCGGCCTTGCTGTGCGGAGCCAGCAGCAGCGCCACGAGCTGGCCAGAATGCTTCCGGGGAGCCATCAAGTTCTTAGGAATTTATTTCCCGATGGCTCACGGCTACAGAACTGTGGTAGCTAAATAATGCTCTGCTGGTAAACGTATAAATAGTTCGTAATAAGATGAGTCGCTTAGTTTCAAAGTGAACCCTCATCGGTTTTTTCGACATCTCATGATTTATGCAGAAAATTAACGATTAATTTCAATCAATTAAGCTTCCAAAGAGCAATTATGTTCCTAAACATATATTTTCAATTAGTACGTGGATATAGGACTATGGCAGGTAACTGTACTCCTTATAACCTTGCTCCGTTGTATATAGTTGTAATCGAATAAATAGCTTATTACCAATGTGAATCATAACAAGTTTACTTTCACTTACCTATATGTAATATATAGTAAGGGTAAGTATTGCGATCTTGAAAGGAACTACAACGGAATTAAACGTTTTGAGGTCCCCTGATTCCAAATCACCAAGTCCCGAAAAATGGTCTGTGTGTATGTGAACAGTCTAGCTCAAAATCGAAAAGTCGTACGAAACTGATACCTTAGATATGGCTGCAACGTTTTCCTTAAAATCGGCTAACCGGAAGTGCCATTTTATATCAACGGTGAAACACATTTTTACAATTTTCTATAACACGGCTTAAACGATTTTTATTAAACTTGGTGTATCATTGTATAATTAAGTGGACTTTAATATCATTTAGGTCTTATTAAAGATGTCATTGTACAGGATTTAAATGCCCAATGTTCATATAAATCTTCCCTCTGAAGTACCTGTAATATGGTTAATTTAAAAAAAATAAACTCCCTTTTTATTATAAAAAATTGCTAAATACTGATGAAGTTTGATGTTTGAAAGAATATGATTGGAATCGATCTGGTCAAAAGTTGGGCGACTATTGTTTACCAATCGATTAATCGTTTAGTAATCCCCTTTAGTAATGAAAATATTCTTTTTTTAAAAATGGAAAATTGAGTTACATTCAAGTAATTCATTTACATTTACAGTTTGACGTCATAGATCCTGCCTGCCAAGATTTCCTGGGTCACTATGAACTTCTCGGTGAGGAATTTTGGAGAGTTGCCTTACAACTAGCGGTCGATAAAGCGGAGAAGAAATGCGTCGAAACGTTCTCTATGAAACCTAGGTAATATGTTAATGTGATAATAATATTTTGACAAAGCAGCATTGGTCGTGGTTCTGCTGTAAATAACAAGTAATTGGATGTGTGATTACTTGAAACATTTGCCAGTCTGCGGAAAAAAAACAAAAAGCCAAGGATTTTTAGCTTTTCCGAGGGTTACCCCACTAGGTTCAGCCTGCTGGAGACTACTCACACTGTTCGAGTATGGGAGTAATAACTATACATGATGAATCGGAAGAATCGAGCCAAACACCAGGAATGAGTTACACAGGAAAATAATTTTTAAAAACTCATATTTAATAGTTGACCGTTGCATTATAAAGGAAGGAGATGGTCCGGGGTTGCGGCCATAAATAGGTTAAATAGTGGTAAAACTATTTTATTGAAAGCCGACGTTTCGACCCGACTTTGCAGGTCTTCATCAGGGCTAGAACGGACAAGATACAAAAAGATAGAGAATTGTGGCAGTTACATAATATTTAGACAGAATTTATAAACAATGTAAATGAGCTTATTAAAATTATAAACAGTAAGTACATTAAAATATGAACGGAGTAAGCTAAGTAACAAGATCCTAAACTGAAGTAAATAGATGCTAACAATTGTTGTAGTGTAATATATAATACATGCAAATGTGAATATACTTCTCCAGATCTACAGGAAAGATTGAAAGAAAAGGAAAAAGGATATAATATGAAATAATAGAGGTAAAGAAATTTGGAGAATGAAAACCAAATTTTTTTTTTTTAAATTTCTTTTTGACATTTACAACTGTATTACATAAATACATCAAGTAAATTTGGACATAATTAATATAATGACATGAATACACTTGCTGAGTAACTACCCAATGGTAGCACTCTAATGATATGACTATATTAGGAGATCACGGGGCCATCTTCTTTTCAGACGCCTCGGAGGGTTATCAGGAATTGAAGAGGAAGCAAGGTTAGAAACGAGGAGAGGGTTGGGATGATTCTGAAGTTTATTATGGAAGGATAGGTATCTGGATTGGGCCAGATCTGAAACATAAGGAACATTAAGTTCTTTATGGATAATTTTATTAGTGACAAAGTAAGGACCATTGAGGATTTTACGAAGGATTTTGGATTGTAAGGATTGGATGCGAGAGGAATTCGATGGTTTAGTGGAGCCCCATAGCTCAACTCCGTAAGTCCAAATAGGTCTTATTATAGTCAAGTATATGAGTCTTTTGTAATTAATGGGAAGTTTAGAGCGTTTGTCTAGTAAGTGCTGAAGTAATCGGAAACGTCGAGCGGTTTCTTGTCGTTTCAGTCTAGTATGAGGATTCCAAGTTAGTCGTTTGTTCAGGTGGAGTCCTAGGTATCGGATTTGCTCAACAGGGATAAGTGGAGTATTGTTAAAGGAAACTGTAGGACAGGAAGTCGTTGGTTTACGACAAAACCAAAAATTAAATAAATAAAATGGAAGAATAAAATTAGAGACTTACAGGTGTGTTCAGCTAGGAGTTTCCCTTAGAACTGGGAAACCAAGGATAAGGACAGGTATAGGGAAAGCTGAATTTTTTGGGTAATGGGGAAAACCTAGGAAATAGTATAAGTAATAGTAATAGTAATAGTATCTAAATTATGAAAATATGGATGGATATAATGGAAAAATACTATATCTATGAAATATTAAATCATAAATATGTACAATATTTAAAATATATACATCGAAACGTCGGCTTTCAATAAAATAGTTTTACTACTATTTAGCCTATTTATGACCGCAATCCCAGACCATCTCCTAACTTTAAAAATTCATATGTTTTTATCCGATTTCCATTTGTTTAAATTTGTTTGGCTTATGCAAAGTGAAAATACGGATGTGGAACATGGACACTGATGAAGACCAGTGAGAGTAAAATATTAGTTTTCGAAAGGAAGGTCCTACGGAAGATATTTGGCGGGAGGATGGTGCCTGGAGAATTAGACGCCACTAAGAACTAGCCAACTTATACAAGTAGCCGGATGTGGGTGACATATATCCATATAGCAAGGCTGAAGGATGAGGCGGCCCACGTTGTACGGATGGAAGCTGCACAACATGAAGCTGGGTGGAAAACGAAAAGTTGGCAGACCGAAACTAACATGGAAAGATTGAGTAAGTGGTGATGCCAGAATCCTTGGAATCAGGAACTGGTAGGCGGCTACTCAGGACGTGGATTAAAACTCTTAAGAAGATCCAGTAATGGATTGTCGAGCTCAGTATGATGATGAATAAAAAATAAATACAATTTACGAATAAACAATGTTTCATACTGTAACCAAGATTAAGAAACGACTGGAAACAAAACAAACTCTACTCTCTTTTGTTTCCTGAGCAGATGACTAGTTGATATTTTAGCATGAGCATGTACTCTTACATCTTATTGTATCTTGACTATCTTTGGATGTGGCATGCCATAATATTGTATATAAAATAAGTATCTTTGTTTGTTATTTGTATTATCTTTATTATCTTAAAGATATTTCTTTTTTTAACTTTAATTGTATATAGTAATTATGTTTGAGTTCCCTCCTTTTCCTTGTATTTTATTTCTTTTTATTGTACATAGTATTAATTCTGTAAATATTGCTTTTTGTAAATAGATCTGTTATCCTTTTTGCTGCTTTATGAAAAATTATCCAACCTAACCCCTTCTCACCTGAGCTAGCATGGTAGAGTAAATATGTAATGATGGCCATTAAAGGGTAAGTACTTTCTGTTTTCTAATTTATCTCTTTAGAGATGAAAATCTGTTAAGCCAGGCGCCCAACAAATAAAAATTGCTATGGAAAATTATATTTATTAAATATTATTTTATTATATTTTTATTTTATCCTTTTTTTGGTCATAATACATGTGTTATGAGGACTTTTGGAGGATATTATGAGTCGCTTCAATCTATCCTCGAGTACCATCGGGATGCCTCCGTACACCACACAGCACTAGCGGATCCAGGATTTCATTTTGGGGGGGGCTTCAGCCCGAAAGCTGTTTTTTTTTCATAAAAATAACGATAATTACTTTAGAAAAAAAGAAAGAAACTAACTACCTGTATGGAATGGTGTTTAAGTGATTCCTAAAGCCCTTTTAAATGTAATTACACAAACAATAATACTTTAGGAGATACTTTATAAATATTTTTTTCGATAAAACATATCTATATTTTACCATTTTGGGGGGGCTTCAGCCCGAAAGCCCCCCCCCCCGTAGATCCGCCCGTGCCACACAGCCGTAGTCAAAGTGGGGGTGACAAAAGTGTTACAGTGGGAATCTTAGAATAAAATGTAAAACATAAAAAAGAAATATAAAGTTATATAAGAAATGAAAATAAATAGTAAAATTAAAACATTGAGAATGGAGTAGTTAGATAGAAAATTGAGATATTGTAAAGTCTATCAAGATGTACAGACAATGTATAATATAATAAAGAGTTAAAAACAGAGAAAAGGAATGAAAGGAAGGAGGGAAGAAATTGAGAAAGCTGAAATAAGAAAGAAATAAAAGAAGTACTACCTGTCTCCTTAAGTGTCGAAGGGAGAATAAAAGTCGTTACAAGGGAGGGGGAGAGAGAAGAGATGTGTAGGTGGCGTCATCTCTAACGGTTATCCGACGAAGTTTGAACTAAAGCGCTGGAAGCCTAAATAGGTACGAGAGATATATTAATCAGAAAAATTATGGAAAGGAAGATAGGGGTTGGTTTGGAATGCTGACTGCTTATATTAGGGCATAATATTTTCCTTATTAACAGATGCCACATTTCACATACTTCTTTACAATAGAAAGTATTATACTTATTCGTTTCGGGCAAGTGAATAATTTATTTTGTAATATTTTTTTCTTATCTATGTCGACAGAGTAGGCCTCTGCAGCACCGGCCCGGCAAAGAATATGGACGCAGGAGCTTACTCCGCTGTTGTGTGGCTGCGAGCGGTAAACAACGCCCTGAAAAGACTCCTCCCATTCGACGATGTGCCACCCCCTGAAGAAGAAGACTGGCGGCATAGGCTCCAATACTTACTGCTTTCGCTCAGACCGACTCAGCCCCTGTGCCCGCTCAAGGATAAAATGCTCAACTTGTACCTCACCCCTTCAGGGATGGACTTCGCGGACGAAGAAGACGAAGAAGAGCAGAGCTATTTTGAACTAACAGAGTGCTGAGCGCTAGAGGACTTTTCAATCTACATTAAAGATCTGGGCGTTATTAATAAATAATATATAAAGCGGACCAGGAATCTATTATTAAGAAAATGTTTTATATTAATAAAATCTTTTTAGATTTTTTTTTTACTTCTCCCATTCGAATTAACTAATAAATATAAAGTTACAACTTTAGTGTAATACATATAAGAGAAACAATTGATAGAGTTTTATTCTTTATGTTTCCTCATAAACATAAAGAGGTATGCAATGCATGTATGCTGTTTTTTTAGAGAGATCATCTGAAAGTTGTATTGACTTTCTCAGAACTTTGCCTATACTGTCTTTGTCTTTATCTATACTTTATCTTTCTAACTTCCTCATAACTTTATCTATCCTATATTTGACGATCGTATAAAGTTAACATATAAACTAATTGGTCCTACAATCAATAATCATTAAAGGTTAAATATTCAGCATTATATGAGTCGGTTGACAGAATGATTAACTATAATTTCAACATTCGTTATTATTAGTTTTAGTGATGTTTCTGGTGGTAAAATTTATACCTTTATTCACAGTTCTGTATTTCAATACTGCAATCATCTACTCTGGAATCAACTTACTCTCTCTCTGTATAGATCACTAGCGGATCCAGGATTTAATTTTGAGTGGGGCTTCAGCCCGAAATGTTTTATTTTTTTTCATATATATAAAATATTAATTACTTAAGAAAAAAAAAGAAAGATACTAACTACCTTTATAAAACGGTGTTTAATTGATTCTTAAAGTCCTATTAAATGTAATTACAGGAACAATAATACTTTAAGAGACTTTTTTTTCATAAAATATGGTTTCACATTTCACCATTTTGGGAGGGGCTTCAGAACGAAAACTCCCTCTCCCCGTGGATCCGCCTGTGGTATAAATACAACTTTTGCAACTAGAAATATCACTAAAATGACATTACTCAAAAACGTTGAAATTGGAGTTAGTCATTCTGTCAACTGAAAGGCTCAGAGACTGAAGTTGTATCAGCCCTGGAGCCAGAGCCCAAAAATCGATCTGATCGCAGGCGAAGGTTTGATTGTAAATTATGAAAGTGTAGGTTATTCTGAGTAAAAAAAAACCTTGTCTGCCGTTCCAGAGCCGCTGCTTTCAAAAATGGCGGCTGATTTAAAATATATTAGGCCAATAATTTGAGGATCGAAACGGGAAATCCATTGCGAAAAATGTGAGAAAAGTTTTTATTTTTTTAACTTGTATATATGGGTTTAGACATGTAAAAAATTAAATTGCTAACGCGGGCCACCAAGGGAAAACTTTTTACAGCCAAAAAAGTCAGATTTTTTCGATATTTTTTGGGTTTTTCACCTATAACTCCTAAACAATGCATCAAAACGAAAAATGTATTCTTTAACAAATTAAAGAACGTTAAATTTTGCGTCAAACGATTACATAAACATTAAAATTTGGTTACGCCGTAAGGTATAAAACCACGGTCAACCAAAGCTGAGTTTTACCAAATTTGTCAAAAACTGAGAAAAATTACTATAAATGGTCCTGTAACTTGGAAATGAGTTCCCTAAGTGGAAGAACCCATAGAATCAAAGTTGTAGAGCATCAAATTTTGCGTCAACTGAGTACCAACTAATTTAATGTAGGTCACTGGCTGCGAAAAAAATCGGTAATCTATCGATGGTTAGAAATTGGTAATGAAGGTAAACCTGATTTTCAATATTTCAACAGTATGGGTGTCTTTTCTAATGAGTTAGTTTTGTTTAAAGTCTGTTACATGCAGTATAAGCTTCTTTTCCACCTCTCAACAGCAAAAGATTTTGGTAAACGATGTGCCGAAAGATTCCGAATTTTATAAAGGACTAACGAATCCCGATTCAAGATATATAATTGGCCTAAAATAAAAATGTCAGTACTCAATGGACGCAAAATTTGATGCTCTACAACTTTGATTCTATGGGTTTTTCCTCTTAGGGAACTCATTTCCATGTTACAGGAGCATTTATAGTAATTTGTCTCAGTTTTTGACAAATTTGGTAAAGTTCAGCGTTGGTTGACTGTGGTTTTATACCTTACCGCGTAACCAAATTATAAAGTTTATGTACTCGTTTGACGCAAAATTTAACGTCCTTTAATTTATTAAAGAATACATTTTTCGCTTTGATGCATTGTTTAGGAGTTATAGGTGAAAAACCCAAAAAATATCGAAAAAATCTGACTTTTTTGGCTGTAAAAAGTTTTCCCTTGGTGGCCCGCGTTAGCAATTTTATTTTTTACATGTCTAAACCCATATATACAAGTTAAAAAAATAAAAACTTTTCTCACATTTTCCGCAATGGATTTCCCGTTTCGATCCTCAAATTACTGGCCTAATATTCTTTAAATCAGCCGCCATTTTTGATAGCAGCGGCTCTGGAACGGCAGACAAGGTTTTTTTACTCAGAATAAAATACACTTTCGTAATTTACAATCAAAACTTCGCCTGCGTTCAGGTCGATTTTTAGGCCCTGGCTCCAGGGCTATATGGTTTATAAAAGTAGAAGGAGTAACTAGTTTTTATTGGCTACCGTCGATGTAATAAATAGACTTTTTATAATTTAAATGGTCCTCATGATTTGTAATCTGTAAGTTTTAAGCTTTAACTCCATTTACACAACGCACTTCAAAAATTTTATAATATCCCAACATTGCCAGAAAACAATTTCTATTCAAAGTAGAGCGGTAAGTGAAAGTTGTGTGTTGCCAGATTTTTTTCATATATACTCGTAAAAAAAAATACATAAACAGCTATATTTAAATTTATTTGTATATAAATATAGTATTATATTGTTCATTTTACGATAATTATGTAAATTATCATTCATAATTTTTATCCATAATATAAACTCCCGAGTTTTTTTTTCGAGAGGAGGGGTTCATCGCCCCCTCTCCCCAACCGGAATGGAAAATCTGCGCCTATGTCCTTCAGATATATTTTAATAAAATATTTTCTGAACTAAATAATGAAAAGTACAACATTTATGTTTTTTATATAAATTTAACATTTATTAAAAAGAGTTTATCTGTGGAGAACTCGTCGAATCTTTAGGCGGCATCTTCAGCCGACAATGGATCTTACCTTTATATCCGCAGGTTCTCTTGTATTTCTTACAGTTGTAGGAAATGTCTTCACCCAAGATCAATAAAACTATCAAGTTCGCTCAGTCAGAGGGAAAATGGTGGGGAGGAATCGACCTCTGACGTAGCCAATAGACTGATTTTACCCCTCCAGCATTTGTTTCTGGACATTTTAAGATTATTATTTACTTTTCTACATTAAATCAATACTGTATTGCCAAATAACTTATTAATTTATTAATTTGAAAGGTGAGAGAAAAGTTGATTTGATATTTGGTTTATTCTGAAACAAATAAAATGTAATTTAACAAGTTGATGTATGATTCTTAGTACCACAATAATATTTTTTAAATATTTCAAATAAATATAGAGCATAATATAAAATGATAAAGATGTTTAAAAAAAAGAAAATTCAAGAAGCGTTTTCTTTCCGTGAATTTTTGTAAAAATTACATTTTTACGTCGTAAGTAATGCTATGTAGTGATTTTTTAATTTTTTTTTCTAAAGTTTTTTGCCTTTGATTTTATGTTTTCTTAATTGTTGTAAAAATGTTTGGATATTTAAAAATTTGATTCTAATAAATACCCGTTGCTTAAAGAAAGCCTTTACCAGTTCTTCATTAATTTCTACATTTTCTTTACTAAGAAAAAGATTAGTCAATTTTTTTTTACAATATTTTTACATTTACATTTTAAAATCCAATCTTTTCTTCGAGCGTCCTTCTGAAAAGTATGAAATGAAATTTTCTTTCCCATCTTCTTTGCGTCAATTAGATTATTTGTTGCAAGATGGTTTAGATGTTGTACCTGGCATTCTATAAGATTCTATTCATAATTTATGTTATTATCAGATATACAAGTAAAAACAAACGAATTTTCTGTAACATGTTATTAAAAATAAAAAATAAATAATCGTTATGTTATTGTAGAGACGGGTAAGTAGTTGTCTGTTAAGATTATAAGGTGAAAATAAATTATCAGGATTTGCAGTAAAATTTGTTTATTGTTTTAAATTAAATTTGTTTATTTAAAGAAATTTTGACTTATTTATTTATTTATCTACTTTAAATTATCTTCAATGAAACGCAATAGCGGATCCAGAATTTAATTTTTTTTTTGGGGGGGGCTTCAGCCCAGAAGCTTTTTTTTACACACACACACACACACACACGAGCAAAAATACTTTAAGACATAATTTTTTACCATAAAATATGGTTACATTTTACCATTGGTAGGGGAGGGGGGCTTCAGCCCAAAAGCTCCCCCTCCCGTAAATCCGCCTGTGATCAAACGTCAAAAAGTATTCTTCTCAATAAATTGAACAAGAAAAAAAAAAAAAAAAAAAGCACAATAATGTTGAAATAAGCCTTCATTGATAGGCTTGAAAGAGTAATAGGTAGGTCTGACAGTCTATTCCTTACGTCACGTTTCAAGTTCCCCCACCACACATTTCAGAGTGAGCGAACCTGGTAGTTACATTGACCTTGGTCTTCACCAACTTTCGGATATGTTGTGTTACCATATGGCTAAAGTTGTATATTCTATTTTTCCCTTTAGGTTAGCTATTATATGCTCATAGATATAATAAAAATACTAAATTTCAGGTTAAAATAATCATGATGGTACTAATTTGGAAATAACTTCCTGTTATTGAGATTTAGTATGTATTACGTGACCAATTTGTCCTTGAATAGCCCGGCTCTTTATCGGTTTTACTTATCACTTTTTCGTTTGTTCTTTCTCATTAGTCGGGTTTAACCGTCAACTAAAAACATGTCACCGAAACAATTTTTGAAAGACCCGAAGACATGTGTACAAGAAATGATTCTGGCAATAATGAGTATATATCCAGGTCTCTCCGCCTTCCCTGAGCAAGGCATTACATTTATTAATAAGGTAAAACAAAAAAAAAGAAATACTATTCAAATAATTTTTTATTGAATGTTGATTCAAAATTGTATTGTTTATTTTACATTTCATCATCAGAAAATTTATAGTTCATGTAATGATAAACAATTCAGTAATTTTGTTTTTATTTAGTCATTATTTGATAGCTAAGGTTAAATCAGGTGTTGAGATACAATATACAATGCAGATAAATTTTCTTACAATTCAAATCTTCAATTACTAATTTTGACCATTAATGGATTATTATAGAATTTTAAGCTTTTATTTGTGAACATAAGGGAATTAATAAAAGTGTTCCCTATGATTAATTACAATATTCAGACATTATATAAATTTGTCTTATAAGAAATTCGATAAATTGTTCCTATCAATTAATATTATTTTGTGGTATTGACTAAAGAGTACTAGCTGAGAAGTGTCAAGTCTTGTTGACAGGTCTGTCAAGACAACATCGATCATACTGTAGATGAAGTTCTGAAAGTGTTGAAAAGCACATAATTGTCATGGTTGAACTCGCTAGGCTTATTGAAGGAAAAAACAAACCTCTGAGGTCATTTTCAGTTAAATTTGGGATGTTATCATGTTGTGATCCTTGTCATTGGATCCTTATCAATTCATCACCAACCGCTTTATCAAAATTTATTTATTAATTTACATTAAATAATTTATTTTAATTTTATTTCTATAATATTTGATTTCCAAGTTCTGGAGATCGGTCTTCTTTCTATACTTTTGGGCACCTCTAGTTTTGAGATTCAACATATGACATATTCAGTGTTGTTTTCTTGAGATCTTGGTCCACCTGACAACCAGACGAAACACTTGTGAACTAGTACCCCCTTCTGAATTATCTGTTTATCACTTAAAAATTATTTATTAATAATGTTCAATTTTTACAGTACAGAGGTTCTAAAGTTGCGATACTTTCTGGTGGAGGATCTGGCCATGAGCCTTTCCCAATAGGTAATTTGACCATTTGATTCTTAATCTGTACATTCTAAATCAATATTCACTATATATTATTTAATTTACTCATAAAAAAAAAACTCCCAGACATTTAAAGTTGAGAAATAGAAAGAATTGAGAACATATCATATTAAAAGCTTTAAGCCTGTGTTTGGCAATGGAATAAAAAGTTGTGATCAATAACGTCATTGATGTAATTTCAAAACAGGGGTATTTTTTTTTATTTTCAAAGAGAATGTAATATCGTTTGCAAAGTTTGTCAAGGCTCTATCTTTAGAGAATTAATTTTCAAAAATATTAAAATTTGGTTGATTTAATGTTGTTTGTTGGTATTCAACTTTACTCTTGAAAAAGCCATAAGGGATTCGATTCTGGTATATACTACAGGAACCCTCCTAAATCGAATGACCCAAATACTTGGATATGCGAAAGATATTGATATAATGGGAAGATCGTTTGCAGATTTACAAGAAACTTTTACAAGCCTGGAAGAGTCGGCAGCTAAAATCGGTATTATTATTAACGCGTACAAAAGAAAATATATGTCTACCCTATCCTCACGTCTAACAAGGGAAAACCATGGCTGAAATAGCATGGATTCAAGAATGTTGATGAATTCGTATATGTGTGGTCACTGATAAATTCATGAAATAACATTGATTGTGAGATAGACAGGAGGGTCGCAGTGGCTAATCGTTGCTATTTCCCTCTCCAGAGGCATCTTCGTAGTAGAATGTTGTCGAGACAGGCCGAAATAACAATATATAAAATACTCAGACCAGTACTCACATATGGCTGTGAGAGTTGGACCTTAACTAAAGCACTTGAGAAATCCCTGCTCTGATTTGAAAGGAGGATTATACGACACGTATTCGGAGAGATTCAGGAAACACGCCAGGATTGGAGGAGGAGAACGAATATTAAAATCAAGACATTATTTAAGGACCTTAATATGAGCCAATTCATCGTACTGGCAAGACTACGCTGGGCAGGACATGTCGAGTGTATGGATATGAATGCACCCCCCCACAGGGAGCTATGAACGAACCTGTATATGGAAACAGGCGAGTGGGAAGACCATGTTTGCACTGGCAAGACTGTGTGGCTGCTGAAGCATTGTGTCAGAAATTGGAAGGCTGCAGCAACTAACCGGGAAAACTGGAGATCCATGCTGGAGCATGCCAAGCTTCGAATGATTAGGATGTAGTGCCATTTAATAATAATAATGTTGTTTTTACAGTATCCAAATAGTAATAATTTTTTCTCTTCTTATTTTAATTTTTTCCATTAACATATGAATCTGCAATGGAAATTATCACTGGATCGGTGATGAGTTAAAAAACTTGCCTTATATTTTATTTTGCATATACATTAGTTGACCATATTGATAATAAAGGAAAATATATTCCAGGTTGAGTTGAAGAATAATCTAATGTGAATTGTATCTTATTCTGTTTATTCTTATCCACGACCAAGACCATCTTCTCGATAATTTGTATTACTTCCAAAAATATAGATAATAATAAATTAATACTAAAATAATCATAAATATGAGATGTAGACATATTTTAGGTTACTAATTTCTTTTCTTTTTTTTCAAATAGGGTTCATTGCAGAAAATATGCTCACTGGATCTGTATCTGGTAATATCTTTACATCACCATCAACACAACATATTATCTCAGCAATTAATGTTCTCAATAACTTGAATAAAGGTATATAATTGGTTATGTGGCTACTTTTTACTTTTTATTAGTAAGTAAGAAAATTATCATAACCGATTAAAATTTCTGACATACAATTTTCAACAGATCTTTAAATTTCAGATCCCCCTGAGTCCAGAAGTCTCCTTTTTGGGCCATCGTTCTGTCTGTGTCACGATTATCTCTTGTAGCCGGTTTAGTTCCAAAACCGCTACAGTCTTTATCTTTAAGTTCTTTCCATTTCCATTTATTTTGAACATCCCTAAGAAATAAATTTCTTGCAAAAATAAAATTTTATTTGATATGAATCAAAAGAATAGGTAAATTATATTCAAGTTCATTTCAAAGATAATAACACTCCCACTATGACAGCGAAAAATGTCATTGAAATTAAACGTATATTAGCAAAGATAAAGCATATTTGACTTTTTATACATGGTTCAGTACTTGCCTGCTGGTACTACATAAAGTATAGTAATTATATACATTTTTTGCAATTTTCTTTGTTTCAGAGTCCCCTGAGTCCAAATTTTTGCCTATCTAAAAATTCCCTACTTAACCCTTTAATGACGGTGGTTTGGTATATAAGTCGAGAGGGAATCTGACACAGGCGAAGGTGGACTCATATGATTTGATACCGAATCATCTAAGGCGATTGTGGACTCATATGAGTTGAGTGGAATCATATGAGCCTATCGGGCTAGTATAACATATTTTGGCATTATTTTTATTATTTTTTTAAAGAGGGAACACAAGGTAAACATAAAACAGTTTTGATTTTAGTTTTTAACTCATTTAATTGTAAAAAAAAAATAAAGGTTTAAAAGTTCATATTTTATTTTAAAAAATTGTGTAGGTCATGTTGTAAAAATACATTTCAATTGTATAAATGTTAGATAAAAAAAAAAAAAAAGTTTAGACCAATACCCGAAATCAGGGGTCTCCGAACTTTATGGCCCAAGAGCCACATTGAGACCTCTACTAAGTCCCACGTGCTACATTGAGACGTCCATTATGTCCTGCGGGCCGTGGCGTGTGATGAAAAGAAAAAAATTGGGTACTTGTGAACGGTCTGGTCCCCAGTAAACCTCCCTTCTTGTCTTATGGTACGTTACATAACATAACCTCATAATTTGACAACAATACAGTGGGGAAAAGAGCAACTGAAACTATCGAACAGATGTATCATAATGTGGAACAAATTTTTATGAGAGGTTTGTGCCCATAACATGTTATATTGACTAAGAAAATTGGAGGGTCTAGGAAAGTCGTTGAAGTAGATGAGTCTTTTTTCTAAAAGAAATAATCATGTAGGGAGAGTTTTATCTGAACAATGGATGTTTGGTGGAGTTTGTCGAGAAACAGAAGAGTGTTTTATCGTAAAAATAAAGGACAGAAAGGCAAGAACTTTATTAGAATGTATTAAAAATAATATAGAAGACGGAAGCACCATTTATTCTGACTGTTGGAAAGGATACAACACCCAACAACTATCATCATTTCCAGGTGAATCGCCGGTATAACTTTCTTGATCCATCAATTGGGGTTCATACACAACATATAGAACGTTTATGGAGCTCAGCTAAATGGAGAAATAAGAAACAGCGAGAAATTGCGAGGCAACACCTCGATTCATATTTATGTGAATTTTTGTGGTGGCGGGCTCACAGAGAAGAGTTCCTTGCTATTTTAAATAGCATTAAGCTATTTATATTTCTTATTATTAAATTATAATATTTATATTTCTTTTTGTTATATTATTATATTTGTTTTTGTCTATATCAATTTCAAATTGTTATTCTTACATTTCTTTTCGTCTATTTCAACTTCGATAAATATGACATTTGTTTTTGTCTGTTTTATATATATATTGTAAAATAAAAGTGTTTTGTTATTATTACATTTGTTTTTGTGTTTTTGAATTTCATATGGTGGGCGGGGTGGCCGAACAGGGTATAACGTAGATATTGAATACATGGTTTTTCCAGGATAGTGTTTGATCAAAGGTTAATCCAAGGTTTTTGATACAGGGATAAAATTTGATGGGATTATGATATAGGAACAGAGTTGGAATATTAGGAACATTTTTAAGGAGGTGATTGGAGCCTATTAACATTGCCTTCGTCTTTTCCGCATTCAACTTCAAGTTGTTAGCTCTCGCCCAGTCACAAATTCTGTCCAAATCTTCTTGAAGTTTTTCTGTGGCTGATAATAGGTCGGAGGGCAGGAAGAAAAAGTATATTTGAAAATCATCTACACAGATATGGTATTGATATTGTATTAGTAAATATACAGATCAGGAGGAGAAGGTGATTAATATAAATAGTAAACAGTGCAGGAGATAGAGAGGAACCTTGAGGGACACCACAAGAGAGGGGAAGGGTCTTAGATGGAGATTATGATAGAATAGCTCAAAGTTATGGAAAATTGGCTCCCTCGACAAATTTAATAATGTTGCATGGTTCCCTTTACCTCTGGAATACAGATTTAGTAACTAAGAAACAAATTTTAATAGCTCAAAGTTATGGAGCCTTGGATCCACTGAACAATACAAAAATTGTTTTGTTTTTTTTATCTCTGGGGTACAGGATTCTACAGATCCCGTATATGCAGCATACTGAAGGTCTATCCAACCCTCTGTGCATGAGATTTATTCACTGAATTGCTCCTGTCTTTTTACACTTTTCACATTAAAATATGCTCTTCTTTGATAACTGACTTATACATTTTTCTTCAATATGGTGTCGTATAACTCATAAACAAATACTTTCCCTAAATAGTACTGAACCCAAGATCTTTCATGAGTTTTAGTGGTACAGATGATTTTTTTTTATATTCTAATATTTATTTTGTATACATAGTGTCATTATTTTTTTATTCTTCATTGAAATTTTTTATATTTTTTTTATTAACCAATTTCTGATGATGTTTGATATGGAAAAATTAAAAAAAATGTTTCATTATGTGATACATTTTATTACATATACTCCAATTTAAAAAAAAAAAATTATATTTTCGAAAAAAAAAAATTAAAACATTTTTAACTTGTGCACTTCAAAACACAAAATACCAACTGCTGTTAGTTTTAGACTTAAATTGTGTTCAAATGACTAGAGAAAGATGACATAGGGGTGGAAGCAGTTATACGAAGGTTTGAGGTCAAACCCCTCTCACCATAAGCCTTATGTTTGTAATAACATTAATAATAACAATTAGAAGAAAAAAGTATTGCTAGGAACCAGACAATTAACTTGATTGAACATTAGCAGAAAAATGCCTTTTCAGTCTTGATAAATAATTACTTTCTTTCAAATTTATCCAAATTTTCACCTCTTCAGTGACAATCTGATTACATACAATTTAAATTTTCATTTGAAGAGGCGAAAATTTGGACAGATTTGAAATAAAGTAATTATTTATCGAGACTGAAAAGGCTTTTTTCTACTAAAACTTATTATAGTCCCTTTCCCAAGATCATCTTGATTGAACATTTTAAAAAGATAGAAAAATGAAAGTGAATCAATAATAAATGAATTACTAAAAACTTCTAAATATTAATATTTATTATTGAAAAGTCTTATAAGTAATATAAAAAAAAATTGAATTAAACTACAGCAATTGGAAAATTCTATCCATCCTAAGTGAATGCAGTTAAACGTCTTGGTAGATTGATTGGGAAATTGACATCTATGAATATTTCGGTTTAATAGTTGGGTGCCTGTTACTACACATTACGGCTCCAGGTAAATAGATTTTGTCCCATGTATCGGTGCATGTTAGCATCTGAAAGAGTCTTGAGTTTCATTCAGGATGTGTTAGGCACCCGTCTACGAGAGTTACAAAGCTTTTTTCAAATCAATCAAACAAATTTTATTTAATCATGATTCAGTATTTTATTTCACATTGTTTCGAAACCCTCAGGGGATACCACCAAATAATATGACCCAAAATGGTCTGTCTGTGTATGTGTCTATTTTATCCTCATTGATATAGCCTAACAGGACTTAAATGCGAAATTTTCAAGATGGCTTTAATTATTTACTACTCCTATTTAAGCTAAAATTTAATTATTTAACTCTGTCATCCCACAGCTTTTATTTTAAATATAATAATTTTTTTATTGACAGTTTATTTAAAATATATATATATATATAGGAGGAATACTCATTGCTGTATTGAACTACACTGGAGATCAATTAAACTTCGGACTGGCTATTGAAAGAGCAAGGAATAAAGGAATTGAGGTTAATAATAGATTTATTAAGAAAAAATTTAACTAAATTATTTTTTATCGATGAAAACTTAACTGAATATTTTGTTTCAGGTAGAGAAAATATCAATCGCTGATGATGTAGCGTTATTAGGAACTGACAATGCTACTATTACTGGCAACAGAGGAATTAGCGGATGTGCATTTATTTTCAAGGTACAGAATAATAGATGGGACAGGTGACAAATTGATCATTTGTACTACATGAAATAATTTAATGTTTGTAGAAATAGACCAAAACATTTCTTACACAACTAAAGATAACTTCATTCTCAACTGTTTCTTAAGGAACCTTTGTTAAAACAAGAAAAATTCTGCAACAGCTGATAACATTTTACCATAACGTGAACAAACGTTTTACTATTGCGTAACAAATGTATATAATAAAGGGAAAAAATACATGGCTTTTGAAAATTTACATCACCTAATTAATTCTAATCGTTTACATTATCAAACTATTTTTTAGTTCATTCGAAAGGCGGGATTTTTTTTTTTTTGTGAAGAATAAGAAAAAAATATTGACTTTTTTGTATTAAATGAGTTATAACTTATCATAAATTATGAAAACCAAAATGCACTTACAGTACAGTAGGCCAAGTAAATTTTTGTTATGAAAAAGCAACTTAGATTTGTTTACAGGCTTCTTGTAAAACTCTTAAATACGAATATTTATATAAATAAAAAAATTTAGAACTTGATTTTCTTTCTTAGAGGATTTTTTTTTTTCTAGTAGTCAACTATAATATATATAACTCAGAATTTTCTTCAAATTCAACTTTAATATAACCGTTGAAAGCTGAATGACTGCTCTTCCAACCGATATTAATATATACCAAAATAACTTTTGGATTTCATTTCTTTTTAAGCTAGGAATAAAGAACACTTCAAACCCATTTTATTTTATATCTTTAGTTCTAATTTGTTGACAGGTAGCTATAATATGGACACAGTTTTAACCAATCGATGTAGCAATGTGGGAGTTTTTTAGGGAGAAACAAAATTAATATTTATATTGAATTTTTAATAGTTGACCGTTGCGTTATAAAGGTAGGAGATGGTAACGGAATGTCGGTCATAAATAGACTAAATAGTGGTAAAACTATTTTATTGAAATCCGACGTTTCAACCCGGCTTTGCAGGTCTTCATCAGGGCTAGAACGGACAAGATACAAAAAGATAGAGAACTGTGGCAGTTACATAATATTTAGACATAATTTATAAACAATGTGAATAAGCTTATTAAAATTATAAACAGTAAGTACAATAAAATATGGACCAAGTAAGCTAAGTAACAAGATCCTAAACTGAAGTAAATAGATGCTAACAATTGTTGTAGTGTAATATATAATAAATGCAGAAGTATATTCACATTTGCATTTATTATATATTACACTACAACAATTGTTATCATCTATTTACTTCAGTTTAGGATCTTGTTACTTAGCTTACTTTGTTCATATTTTAATGTACTTACTGTTTATAATTTCAATAAGCTTATTCACATTGTTTATAAATTTTGTCTAAATATTATGTAACTGCCACAATTCTCTATCTTTTTGTATCTTGTCCGTTCTAGTCCTGAAGAAGACCTGCAAAGTCGGATCGAAACGTTGGCTTTTAATAAAATAGTTTTCTCACTATACCCCGGACCATCTCCTTCCTTTAAAATTAATATTTATTTTTGCACCTCAAAAAAAGCCTTAAAAAGTGTGTTAATGCATTTATATTTATTAGTATACATCCCAGATCATCAAATAAAAATAATTACAGAATTGCAAACAGAAAACACGGGTATAAAAACAGATCATTTTTCTACATAACTTGAGGTGAATCTCAAGTTTTTCCTAATAAACCTAAACTCAAAAGTCCTCTTTGAACAGTTTTAACAATGATTAACTCTTTTTTCATTTGAGATAAATTTTGTTTAGTTTACAGTAAAGCAATTGATACTTAAATTTAATATTTCTTTAGTTATCACTTTCTATTCAACAAAAAATATGACTTAATTAAAAAAATACAAAACTTGGATTTCCTACTTTTCGGCTAAAAATTGGCCCATTGTTTACGTGAACTTTATTGTAGCTTTTGAGATCTGCTATCACTCCTATAAATATTTCCCTCGGCTTACGTGACATCCTTTATAATAGATTCCTCCCAAAACTTGCTTTGCACCTCTCAGAATCCAGAATCCTTCCTTGCACATCAAGATCTATAAGCTCCCAACTCCTAAGTTCATTTCTGAGGAAATTTCCTGGTCGAACCTCTACTCACTGACTTTTGAAAAACTTAATCCTTCTCTAGATTCGACGACCCCTATCCTTAGATCCTATCAATTCCTCTTCCTCCATTGACGAAATAGTGAAATGTCATTCCTCCTATCTTTTCACATTCCTAAATCTAGATCTCTACTTTCATAAGCCCCACTACTCCCTGGATCAATCATGAAATCAGAGTGCAGATGAGGAGAATAGAACCTTTTAGGAGGCATACGAAATCCTGATAATCACCCCTTCAAATCTCTATGAATCCTCACTCAATTTTCCTTATGCCATGTAAATAACCTTCCGTTTGCACAGGGGTCTTAGTTATTTACACCAGAGAATTTTAATTTTAAAACGAAAACCCGGATAAACTTTTTGAGAGTGTTTACTGCTGTTGTGAATTCGGGAACCTATTTCTTTTATGACATTGAGTGGCAAGCTATAATAAGTATATATATGAAATATTGGAATGAGCAAATACACTTAAAATGAATTGACTCGACTGGTTGTCGATCTTGAATTGTCTGATGTTGAGACATATAGGACAATTAAATAAAAGGGAACATCGACTCCTGAGTAACATAACTAATTTATTTTCACAGACTATATAAATAATGAATGATTTAAAAGTCCTATGACAGTTAGTAGGTTTCTTCTTAATTCTCCAGTAGAGTGGACCTCTCTCACGCAGTTACAACCTTTTGTCCTCACATCCTAGCTTAGGTGACCTCTTTGTTCTTCTCTCTTCCACCGTCTCTGCCACCTGTTGGACGCTTTTTCAGGCCTTTTCATTTCTTCGTTCTTCTGCACATATTTCATCAATTGTTTATACTTTTAACATTTTTCACAAAACACCCTGTCCACTGCAGAATTAAATCCAATACGTAGTCCACGTTCCATCCTTATATAGTTCTTATCCCTCACTAAATGCAACTTAAAAGAATATTTTGAGGTCATCTACTACAGCCGTGATAATGCACAGTTTTTCTATCCTTCCTTATCTCAATCGTCAGATCCTAAGTACAGATGGAAAATCCTCAAAAATCAGTCCATAGTGAAGTAAAAAACATGCACATCTCATCCTGTAGCTTTTTTTTTCATATATGCAAAACATTTATATTTTTATGACTGTCAGACTATAATATTTATAAAGTATGCCATCCACTACAACTATATACTTTAGAAGAATTTTTTTTGTACTAGTAGCTCCTTGGTGCTATGGCTGAAGAGGACCAAACTCTTCACGAGCTGAAATATTCTTATGAGGAAATAAAGAAAAGGATTGCCTCTATGGGAGCATGTTTAGTTCCTTGCAGGCTCCCATCTACCAATGAATTACTTTTCGAATTGAAAGAAGACGAGGTTTCCTTCGGCTGTGGAGTTCATGGAGAGGCTGGAATATCTACAATTAAGGTAATTTATAGATTAATTAATTAACAGGAATCCATTGAGCCATGGGCACTGACTTTCCATTTTGGTTAAGGAGCTAGACCAGAAAAAAATTACTGCAAGTTATATTATGAATAAAACCGTGGTGAGTGAGCGCATCACATGGTTTTCACTTATCACCCTAATTTTATAATTTAAGGATGGGCATTTTCAGACAGGGAAGTGAAAATAAAAATTATAGACGGTACAACATATTATATTATTAAACCAATTAACTACCATAGTGTATTTGTCATTAACCATTTCTTTTTAGGACCAGATATTTTAATTATTTAAGAGCTACAAAAAATTTTATTCCGACAAGAATGCCAATACTGAATCCGGCTGCTATGTCTATTTTTATTTTATTGGGGGTATTTTTATTTGTTAAAGCCCTGGTGTATGTACAAATTTTAATTTTTATATTGCTGTAATCCAAGGGTCTGGATGAGGGACCTACTTACATAATTATGTAAGTAAGTAAAAGCCATGGAAGGGATGTCGCTGGGTACTGCTTTTCCTCATGCCTATCAAGCCTTTTTTTTTAAACTTATTTTCTATTTATTTATTTATTTTATCTTATGATTGTGCCAGCTCATCTGCTGATTGTCAGTTTTAATTGACAGGTAAGGATCAATAAATAAAAGTGCTATATACTGTAATCTATAAAATTTAATATTAAGTACAGTCAACTCTTGATAATTTGAACTCCTCAGCTGGAAACATTGGTAAATCTAAAAAATGCGGTGTAAGATAAGCTCGATAACTCAAAATTGTGTAACAAGAAGGAGAGATAATGTTCTATAATTTAAACTAGCCACTTCTCACTTCTCTTCTTTATAATCCAAATTATAACCATCGTGCCAATGTTTACTCCTCATTTTCTGGGTAATGTGTACATCCTTTCTGTCCAGCTTAACTTCTCAATTTACTTTAGTTTATTACGATTAGTACAAAGCAGAAGTATGCCTCCCTTACTGTGTCCAACAAAAAAAAAAAATTATAGCGGCCGTGGAAAGTGGTTCGAAAAAAAAAGACGCCGCTAAAACTTTCAATATTCCACCATCATCACAGTCAACAATTTTGAAGAATAAAGGAAAAAATTCTTTTTTTTTTTTTTTTTATTGGACCAGAAACACCCAGCCTCATTGGAACAAAAATCAATTCTTAATTTTTTTAATTAGGTCTGTTATTATCTATTGCAATGCTAATATGTAATTTTTTGTTGTTTTCATTTTTTACTTGATACTAAGTATCCCTACATATGTTATTATAGCAAGGCTCGAATTCGGTTTTGTACCAAATATAAGCTCTTGTCATACTCAAATACCATGAATGGGGTACCATTGGATTCAGAATTTCACAGGGGTTTAGCGAATCGTACTTTTCATTTTCTTTCTAAAATAAATAAAGTCGATATAAACATTTTCCTAGGCTTCAATACTAGAACGGTGGTAAGTCTAGATCGATATGGGACAAATTGGGCTTTGAAGATTTTGATGTGTATATCAAGACTCGGATAGTTGCTTCGGACTATGTGTTTTAAGCCCAAAAACCTATTTTTTTTTTTTTTTTTATATAACGCAAGGAAAAAGATTTGCATCCACACAATCTTATGTTAATTGTAGTACTGTCATGGAATATATGTCTCATTTCGTCGACTTGAGGTCCCTATGATCGATAGAGAAGGAGTTTATCAAAGGTGTTTTTTTGTTGGTAAGCCGTATCATCGTTAATTCTTCATCATATCCACAAGACTGAGCCACCAATTTTAAAGGTTTCCTTCTCCATCATGTGGGAAAAATAGTCCAATCACCAAGAAAATTCAGACAAAAAAGTTATGAAAGAAAAGAAACTTCATTTGTGAATAACTCAAAAATTAAACAATTTTCCCTTGATTATATCAATGATAATATAAAATATTACTAAATTCCCTACGAAAGAAAAAACAAATTATCAAAATTGGAAAATTATTATCAAAAATATAGCTTATTGAAATTTGTAAACATATTGATTCTAAACGTTAAAGAAGTTTTAAATTTAAGCGAGAAAGTAACAATTGATTTATTTTATGATACGTTGTATTATTTTATTTTCATATTAATTTATTATTTCATCAGTGAACAATATACAGTGTGAATTTTCGTATGGGCCTACTAGTATATAAAATTTATATCAGTTCATGCATATTTTCAAAAATATAGTAAAAACAACTTTTAATGATTCAGTTTTTTTTTCTTTTCTCTCGATAATTCAAACTTCTTATTTGATATCTCCATACTTCGATTTCTCATAGTATCTTAGAATTCGAATTATCGAGAGTTGACTGTAATATCAAAGGGTACTCCTTAAATAGCCAGGGTGGGTTATCTTCTCTAACCTAAGTTATTCCATTGTTTATTTTTTCTCCCTACTGTAAACTGTGAGTTATTCCATCGTTTATTTCTGTTCCATTAGTAAGGAACGTGGTTGTTACATTATTCGAATCACCGTCTTCAGAAGAAGAGGCTATCAAATATTTTCAAGACACCGCGATGATTGCAAAGGTGAAATATTGTGATGAAGGTCATGAAATGAAGTTTGACGGGAAGACGAAATGGAAATGCTTTTATATTTGTTACAAAAACGTTTCTATAAGAAAAGGAACGTGGTTAGATTAACTAGAGTTAGAGGAACGAGGATTTCTTTTTTGTTTTTCGAAGATTTTTTATATTGTTTCTAATACAAATATAATACAATAAATATGAATACGAAGATATAATAATATGAATATCAATAATATGAATATAATTCAATAAATATGAGCACGAAGATATTATCAGTACCTTATCAGAATTATCAGTGTTAAGGTTATAAACATAGGCAAATAGCAGACCCACTGACCAGCTATTTAAGGAGTACCTACCAAAGCTAGCATTTATGGAGATTCTGTAAAATCTTTACTTAAAAAGTTTCAAAGAAAAAATTTCTAGTTCCATTTACAGAGAAAAAAATTTAAAATAAAGATTTCAATCATACCATAACTGATTAAAAAGAGAACTTGAAATTACATTTCAATTCTTGATACATCTTCTAGATACATCAAGCCTTGATACATCTTCTAGATAAAACAAGCTAATTTTAGTTACTTATAAAATTTTATTATGATGTATCCTATGCCATAACAATTAGGATTGTTGCAGATGACTAGGATAGATGATATGGTGGCGCAGGTTTTGAGCAAAATTTTTCAATCAGAAATAATAAAGCCCGGAGACAAGGTCTGTGTCCTGTTTGGAAACCTGGGCACCTTAACCCATATGGAACTCTTGCTCATCGCCAACATTGCCCAAATGCAGCTAGGTTAGTATGTTATAATATTAATTATCTATATAAATAAAATAAAGATTTTGTCTGTACATTGGATAGAATCAACCTTTTTTGTGATGTCTTTCCATTTCATACATTACAGACACCAAACCCCCTTTTTAAAAAAAATTTGTCTGTCTGTATGTCCGCACTGCAACAAAATTTTGTCAGGGGTAAGCTCAGCAATGGCTTATTGTAGACTTTTGAAATGTTGACATTACATATATGTTTACTTGACTTAAAATATAGGCTTTAAATGAAAAGAAAATATTGAATAGAACCAAAGATATGAATTCTTGAGTAATTTGTTTAGAGATCCAGGTGAGGCAGTTACTTCGATTCCCATCCCAACCTACTCTACAGCGAGCCACATTTCAAAGTTGTACTACTCAACTAATGAAAAAAATTATCACAACTTAACGAGACGGAATACTGAACATTTTCACATAAAACGTGTAAAACACACTCATTTTTCAACTTCCCGAGCCTAACAAATGTTGTCATATACATTTTTAAGATTAACCAAAAGGATTAGTCGGAGATCAGGAAAAAAATCAAAAATTTCACCCCGCTCACCAAAATATTCAGATCAAGTTCTAATTCTTCACGGATGTAGATGACTCAATGTCCAATATTATTTTGGCAGTGATAAACTCAGCAGAGTTTAAAGAAGTGGAGAGACTACAACTCTTTTTGATTAATTTATTGACCACAATTTCCTTGCTTCATCATAAATGAAAATTAAACACAAGAAATTTTAATAGTTCGGTGGTGGTCGGTTTAGTTGTGTGGTACCTAAACAAATAGCCGAATAACAATGTTTTTGTTATGGCTATTGCAAAAGCTTGATTTCCATAAGCCCCGCCATAAAAAAATTCAAAACAACCTCTCTCCTCCCTCCTGACCCAATTTTATGAAATTAAATTTGGACCCTCCCTCCCATAATACAAAATCCATCTCAAAAAAAGGTTCTCAAATTTTAACTATACACCCGTCAACGATGGGTACATCAGCTAGTACTTTATAGATACAAAAATCCAAACTATAAAGCCACAAGTCTCCAACATCAATTAAGGTGAACAATTAACCTGTTATCCAGCAGGCTAACTGTTTATATGTATTTTAGAGTATTCAGCGTAGTTCACCTCTATTTCCCCAATTCGACTATGGTTGCCTGGTATATGGAGGACTCTCTGCCAGGATAGAGATGAGACTGTAGAGATTCATAAATTGCTGCAAAAGATTCATCTTTGGAATTCCCAGACATTCTCATGTTTCCTACTGGTACACCAAGTTGAAGTGGTTTTATTGTACTTCCCAATGGAAATTCCTCCTTTTTCTAAGTCCTCAAAACCGAAAATTCTCCCTACATCCTAGAACACCTTGCTCTACGTACCTCTATCCACTCTTTAAATATCTCAACCTATTGATCTACAGGTACCATTTTTAGTTTCTTAGATATTTAAATACAAATGCAAAAACGCTTAAAAAATTTACTGCTGTGCTTAAAGTATAAAATAGCCGAACTGCAAATTTTAGGACTTTAAAAGGCAGGGATTCTATGATCTCCAATTAGAAATCTTCAAAACGAATTTGACTACACATGATGTCTGTCTGACTATAGACACAGACATAGAACCAATATGTTTCTTAAACATAAATCACGAGTTGGTATTAATGATTCTCGGAACAAACATGTTTTTAACTCACACATGGACACAAAGCTTTCCTACCTTCGATAGCGAGGAAGCAATAATAGAAATCACACCAGCACTTGGAAGGTATTGTTGATATTAAATTTAGATATTATTGTTGGATTTAATGTACAGAAGATAAACTCCCTATCATCAGGGTTGATAAAAATTTATTGAAAATTATGTGTAATATGATTTAACTGTTTCTAAAATAAATTTTAATTTAAAAAATAGTTCATTTAAATTTAACCCATGCTTTGTCATTGAAAATAATATTAGCAATAATATGTTGTTTTTTCTAAGGAAGTTGTTGTTTTAGAAAAAAAAAAGATTAGAATAGAAAGGATGTACGTTGGAACAGTGATGTCTTCTCTTGACATGAAAGGATTCCAGATCTCCGTATTGAATGTCAATCAAAAAGATTATTGGCTCAACTACCTCGACAGTCCAACATCTGCTTTTGGCTGGACTGGGACATCTCATTCGTTTACTACTCAAAGGCCTATGGCTGAATCATTGTATCATGTTGATGAGATGGACGAACCGGTAATAGCAAATACAAAAATTATTCTTTATCTAATTTATATTTGTTGATAAAAATATATATAAGCTAATTTATTTGTTTCCCACAAATGTCTTTGACAATTCGTGACCTTGTTCTGAAAAGGTTCTAACTATCAAATTTGGACAAATTGAGTTTACACTCAGAAATATCTCAAAATAAAGTTATATATTTTCTAAATGAATCAATTTTAGTGCAGTTCTTATGGCTATAAGCTTACAACCCTAACCTATGCTATACTACACATTACACTCTATGAGAACAGGCAAGATGAGTGTAATTTTTTACTTTCATTTACTTATGTATGTAATATATAGTAAGGATAAGTATTACGATCATGAAAATTTTCGAATCTGAATTTTCAATGGAAATATACGTTTTAAGGTATCCAGAGTCCAAATAACCAAGTCCCGCAAAATGGTCTATGTGTATGTGAACGGTCTAGCTCTAAAACGAAAAATCATACAAAACTGATATTACGTAGTTAAGGTAGGTATATGCCTTGATGTCGCAGCAACTTTTTCCTTAAAATCGGCTTACCAGAAGTGCCACTTTATATCAATGGTGAAACACATTTTTACAATTTTCTCAAAAACGGCTCCAACGATTTTGATTAAACTCGGTGTTTCATTGTATAATTAAGTGATCTTTAATATCAATCAGGTCTAACCCCCATTGATATCACTTTACAGGACTTAAATGTCCAATGTTCATATACGTCTTCCTATAAAGTACCTTTAATATGTTTTATTTTAAATAATTAATCATCTCACATTATTCAGAGTTACGAGTGTAATTTTTTACTTTCACTTACCTATGTATGTAATATATAGTAAGGGTAAGTACTGTGATCTTGAAAAATTTCAACGGAAATACACGATTTGAGGTACCCTGAGTCCAAATGACCAATAATGTGTGTATGTGAACACTCTAGCTCGAAAACAAAAAGTCGTACAAAACTTATATTACTTATTTAAGATAGCTAGCTATATGCCTTAGATATTACAGACATTTTTTCCTAAAAAAAGGCTAACTGGAAGTGCCACGTTATACCAACGGTAAAACAAATTTTTTCAATTTTCTCAAAAACAGCTCTAACGATTTTTATTAAACTCGGTTTATCATTATATAGTTAAATGGTCTTTAATATCATTTAGGTCTTGTTCCCATTGATGTCACTTTACCGGGCTTAGATGCCCAATGAAAATTAATGTATGATTTTAGATTATGTAATTGAGGAATGTGTGTTTATTACCCCAACTCAACCTGAGATATTTCTCTGGACAAATTATTATTTGTGGTCTTTAAAATAATTATTGTGTGAAATAAATTTAATTTGGTTCAGAAACCGTTTTTTTTTACTTTTCAAAGGAAAGATAACCTAACAATATATATATATTGTAGTTTAAATTATTATATAGTGAATTTAAATAGTGGAGCGAAAGCGACTTCACAAACTATAGTCAAGGAATGGACAAAGAGATGGAGGAAGACAGATAAAAGGTGGAGCAAGCACCAGGTGTGAGAGAAAAAAAAATGACCAAGAAAAGAGCATTGAGACCAACAGAGAGTGACAGGTCAGCAAGTAATAAGTGTCTAGTGGGCGGGTTGGCCGAATGGGTTAAAGCGTGTGCACTGCACCGCCGTTGCCCGGCAACCTGACATATGAATCAAAGATATAAAAATAGTCACGAGTTCGCGTCCCGGTGCCGGGAGAGTCTTTTAAATCCCCTCCCACACTCCCTGGCCGGGAAAATCCCGTATAGCCTTAACGGCGAGGAAGGAAAGGATCAAAAAAAAAAAAAAAGTAATAAGTGTCTAGTGGGCGAGGTGGCCGAATGGGTTAACGAGAGTGTGCACAGCACGGCTGTTGCCCGGCAACCTGACATACGAAACAACGATGAAAAATAGTCACGAGTTCGCATCCCGGTGCCGAGGGAGTCTTTAAAATCCCATACTCCCATACTCCCTGACCCGGGAAAACCCCGTATAGCCTTAAAGGCGAGGAAGGGGAGGACCCAAAAAAAAAAAAGTAATGAGTGTCTAGATGAGTACAGGAAAATATAAGATTAAGAGAGGACATTTTTAGAAGTTGATTACAGTAAAGCTTGCTGCAACAATACAGAGAAAGATTCACTGCGGACTAGGGTGAGTCCAAATTAAATAGTGACCATTCGAAAGTGCTAAGATTAGACCCCGACATAACTGAATGGAAATTCATAAATATTTCATACTAAATTAATTTATGTTTTTAGATCATATAATTGAAGAACATATGTTTATTTATCTCAACCCAACCTGAGAAATAATTTGTAGTCTTTAAAATACTTTTCAACGGAAACGTAACCTAACAATATATATATATTGTAAGGTTAGGTTCCTTTGAAAAGTAAACAAAACAGTTTCTGAATCAAATAATATTTATTTTAATCAATAATTAATTCCCAGGTTGGGTTGAGACAACAAACACACATCCTCAATTATACAATATAAAAGCATACATTAATTATTCAGCACATTTATGAATTTCTAATTCATTTTTCGTGGTCTAATCTTGGCGCGCTTTTGAACTGTCTATTTATATTTCACTCACCCTGTTCTGCAGTGAGTCTTCCTCTGCATTGTTGTGTTCAACTTCAACTACTGTTAAGCAGTAGCTTAATATATATGCTAGTGGACAGTGCTGAGACTGTCGGTGTGTCCCTGGCCTGATCGAAGCTCTATTTTTTAAAATTCTAGCTTTGAAGAGGATCCCATCCTTGACTTATAAAAAGAAAATACCGGGATCGAAACGTCAATAAACACAGAAGAAATGAACATTCAGTAGTTTATTAAATAATTAATAAGTGACCTTATTCCCAATTAAATAGTCAAGTTTAAATATATATATTGTAATGTAAAAAGGTAGTGATGTCACAAACTACTGCCAAAAATGGACAAAATAATGACAGATGGTGGGGAAAGAGTTCTTTATGAGAGGCAGAAGGTAGCCAGCCGGCTAGGAAAGAGGATCGGTGAGAAAAAAATTTAGTTAATAAAGTGAGTGTCTACAACTAGACGAAGACAAGAAAGTAATAGAACAAGAGAAGAAAGTTGTAAAAGTTGGATACAATACTGAGGAAGAATCACCACAGAACAGGGAGAGTGAAATATAAAATGGACAATTCGAAAGCACGCCAAGATTAGACCCCGACAAATTTAATGGAAATTCATAAATGTGCTGTATAATTAATGTATGCATTAATATTGTATAATTGAGGATGTGTGTTTGTTGTCTCAACCCAACCTGGGAAGTAATTATTGTGTGAAATAAATATTATTTGATTAAGAAACTGTTTACTTTTCAAAGGGAACGTAACCTTACAATATATACATAAAAGTATATATATATATATGTTTATACAATGGATTTTGGACAGAATTGATTCAGAATTTATTGCCACTTATAGATGGAAGGACCGAAATATAACGAAAGAGAAAGTAGAAGTTTTAAGATTGCTGTGATTGCTGCTTGCCATGCTTTAAAAGATAACGCTGATAAAATAAATGAACTCGATTCAGGATGCGGCGATGGTGATTGTGGTTCCACAATGGCAAATTTAGCTGAAGGTAAATATTAATTTATATATTTTTACTGTTCAGAATCTTGATTCATGGAATAGGTAATAAATACTTGAAACTGCAAAAAGTTTAGTCGACCAAATATTCTTCATTTTATTCTATTCCTTTTCTTCTTTTTTTCTCATAAATCATTTAAAACTAATGTTGGGGTTATAATTGAAAAATGTTCAACCAGTCTTATTTGATCAAAATGATGCTGGTAAAGAATAGAAAAAAAACCTTCAGCTTCGTTATGTTACCTTTATTTCATTATGCATTCTTCAGTCATTGAGTGATATGATCTTCAGTTTGTTTTTCATTTCTGTCCTGATGACGCCAGAATTGGGAATTTTTTTATTCTTTCCAGCATTTTGGATACCTGAGGCTGTGTAGTTGGATTTGTTCCAATTATAATCTAACATCAAATTTCTGTCTCTTGGTCAGTTTTTTACTCGCTAACATTTAAAACTAATATTAATTCTTTTTTGTACCGTTCACAATTGATTTGTTTTTTTTAAAACTATTCCATGACGTTGATGACTATCCCGTGGTGACAATGATAAGATGAAGTCATTATAGGTTTAGCTCATGTTTTTAAAATAGTTGACGTAGTTCAGTCGGTTAATCACTGTATTACAGAAACCTTCAAGCTTGTGTTTGAGTTAGGTTGCCTCGACAACTATTTTATTCTATTTATATCAGCTGTGGATCGAACCTGAGGTATCATTTATGGAAAATATATTTGCCTCCTAAAATACCATATCAACACTATAAGAAACAAAATATGCAGGATCATAAATAAATGCATATAAAAATAAATGTTAACAAAAATAAAAACAGTCTGTGTCATTTTGTAATTTGGAAAAAGATGTCCTCAAGCTTAAACCTATAAAATTAGACAATTTAATGTGGTAGGGTTTCTAATAAGATAAGTTAAATAAACCAGTTTAGTAGATTAATAGATAAAGTTCTGTTTTGAAGACAATACTTTTTGTTTTCAATGATAAATATATTGGGTTGGCAAATAAGTGATACACTTCTTATCTGATGAATTAATCCCTAAGGTGGATTGTTTATCCTGTTTCTAATATGTCAACAACTATATCTGTTAATTCTTGTTGAAAGTAGCTCAGTATTGTGTTTGCTATTGCACTGTGAATATGGAATATCATTCGTTATCGGCATATTTTGTTGTATTATTTTAAAAAAGATAAGCGTGCTGCAGAAGCTCATAGAAAAATATGCAGTGTTGATAGGGATGATGACTTGACCGAATGCACCTGTCAAAATTGGTTTGCCAAATTCCATTCAGGAAATTTTGACATGAATGAAGGTTATTGTTGATCAAAACCCACCCAATCAATGCGAGATATTGCTATGGCCCTAAATATGTTGCACACAAGCATAGAAAACCTAGAAAGCATAGAAAATTTCACAAGCTCGGCTATGTTTCCAGGCTTAATGTTGGGGTTCCTCATTCTCTAACCGAAGTCAACTTGGCAACATGCATTTCTGTTTGTGATTCACTACGGAAACGGCAACAAAAGAAACCATTTTTGAAAAGGTTGGTAACAGCATATGAAAAATGGATATTTTATGATAATGTAGTTTGTAGAAAATCTAGGGGAACTAGTAGTGAGGCTCCTAGAAGAATTTGAAAACCCGGATTGCATCCAAAGAAGATAATGCTTTCCATATGATGGGATTTCTTGTTATTTTCTATGAGCTATTGCTATCAGGACAAATAATTGATTCAACTCTATCCTGATCAATAATTAAATGATAAATCAATAATTAAATAAAATAAAATAAATAAACGCCTAGAACTGGCAAATCAAAAGGGACAACGCTAGGCCCCACACCTCATTGGTCACTTGCAATAAATTATTGAGCCTTGGATGGGACCTTGAAAGCCTTCAGTGCTCGAACCACGCCCTGAAGATGACCCACATGTTTGGGTTGAAATGTTGGCACAAATAAAAAAATTTGCATAATGACTACGTCCTGACTATGTATCACCCACTTACAATTTATAAGTATATTTTTGATTTAATTTTTCAGTTAATTTTACAATTGTTAATAAAAATTAAAAAATAAATGGAAAAAAATTCCAAAAGTAAGAGGACATCTAAAACCACTTGGATAATTTTTTTAACAATTAACTCCAGAGATTCTATGAACATGGCATTATGCAGTTAGTGGAAAGATGGGAAAAAGTCATATTAAATAATAGTAAATATATTGTAGATTAAACTAAATTTTACGTCTATAATACATTGAGTTTTATTTCAACCTGAAAAACCTAAAGGACTTATTTGCCAACCCAACGTGTGTGTGTGTGTGTGTGTGTGTGTGTGTGTGTGTGTGTTTGTGTGTGCATGTTATAATATTTTAAAAATATAAATTTTACAATTTATAAGTATATTTTTGATTTAATTTTTCAGTTAATTTTACAATTGTTAATACAAATTTTTGTCTTGTTTTCATTTATGTAGAGTTTACTGAGCACTTACTGTTACCGTAACGGTGAAGAATTTTGAGGTCTAATCAACGAAATAATTGCACATAAACATTGATATATTCATAATTTAATAACATAAATATTCTATCTGCTAACTCAACGAATAATTATAAAATAAAATACTACTCAATAAAACATTTCTTTCTCTATAAGTAAACTGCGGAGGATATAAAGCTCAACATCTAACCTATCATTTAGATGACCTTAGCAGTCAAATTTAAAGGAATTTCTCTGTAACTTAATGAAGGAAAGCATAAAAGTTAATTTATAAATTGAAAATTAAATTAAGAGAAGCTAAATTAAAGATATCCTTTATTAAACGCTCCTAAAGAATTTTTTTTTATCAGAACATTCATACATATTTATTCTAATGTTAAGTTGTAATAGCATCTAATTTTTTATGTGCCACTGATTATTAAATTCCACCAATTTCTTTTGAATCAGCGATCCTGGCTCAAAAAGAAGCACTCCCTTGGAAATGGGTCGGTAGTTGCTTGCTGAATCTATCGAAGATTGCCGAGGCTCAGATGGGAGGTACTTCTGGAGCAGTGTACTCTCTACTGTTTGCGGGAGCTGCCAAAGGAATTAGCAGATCATGGCAGGAGGGTTGGATATCGGCATTGCAGACGCTATACACCCACTCACCAGCGAGAGTTGGTCATCGAACTCTAGTGAGTTTTTTTTTTATATTAATGTGAAAACAGCGCTGTAAGTCTATGAATTTCACAAGCAATCCAGCAATGTGTTCATTTCACAATGTTTGAAAAACTGATCAGAACAATTTTTAAAAAATCTGGCGCGAGCATCACTCAACTTTCACTTGCCGTTCTGCTTTGAATATAAATTATTTTCTAGCAATATCGGGCTCTTACAAAATTTTAGAAGTACATTTTAAACAGAGATAAAGTCTAAACCTTACAGATAACAGCTTATTAAGACCATTAAAATAAAACAATTTTATTTATCATATCGACAGTAGGTAATAAAAACCTCATGTAACTCCATCTGTTTTTGTAAACCACGTAACTCTAGTCTCTGAGATATATATGCCTAGAGAGATTTAAAAGTACATCTGTATATTTAACTTATAAATGATTATGAATTGTACTACCCTGTTTCCCATTTTTATGCAGAGATGAAGTGGCTTTATCCTTCCTACCGCCATAAGCATTTCCTGGCATCCTTCTTTTTCCAAGTAATTCACTTCATACATCGCCGAGCTCCTTCAATTTAAATCCACTCCCGCAATACCCGTTCCTGGTCTTCAGATTTATATATAATAGCCCACCGAACCGCTGCTTTTGATAAATCTTTTATTATGCGATCCTCTTCCCTATGGAACTCTATCTCTCCCCACATCCATCAATCCAAAACCCTTCCTACCTTTAAATCCCGACTGTTTAATCATTTCTTATCCAGCCAGTCCTCATAAAATTGTAAATAGTTACTACTGTAAATACGTATATAAATTATTAGATGGTTCTTCATTATTTTTACTTCATGTTTATTTTCAATTTTTTATTTTTTTATTATTAACTGATTTAAATTATAAAGTAACTTATAATTTCTTTTATTATATTTTTATTTTGACTATTTAATTAAACTATATTCTTGTTTATGTATCTGTGAGGCTCCTTAGCTGACATTTTTGTCTTTCTGTATTATTCTAAAGGGGCTCGTCCCAGAATAAATAAAGCATTATTATTATTATTATTACTATCAGTTATTAAACTTTTACTTTTCCATTGTAAAGTTTACAAAAATGGAGCTATAAGATTTTCATTGCCTACTATTGATAGTTCAAAAGTTGTCATACTAATTATAAGTGGATAATGTTGTGATTTCACAAGGGAAAAATTCATCAAAACCATTGTTTTTACAATTACAGTGGCTCTTGACGATTTTGATCAAACTTCTCATCCTCATTGATATAATTTGACAGTGCTTAAATGCTGAATTTTCAAAATTTCTTTCTCTAAAGTACCTTAATCATTAAAAAATCCCTTACTCATTAAGTAAATTAATCATTTCACATTGTAAATAGTAATGAGAAATGATTAAATATAATGAATAGAAAATATTTTTTGGTAACTAAGTGAGAAATAAGGATTGGAAGCTTTATGGAAACAGCCTAGAGAGCCCAACTTTTGCCGATCCTCTCCGTTTAGATACCCTATCCCCTGTGTAAAAAGCTCTCACATTGTTAATTGATCGTTTATATTTCACTTATCCATAATTTTCTAAAAAGATTTTCATGTGCAATATTAATAATCTACTAATAAAAACGTACGTAAGAAGGATGTAAAGAAGTAAGAACGAAATAAGTCTGAACGATTGGTTTCAATATTACACGAATCTATACGGCCAAAAAACAATACATGAAACATACTTTTTCTCCGTAACTCATCCACTCCTGGATATCAATATATCATTGGAAGAACTGCAACAAAGCATAGGTACCTGTAAAAAACATAAATCTCCAGGACCTGATAATATAACTTATGAAGTTGTTAAATGTCTCAACCCCTCTTGGGAGCACTACATATTAAATTTATTTAATAACGTATTGAATTCTGAACAAATTCCAGGAATGTGGGCCGAATCTAACTTGCATCTTCTGTATAAGAAAGGTGATAAAAAGGATCCGAACAACTACAGAGGCATATCCTTACTTAATACTCTAGCAAAGTTATTCACTAGCATTCTAAGGAACAGAATCATGAAATGGGCTGAATTAGAAAAATTAATACCGGAGGAACAGGCTGGTTTTAGAACGGGCAGGGGATGCATTGATCACATATTCACATTGATGTCAGTTGTCAACATTAATTTGAGGTCAAAGGGCAGCTATGTTTACGCAGTGTTTGTCGACCTTAGGAAGGCCTTCAACTCTATCAACCAAAATTTGTTGTGGGAAAGGCTCTTTTCTCTTGGAATGGGGGAAAACTAATTAGGCTTCTCAAGAAACTATATGATGCTTCATCGATGCGGATAAAGTTGAAACACGAGTTGTCAGAAGAGATTGGTATCAGTCTGGGCCTGCTTCAGGGGGACAGTCTTAGTCCTGCATTGTTTATCCTGTTTGTGTCGGATATAGTTGAGTACTTCCGTGACCGAGGAGCTGTTGGTATTAGTATAGACCACAACCATGAAGTAGTTATGCTTCTGTTAGCGGATGATATTGTGCTCCTCAGTAATTCGTGGCATGGTGCACAAAGAAACATCAATATACTGAGCGAATACTGTAAAAGCAAATCTTTGACCCTAAATCCATCTAAGTCTAAGGTGTTGGTGTTCCATAAATCTCCAAGGATGAAGAAACTTAAGACTTTGGCTTGGCGAGACACAAGTTTGGAGTATACCAGAAACTACACATATCTGGGTGTACCCTTTTCTTCTTCTGGAAAATTTGAGAGAGCCGCGGAGCATTTCTTACATAGATCATCTGTTGCAGCGACCAAAGTGATGGCAATCCTAAGAAATGGAAAAAGCGACTCTTGGGAGACAAAAACCAGCCTCTTTGACTCGATGGTCTCGTCAACACTGCTCTATGCTGCAGAGATCTGGGGACGAGATACCTGGAGGTTTTGGAGAGGACGCAAGTTCGATTTATCAAATCATTGCTCCATTGGCCAAGAAATACACCGAACTATGTGGCTCGCCTTGAAAGTGGGAGATCTCCATTAAGTGTTGAAGTGTTGAAAAAAGTGATCAACTATTGGACAAAGCTAAGCTTAATGAGTGACGAAAGACTACCTAGACAATGCTTTAATAGGCTTAGAGCTCTAGACTCATCCATTGGAAAACCTGATCCAACTTATAACTGGGTTACCCAAGTAAAGATGATTGTGGCGGAACTTGGATGTCAGGGGCTGTTTTCTTGTGTTTTCTCTCAAGGTCTGATGAGGTTCAAAGATGAAATCATGGAAAAAATAAGAAACCATCACGCATCCAAGGACATCGACAGAGTGTTAAACTCTAAATCAAACCCAAGATATAGAAAAATCTGCTCCTTTAATGTTACCAAACCAGAGGATTATCTTCAGTTCAGGGCTCTGAATTTAAACAAATTAAGAGCCGTTAGTCGTCTCAGAGTAGCAAATAAAGATTTTATGAAAATATACTTAAAAGATGCTACTTTGACTATTAAATCCAGTGAGGTATGTGGTGCATGCAACTGCCTTGTAACTGACCCGGTAACTCATTTTCTGATCCAATGTATCAAGTTCAACGAGCCGAGAAATAAGTACTTGAAGGCATTTATCACTGAATCCAGAGAAGATACTAGTGTGGAGGAGATACTGAAAATAGACACTACGAAAAAAATAAACCAACTGTATTATTTCATACAGGGCTGTTCATTGAACTGTTAAGTGGTAAAGTTAATCATATAACATATATTAATTCTTATTTATATTGTCATTTGTCTTATACCTCTCGAATATTTAAAAAAAATAAAATAAAAAAAATGTTTTACTAATTGTTATGTATATATATATATATCGTTTACTAATCTGTTATTATATTAGTCATACTTAATGCTGTGGACATTGTTAATGTTATGTTTGAATGCAGTACTAGACTCAAGATCTAACATTGTTAATTATACCATTATATTTATTTGTACAGGAATTTCCTTAGACAAATAAAATAAACTATCTATCTATCTATCTAATAAAAACGTAATAATATACAATATATACTAATATTAACTTCTTTTTTTTCAATGAGTTTTGTGATAGGTGTTTGTGATAAAACTTCAAAATTTTCCAAAAAATCTATTTTTCTCCACAATCATTAGTATTGTTAGATATTATAAAGTAGTAAATGAGATGAAAAGTGATGCAATGGGTGGGAAAAACATGGTAATTAATTGTCTTAAATGAAGTTATTATGTCGGTTTTACTTTTCTATATATGAATATACCTATCTACTCTAATTAGAGTGGTAAATGAAATTTGTGTGATGCGCACTACATTTTTAGCCCTTATGATAACCTAAATCCCTGGGTAGAAACGTCTGCAAAATAAATCATAAAAAGACTACAAATCACAATTATTTGTCATCTTCATAATTTTAAAATATTTTATAAATAACAGTCAACTATTTATCCATCTCTAATTTATTTTTTTTTAAATCTTACATTTTGAACAAAAATAAATAATTTATGCCAGATAGATGCTCTTGCTCCGGCTTGTGAAGCATACTGTTCCTGCATAACTACCGGAAGGATGGGATGGAAAATATGTCTGAAGCAAGCGGTTATGGCAGCAAAAACGGGTTGCCACAACACTTGTTCAATGGTACCAAGGTGAGCTTTATGAAAACTTCAATAAGCTAGTTTTTAAATGTCTATTGAATGATAGACATTTCTTTAACGATAGAAATATCGATCACAATTAGTTGGCGAATTAATTCATGCAACATTAAGTTCTTTAGATGCACTTTGACTTGTTTTAATAGGTAGTAAATGAGAGGGAGGTCATCACGCTCAGATATGTAACGCCCATTCAGGTAAAGTAGGCTTGAGTCTACTAATTGAAGTGTTTTTTCATTTGGATTAAAATATCTCAGAAACTCTTAGATTAAAATCAGACCTGAATACTGTAAGCAGGGGAAATGTTTAGCATCTCATCCTCTTTGTAATGAGCTATTATTCAACATTTTATCTTATCATATTGGGAGGCAAAAAGGGATAAACATAATGTCGAAAACCAAATGATAACAAGTTTTGTTAAACATATGAATTTGTAGTAGACAGCCTCCTATGTTTACTCCTTTATGTGGCATTGTGTGAGGGAATGAGAAGGAATATATAGGAATGTGAGGTTGCACGATGAATTGTACTCAATTGTGTAGTGGACAAATTATTCATTGAAAAGTCTCATATCGATAAATCGATATCATTACATAATCGATGAAGAAGGAAGAAGGTGGGAGGTACCGAAAGGACCCAGCAGGTAGCAACAGCTGGAGAGAAGGCATTCTAGGCCGGGACAGGTAGAAAGGAGGTTGTCAGGAGAGAGGAGGAAGACGGACTTGAGGCAGAATACATACCTGGGAAGAGAGTCTACTACAAGATTTAGAAGATCAAGTCTATAGTTATAATACTTTAAGAGAGTCAATTTATTACAGTTGTAGAAATAAATCATTTATTACAGTCATTGAAATAAATCATACAGGAGTGAAAAGTTATTTATTTATTTAATTGTCCTATATGCCTCACGATTGAAGAATAACCAACCAGGTGAGCCAATTGATTCAAAGTGTATTTACTAAGTCCCAAATATTTCAAATATATATTCTTATTGTTTCTTCTCACTCAGTGTCACAAAAGGTATTAGATTCCCGAATTTACCAACAATAGTTAAACATCCTCGAAAAGTCTATATCCAGTGCCGGGGTTTTGTTTTAATAATTCACGAGTGAAAATAACCTAAATCCCCAATATAAAAGCGGAAGGCCATTCGCCTATTCCTGCGCAAAAGGAATTATTTAAAATTAACTTTATTAGGTTATTTACAAATTAAAATATCTCAAAAACTAAAATTTGGACCTGCATAATATAAGCAAGGATTATTTTGAGCATTTCATCCTCTTTGTAATGAGCTTTAAAATTAGTTGGAGGGTCGGAAAGGGAAAAAGATAGTGCCAAAAAAAACAAATAATAACATACGTTTGACAGGTCAAAAAATCTACCCCACTACTCCCAATAATAAATTGCAAGAAAAACTGATGCTGTACTACACTCACTTTAATTTTTTTTTTCTTTTATCTCAAATAAGATTTTATGCAGATTTGACTGTATACAATAAATATGCTACGATTCATGTAAAAACTAGATGCAAATGTAACGTCAATCCTCCACTGCCTGGGAAATAATGTGAAGAAGACTACATTATTGGCGAGTAGAAAAACTTATCTGTCAATGTAAAAAACAGGTTTATCTGCACTTGACCTTAACTTTAATTTTTAAACAAAATTTATTTAATGCATTCTACCTTCGAGGGTCACATACCAGACTTAAAAGACAACAGCTTAACAGATAATACGGACAGCTATATAGACTATTGAATAGAAAGTCTCAACTTTCAGTAGACAACAAACTACTAATCTACAAGACAATCCTGAAACCTATGTGGACCTACGGACTAGAGCTGTGGGAGGCAGCAAAACATTTTTTAACATCAAATCCATTCAATCCTAATTTCTGCGAACAATAGTTGATGCTCCCTTATTTTCTATATTTCTTTTTCTTTATTGTCACTATTCTAGTTATTATTGTATGCACTTATTGTGTGAATGATTACTGTAGCCCTAATATTAATGCCATTCAATTTGGCAGAATGTATTAATATTCAATTAATAAAATAATCTTCGAGGGCTAAAACAAGGTTAGTCCTGTACTTGCTGATTTATTTAAAACCTACCTAATATCATACGGCTCTAACCCAATATTTGTAAATTTATACTTGCCTAGTTTTTCCATCAGCGGCTTCAGTTATTATTATTATTATTATATGGCATTATTCATATTAATTTACTGACTTTTTTTTATAACATTTTGTTTGCGTACCCTTCTGGTTGGGTACACCTAATACGTGTGATGAAGTATATGTGTTTATTTTTGTTGTTAAACATTGTTTGTTTTTTAGAGTTGGCCGCGCTGCCTACGCTGCACCATCTAGGTTAAAGAACTTCGATGCAGGGGCCTACGCCGTCACAGTTTGGCTGCAAGCAGTTTACCTCGCATTAGAAAAATTTTGAAATTTCATATTTATTAAAAATACTATTTATTTTTCAAGTAACTATATTATTTTAGAAAAATCTTATAAAACAATTTTTAAATTAAAATAAGAGGTATATATGTAGGTTAGTTATCTCTGAGGAAACAAGTTACAAACTTCAGTGGGAATAGTGATCACCATCTAGTTCTGAAGCAGTACTCCACAAGAATGCTCAAGATAGCTTAGATCATCCTGTAGATGGAATAATTTTCACTTCTTCTTAGATAATAAAAACTAACTTAATCTTCTTGACTTTAATAATTATCATCCCCAGTACTATTTCAGATTATAAATCACAAAAAAAAATTATAATGGTCGGAATTAAATTTAAATAATAGTGGTTAAATTGAAGCACTGATATAAAAATAATTTAATAAAAATTAAATTTATATTTTTTAACATATTTCTCCTTATCTTACATTCTATATTAATTAATTAAATATTGAATTATTTAGTACTGTACGTCAGTATTTGGCACCTCAGATTCTATCTACAGTATGATAGATCTGATCTTGAACCTAGCCGGTGGACTCTCAGAAGAACTTGAAGCTAAACTTAAATGTTTAATGAATTGCTCAATCCGCTTTATCTTCGGGATCTCAAGGGATACGCATATTACCCAGTTCTGCACCAAGTTGAAGTGGCTTTATCCGTTCAACCGCCGTCAGTATTTCCTTGCTACCTTCCTATACCGAGCCTTTACAACACAGCGACCTGCCTATATTCTACAGATCCTACAATTCAAACACTCCTTTCAATCCTGTGCGTCCGACCTCTATCCTCCCCCTCACCGAACTGCTGCATTTGATAAATCCTTTTTAATACAAGTTGTCTCCCTCTGGAACTCTGTAACTTCAGATATCCGACACGCAAAATAAATATCCTCTTTCAAATCTCTCCTCTTCAAACACCTACTCCATTCCCAATCCGATCGATCACGAAATGCACTTAAAAACCTAAGCTGTAAAAACCTCAAAGTACACCCAGATACTCTGATTATTTTGTAATTCATCGATATTTCGTTTACTTAATTACTTTCTCTGTATATTTTATATTTACACGTATTTATATCTTTTTATTACTTATAACTTTATTGTATTCCTAATCAACCTGTAAATAATAAACTGTATTTTATGGACACACCCAAATATTAATATATATCTGAGAAGGAGTTAGTTGAGGGTGCGGTCAAATAAATAAAAAAATTAAAAAATATAAATAATTTTAATTTTTGCTGGCAAAAATTAAAATTATTTATATTTTTTAATTTTTTTATTTATTTGACCGCACCCTCAACTAACTCCTTCTCATATCATATCAACGGTCAACCATCTCTACATCATTAATATATATCCTATATTTGTAACTTGTTCTAAAGGGACACTAGTCCCAGAATAATAAAATTATTTTCATTCATTCATTCATTCATCTTGTAGTAGCGCTTTGGAACCTAGTACCTTGATGATAATTATTGTTACTAAATTAATGAAATTAATTGATTATCTCTAGTGGTTATTTTTATCACCTTATTCTTGCATTTGTTTTTTATCTTTAATCAATTGAGTCTAAAGAAGAATCTATAGTATGGTTGAAAACATTAGTTCAATGGATAAATAAATAGAGAAATATTATTATAATGGAGGTAATATCATTATTTTTCATAATAGTGACTGGAAACTTAAAATTATAAAATTCATAACTTGTCAAATATAATAATATATTACTTGTAATTTTGGATAAATATTAAGAAAAAACAATTTATAAAATAAAAATGAGTACGTTTGATTGAAGTCAAAGGTTTATGGTTTGGTTCTATTTATTATTTCTACCACCATGTCTTATGTTAAATGCATCAACAGCTATTTTCAACGACTGGATCAAGATTGGTCCAAAATGCAACCCAGGCATATCATCAGCATTACACCAATAAAGCATGAATATTTTGTTGCTATTCAATAACTTGAACCAGAAATTGACTATTAAATAGACAGAGAATGTTTTATTGTTTTTGTTATTGTTGAATGTTATTTAGGTTAAGTTGTATAAGAAACTACTATATTTTTGATATTTTTATTGGTTATAATGTTATGAAATTGAAAATTTTATATTGTCATAATGTATATATCCGACCATTGTGGAACTTTTGTGAACTAGTACCGTTATTTTTTTGTGTGTGCATGAAATAACCTATTGGTTTTTTTTTTCAATAAATATTTCTTTGTTATGCTCCATCACTGACAAGTATTAGGCAATTTTTTTCTTAGATAAGATATAATAGATAACAAATGATTTATCTATATTTTAAACTAACGAATAAATGTTTCATCTTACATAATAAATAATAGTCTCTTCTTTTTATAAAATTATTAACATCTGCCTCAAACTTTGTAAATGGCATCATCTCATCGTAGCCTAAAAATGTTTTATTTGTGAAAATTAAAGGATTTAATTAATTAAATGAATATTCATTTACTTTCCACTTGAATCGTAAAATAATATAAAAAATCTGGTAAAATAAAATAAAACAGTGGCTTACAAAAATATTGGGCACTTTGGCCTATATAATCTTGTTATTTTGACATATAGCGGGTGGAAGTCATGTCAAACGACCTAATATTTTTTGGGCCATCTTTTTTTTTCGATTTTGTGGTGATATTATCTTACAATCCATGTGGAAAGTAAATGGATATTTATGAGTTTTTAGTGCCTAATTAAATAGACAAAGTTTGCCGATCTCCAGATTGAAAATGACCCAATTTCAAGAATTTTCATTAATAAAATATTTGTAGGTTACGATGAGAGCTATTCACAAAGTTTCTGGTGTAGGTTAATAATTTGATAAAAAGGGGTATGTATTACTTGCTATAATCTGAAGTTATCAATTATCTCTTAATTCATCATATAAGTTTTTCGATTAAAAATTCATGAATTTTGAAAATCGTGACTGATCTTATCTTTCTAAAACTGAAACTTTTTCCTTGGTTTAAACTATTTTCTGCTGATGGGTTTGTTGTAGGCTATATTAGTTGGTAAATGACTCATATTTAAAAAAAAAACATGTAATTATGTATTAAATTTCAATAAGACAGTTATGGAAAAGACATTAATTAAGTAATATAAAGAAATGAATTAATATTTTTAACTTAGTATATATATTTTTTAATTTGTATTCAAAAGTTTAAAAAATGGCCTAATTTGGATTTTCTTAGCAAAAAAATTATGACTGATTCAGCCTTTTGATATAATGATCTATAAATTATTTAATGTTCTTCAGGTGAGCAATTTTGTTATTTTTATAAGATCTGTGTATATTTTTTCAATCTAAATTAAAATAAACAAGTCTGTTGTTTTTGTTGAAAATATCAAACTATTTTAATTGAAATATTTTAATAAATATATTTTTGTTATGAAATGTGTCAAATTATTAATACCTTTTTTATTAAAAGTCCTATACCTTTCTTTTATAGGTTTTTTAGAAAATTAATTGAGAAGGTGGTTTATATTAATCTATTATATCATCGGTTTATTGCAAAAAGTCATTAGACAAGATTTCCTAACCTCAAATAATTAGGAACTTCGATAAATCTTTCTCTCTATGAAATCAAAAAATTGTACATTTAACGTAGAAAAACTGTATATGATAAGTAAAGATTTTTTACATCATTCACATCCATCTATTTATGATGTTTTTGTATCAATAAATAAGGCGAAATTAACAAAAACTGTTTTGCAATAAATCGATTTACTCCTTCATAAAAGTTTTAAATATTTATAGACTGGTCACTATATTTTATTATTACATAGGTAAATTGTTTCTTCAAGATTCTTTTTGAAAATGTCATTGCCGCATGGACCAAAAACATGGTCATTCTGAGATAAACAAGCAAAAAGACTAGTCATAAAAATGGATAATGGAAGAATTGTGTCATTTCCCAGCTTCAGAATGTTCCTAATATCTTACTAAAAATAAATAAAATAATAATAATAAAGTAAAAAACACCCTCTCTATGATTGAAACCATGAGGTTAAAATAGTCCCATATAATAAAAATTGTTGATTGTTTAGCAGTGGTGCTGAGTTAAAATTAACATTTTTTTCTCTAATAAGTAAGCATCACTTCAAAATATTTAGTAACATACATAAATTAAAAGATTACAATATCTTTCAATATATATTTATAATTCAATATAATTACATATTAATTTTTGTGAGTATTATCAGAGGGTCAAAGTAAAAACATGTGAGTTTCCAGAGTTCATCCTCAATGTCAACTAATCAGGGTTGAACAATAAATTATGTGTCATTACTGAATCACTCATGGGTCAAGATCAGACGATCACACCATGCCTAATATATGAAAAAAGTCAATGTCAAAATTAAAAGTACATGAAATTCAATCTAATCTCATATAAACATTGGTACTCTGCACACTGTTATTTCTCCATGAGATCAAAGCGATCATGGCCCAGCACTAGCGAATCCAGTATTTAATTTTAGGGGAGCTTCAGCCAGAAAGCTTTTTTTTTTCATATATATATATAACAATAATTACTTTAGAAAAACAGAAAGAAACTAACTACCTATATGGAACGGTGTTTAAGTGATTCTTGAATTCCTATTAAATGTAATTACACAAACAATAATACTTTAAGAGATAGTTTTTAATATTTTTTTCTATAAAACTTGGTTATATTTTACTGTTTTTTTTAGGGGGAAGGGGAAGGATTCAGTCCGAAAGCCCCCATTCCCCCGTAGATCTGTCTGTGTGGCCCAGATATCCTAACATGACATCTTTTTTTAAAGGATATAAATGAAGGTATGGTAAAATAGAGGTACAAGATTGTGAAGGATTGTCCTCCTACCTCGAAATTACTATCCACTCTTTCCTTTCAAGATAGCGGATGAAAAACATGTGTTGGTATACACTGTAGCACCTAACGAATGTACCGATTTCAATCAAACTTGGCTAAAGCCTTCTTCTCGATGCCCTTTAAATATATGTATAGAACATACTTCACCAAAAAGTACTTCCCTTTCAAGTAGGCAACCCAAAGACATGTGTCGTACAAACTGTAGTGCCTGAACGGATATACTGATGTCAATGAAACTTGGATAAAGTCTTCTGTTTTTAAACATTTAAAGTTTATCTATATAACATAAAATTATCTATAAATCTATATAACATAAAAATATATCCTAAAATATAAAAAATCATGGGAATCGAACAATGTGGTGCAAAGATATGTTTTTTAAATCTGTTTCATATACCCTATTGCAAAGCTTTGTTTTGGTTTTTAATATCCTGAAAGTGTTACATCAATGGAAGCACTGTTTTATTTTTCTTAGAAAATTACTTATGATGAAATAAAACATTATTTAAGGCAATGTTAGGAATCACCTTTTATTTATTTTTTTTTCTTATGTTACAAGGAAAGTAATGTTACTTTTGATATATAATTGTTCAGAAACAATAAACCATTTTGTAATAATTTGCGTTTTTTTTAAATAAAGTTTCTTTTCATTTATAACATTTTTCCTGAAATTTCGGGAAATGATAATGTGATTCTTCACTGTTCTATATAATACCCTTTTGTTTGATACCTCATTCATCAAAATCCATCGCTCCTGAGAGTCGGAAAAGAGATCTTTACTGCAAAAAATTGTCGTATTATAAATACAGATAGGTTATTAAATACACCTGAAGATATAATATATAAACTCTTCATCTCATCCATTTTTATTTACTTTCCATCTGGTAGAGTTTGTACAAAAATGTCTTCAGAACAGGGCTTTAGTGGGATGTGAGAAGCATTATATCACCAGTAAATGTAGCCAATTAAGTTTGGGTTAGTCTGAAGTGCAGATATAGAGAAGCAATCGTCTCTATACTGTGGAATTCTGGATTTAACACATTTTATAACTTTTTTATCTAATTTTATAGTAAAATAGTGACAATGTTGGTGATATCTTTGAATATGTTTGAAAAAGTAAATAAGTCAAGTATCTAGGGTCGATGATAACTCGAAAAAAATTAAATCTAAGAGGAGATTAAGGTGCAAGTATTGAAGCAGCAAATGTTTATTTTTCTTTGAAAAACTACTTAGCTGATACCTCCTGACCCTAAACTTAAAAATTAGGAGTTTACAAAACCATTATCCTACCTACGGTTCTGTATGGAGTGAAACGTGGTTGCTTTCATTAAGAGGTGAGCAATGTCTTATGGTTTTTTAAAATAAAGTATTGCATAGAACATTCGGACCGAAGAAAGATGAGTTAACTGGAGAGTTACACAACATCGAATTGCATGAACTGTATCCGGTTAATATAATTGAGGTGAGTTCATCGTGGCGAATCAAATGGGCTTGTAAAATTGTTGGGGTTAGTAACAAAAGAATTCTTAAAAGGTTAATATTTGCTGTACCGAATGGTAAATGTCCGAGGGGTAGACCGAAGCGAAGATGGGCATTAAAGCTGATCTGAAGAAATCAGGTTTGGACGGTGAAGGAAGGTGTGCAATAAGCGATTGTATGATCTATATCCACTTAATATAATTGAGGTGAATAAAATGGGCATATAAAATTGTTGGCCTTAATAATAAAAGAATCCCTAAAAGGTTAATACGTGCTGTTCTAGCTGGTAACTGCTAACTGGTAACTGCTAGCTGGTAACTGCTAGCTGGTTAACATCCGAGGGGTAGGCCGAAGTGACGGCATGAAGATTGTGTTAAGGCTAATCTGGTGGGGTTGGGCTTGTATGGCGCCCGGAGGAGGGAGGTGTGTGGACAGCGATTGGTGGTGTCCGTATCCAACCTTCGGGTTCAATAAGCCTTTTATTATTTTCTATTCTCGCTTTGTGGGGTGAGCTTCTGAGGTGGGAGACTAGAAGTCCAGCCACCTTCATATTAATATCTATTATATTTTTTAGACGTTTAAAAATTTTCTAGCAATACGTGCTGTGTCTAACAGAACTGAGTGTTGAGCCTCTTTCAGCACTTCAAGAGGTAATTTCAAACCCATCGTGCCTGCCACTGTTGACTTTGGTATCAGTCCATTGGAGGATATTATAATTGCAGTGGTGGTGAGGTCTCCAAATGATATAATTCCTTCAGTTCGATTGCCAGTTCCTGGTATTTTCTCCAGCAGTGGAGCTTATATTATTATCATTGGGGATCCCGACATCTATAAGCTCTACTTTTTTCTTTCTCGTATCTATCAGGAGGATATCTGGATATAATTAATTTCTCTGGTTATCTGTTATTTTTTTAAGAGTTGATCTATTCTTATAGGTTGTTTAAATTAGAAAGAAAAATCAACATTTTATAAAACTAATATAATTTTTCTATAATATTCCTTGTGTTCCAAGGAATAAATAAAATATAACAAAATAAATAAATATTAAATAATACTGAAACATAGATTGTTTAAAAAACTTGAGTATCTCATCCATTAGAGAAGAAATAGGAAATCACTTCCTATGCTACACAATGGCTTCAAAATAATTACCGTTGCTATTGGCAGCATTAGCTCTTTGTCCGCTCCTCGGCCGCCGCAGGAGAGCCATTCTGCTACGGGCTCATCGACCAACATCTTTTCACTCTCCTCTTACTTTCTACTGCCTAGTAGAAACTTCATTTTTGCTGGCTTAATACAAACCGGCTTCCATCATTGTGTCAATGCCACAAAGAAAATTATACGATTTGAAACAACATAATTTTCAAGCTAGAATTAATTATTCAGCAGGCGTTGTAAGTTTTGAATGTTTTTCCCTAATATGCCTTTTTAAGTTGCCAAGTTGAGAACTTCTGTAATTGCAAAAAACACACTGATGAGGTTTCTCGTCAGTATGATGGGCCATCACGTGCCTTTTCAGATGACTGGCATTGGCTGATTTGTAATCGCACTCAGTACATTCGAAAGGTCTTTCGTTCGTATGATGAACCATCACGTGGCGTTTCAACGCGCTTGCGAACACAGTTTTATAATCGCAAATCATACACTGATTAGGTTTCTGATTAGTATGATTAACCATTGTGTGAGTCTTTAAATGATTGGAATTTGTCGTTCTATATTGGCAAAGCTTACACTGATACGGCCTCTCGCTGGTATGATGGGCCATAGTATGCTTCCTCAAGTTACTGGAATAGGCAGTGCTGTAATCGCAAAGGGAACATTTGTGAGGCTTTTGATTAGTGTGGCGAGCCATCGTATGCGTCTTCAATTCATGAGGGTAAGCAGTTTTAAAATCACACATATTACAAACATACGGTTTTTCATTCTTGTGGTCGGATAATATGTGTGTTTTGAGATTGGTCGGGTGCACTGCCTTGTAATCACAGTAAGGGCAGTGATACGGTTTCTGATCTGGGTAATGAGCCGTGATGTGTTTTTTCAAATGATTGCTATTGGAGGACTTGTAATCGCATACTGTACAATGGTACGGCTTCTCTTTTTTATGAGCAGTTCGCATATGCTTTTTCAGATCGATAGTGCTATCCGATATGTATTCACAGAAACGACATTGGATTTCAGTTTCTGATAACTTATGCAAGTGGGTTACTTTAATATGTAATTCTAATGCTCTATAATTTTCAAACATTGTACCACAATAGGAACATGAAAATCTCATACTACACTGGGCATCTGAAATAAAAGAAAACGTTAAATGAATTATGTAATAAAATTTAAATCTTAAAATTATAATTTTCCACTATAAAACTGATTTATTTTAAGAAGAAATATAGCATTGTATTATTTTTAACACCGCCTAAATCAATTTTAACAAAAATTAATAAAATTTATTACTAGATTGATTTCTTTGCATCCACCCACCATTAGTACGTTAATATGTTAAGATGTATTTTGATTTTGAGGTGGGAATGTGCCACACAAATTATAAGGAGTTTGTTTAAACACATTTTCCTACCCTCTTTTAAACTTGTGAAAATTGAGTTAAATGGTGTTAGAATTTATATGATATAGTAAAAAAATTAAATGTAATATTTGACGACTTATTTAGAAAAAGTTAAGATTTTTATAGGAATTAGGGTTGGGAGGAATATAAAGAAAAAAAACTTTACCATTGGCTGACAAACATTCATCATCATTGTCATTTTCAGTCTCCTTGTCATAGTCATCTTCAAACATAAAATTAATAAATAAATAAAAATTAAATGAAATTTTAATGAAATAAAAAACATTTTTTAAATATCTATTTCCTTACCAACGGCTACAGGAAATCTGTCATTTCCACTTAATCCTTTCTTCTCGTTTTTACATAACTGTACATTCGCTACAGAAAAAAGAAAACGCTTAAGTATCGATATCAATCAAAAAAACTTTTTGTTGGAAAGCCATAGGAAAAAACATACATTTCTCATCACTTTCTTCTTCTAGCAAAACTTCCAGAGGCTGGTTATCTGCAAATCATTAAAATTGAATCACAATAGATTAAAGAAAAAAAAAGCTACAATTGAGAATATAAACACAACAAATAGATATTTCAGATAACCAACGCAGTTCTTTTTTTAAATACGGGTACGTCATTGAAAAAAAAACGATAAACTAAAAAGATTAGTTAAAATCATATCTAATTACCAGGTGACAATGAAATGCAGTCAAATTCATTGTTTACTTCATGTTTAGCACTATCTTCACTATCAGCATCTAAAAACAAATTTGTTTTCATGAGAAAATTAAACTCACGATATAAGTAACAAAATTAAAATCTGGTGCTGTGCATGTAACAGAACTTTCACTTAGTATAGTCCGTGGTACAGGCCCCTTATTATCAAATTATTAACATCTACCTGAAACTTCATAAATGGTTTCATCTCATCGTAACCTACAACTATTTTATTTAAGAAAACTTTTGTAATTGAAGCGTTTTCATTCTAGAGGGAGGCAGACTTAGTCTATTTAATTCATTCATTCATTCATTCATTATTGGTACAACATACGCATGTAGCAGTCCTTGGCCTGCTCAATTTCCTTTGCCCAGTGATCTCTGTTGGCTGCGCACCTGATGGATATGCAATTTTTTCTCAAGTCTTCTTTCACGTTATCTATTCATCTTGCCTTCGGTCTTCCCCTAGACCTAACTCCCTCTGGCAGCCCATGATAAAGCCTTCTCACTGTCCTCGCTTCATCCATTCTCAGGACATGTCCTAACAATTTCATTTGCTGCACTCGAACTGGTCTATTTAATTAGATAATAAAAACTCGTAAATATCCATTTACTCTCTACTTTGATCACAAAATCAATAAAAAGGGTGGTCTACAAAAATATTGGGTTGTTTGTTGTATAGAACCTCGTTATTTTGAAAATTTGAAAGTTTAGGTCACACCAAACGACTCAATACTTTTGAAGGCCACATTTTTTCTCAATTTTTTTATCAAATTATCTTATGATCCAAGTAGAAAGCAAATGTGTATTTACGAGTTTTTAGTACCTAATTAAATAGACAAAGTTTGCCCTCCTCCAGATTGAAAACGCTCCAATTGCAAGAATCTTCGTAAATAAAATAGTTGTAGGTTACGATGAGATGAAACTATTTATGAAGTTTCAGGCAGATGTTAATGATTCGATAAAAAGGGGTCTGGTACCACGGACTACTTTGAGTAAAAATAGGAGAAAATAAAAATTGTAGACAGATACAATATATTAATTTAAAACGAGTAATTAGCATATATTCCTCATGTCTCTAAGCAATGAAATTTATTCATTTTTTTGTCAATATCCATTTTTTTTTAAATCGGCATTTAAACTTTGTCATGCGGCATGGATAAGGACAAAAAATATCTTAAATTAAAATTCACTTAATAACACATTGACCTAATGAGTTTAATAAAAATTGTCAAAGCTGTTTTTGAGAAAATTGTAAAAATCTATACAATCAATGACGTAAAAAGACACTTCTGATTAGCGAATTATTGAAGAAAAAGTTACTGTAACATCCCAGGCATATAAAACCCTTAAATACATAATCTACGTTCCATATGACTCTTTGATTTTAAACAAGACTGTTCACATACATACAAACTATTTTGCGAGATTTGGACTCAGGGGATCTCAAAACATTTATTTCCCTTCAAAACTCAGATTCTATTTTTTTCACGATTACAGTACCTTTCCTTACTATATATGTATCTTAATATATAGGTAAGTGAAAGTAAAAAGAATTTATAAATTTGTTGGGAGTAAATCTCATGATGCCTTAGAAAGAGGTTTGATCTTTCATAATATTTACACATTGATACGTAAAATGAAACGAAAATCAAGACAAATTTTGATGTGCTCTAGATGACGATCGAAACTGCATGCATCCAAGAAGGACACTTTGAACATTTATTGTAAAAAAAAAACTTATTCCTTTTATGTTCCAAAATATCAGGCAATAAAGAATTATTAAACCTTAGTAACGCTAGGATAATCTCTCCTAAAAACAAAATAATGAATAAAAGAAAAGCAGAGATAGAATAGGAAAAGATTTACAAGGTCTGTAAAGCCAATTTAAAGAAACAAATTATTAACTTATTATAAAATTATAATTAGTTAATAAAATTATTAACTTATTATAAAATTATAATATTAAGGTAGCGGGGTAGCTCAGTGGTAGGGTACTGAGCTGCCAATGCAAGAGTCCCAGGTTCGAACAACGGCTCATGGCAAAAACTTTATTTATCTGTTTCATTGGCCGTGGGGCGACCCTGGGGCACACCCAGCCTCTATAAAGTGGGTACCTCCTTAATTAAATAATTGATTAAGGGGGAAAACCTGGCGGTTGAGCGTGATCTCGGTCAAATCACCTCCTTGCACAACCGTTGACCTAGAAACACTGCTTTCCCTAAAATAGTACTGAACCCAAGACCCTTCATGGATTGTAGTGGTACAGGTTTTTTATTTTTTTTTTTTTTTTAATATATAAAATTATTATTACTAAGTATTCCGAAAAATCTATTCTCAATAAATACATGAAAAAATCGCCACAATATACAATCAACTATATATCCAAAATAGTAATAAAGTAAAAATTTAACTACCCACTAAAATTTAATCATGAACAATAAAAAATTACAAAGCGTCACTATATCAGTTTTCTTCCTTGATAAAGACACAGTATGGAGAAGCTAAATCAGCTCCCAAAACTAAAAGGAAGCAGATTCACAAAATAATAAAACTGGTAATAATGTTAACACACTTATCAGTTAATGTCAAATAAAATATTTTCATAACAGTCCAATGACCACCTCCTAATAAGCTATAGCATATTTCGAACTCAAAAAGTCATAAATTTGAGCTATGCATGGTTACCATTCGATAGGATGTACCACCATGGTAAACACTTAGAAACTCATTTATCTGAGTGAAGTTTATTCAGCAATCATATCCTACAATTTTGATATTCACAACAGCTCAACACAACGCACAAATTACAAATTAAGATGATATGACATTAAAATTGAGTGACAACTGTCATTTAATTCACTATGAGGGAAAAGAAAACTTTCCTATGATAACTTACGACTCAGAAATAATTTCTTATCTTAACTATGTAATATAGTAAAAAAATAAACTGATTAAAAAAAAAAAAAGAACAATACAACTTTCTACAAAATTTAAAAAACTAAATGAGGAAAATGTAAATTCCCTCACCTATTTCAGCCATTCTAGAATTATTATTTAAACATAAATAAATTAAGAACTGAAACTTGACACTTAATTTTGAAGTGAAGTTGGTTATAAAGGATTCAGTTCTGAATCTTGTAGTATCCCCAAAGAGGTCTGATATATGATAAGGACTTAAGGGGACCCTACACGGTAATTCATGAATGAACGTCACAAGAAGTTCCAAGATTGCCCGCTATCGCTTTGATCATGAAGACCCTTACACGTTCAATCATTACTGTTCATTACTCATATTACGAAGTACTGATACGAGTGGAAAACGAAGTTTCCACTTTTTTTTCTCTCCAATTTATTGTCTACTTGACTTTTTAAAGAAAAAATAGTTGAAAATGGTTAATAATAATATAGACTAGGGATATTAACAACTATTTACTTTTATGAAATTATTTACTTAATAACGAGACCTAGGTAAACTAACCTATCTAGTAGTAAGGTTAGTCTCATAGAAAATAGTATTGACAAAAGTTAGTAAAATATAAGTCTACTACTTACAAAAATTAAGGAAAGGTATTGCGAAAATAATAAATTTGTTGAGGAAAATGGGAAAAGAACTGATAAATATACACAACGATAAAAAATTTTTTCCGAAAGTAAATTGTGAAGTTTCCTAATTTTTTTTTTTAATTTGTTGCCCACTTGACTATTTAAAAGAAATAGTTGAAGATGGTTTAAAATTATAAACAAGGGATATGAAAAATTATTTAACTATTTACATATAATGAAAATCAGAAATTTATAATGGTTGTGAGGCCTAGGTAACCTAACCTATCACTTCTCGTGAATGAACCTTTGATTTCCGGATGTTCGGAAATCCGCAGCGCACCACCATCAGTACTTCATTCACTACCTTACACGATAATTCGGAACGTCATTAGTGCAATTCCGAATGACCGTGTAGGGTCCCCTTTAGGGAGAGACTTATGAAGTTACAAAACCTGATTATCTTAAACTTATTTAACACTTTAATACCTCATAAAAACTATATCTTTCCATTATATTTCATAAGTATTATATGTAATACTCTTTCATATTGCTGAAACCTAATCGTTATTCGTCGGCTAATGAGCTTTCATTTATTAGAAAAATATATGAAAACGTATATTTCTAATTAAATAGGATATTATTATATTCAAAAAATTATTTATCCAAGATAAACAAAATATTCCTATAAAACTAGACATTTGAATACCTCAGGAGAAATCACAGTGACTAAATAACTCTAAGCTTAACAGGCTTTTATCATTAATAACAAGTTACTAATTTTTTTTTAAAATAACAGTTTTATTTATTTTTTCGTGATATAACAACATTCTTTTTAACAACTGCGCTGAATCTCCGTTTTTTCGTTGTTTCGTGGGTAACTGCATCCAACCAAAGCGTGACCACGAAAGCACCAGGATCAGGAAGATTATGTGGAGGTACCAAACCCGGTTCACCATGTTTCACTATCCAAGTTCTGTGGAATAATATTTTGGATCAAATTAAAAATTAATTAATCCACAAGCAGTTATGATATCAATTATTTGCATAAAGCTACTGTATATGGGTCATTTTGGAAGCGGACCAGCACAGTAGATAAGCACCGGCTTCCGAAGTTTTTATTTATTTATTTTTTTTTTGATAGCGTAGAAATGGTTGGCAGTGATTTATCAGATGATATGAGGAGTTGGTTAAGAGTGCGGTCAACTCCTCACGTTTATTTTTTTTTATCTTCTCTTCCACGCCTTTTTAGGCTATAATGGGTTTTCCCGGAGCTGAGGGCGGGGGATTAATTAATTAATTAATAACTGATAAAACCTGAGTTAAATGACCTCCCCAGAACCGGGATGCGAAATCGTAATTATTTTAACATCGATTATCAATCAAGTTGCTGGGCAACGTGCGGTGCTGAGCACAAGCGTTAAACAGCTCGGCCACCCCACCTCCTCTCAGTAGACACTCCTAGGGCAAACATAGCCTCTATGAAATGGATACTCTTAATTAAATAACTAATAATTGGGGGAAACCTAGTGGTAGAGCATGATCCCGGTCCAATCATCTCCTTGCGCAACTTTCGGCCTTGAAAAACGTATTTCCTTAAAAAAGTATTGCACCCAAGACCCTTCATGCGTTGTAGTGGTATAGGTTTTTTTTTATATGGGTCATTTCAAAATTTTGATCAGTTTAATATTACTATGAGCTATAATAGGTTCAAATCACAACTGAAAGCAGTTAACTAATTTTTTCTCATGATCTATCTTTTTAGAATACTTTCCACATATACTAAAATTAGATATTACACAACAGAGTAAAAAATATGTGACACGCTTATTTCGTATTCCCTAATCCAGTCTGTAAATTCCTAAAACAATTATGAAGGTTTTTAAAAAGTCAAAAATCACTCTATTTCTCCATTTTTTATCTTCATAAAATCGAAGAATCAAATGTGATTGAAATAAATATTTTAGTAACTATATTTTTTAAAAATTTAAAATATTTGCACTGAAAAGTTTATAGTATACAATGATAAATATGTTTTCGTTATACTTAGGTGCCATGTGTTTAGTTTTTTCACACCATTCTTTAGCAACACTAGTAGCGTTCTTTAATGCTTTAACCCAAAAACGTTGTCCGTTTTCAGATACTACAGTCTTGTAAGCCCTGTATGCTGGGACCAGTGCGTCCAACTGTAACATAATAATACATATTAAAACAAACTATTTCTAAAAAATATTTACATTTCTATATATCAAGCATTTGTCTTTAGGAAGCAAAACGTTTATCCATTGATTATTACATAATATTTTTTTTTTTATAAGGTCTTGATGGGAGGTTATAACCCAGACAGAAAAAGAAACGAAATGTGCCAAAAACAGACGAGGAATAACAAAGAGTAAAATATAGAACATAGGTAAAACCTTTGTATGGTTAGAGTTATTTCTGAAATCCTTTTGTTTTATTATTTGAAACATATTTATACATATTAGATTTTCTTTTTTTTCTGTTCTTCCCTACCTCGCCTTTTAGGCTATACGGGATTTTCTCGGGCCGGAGGAAGAGGGCGGGGAATTTAAAATCCCCTCTGGCACCGAGACGCGAACTCGTACTTTTTTTTAATCTCAAATCTTGGTTATCTGGTTGTCGGGCAACTTGCGGTGCTTTGAGAAATTGGCTAGCATCGACTCAAAGGACAGCTATGCTCGGGAGGAGGATGGAGAGGGGAAGGGGGGTGGATAAACTAAAGAAAGCACTACAAGGAAGAACATTCAAACTATACAGTTAAGGCTACAGAAAAGTGGATCGTCCCCGATCCATTGATTTCTCATTGATCTCTACATTGATTTCTCATTCCCTCATTGGTCATGGAGGATTCCGAGCAAATCTTTACAAGTCTTGGCATTGTTGCAGGCCCTCTTTGTCCAGTCTGTGGAATACCGGAAACTCTAGAGCATGTACCACATTAGAAGCGTTAAGAGATAAAATGCATTTTCTGAAAATGTATTTCTTCAGTTAATCAGTAAGAAAAGTTTTCCACATTACAAAGAATTGATAAATGGGCCGAAGATAGCGGTGAGTTCTGGTGATCGGGGTCAGTTCACTGAGCTGTCTGCGGAAGTAGAAGAGGACAAGTCCGAGATGACCTCTAGATTCTGGAAAAACATTTTTAATTTATTGAAGACTAGAAAATTAAAAAGAACTCGCTGTGTGCACAGCTTTGAATATTGTGTACTTTTGTAATTGCAGAAGTGTGTTACTATCCATTAATGCTTAGTATCATACTATTGCATACGCCCATATTGCCCTAGTGGCATGGGAGGATGAAAATAAATAAATAAATAGAATTGATTCTCATCTAGGGCCCATTGTTATTTATTTATTGCATTGCAATGCTTAAGTAATAATTGCATGGCTTCAGTAAATGGCGTGTGTGTAAATGGAGCCCAGTGTGTTAACACGTGAGCAAAACATGCTTTGCCAGGAAACCTGACAGATGATTACGAGTAAAAGTTTCTGTGCCAAGAATTTTCAACTCTCTGGCATAAATCCTCCGCCTTCTCCTGTGGCCCAAAAATTCCGTATAGCCGAAAAGGCGAGGTAGGGTTAAAAAAAAAGATTGGCTTCCGAACCTATTTCTTCAAGTCTTATCCCCCTTCTTTGTCTTTAGTACAACATAGATTTTCAGTAAAATAATATCACAATTCCTTGGAACAACGGTGAAAATCACTGTTACAGGTCATCTATCATGAAAATCACTGTTACAGAGCATCTATCATGAAAATCACTGTTACAGAGCATCTATCATGAAAATCACTGTTACAGAGCATCTATCATGAAAATCACTGTTACAGAGCATCTATCATGAAAATCACTGTTACAGAGGATCAATCACGATAACATACCAAAGTGCGATGGCCTATCCGCGCTGTTGTATACATTGATAGCGTATCCAAAGCCTGGTTCCAAACACTTTCCCAGCTGGAGGTCCCTTGAGCTGCTCCAGTAAACAGAACGGCCAACACTTCTCCCAAGATGGTGTCTACCTCTTCCTCGGCGATTTGGGCCATCAGCATAAATGTTTTCGACATATCCATCAACAAGGAGGCTCCTTTTATATCTTTTAAGGCTCCTAAAAAACAAAAAAATAGAAAAAAACATATATAACATAATAAATACAAAATACACAAGTAGTTGGATTTACTACTAAATATAAATATGTTAGGAACATCTTATGCATGTATAGTTTTTGATTTCTACCTCGATGTTTCAATCAACAGGTCCAAAATGCCTGTAAGATCCAAGGAGGTGTGAATAAAATATATTTTAGATAACTCTATTTTGTTTATATTCTAAATGCTCAAAATAAACATGAAATTGGTGTTTATAACTTTAAGTTACATAAACATCATAGAATATTGGTAATAATATTGGAAGTAATTTGTATTTGAAATATTTACTCTGTAGATAATTTAAATACTTTGTATTTTATAACAAACGCCCCTGTGTTTGAGTGATTCTTGAATTAGAGGAACAATAATACTTATAGAGATACTTTTTAAATATTTTTTTCATAAGACTTAGTTATTGTTTAATTTATTATGCCATTCCCTTCCATGGCTGTCAGGGATATTGACATAATAATTCTGCTCTTGTGCCGGAACATTTATTGTGCTATTGCGGACTGTATAAGGTGTTTGGTTAATATATAATTAAGCTATTGGAGGAAGATATTGCTATATTTGTTACTATATTTATATTATAATTTGACTTATTAAGCCGGGTCTATTACAATTAATAGTTAGTGGGTTAGTAAATTATTATGACTATCACAACTGTTTTAACTGTGGATTAGGTGGGTGGTGGCTGTGAATGAATTAATGTATTTGCTGCATTCTTCTTCCTCTCCTCTCCTTGCTAACTCTTCTGAGCTTCTACTCCATCTCTTCTAGGAAGGCTGTAAGATGTAATTTTCTTGCCGGCCAGCTATGTCCATAGTTCCTGTCTTAAGTGGACATGAATCTAGCAGGTCCTCTGCATGTCTGTTCAGTCTTTTCTTTGCTTCTCAAGAGATGGCAGTGCTGCTTGCTCCTCTACTAGATTCAAATTTAATAAAATGAGAACATTCCCTTAACAGTTATATTTTACAATTTTGAGGGGGGAGGGGAGATGTTTGAGCCCGAAACCTATCTTAACACATTATTCAGATTTTCGGAAAGGAAACAAAATGATAAATCTTGAATTGGTCTATAGAGTCTCTTAAGTTAAAAGTAGAAAACTAATTTATTACTAGCTATTTTAGAAACACATCAATTATAAAGTTGAAATATTAATAATAAAGCTTATAACAACATTACTTACTGACTGCAAAGGATTTCAGTTTTGTCCCAACGTCGCCAGTACGAAACACAGCGTCCATTGCATTTATTTCATTTTCGTTTTTTTTAAGGGCGATACATGAGGTTTGAATACAATCACCAAAAATATGGGCTAGTGCATAATTCAACTTCCAGCCGTCTCGCTAGCAATCAAAGTTAAAGGGTATAAATGTTTAAATTGTCTATTAATGGCAAATACATTCTGAATTGTGCTAAAAATAAAATAAAAATCCATGAAATATGTATATGAATTTTTAAAAATTGTAAATTAAGAGAATATTTTTGTAGCACCGGTAGCAGACAATGTTTGATTCGGAATGTTGATATAGCTGATAGGGATGAGAACAAGGATACAATTATGCGAGGTAATGTGTTGAAATTTCATATTTTTCATTTTGAGATCAACAAAAATTGCCTTTATCTTATACAACTAACTTCTTGCATTTCACTATTTAAATTTATCAATAAATGCTGGACCCTATCAAGAACTTGTTTTTGGCAACAGGAAACCAATTTTTGCTTTGTAATTCATCCACATCACTAGCATTTTTTTTTTTTTAAGAGAGAGTCGTGGATGGCCCATTTTTAAAACCCGTTATGCTGAGTAGATTTCTTTGAATTTCTGCAAGTAGAGGCCTGTCAACAACTGGCAAAAGACCGAATATAAGGCCCCAGTAGATGATACCCATTAAATGTTGCAATTCCTTTAATAATATAGATTGAATGAATGAAGTAAACTTTATTTTTACATGTATAAAGAATTACAAATGCTAATAAAGAAATAAATTTACAAAAAAACTATGGGAGACCCATAAGCTTCAGTAGCAGATTAAATAACCATTGCATTTGGTATATATTTTTTGAAGATTTTATTTCAAAGAAATAACAATGTAATAATAAATTTAAAAAAACTATAACATAATAATAATATAAAAAAGAAAAGATCCGTGTTTCAAATTTATAAGTAATTTTATTTAAACGTTTTAGCCCTTTTAACATAATTGTAAAGCAAATTATATTTTTTTTCAATTTAACAAAGCTCTGACTTCACCCTCAGGCAAAACGTTCTGCCCAAATGTATCATATCTAAATTCTTTGTGAATAGGGAAAATTGCGAGAAACTGGAAAATATTGTACTTGTCCATTAGGAGGCCTGGACGAAACCTACCTTGTTATCAAGTGTTACATCACATAATCTCCGTTCTTATCTCGTCAAAGCTTTGAGTTATTCCATTGTTTATTTTTGTTCCACTTCTGTTAAGTAGACCCTACACGGTAATTCATGAATGAACGTCACAAGAAGTTCCAAATTGCCCGCGATCGCTTTGATCATGAAGACCCTTACACGTTCAATCATTACTGATCATTACTTATCGTTGCTGATTTAGGTTAGATCGTTGCTGACGCCAATTTAGCGCAGTTGTAAACAAAGAAACAGCATAGATATGCTTATTTGGACATTGTCATTTATAATATTGGGCATCAAGAGAAAAACGGAGATATAATAATTACTTCCTAGTGCCTGAAAATCGTTTAGACCAAAGTTAGTCCAAAATATAAGTCAACTACATACAAAAATCTATGAAAAGTATTGCGAAAATAATCAATTTGTTAAGAAAAATGGATAAATTAATGGCAAATAAACACAACAGTTAAAGATTTTTTTTCTATAAGTAAATTGTGAAGTTTCCACTTTTTTTTCTCTCCAATTTATTGCCTACTTGACTATTTAAAGAAAAAATAGTTGAAAATGGTTAATAATAATATAGACTAGGGATATAAACAACTATTTACTTAATAACGAGACCTAGGTAAACTAACCTATCTAGTAGTAGTCTCATAGAAAATCGTTTTGACAAAAGTTAGTAAAATATAAGTCTACTACTTACAAAAATTAAGGAAAGGTATTGCGAAAATAATAAATTTGTTGAGCAAAATGGGAAAAGAACTGATAAATATACACAACGATAAAGTTTTTTTTTTCCTAAAGTAAATTGTGAAGTTTCCTCATTTTTTTTTTTATTTGTTGCCCACTTGACTATTTAAAAGAAATAGTTGAAGATAGTTTAAAATTATAAACAAGGGATATGAGAAATTATTTAACTATTTACATATAATGAAAATCAGAAATGTATAATGGTTATGAGGCCTAGGTAACCTAACCTATCCAGCAGTAGGGATGGGTCTAGGGATGGGTCGGATTGTATGTATCAGATACTTTTATCTGATACTAAAAAAGTATCTGATACAACCAGTAGATACAACCAAAAAGTATCTGATACAAAAGTATCTGATGCTCACATGGATACAAAATGGTTGTCCAGACATGCCACATTGATATAAGAGAAATGTTTAGTTATAATTTTAGTTGTGCACAATTTTTTTAGAACTATCTATTCATTTAGTTTAATTTAATTAAATATTTATTTGTAGATAAATATATTCACGCTTATTTTTTTTTTTTTATGTAATGTTAATTTCAGATATTTTTATCTGATACTGCTATCGGATATTTTTATCTGATACTAGTATCAGATACTTTTATCTGATATTTGTATCAGATATTTTTATCTGATATTTGTATCGGATATTTTTATCTGATATTTGTATCGGATATTTTTATCTGATATTTGTATCAGATATTTTTATCTAATACCTGCATCGGATACTTTTATCTGATATCTGGACTAGATACCCAGCGGTATACATACTGGCGCTTGGGCTTATTAGTTAATATATAATAGTTCTAATGACTGTATAGTCATGTCAGGTACTAAGAAAATATTTACACAATTTTTTAAACAAAATATGCTTCATATTTGACAAAAGAATGGAATACATTAAATAAAAATATAACAAATTCATGCAGAGGAAATATTTTCCTAATACAACGTTCTTAAGAATTTTGTAACAATTAAAAAAATTCTTTATAGTTAAGTTTAACATACCATGTAGATCTTTTGCCACCTTAACAAGTATGCTCAATCTCTACCTCTCTTGGGCTATTTCTTTCCATTATCTGATATTTGTATCGGATATTTTTATCTGATACTCGCATTGGATACTTTTATCTGATATTTTTATCTGATACCTGGACTAGATACCCAGCGGTATGCATACTGGCACTTGGGCTTGATATCTCAATAATTGTATCAGATATTTTAATCCAACTGTAATTGATTATTGATCGGGTTTGATATTTTAATACCTATTTGATACCTAATAAAACATACATTAAATATGTACCTATATATATTTTATTCCTTTATTATTAAATTTGTCCCTGTAATAAATATTTTACACCATTTTTAAATATCATAGTTCTAATGACTTTATAGTTATGTCAGGTACTATGAAGATATTCACTATACGATAGCTAAGTTTAACATACTCACACACACATATATTTCTTTTATTTTCACCGATCAATCTACATCTTGGGATTTAGATTATATAGGACTTGTATAATGTTTACAATACTATTATTGTATTCTTTGAACATATTAAATTACATATATAAATCATTTAATATGTAATATGTAAATATTTATCCACTCTTTTATTATTATTTTTTTCATTAATACAATATTATGACAACAAAAGTAATTTGTCGTTCATTTCAAATTTCAGTTAAAATTCCAAAGTTCATTGTTGTTTAGTAACTATCTTGCTGTATTGGGACCTCATTGCTCATATTATGTCTTTAATATATCAGTATAGTTATGTAAATCCTTCTGTTACTACTTATTTTTTAGTTTTTTTTTATTGTAATATGCATTTTGGCCAGATGTTATGTTAATTTTTATGTACAATATTGTTATTCTCAAGGGACTTTGTCCCAGAATAAAGGTGATTCTTCTATTCTATTCTATATATATATATTTTTTTATTTTTTCTGTTTGCATTACAGACAATGTAGATCTTTTGCCACCTTAACAAGTATGCTCAATCTCTACCTGTCTTGGGCTATTTTTATTATAGTAGGCAAAAGACCAAGTCGAAGGCCAAAAAGCAGATGGATAGATAGAATCAACAAAGATACAATAGAGCTGCGTGCAGATAAATGGCAAAAAATAGCCCAAGACAGGCAGAGATTGAGCATACTTGTTAAGGTGGCAAAAGATCTACATGGTCTGTAATACAATCAGAAAAAATAAATATATACATAGAATAGAATAATCACCTTTATTCTGGGACAAAGTCTCTTGAGAATAACAATATTGTACATAAAAATTAACATAACATCTGGCCAAAATGCATAGTACAATAAAAAAAAACTAAAAAATAAGTAATAACAGAAGGATTTACATAACTATACTGATATATTAAAGACATAATATGAGCAATAAGGTCCCAATACAGCAAGATAGTTACTAAAAACAATAAACTATGGAATTTTAACTGAAATTTGAAATAAACGACAAATTACTTTTGTTGTCATACCATTGTATTAATGAAAAAAAAAAATAAAAGAGTGGATTAATATTTACTTTAAATGATTTACATATGTAATTTAATATGTTCAAAGAATACAATAATAGTATTGTAAACATTATACAAGTCCTATATAATCTAAATCCCAAGATGTAGATTGATCAGTGAAAATAAAAAATATATATGTGTGTGTGAGTATGTTAAACGTAGCTATTAAGAATTTTTTCAATTGTTACAAAATTCTTAAGAACGTTGTATTAGGAAAATTTTTTCTCTGCATGAATTTGTTATATTTTATTTAATATATTCCATTCTTTTGTCTAATATGAATCACATTTTGTTTTAAAAACTGTGTGAATATCTTCATAGTACCTGACATAACTATAAAGTCATTAGAACTATTATATATTAACTAATAAGTCCAAGACTAGACTAGATATGAAGCGCCAGCATGCATACCGCTGGGTATCTAGTCCAGGTATCAGATAAAAATATCTGATAAAAGTATCCGATGCGGGTATCAGATAAAAATATCTGATATATAATATCCGATACAAATATCAGATAAAAATATCTGATACAAATATCAGATAAAAGTATCTGATGCCAGTATCAGATAAAAATATCTGATACTAGTATCAGATAAAAAGTAGTAGGAAGGTCATGACCAACTACTGACCCATTTGTATCAGATACAAAAGTATCAGATAAAAGTATCAGATACAAAAAAGTACCCGTATCAGTTGTATCTAGATACAAAAATTTTAGTATCAACCCATCCCTATCCAGCAGTATGGTTAGTCTCCCCACTACTTTTACCTCAGTCCCCCCTCCACTTCTCCTGAATGAACCTTTGATGTTCGGAAATCCGCAGCGCACCACCATCAGTACTTCATTCACTACCTTACACGACAATTCGGAACGTCATTAGTGCAATTCCGATTGACCGTGTAGGGTCCCCTTTATTTTCGTCCAATGTTATTAATTATTGTTTTTAATTTTAATATAATGTTATTAATTAATTGCTATGCATGTTATTAACCAAAAATGTTTTGTTATTATTACATTTGTTTTCGTCTATTTAATATACATGTTGTAAAATAAAAGTATTTTTTATTATTACATTTGTTTTTGTTTTTGCAATATGAATATAATACAATAAATATGAATACGAAGATAGGAATTATGAGAAGGCTTATCAGTGCCTTATCAGAATTATCAGTGTTGAGGTTATAAACATTGGCAAGTAGCAGTCCGCCCCGCCCGGCTAATGGACAAGTATCGAAAATATCTTGTGGATCCGCGAGGATGCACCAGGAGCAGTTGGCGCTCTTGTCATCGAGCCTCCAAGGTTTCCTGTTTAGATTTAGCGTTTCAGTTCTCGCCTTCATCGCCGTACTCATCATGTGCAGGTTGTTTTTAGCGCTAATGTAGGAAATCTCGTTCGCTTCATTTTTTAAGTTTTATACCATGAGTGATATTGTGCCTTCGCTAATCCCGATATTTCTACAGCTTCTTTCTTCTTTTTGCATTTGTCTTTCTTCGCATCTCTGGTGTGTCCAAAAAGTTAATAATATAGGTTAAAAAGATAATCTGAAAACACTCCAAGAGAAAATAAAACAAACATTTTGAGATAGATTGAATTAGTCGAAGAAAAAGAAACAAACCTCAGATATATTGTCCTTAAAGATAAACCATTGTTCCAGGGACACTAACTGGACTATGAGGGAACTTCCTTTGCGAATTTTTTGCTTATTATTTAGCTAACTCTTCCCTCCAAGACTAAAGCACAGTAGACAAATATACAAGGAGAAAATATAGAAGTAAAAAATTTATGAAATATAGATCTAGGAGGTGCTGCATTCTTATTATAGTTTTTCAAGGAGGGTGTCAGGTATTGTTACACTGCCTGCTACAGGTGCTTTTACCCTAACGGCGCATAATAAGAAATATTTACCAAAACATCTAATAGGAACAAATATGGTAGAGTTACCTTTGAGAATCTGAATGGTTGTACACCAATGGGTTCATGATCAACCCTTTGTGTTGGGAAATTGGCTAAATTGAACGAAGGCCATGCGAACGCGTCCGTTCCGAATTCCATATATCGAAGCCATGACTCGTTGCAAGTGACATTGGTGAGGCAGATCTGGAACCCTTTCATGTCCAAAGAGGTATAGAACTTGCCTACTATCGTCTTAAGCACTAACACTTTCGGAGCTGAAAATGACGTCATAGTAATATAATGACGTTCTGCAATATTATATAAAGAGTTCAACTATTAGAAATTAGAATAGAAACATGTAACGATATGAAAACTCAGATTCGAAAATTTTCAGTGCAATACTTATCCTTACTATATATTACATATACATGTAAGTGAAAGTAAAAATTTCTCTATTTAATAATTGGATTTGTTAAATTTATATTCGGGATTGCTTAAAGAAAATCTGACACTCCCTTGTCCGAAATTTGTCTCTACTTATAAATAACTTTATTAATAAATGAAGCAAATATTCTCAAAAAGTAGTGGGCATAGGCGCAGATTTAGGGAAGACTAGAGGTGCCATTACAATTAAATTAAAAAATAAATAAAATTCATAAGAAATAAGCTGCATTAATGAATAAAATAATTAAACTAAAATCTGTTAATAAAAAGAGAAAAGTCAACCGGCTAGACTAATGCCTAGAAGTAGTTAGCTAAATATTTCATCATTAAATGTTACTTTAAATATTATTTAATTTTTCAACCTATATCAAGGCAACTGCTTTTTCCTCTCCATGTTTAATGTATACAAATATGTAATATATCTAATTTTATTATCAAGTATAACCATATGCACATAAAAACAAATCATATATATATATATATATATATATATATATATATATTTACAACTTTTTCTTAATCGACCTTTGATTATTAAATTTAAACTTAACTATTTAATTGGGAATAAGGTCACTTATTAATTATTCAATAAACTACTGAATGTTCATTTCCTCTATGTTTATTGACGTTTAGATCCCGGTATTTTCTTTTTATAAGTCAAGGATGGGATCCTCTTCAAAGCTAGAATTTTAAAAAATTGAGCTTCGATCAGGCCAGGGACACACCGACAGTCTCAGCACCGTCCACTAGCACATATATTAAGCTGCTCCTCAATACCAGTAGCTTAATATATGGATCGAAACGTCAATAAACATAGAAGAAATGAACATTCAATGGTTTATTAAATAATTAATAAATGACCTTATTCTCAATTAAATAGTTAAGTTTAAATTTATATATATATATTTTAATGCAGGGCTCTCCCTATGTCCCTCCACGCCTAGTGGTATAATAAAAGGCCTCTGGCCAAAGATGCAAAGAACGCATACAGCGTGCAGAGCCCTCTTACCTTAAAATGCCCTTGGGCAATAAAAGGAAATTGTAAATTTATGTATATATACATTTATATATATATATATATATATATTTTATTTTGTAATCAAGAAATTCCTGGGGGGTAGGAAAAAAAAAAAAAAAATATATATATATATATATATATATATATTTATATATATATATATATTTTTTTTATATATTCCCTATGTGGTAACCCCACACAAGGATCGTTTATTTGATTTTCCTTCATGCTCCATGCCTTATTTTTATATATATATATATAAATCTATTTTTAAATATTCACTATTATATTTATTCGTTTCACAATAATTCTGTTGAATTTATACTCACAGTATAGACTCCCAGATTTTTTTTTGGGCCCATTACTCCCTTAATCGAAATGTAAAGTCAGTGCTAATGAAAGCCAAGATAACAACCAAACAAAAATTACTGCTAATGTATAATAAAAAGATACAAATAAATAAAAAAGATACTGTATACTACATTTCATGGCATGGAAATATATGTACAGTATTACGATTATTATTATCTAAGTTATACTTGTTTTTGTAATAGAATTCTGTCTAAAACGTTAAAGCAAAAAAAAAAAAAAATAATAGTTTTATTAAATTTTAATAAAAGACAACGTTAAAAAAATATGAAGAAATCAATAAATTAGACTAGTATAAGTAAGCAGTGAAAATAGAATTTATTAATGGAAAATATGTAATTTATAAGTTATATATATATAATGTAATAATAAAGATATGAAATGGAGTATTATTAAGTAATAGAAATAAATGGAAAAAATAAAAAATAAATAAGATGTGGAAATTACAATAAGTTGATGTCATAATATAATCTGTTAAAATGAAATAAACATAAAACAATGATAAGTATAGAATAAAAATAATAATAATGAACATAGAAATGAAATGTTAACTATAAGAATTTTATGAAAGAGAAAGTAGAAAATAATAAAACTGTATCTATTGAAATATATATCCAATTATAAATATTGTTAAAAGTATATATAAATATGTGTAGATAGTCCGTGATACAGGACCCTTTTTAGCTTCATCTCATCGTAACCTGAAATATTTTATTTGCGAAAATTCTCGGAATTGGGGCTTTTTCAATTTGGAGGTCGGCAAACTTTGTCTATTTAATTAGGTACTCAATACTCGTAAATATCCATTTGATTACCACTTTAATCATAAGATAACTTGAGCACAAAGTCGAAAAAAAAAGTGACTTTAAAAAATATTGACCCGTTTGGCGTGACCTACATCCCCAAATTATAAAAATAACGACGGTATACAGCTCAAACGGGTCAATATTTTTTAAGGCCACCTTTTTTCTCGACTTTAAACTCAAGTTATCTTATGATTAAAGTGGAATCAAATGGATATTTACGAGTTTTTATTACCTCCTTATTAAATAGACAAAGTTTGCCGACCTCCAGATTGAAAACGCACCAATTCCGAGAATTTTCGCAAATAAAATATTTGTAAGTTACGATGAGATGAAGCTATTTTCGAAGTTTCAGCCGGATGTTAATAATTCGATACAAAGAAGTCTGTACCACGGACTAAGACACAGACACAAGTAAAGGTAAGTAGATGGGCTTTATCAATACCAAGCTGTAGTTCAACCTCTCTGGCCAAGATGTACATTTCTGTTTCTGTGCAGACTCCACAGTTGTTCAAAAATAGGAGAACTTTGTCACCAGGAGAAATCAAGAAAACGTCGAAAATTTGTTCTACCATCAGCGAAACAATGTAATTTAAAGGTCCCATCTGACAACAATCGAAAAGAAAGTTATTCTTAGATCTAGATGTCAAAAAGAGCACTTTGGATCATTGAAGAGTCTGGATAGGTGATCAAATGTAAAACAGTGACTTTAAGACTAGAGATGCTGTACAAAATACTTTATAGAAATTTATTTCCATCCAAATTCTTGAAACTATTTCACAATGGTTTATTATTTCCCAACAATTATACATTTAAAGTGACATTACCTTTCTACTGACAAATTAAAAGAAATAAAAAGTTAATTCCAATTATTTGCCTAAACATTTTTTTTTCATCATTAGTACTTTGCTAAAAAAAAATAAATATCATTACTTCAGTAACACATTCAAAAATCAAAATCCAAAACAAAAGATTTGCAGTAGAGCATAAAAACGATCTAGAGACCATATCTTTGCTCCTAATTATCCGATTTTAACGATTATTTTTTTTCTTGTTTAGGAAATTTCGTAAACTTTTAAAAAAATTTATACAAAATCGACAAAAAAGTGTATAATTTTTGAGTTATTCAAATCTAATTTTATCATCTCTCGTAACTATCTTTACAGCTTCTTTTCGTTTAAGTATGTTATATAGATAAACTTAAAGGGCATCAAGAAAATGACTTCAGGCAAGTTTCATTGAAAACGGTACATTCGTGTAGGCACTACAGTCTACAGCAACGCAGGTTTTTCGACCACCATTTTGAAGGTAAAAGGCGTATAGTAATGTCGATGAAGGAGGATCATCCTCGGGTAACCTCTGATTTTAAATCCAAATTTGAGAAAGATCGATTCAGTACTTTCGGAGAAAATGCGCGGACGGACAACAAAATTTCTATTCGTTTTTCGAATTCTACGTATCCGGAAACGTTAAATCTCAAATTTTGAATTTTTTTCGATCACAATGGTTCATTTTTGAAAATAATAAACCAAAATTATTCTTTAAAATAATTTTATGAAACCCCTATAGGGTACTCGCTTCGGCGGTACATATACTAAAATTGGAACGATACAGAGAAGATTAGCATGGTCCTCGCGCAAGGATGACACGCAAAATCGTGAACGTTCCACATTTTTTGGGGGCGGGGTGGCCGAATGGGCTAAAGCATCTGCACAGCACCGCGAGTTGCCGGGCAACCAGATATATGAAGTTTTGAGAGAAAAAAATACCGTCCTAATGCCGGAGGGTATTTTAAATTCCCCACCCTCACCCTCCGGCCCTGGAAAATCCCGTATAGCCTAAATGGCGAGGTAGGGAAGAACAAAAAAAAAAACCTTATAGGAAATTTTGATTTGTAATATTTTATAATGCCAATTTGCGAATTTTGCATGTTTCACCTTCCAATACTGATCCAAACCAAACGCTTGCAATATACCCTCTCCCATTAAGAATTTTTCGGGTATTTTATGTACTAATGCCTCTTGGAAAACTAACCTCTACACGTTTAAGGCCGTCTTCTGCATGCCCTCCTGTTCCAATGATGATCTCGTAGTTCTTGATCTGAAGGGCCGGATGACAGGAATTGGGCATTTGGCAGCAGCTGTAGCAGGCGGAGATGGTGGCGGTCCGCAACTTGATCATGGTCCCGTGGTGGTAGACCTGATCCAAGCCGAATCCTGCCGTCGACATTCCTCCGAGTATCTTCAACAGAAAACAATCGACAATCTTAGATGTCAATGAAAAATCATGATCCATTAAAGTAATACTCTGAAGGGTTTCTTTTATGTTGAAAAATCTTTAGAATCGAATTTATGTAGTCTTGTTAAAAGTAGTTGGGCTACTATTGGAGAATGGGGATTGTTAAACAGTTGGTCAAGCGTCTGTGGTACAGACCTCTTTTTATCAAATTATTAATATCCACCTGAAACTTTGTAAATAGTTTCATCTCATCGTAACCTACTATAATTTCATTTACGAAAACTCTTGGAGAATGCCAAACTTAGTCTATCTAATTGGATAATACAATATCCCTTCCCATCAGTTTAAATTCCGCTCAAGGCATTCCACTGTTCAACAAGGCCTTCGCGTTGTTGACCCTATATCCTCTCCGCTTGAAAACAAGCAATATTGCACTAGTGTCTTTCTGGACGTAACGCAAGCTTTCGACCGGGTGTGGCACGATGGCTTTTCAAGCTCAAAACTCACTTACCCCAATCCTATTCTTCAAATCCTACCTTTCAAGTCCGCTGCGGCATCGAATTCTTCAATTATTATCCAATTGAGGCTGGTGTTCCGCAAGGCAGTGTCATAGGCTCAGTTCTCTACATTCTTTTCACAGCTGACATACCAACCCATTCAAATACCCTTCTATCAACATTTGCTGACGATACCACCATCCTATCATCCCACTCAGAGCCTGAAACAGCATCCCTAAACCTACAAAGACACATCTCCCTAATAGAGCAGTGGTGCAACATAGGACGCAGATCCTGTCCACATATCCTTATCAACTCAGTACCTCTTCCCATCTTAGACACAATTCGGTATCTTGGATTCTTTTTAGACACAAGATTATCATGTAACCCACATACCATAATTAATCGACAAGAACTTAACCGACGAATTGGTCAGTACCACGGGCTATAACTGTTGGCAAACCGTCAGTGAAAAATTATTTCCAAATGGATCAATAATAAATAGTTTCTGAGTGGAGCTTTTAAGTCTGCCATTAATATCCCGCCCTCACTCTGGAAAAACCCCGTATAGCCTAAAAGGTGAGGAAGGGAAGAACAAGAAAAAAAAAATCCAAGGGGACTTTAAACTCTGGTATAAATACCCTGCACTCTCGTCAAGCTCTGGAAAATCCTCGTGCAGCCTAAAATACGAGGAAGAAGAAAACAAAAGATACTGGATTAATCTTCAAAACATGGCTGACATATAAATAGGCCTATGGCACATATGTAGGCTTATATATACTCTTCGTAAATAAACAATAATCATCCCAACGTTCGATTCCCACAAAATTAGCAATCGTTGCCAACCTAACTTTCTTCACTAAGCCTAAAAGAATGAAATCCTCCCAGCTATGTATTGTTCTCATCCCTTAGCCTTCCTAACTTGGCTCAGCCTTAATTACTGAGTCACAATGGTGTTAATTCAATCTGGTCGAAATTTATTTAAGCCTAAAATAAAAAAAAAATGAACTGTTGTTTTAAAAAGAATAATAGTCTAGTAAATACTCTCATTTCCTAAACACCAATTAGATATAATTGTATGAAACCATAAAAAAACTTATTTTCACTAAAGGCTTTTCTAGAATGACAATGATTAAAAAAATTCCATCTTAAGACCGCCAGTTTAAGGGTTTTCACGTGTTGGTTTGCCTTCTGTTGAGACGTTCATTGCTACAAAGAGGCTTCCAAATGAATTCCTACGAGCTACATGCACCTTCCATCTCAACCTCCATTTCTTCATATCATGGGATAATGATTGACCAGTTTCTACATTGAGCCACTAGCGGATCCAGGATTTAATTTGGGGGGGGGAGGAGCTTCAGCCCAAAATCTTTTTTTTTATAAAAATAATGATAATTACTTTGGAAAAACAGAAAGAAACTAACTTACTATATGAAATGGTGTTTAAGTTATTCCTTAAGTACTTTTAAATGTAATTACACGAACAATAATACTTTAAGAGGTATTTTTAAAAAAAAAATTCCCATGAAACGTGGTTATATTTTTTCATTTTGGGGGGGGAGGGCTTCAGCCCGAAAGCCCCCCTCTCCCGTAGATCCACCCGTGCATTGAGCTGTTTAATGCTCTTTCTTCTCCATGTGTCAGTACTCTGATCTCTGATCGCTCCGGTTATCGTGCGGAGGATTTTTCTCTCTAAACTTTCAACACTTTTTTCTAGGGTGCTGGTTAGTGTCCAGGTCTCACAGCCATATATTAAAACTGACTTTATCATAGCATTGTACAACCTTAATTTGAGATTTCAATATCTTTGAAAGGGAGAAGAAAGCTCTATTTGCGCAAGTTATATGCTGGTCTATTCTGCCCGTTGGTCATTCATTGAGATTATTGTGGAGCTGAGGTATTTGAAAATCTGTTATTGGATGGCAATTTTAGGCTTATTAAATATATTTTGTTTTGTCTCCATTTACTTGTAGGCCGGTCTGCTCTGCCTCTCTTATCAGTGTTGTAGCGAGTTTCTCAATGTCCTCTTGATTACTTCCAAGGACAGCTATATCATCTGCGTATTGAAGGATTTTATGATTCCGATGTGAAGCCCTCCATTTTCCTATGATGTTTTTCTTATTACCTTCTCCAGGGCTAAGTTGATCAACATCGGTGATAGTCCATCTCTCTGCCATAAGCCCGTTTGGACGTAAAAGACTACACATCCTTGTATAGGACGCTACATTTAGGGTCATTTGATATACACGTTTTGGCAATCTCATCAACTTACCGAGGACTTCCAGTTCAATAATAATTTTGTAAAGACAGCTCCTGTCCACAGAATCATAGGCTGCTTTGAAATCGACAAATAGGGCGCCCTGAGCTACTTCCCATCGTTTTCGAGTACTGGTTTTAGGACGAAGAGCTGGTCATTCAGATTAGGGCTAAATAAATAACATACAAATATATCATTAAATATAAGATCTTACTTGAATATATATCACTCACTTTAGCACAGATAATAACTCCGCAAAGACCTCTTTTCACCATCATATTTTCGTAAACGTATTTAATATGGTTTCGTTCAAGAGCACAATCGTCTGTCATAACGACCATTTTCACCTGAAAATTCAGTAGTTAATATAATAGCAATCGAAGCAATAAGCCATATCATATAAAACTGAAGGCCAGCTTATACTGGAGGTAACTTTGCCATTAACATGAATTATTACCATCTTACTAAAATGTTTCAAATAAAATAAGTGACAATAAGTTTTACTCATTATACCATTTAATTTTATTTAGAGTAGCAATACCAGTAATTGACAGGTTGTCAGTATTTTATAAATTTTTATAATTTCGATTTTATAATTTCGATCCCTTTCTCCTGCCTCCCTCCCCCTCCTAAAAAAATCTTGCATGGACGTTCTTGTTGTTCAGTCGAGTTAGCTGTTTACAAAATGATATTTTTCATTATTTTATAACATAAAATTCAATCAATCCAGCCTATTTGAAATTATTCAGTTTTAAGACTGGATTAAGATAGTAAGATAACGATATTGACAGTATTATCATGAAAGAAAACTGTTACCGTGTAAACGAGCTTTCAGATAAATCCAATAAAATGAACAAAGCTGTAAGCTTCACATCAAACTGCCTATTTACTGATTGTGGATCAAAAATTAGGGAAGTTGCGATATCGCCCAACACCATAACAATCAAAACATACGATAATTTCACAATATCAAAAGAAAAAAGACAATAATGGTTTTTCGATATTTTTTTCTTGTTTAGATTATAAATTTTAATCAATTTAATATTTTTAAAACATCTAAACTGAGGGTATTAACATGTACCATTATATTTTAACTATTCAAATATAAATCTCTGTATAGCCCTTAAACGGTCTGTATATTCGACATATACTCATAGAGCGTAACTTACATTAGTATGTAACACTAGTGGATCCAGGATTTAATTTTGGGGGGGCTTCAGCCCGAAAGTTTTTTTTTTCAAAAAATTACGATAATTACTTTGGAAAAAAAGAAAGAAGCTACTACCTGTATGAAATGGTGTTTAAGTGGGTCCTAAAGCCCTCTTAAATGTAATTACACGAACAATAATACTTTAAGAGATACTTTTTAAATATTTTTTTCTATAAAACATGGTTATATTTTAGCATTTTGGGGGGGGGGCTTCAGCCCGAAAGCCCCCCCCCCGTAGATCCGCCCGTGGTATGTAAGAGAGTAAGTGATAATTCGTAAATAGGTGTCTAAAAAAAATGATGAATTAGGTAAATATAAATTTTAAATACGTTCAAAACAATTTTAAATATCTTTTAATATCAAACCACACTAAGGAATTAAAAGTTGTTAGTATTGCAATTCTATATGATTGATATATTATAAAAAAGATAGCATCAGATAGTAATTTGGTATTACAATTATTTTAATAACAAAGATTATCTTTAAAATATCACCTTTATGCCTGCATCCATTGCTCTTTTAGCAGCGAGTCGAAAGTTCAGCGAGATAGTTACATAGTTCAATGCAATGATCATAATACCTCCTGAAACGTACATCGCATATTTCAAGTCAAGTACGAAATAAGTTCATTCAATAATCTATAGATTGTTAAGGAATTACAAAGGGTAGGTTTATAAACTCAAACCTAATTCCATCTATGGAACTTATTAATCATTTCTTGCAGCGAATTGATTAAGCGATTAAATGAATTGTTTGATCAAAAGGATAGTTTATCCTAGTGGTGGGCGTTTCAATTTTAATGAACTATTCGTTGACAAGAAAGAACAGTTCTTAAGAACTGTTGAAAAAAAATCATAGAACAACTAATCAGTGACGTCATTTACTATTATTTACGTAAAAATAACAGATCTGAAAAAGGATAAAAGAAGTCTTATTCGAGTTTGAAATGGATAATTTTTCAATTTATATTTAAAATTTTAAAATTATTATTAGCAAAAATTATACAAAATCATAATTTTACGAGTCAAACAAGAATAACTGGTGACTGATGTTACAGAAGGCCTTGACTAAACCCCACGCGGATTGTAGAGACAAAAATGATGATGATGGTTCTTCTGGCTTGAAATAATACTAGGCTATGGCTTTAAACTAAAACTTATAATAATGGTGACGAAAATACATAAATAATCTTTGTCATAGCAGAACGTCCATAAAAATGTCGGCCAAATGAGTTTGACTTCTTTCTTAAATTTATTAAGAAAGATTAAATAATTCTTAGATTATGTTGGAACATGGGGATCCTAAACAGGATCACGAATGGAACATTTACCACTATTCCATCTGCTCAGGTTAAATATAGCGTTTAAGATCTGCGGCACCGTTGGCGCGGAGAATACTGAACCCAAAACGCAACCAGTCAAGAAATTCTCACCGACAAAACCTGAAAGAGGTACAAATTAATATTTAAATATTCTATTATATTAATAAAAACAGCTCTCTAAATTATATATATATATCATATAAATATAGAATATTTTGTCTGCATTTCAGTGGAGAAATCACACTTTTGCTTATAGGAGATAAGGATTTTCTAAGGAGATTTGGATGATATGTAAGGTTCTGGTTAAATTTGGATAATTTTTCTGGAATAAGGTCTAGAACAAATAGAATATCAAGGCCAAGGTACAATGATTTGTTAGTTATATAAAACGGAGCATCGACAATTGTTCGAAGGATTTGGGACTGAAAGGATTGAATGCGTTTGATGTCAGAAAATTTTGCTGTCTTTCAAAGTTCTAGTATAAAAGACTACCAACAAACTCAGCCAGTGTTCTGAAACGTTCGAATAAAGTTCAGTACATGGATAGTTTTCAGTGAAGCATATATACTTATAATATTGGTTTGATGGTTGACTGTAGTGAATCATTGAAGAGAAGTTGTTTGGGTTCAACAAAAAAAAAAAAAAAAAAAAAGGAAAAAAATCGTCTAGACTTATAATTTACTATTGTTCTTTGTTAAAAAGAAGTTAGTTTTTTTATTTATCCATTCTTTAAAAAATGGAATAGTGTTAAAAAGGAATTGTATTTCAAAACACCTCTATGTTTAGTATTTTTATTATAGTCAATGCTTACCCATAGGAAAAGGTTCATGTCCGAAACCACAGCCCGTCAGGACCGCTACTCGGTTCCCGCGATCCTGAACAGAAACGGAAAGTCTATTAATTAACTTGTTACTGAATAACTGAAAAGCTTTGTAAGGCACAATTATAAACAATTGATACCGCAATACCTTACCCGTATCGCCCGAAATTCTTTCGTATTCCAATTTAGAAGACTAAGGTTTTAAAATATACATTTGTTTTTCCTTCAACGCTATTGTCTATGAAAAACCTTGGTTTCCTCAACGATTCTCTTTCAGTCAGACCCATCTTTTGTAGCTCCTCTACAATTGCTTACATCTAGTAACCTAAAAATGCTCCAAATCATCGTGTGGAGTGTACTTTTATTATTTATTTTGCGAGTTTTTTTATCCATATGAAGTAAATGAGCTAGGTATCTCATATCCTTTCGTGTTTTTTTTCCATTTATTTAATGACATTTACAACTGTATACATACATACAACAAGTAAATCTGCTATATGAATACATAACATGATACTTGTGAAGAAGCTGACCCATTGGTAACACTTCAAAGATTAAATTAATTTAGAAGGTCCCTTGTCATTTTCTTTTCAGACGCCTCGGAGGATTGTCAGGAATTGTATTGGATGAAAGGTTATGAACAAGAGGATGGGGATGACCAAAGAGTTTGGAGTGAAAAGAGGAATATCTAGTTCGGGCCAAGTTTTCAACAAGATGAATACTGAGGTCTTTATAGGTGATTTTATTTGTGACATAATAAGGAGAATTTAGGATTTTACGGAGGATTTTGGATTGTAAGGATTGGGTTGCGAAAAGATACGAAAAGAATTCAAAATTTTTGTAGAGCCCCAAAGCTCAATTCCATATATCCTAAAGGCCCTGGTGATGGTAGGGTAAATGAGTTTTTGTAGAAAATTGGTAGTTTAGGGCGTTTGTCAAGTAAGTTTTGAAGTAGTCGGAATCTATTGGCAGTTTCTTGTCTTTTAAGTCTAGTATGAGGATCCCAAGTAAGGCGTTTGTCAAGAAGCAAGTCCTAGATCGTTATCTATCTAACAAATCCGTTGATTTTTTCGACAGAGATCAGTGGAATATTGTTAAAGGAAACGGAAGGACAGGATATTGTAGGTTTACGGCGAAGTGTAAAAGTAATTAGTTGGGATTTATTTCATTAATTTTAATTCTCTAATTTTCATACCGTTGTTCAGTGGCTGAAATGTGTGACTGCAGTGATTGTGATGCAACAGTAGTTATGACAGATAACACACATGTGTCATCAGCATAGGTAATGAGGACGGTTGAAGGATAGGCTGGGATATCAGCTGTATTTACTATGTAGAGGATGGGACCTAAGATGCTCCCTTGAGGAACTCCAGCAGACTGAGAAAAAAAGAGATAAATATGCAGACTTATAATTTACTTTGAAGGTTCTATCTGTAAGGTAAGAACGGATAAGTAGGAAATTTGTATGGGACAGGAATTGACGAAGTGTGTACAGCAAATCTGCATGCCAAATTCAATCAAAAGCCTGTTCCACATCGAAAAAAGCTGTTGTGCAGTACAATTCACGCACCAGTGTAGAGGAAATGACATCCAGCACACAATGGCACTGCTGAATAGTGGAATGAGATGTTCGAAATCAAAACTGATGGCCAGGAATCGAGTGATTTGAGTCTAGAATTGGACAAAGGCGTTTTAATATAAGTTTTTCTGTTATTTTATCCATAATGGGAAACAGTGAGATAGGACGGTAAGAGGATGGGTATTCAAATCGCTTTTTTTGATTTTAGAATCATTTTTATTATGCAGAATTTCCAAGGATCAGGATAGTAAGTGGCTGTAAGTACGGTCTTACATATATAGGTGAGAAGGACAGGGTTTCGGGGAATTTTCTTTAGGATTCGGGAGGTGATGAGATCGTGTCCAGAAGCTTTTTTGGACCGCAATTTTTGAATTATGTTAATTATATCTGAAGGATGGAACACTTCAGGAGGAAGGGACATTTGTAAAGAGATAGTAAGTTCTGCTTCAACATGTTCAAGATGGATATGATTGAGGACATCAGGATGTCCTTCCGCTTACAAGGCACGAAACTCTGGTTTCTGTTATAGATCTTAAGTTCGTTGTTTGTTTTTATACGATAACAATTCTCTTCTATAGTTCGGCTGTATGTTCTTCTTGAAATATTCCTTTCCCATTTAATCAGCAAACCTTCTTGCTGCTTGGTTAGGGTTCATTCCTCAATATCGTACTTTATAATGTTACGAAGGAACGTCTTATGTCTTTTTAAGGTTTCGTGGTATATTTGAGTTCTGTAAGACCTTTCTGAGCGACAAACAGCATTTGTTCCTGTTTTCAATCCTTTCTTTTATCTCTTCTCCCAATTTTTTACCTTCGGTTACAATTGTGCCATAATAATTGAGTTTCTCCTTTTTCTCTAAGATACACATTCCTCCCATTCCTAGATGCTTTATAAAAGTACGATCTATACTATTACGATATTGTTTCAAACCATAGAGGTTCAAAATAACTTTCAAACATTGTTTATCTTATTCGTAAAGTAATAAGGAAATTAAATGGCGTAGTACTTATTAAAGTATTAGTAAAATGTACAAAAATCTGTGGTAAATTGATAAAAACACTGAGATAATTTATTTATATTCAATTTGAAAAAATCCTGTAGCAGTACAATTCATGAACGGTCTTGGGTTCAGTACTTTGTAAGGAAGTACTGTTTCAAGGTGAACGGTTGTGAAGGGAGGCGATCGGTCCAAAAATATCCTCAACTGGTTTTTCCTCTTAATTAATTAATTGATTAAGAATAGCCACTTTATGAGGCTGGCTGTGCCTCAGGAGGGTTTCCCAACCACAGGGTCGATCAATGGCTGATAAGAAAATACTTCACATTAGTTGAATTAGAACCCGGTACCAAGAGCTTAGCAGCCCAGTGACTAACACACAGAGCCACTCTACCCCCTCTTTATATTCAATAAAATAAATTATATTATTTTCTCATATTTAATGTATATATCACTACCTTGTTAAGTAAAACCAATCTCTTTTCTATAGATATGAACAGTCCCGCATGTGCAGCTTTCATCCCTTTCAATGCATCATTCCAAACGCTGTTGTCATCGTTGCAGAACATAATTCCGGGCATTTTCTGTCAAAGATGAATTAAAAAAGTTAGAATTAATAAGAAATATTGCTAAACTGATATAAATAAAATAAAATATGTGTGTACATATATATTGAGAAACATGTGTTATGCCTACTATCGAAGAATTATATAACTTTATCTTCGTCAACAACGATCATTTAGGGCCAGTTGCTCCATCTTAGTAAAGCTTAGATTAAGCGTTATCTAAGATTAAACTAAGTTTTCTAAGGTCAACAAATCAAGATTATACTTGGTTTAATCTTAGACAACGCTTAATCTATGCTTTACTGAGTTGGAGCAACTGTCCTTAAAAGTGAAGATGTCTTTAAATTCATCAAATTCAAATAAGTTATATTTTATTTATCTATAAGATGATTAATGAAATATATTTCGGTTTCATTTTTTAAAAACAAAATCGCAGCGGGTTAAATCCCTTCTACCCTCACCCTAAAGTCAAATTAAAAAAGAATCCCTCCCTACTCAAACATATTGCCAGAATGGGTACCTGGAATTTGGTATCGGCTAGAGCTTATCAAGATCCGTAGACGTGGTTTAATATTGCTCAATATAGCCCTTACACGTACAATTATATTGACACTGTTTCAATAATATTGAAGGAGCTTCTATAAAAAAAAAAAAAAAATGATATCAACCAGTTTGATTGACGTCAATATAATTGCTGATTGATTGATGCCAATTTTGCCCTTACACGGTCAATATATTGATGAAACTCGATATTGACTCAATAATTTTGACCTTGTAAGGAGCCCTTTTGTTAATAAAAACAATATTACACCTCTTTTAATGCCATAAGTGTTGTAATCTTCTAAGCACATATCAACGTAAATTAAAGTAATAGAAATTTTAAAATAAGTTCACTACTAAATAAGTTCTAAGTTAGCAAATTAAAAATTGTATCTTCATTTTTTTTTTTTACGAATTGTTTTAATATTTATTCATTTATAATAATTTCAGCTTTATGTTGTCCAGTTACGAACTTCGGTGTTTTTTTGTTAGCATAATAATGTGGGTTTTTTTCTCGTTTTGATAGAAACGTTGTATCCTTTAAAAAGTTTATGTTGCTTTTTTAATTTTTAAAGAAAGTTATCCAATAGTTTTTAAAAGTGGAAGAAAGAAAAGTAAATTCGACTTTGTGACATTCAGTCTCCAAAAGATGATTATAATGAAAAATTTGATGACATTTGTCTGACATGAGAAGATGATCAAGAATTAATTAAATTACGTGTTTATCAAGGCTTGAAATGAAAATGATAGAAAGGCACAAGTTAATATTCGAATTATAGATAGATAAACATGAGTGTGTTCACATATAAACAATAGATAATAATTAGGTATTTATAAGATAAAAGCAAAATGAGATTAACATATCTAAAACATAGATATATTTTCTTACATTTATTCGGAAGATTGATAGCTGAGGAGATGGAAAAATAAATGGTGTTTAAATTAGGTTAAAGATAAGTATTTGAGTACGGAAGTTGATAGAGGATTCAACAGGACAAGGTAGCACTTATGAAAAAGGAAACAGTTCTATGAGAATGAATAAAAAGGTTTCTGGGCTGGGATCTCGTATTAAAAGAATGGACCGAGGAACAAGGAGTTTGGTTGTAAAGATTCGGAAAAAGAAAACACCAAGTTGATATTGACAGAAAACTGGATAGAGCCACTTCAACTGGGCATAGCAACTGGAGACGTGTAAGCACCTGAGGGCTCCAAAGATGAAACTAATAAAGCAATTCAACAGCCTTTTCAATCTGATCTCAAGCCTTCCAGATAGTCCATCGTATGCAAGTCAGCCATAATCGAAGTGATGCATGTACATACTTGTTTACACGTTTTTAAATTTTATTTCATTTCTTAAATTAAACTCATTTTACTTATTGACCCATTAACATCAGGAAAATAATGGACACATGTTTTAAAATATATAAATCCATCTAATAAGCAAAGATCTGATCTAATTTTACTAAAAATAAAAATAAACAACCAACAATAGTACCAACTTTCAAGAAAGAAGAGTAAGAGGTTTTAGATGCTATGATTTTTCACTGACAAGTGGCAACATTGGCTTGAATCCAGCCTCTGAAAATTTACTATTTTTGTAGTGGATCCTATGAATAAATTTTCAACTTCACACTAGCAATAATTAGTTGGTGCTTTACAGAATAACACACCATACTTTAATTGAAGTCGTTAATAAAAGGACAAATGAACTGTTTGTTATTAATTACGATAAAATTAAACGATACTTGGTTTCTGACACTGAGTTTCTAAATGTACCTAGTAAATTTTATCTTAGAACTGAAAAGACTACGTATTTTTCAAATTTAGAGCCCTGGAAAAAACGTCATTTCGTTAGAAATTTTATGGAGAGTAACAGTCTTATGTTTGGTGGTCATCAATTTCATTTTCGTAGTTGCACTGAAAATGGACATGTGTTCGAATAAAATGAATAATGTTAAAAATCAGGTATCATGATTTTTAATATAAAAATAAGATCAATTTTGAGTAATATATTCTTCGTTGGTAATACATATATATATATATATATATATATATATATATATAAAAACATTTGAGCAACTAATCCACCTACTCATCACTTTGCTTCATTCTAACCTCTTTGGAGTTGTGATATTCGATTTTATGTGAAACAGAGGTATGTGCTAAGAGCTATACATCTATTGAGAATTTATATTTAGAAAGCATGGAAGGCGTATTATACATAATTACGATACATTTAATAAAATAATGATTATATAATAAAACTATGCCACAAAATGTCAGATGTTTTTTTTTCACACTAAACGATAATAATTTTCTTAATGAAATCTTGTAGTATGTAATTCAGTGAAATTTTTAAATAATCTAAATAAAAGGAACTATAGAGGGACAAATTTACTTACTTATACGAATCTAATTCCTTTTAAATAACATAAATTTCGTTTGTATATCTAATTTACCAAACTATATTGAATTACAAAAACATCGATTTCCTTTGAACAATTTTAAACAAATTCTCTTTTTCCACATGATTTTCATTCATTTATTCAATTTTCATCTGTTCCTTGGTATTGAATAAAATTACAAGTTGATGACGGGGGCACTATATAAAACAAGTCTTATTTTATACTTTCATTTATCTATTTAGAAAATTAAGTTTAAGTATTACGATCCGTAAAAATTTCGAAACTGAATATTCAATGGATATAAATACTTCAAGATTTCCATAGCAAGACGTATCCAAATCAAAATAGATGGAGCTGTAATTTTCTATATTTAATTACTTCCATATATAGTACGTGAATAGCTTTGGTTAAAAACGAACAGTACATAAGATTGTTAATTTAAGTATTAAAATTAGATGTATGTGATTGAATGAAAAATAGATAATATTTCATTAATGCATCCTGTTCGACGTTTTGCGGAATCTTCTCTCTATAATCAGACTATTTATTGTTAGTTCTTGTTCATCCAGTTCGACAATTCAAGTGTAAAAATATTGATATATTTGGACAAATTTCTGAACTCACTGACAGATGAAACCTCCACAGAAATGGTAAAATTTAACCATGTTTTACGGGAAAAAATTTAAAAATGATCTCTTGAAGTATTATTGTTGGTATAATTACGTTTGATGGTTTTTCAAGAATCACTTAAAAACCATTTCATATAGATAGTATATTTCTTTTTTTTTAAAGTAATTATCGTTATATACATGAAAAAAAAGTCTTCCAGAATGAAGCCCTCCTTCCAATAAAAATTAAATCCTAAAACGGCTAGTGAAAGACACCATATTGAAATATGGCTAATGGATATTGCTGATGATGCAGTTGTGGTCTCCTGGGCTTTAACCAGATTCAGAAAAACGAAAGTACAAATAGGAGACCTATTGGTGGTTTTCAGAGCATTATGGCACCAAGGAATGAAAGAAATATTGGTATTACTGCAAGAAGCAACTTTTTTCATAGGGCCGAGCAGAAACTTAGAGTGGCGGAGTGGGCTAAAGCCTGTGCATAGCATTAAGCGTTGCCTGGCAACATGATAAACGAAGTTAAGATAAAATAGTTAGGAGTTCGCATCTCAGTGATGAGGGAGGCTTTTAACTCTGGCATTAATACCCCATCCTCACCTCCTCATCCCCGAGGATTGCTGAATGATGAAGGATTTGCTGAAGAATGTAGTTTTATGAGAAGGGATATAGTAAATCAATAGGTTGAGATCTGGTATTAAGAGAATGGATAGAAGAACATACAGTGAGGAGTTCCATAATATAGGGAGGATTTTCGGTTCTTAGGACCTAGAAAAGAAAAACATCGAGAAAGAATTGTTGTCAGGAAGTAGGATAAAGCCACTTGTGGGAAATATGAGAACGCCTGGGAATTCCAACAATGAATCTTATAAAACAGTTCATAAGTCTCTTCAATTTAACCTCCAGTCTTTCAGGCAGCCCTCCATACACCAAGCAACCATAGTCGAAGTGGGGGAAACAGAGAGGGGTCACAAGGAGCTGTCTGGTTTTTTGAGGAATCAAATTTTAACTTTAATTTTAAGAATGGTTTAAGGACAGTTATGGATTTTCGGATTATCTGAGAAATATGTTTATTCCAGGAAAGGTTCTGATCAAAGATAAGTCCTAGGTTTTGACTCGGGAAAAATGGATGGGGCGGTTATTGAGGTAAAGTAGAGTAAGGAAGGGAACTAATGAGATGCCTGAACCTGATGAAAATAGCCTTAGTTTTATCTGTGTTCAGCTTTAACTTATTTATTTCTGCCTATCTGTTGATGCAGTCAATATCCTCTTATAGCTTTTGGGTAGCCTCAGGCATCCAGAAGATTGGAATGATTGGTAAAATTGGAAATCATCAGTTTATAGCTGGTAACAGGAGTGATTAATGGAATCAGGAGTTGAATGTTCTGCCCACACCTACACAAATTATTTATTCATCGTTTGTCTACCATCTTATGCCCCTATAATACAAACTGCAGTGCTGCAACAGTGCCTGGCCAGCAACTCCACAGGTTATGGTCCAAGGAAGGCCTTGACAAGGATAAAAATTGGAATGGTGTTATTTTTACAGAAAAGTTTCGTTTCTGTATTTATAGGGATCATAGGCACTCAACAATCTACCATGAACAGTTTGTGCTTTCTACAATGCAGGCTACAGAAAAGAGTGTTATGGTATGAGCCAGCATCTACTCAGGATAAACTCTACTCCATATTGTGTCGAAGGTGGTTCATTATGTTCAAGAAATTATAAAGTATATGCCTCAAACCAGTGGCATAATTGGTATAGATTTCCTGTTATAAGGGAAAAGTTGTTCATCAATGTCTTCAAAATCTGGACATTTCACATTGGCTTCTTCCTGTATTGTCTCCAGATCGCATTAAGCACATGTGGGATGAGCTAGAGAGAAAGCTTTTTGACTACCATTTGTAGGTTCTTGATCTTCAGCTATTGAGAACAGTATTACCTTGTGAAATCAATGACATTATAAACTATTGACTATGCTCAATAGGTACAGAGAGGTAATGCATTACAGAGAATATTACATAAATTATTAAATTTTACAAAATGTTTAAAATTCGCAATCATAGAAACAAATTCATGTAAACCTTTAATTTTATTATTTTTTTAAAACACCTTTTATAAAATTTCTGGAGGTCAAATATGATCTTATTTATATTAATTTTCAATGTATTTTATGATAAATATTCAGGGGGAAATAATTCATACATGACTAACAATATTTCTATTAATTTTTTAGTAGTATAGAAATGATCTACAAGAATCTCCTTCTCTACAGTCGCTAACACCTGAGACCATTACCAAATAGCATCTTCAAATGGTAGTCTGGAAATGATTGACTAGAATTGAGAAGTTACAGCTAGTTTTGCCATTTTAAAAGAGAAGTAGAAATGGGAATTTTGGAAATATCAAACAAAATCTAAAATGAGAGTAATGTAATATTAAAAATGAGAACTGTGATATATCTGACATCTGTTAACCAGGACTCATTGTTTGTTACTGAATATCTTCAATGAATAAAAGACAGGACTAGCAAGGGCTGTAAAAAAAACTAAAACAGTGCTAAAAAAAAAGAAATGTTATTTTCAATTTGATAGGGAACAACTTTTAAACTATGATAAGGTGATTTGTAAAAAGACTACACATTTAATAAATATATTTTCTTTAATATAATTTACTTTTCTTTTATATTTTATTTTATTCATAATGGAATAGAGCTTACAATGTCTTCTATACGTTGATTTTAAATCTTCATCCTTAGATAAAAAGAAATAAATAAAAAACCCTAAATACATAATCTCTCACAGCCTTTATGAAACATGTAGTACAATCTGATAACATTACTGCTCGCCCTAACTGACAAATCCAATCCAGACGACGTTTATAAATGCATCTTTTCAATAATCGTCTGGCTAATATTTTTCATCGATGGACATCTCATCATCGTTATTAGTAACTTGTCGACATAATCTTGATTCTTTAATCGATACCCGCAGGTCGTATTGCTGGTCAAGGCCAAGGTAGGTGTCAGATAAAATATATAAAGTAAAAATAGCCGGCCCTGAAAAAAAAAATAATAATATAAGAATGTTAAAAAAACAAAATATTAACTACTAAATCATGAAAAATTAGAATTAATTGGTGGTTGATGTATAAAGTATTTAGTGAATTTAATAATGAATTAGAGTGTCAGAAGCCAAGAGTTTTGAAGTGATAAAATATAAATATTTAAAATTGGGAACTTGCTTGAATTTTTTTATTTTATAAGTCGAAGGAAATTAAGTTATAAAAATCAAAATCTAAAGTCTTAAATTTTTCAGATGCATATTTACAAAGATAATTAACACTAAATTATAAGATAATTTGAGAGAAAAATCATTTACGCGATAACTAGAATGACCTGGAATCAGAACACTAAGGCATGGAGAAGGACCAATTAAGAACTGCTTATAGAAACAGATCAATCAACATCTCACGATATGAAAGCAATGAAATTAAGATGGGTGGGGCATGCATTAGGAAGCCTCTACACAATGAATGCTTCTATAGTAGGTAACCGCTGCGACCACGTGGACCACTGTGGCAAAAAATCAGATGGATAGATCGAATTGGGGCAGGTGCGTTGCCCGGCAACCTGATAACCGAAGTTATGGGTGATAAAATAATTACGAGTTCATGTCCCGGTGACCGAGGGGTGGGAGTGCTTTTAACTCTGGCATTAATCCTCTGAGCTTACCTTCTGGTCCGGGAGGATAAGGGGAGGACAAAAAAAAAAAGAATAAATCGAATCAATAGAGCAGCAAGAAGATAACTGGAAATAAATAGGCAGTTATGGAGAAAGCTAATTAAGGCAGAAAAAGACATGAGAAAAAATACTAACAAAAAAATATTATAGGAAGAAGATAGTCCGGGGTGGCAGTCATAAATAGGCTAAATAGTGGTAAAACTATTTTATTAAAAGCCAACGTTTCGATCTGACTTTGCAGGTCTTCTTCAGGGAGGTGTGTTCAGCTAGGAGTTTCACTTAGAACTACAGTGTTCAGTTCTAAGTGAAACTCCTAGCTGAACACACCTCCCTGAAGAAGACCTGCAAAGTTGGGTTGAAACGTTGGCTTTTAATAAAATAATTTAGCCTATTTATGACCACCACCCCGGACCACCTCCTCCCTTTATAATGCAACGGTCAACTATTAAATATTCAAAAATATATTAATTTCAAATCCATGATAAAAATACTTAATAACAACCAGTTTATATTAATTCACTCTAGAACTTGAGAAAAAATAAGTTGTTAAGCAAAATCTTCCAAAATGAAACAATCCTGTTTGGAACTAAATAACAATACTACAGTATCTTTTACTATTAGAATGCTTTGGTTATGTAGATGCTACCATCCAACTGATTTTATTGAAAGCTTCTTAAATTAAATTCTGATCTTTTTATTCTGAGACCGTTTATTAGTGTCTTCCCTATACTTTAAATTTTAGAATTTTCTAAGAATAATTTTTATTTATAAGACTACAAACAAATATTTCTGTAAAGAAATCTATTGAATAAAATGTAATATAAGTTTAAACTAATATCCCTACCTGGTCTAGCAGGAGCACAAAAGAGTAGTGGTACATTAGTCTTTCTTTGTTGAAATGTAACTCTACGCATAGCGAGAAGTTCTCCAGATTCAATATTTCCGAGAGTTACAAACCAACCTTCAGTTTTTGGTTTGTGAAATCTACAAAAACGTTGAGCAGTTAAGACAATCAATAATCACTTAAAGCACCATAAAGAGCTATTCAAGACTAAATAAATACAACATATATACAGATTTTTTAAAATATTATTTTTTTAGAAGAGGGTCTCCAAACTATGGCCCACAAGCTGTTTTAGTCTGGCCCGCAAAAGTTGTTTTGATCACATGGTAAAATTTAAAAAATATGAAATTTAGTAAATAACTCACTACAATATTTATCACACGGGTTTTTATCTATTAGAAATCTTATTTCACAACCGAACTGTTATTTATAGAACAAGATTATTTTTTTTCATCACAAGCGATAACCCGTGGTGGAGGACTCAATGCAGCCTGCGGGACTTAGTGGAGGTTTTAATGTTACAGAGGGCCAATAAGTTTGGAGATCTCTGTGTTAGATTATTAAATAAAAATAAGTGAAAAAAATAAAGATCACAGAATACTCATAAGTAAAAAAACATTAAATATAATAACTAAATTTAAATTTTAAATAATATTAATATTTTACTTACTTAGGTGTATATGCCCTCCTTTCCATGGGAGGATTGAGTCTCTCGAGAGTGACGTTAAGAGTATATTCTTCTGAAGAAAGCAACACATCCCTGTTTTGAGAACTTCCACTTTCAATGCCTTCACCAGTTATACGCATACCGACTCGTAAAATCGGCAAGCATTTTAGAGTTCTGTAAACCTGAATAAATATAATATTTTAACAAGAATGCTATGATATAAGCAATATAACAAAGAAGAAGATCATAGGATGATACTGGCCACTGTCGTTTGAGAATTAAATCTACAAAATTCAGACTTGTCAAGGAAAATATATTTGAGCTTTTATAACTAAAAGTAGTTTATGAAAAGTGGTAAATTTTATAATAGACCAATTTGATACTAGTCCCAACAACTCTGAGTCATATCGAACATTCATTTTTTTGAAATAATATAGTAAAATGGGTTAAAACAAAATATGTATATATATTTAACATGATTAAGGGAAAGTAATAATAATAATGGGAATCATGGTAGCTCAGTGTTAGGACACTAAGCTTACGATGCTCAAGGTACCAGGTTCGAATGGCAGAAAAATTATTTATTGTTTCATTGGCCGTGGGGCACCCCCTGGGGTAGTGAGACCCTCCTGGGGCACACCCAGCCACTATAAAGTGGGTATCCTCAATCAAATAATTGATTAAGGGGGAAAATCTGGCGGCTGAGCATGATCCTGGCCCGATCCCCTCCCCGCACAACTGTAGGCCTTGAAACAGTACTTTCCCTAAATAGTAATGAAGCCAAGAACCTTCATGGATTGTACTGGTACAGGTTTTTTAAATAATAATAATAATACGATTGTTTAAGAGCCTAAGAGTTTTATAAAAATAAACAATTGGAATATTAAAAAATTATAAGTTACCTTCTAACATTAATGAATTAAAAAAAAATTAATTTAATCTATCAATAATTTTAAAAACAAACTAATAATTTATATACATATTTACAGAAAAAGCTATTTACAATTTTTTGGGAACTGGATGGATAGGAAGTGATGGAATTCCATAGGAACAAGGATCGGTAGACCATAGTATATAGATCTGCAGATCTAGAGTGGGATTGTATAACTTGGAAGAGGAAGGATGCCAGGAAATATAATGGTAGCAAGGATAAAGCCACGTCAATTTTTCATAAAAACAGCAGATAAGGGTATCCCTTGTGATCCTGAAGTACAAAGTGATTTATGAACCGTTTTACTTTTGCCTCGTGATCCTCAGAGACATTACCATATATGGCACAACAGTAGTCTAAGTGAGGGAATATTAAATAAGCAGGCGGAATTTGATAAAGCTGATATGGGACCATAACAATTCCTGAAAATTTCATCTAAATCAGATTAATGAACTATCATCAATATCGTCTACTAAGGCGTTATACTGACCGCATAGATTTGACTAAAAACAACCAAACATGCTCTCTGATGTCTAAAACAAACTTTTTTAAATTTTCTATAACTTTTTGTTCATTTTAGTTATCAAGGAAGCAAAACATTAGTAGCTAGGTGTGCACAAGTATCATGCTGACAATAATACAATAGAAAAATGGCAGGATACACAGCATGTTTTAAAGAATATGTTTTGTGAACTCAAGGAGTGCTACTATATTTTGGTCAAAAATTTCTAACATGGATTCATTTGGTCCTTTGGCCCAATGAAACCTTTTTACACCATTAAGTTTCTTGACCAAAGTAAGTTCATGAAATTTAATTTTGTAAATAGAACTTTACAACATAAAAAAATATTTATAGTATGTTGCATTTGTTTTATAATACTAGATGGGTATCAGATTTAACTAGTTCTATACTACTTTTTTCTTAATTTTGTTACTACTATTAGTTTTATGACCATCTTTAACAAATAATAATGTTAAAAAATTAATATATTAAAAAACCTACCTGATCTATTTGGCCTTCATCTAATTCTGGAGAAAATATGCTAGCCACATTGGAATATCCACCAGTTGCTGCATGAACCGCAGCAGGCAAGTTCCCCTTGGGCTTAGAGTGTAGTGACTGAGCCATGTACGGTTCCACGCACGGTAACGTTGTGAGCGGCGAGTCGCTCAGCCAGCGACCCTGGATCAACATCTGCATCAACTGCTGTAGGCGTAGGGTAGTGGCAAGCCAGCCACACTCCCCGCAAACATCAATCATTCCCTATTTGCAAAACCACATTAGTTATATCGGTAATATCTTAAAACACATTAGATAATGGTGTGTAAAGAATTATAATTTCCTTCTATAAATATAAAACCACTTGATCACCATAGCTTTATTTATTTTATAACTTTAATATTACTGAGCTATCAGCTCCCTAAAATATCAACATAAATATTGATTCAACTTAATTCCACATGAAACTAGAATATTATACAATTAATCAAACATAACTCCAAAAATACAAATATATTTAATATATAATAATACTAAAAGGCTTAGCGAACCCGAAGTTTCGATGCCGACACCACCAATCGCTTATTCTACACTTCCCTCCACCGCTTGCTTTCCAAACTGTAAATAACCTAGTAAGAGTTAAATGTAAACAGCCTATCCGTTTAATGACTTTTTTGGCAGGCCAATAGTGAATATTCCTTCCGTTTTATTGGGAAACTTGGTTATTTACAGACGTGATTTTAATTTTCTTAAAACAAAACCCCGGCACTGGATATAGACTTTTTGAGGGTGTCTAACTGTTGTTGGTAATTCGGGAACCTACTACTTTTGTGACACTGAGTGACAAGAAATAATAAGTATATATATATATATATATATATATATATATATATATATATATATATATATATATATATATATATATATATATATATGAAATGTGGGACTTAGTAAACACACTTTGAATGAATTGACTCACCTGGTTTGTTATTCTTCAATTGTGAGGCATATAGGAAAACTAAATAAATAAATGACTTTTCACTCCTATATAACAAAATCATTTATTTTCACAACTGTAATAAATTGACTCTATTAAAATGTTATAACTATAGGCTTGATTAACCTCCTTCCTTCGTGTCCCAGCCTCGAGTGGCTTCTTTTCTCTCCGGCGTCCTCCTCCAGCTGCTGCTACCTCCCCGGTCCTTTTCCTTCTTCGTCGATTGTTTATTGATATGAAACTTTTCAATGAGTAATTTCTCCACTGCATAATTGAGTACAATTCATAGTGCAATATCATATTTCAATATATTCCTTCTCATTCCCTCACACTATGTCACATAAAGGAGTAAATACTGGGGGATATCTACTACAAAACCTAGTCCCTTCAGATCGGCTTAGATGCTATCTTCCCACCTTTGCTTTGGTCTACCCCTCGGAAGTTTACAATTTGGTACAGTAAATATTAACCTTTTATATTTAATATATATAAAACAAAATCACTAATATATATCGAACTTTATTAGAATTGATTATCAAAAAGTGCAAGGCAATACCTGTAGAACCCTGATGGCCTGGTCGAGGACAGATTTGAGATCAGTGTAGTAGTCGGTAGAGGGGAGCTCCAGCCTGCTGAAGTGCGACTGCAGCAGAAGGTAGGTCTTGATGTGAGCGGAATCCAGCTGCAGAGGATCGACAGGCCAAGGGCACTGTTTTGCCAACTCCCTATCGATAGCAAAATCGAATAAAACAGGGATTGTATAAAACAATAGCTAGACAAACATAATTGAATACAAGGACCAAAAAGATAATAACAGCTCATCTTTTTTTATTTTATTAAAGTTAATGAAATAGATGCTTTAATATTAAGAGAGTAATAATGAAATAGCTACGGACCCATTGAGGTTCTCCTCGTTGTGACGAACAGGTAACTGGCTATATTCATAAACATGACACATAACGAACAAACACTTTTCAAGTGTTAAACTATGCGACAGATTCTCCCGCAGCTGTGTCATCGTCTGATAGGCTAAGTAATAATACGCAGCTATACGACCCATAGACGTTGTGCTCAAGGTCCTTTCATCCTAGACATAATTAAATATTATCAATAAAATAATACTTAGGACAACTAAAATTTCAAATTTGTTTGTACTGCATTAAAAATTATGTTAATAGTTAATAATTGTTTTATTAATAGTTACATTAATAAAACAATTTAATTTTTAATAAAACTTCGGAAATAACCTGTTGCACAAGTACTGAGAAACTTACTTGTATATCTGCTTAAATGGTAAGTTGAGTTGATGTCTATGAACATTTTAACTTGGCTTAGTAGTCGGGTACTGTCCACAACTAATAAACAAATTCAGAACTCTTTCATAGGTTGGTAGGCACCGCTGCATGAAATAAAATATAATCACCAGGAGCTGTAATGTGTTATGGAATGCATGACAACTGCACCAAATCCTCAGTATTCATAGACAAAAACGACCTACCTGTGGACGTTAATAAATAGGAAGTAAATGAATATTGTCAGAAAAGTCTCGAGTTTTTCCTGACTATTATGGCAAGTGTTAAGCCTGGTCTAGACTAGTAAATATATTGCAAAATCTTAGTCTCACAGTGAGACATGTCTCAATTTGTTAACATAGACATGTCTATAGACCAATCCATATATACAGGCCTGATGCGAGACCGAAAATCACAGGTCTAAAGCCTCTAGATCAGAATGGGAGACATTATGCAATGTTAAACATGTTGTACATTTTAACAGTGTGGATATTACTTGGCGTCAAGAGGCAAGACACCCCCAGTCTGCCTCCAGCTAAAGAGTGATGGGTTGCGCTGTTGAAGTTATTTTCCAAAGTTTTACATTTTTTTTTTAAAACTTGAGGTCTAACGAGAAAGTTTAAAAACTAATTGAAGATTACTGTGGCTTCTCCCAGTCTTTATTTAATAATGCACTACCGAACCTAAGTCCGGATCTGCGAGCACTTTGCAAATCCAACATTTACATTTACACATTCGTTCCTTTGTAATTAAGTGCAAAAATGTCCAGTAAGCAAAAATTCATTCACCACAAAAGTTTGTCCTCCATGGTAGGCTGCGAAGAGGAGACTGAGAAATTTACATGATAGTATGGACGTTAGACGAGACAAAGAACGGTGTCTCTAGGCGGTCAATAGACCATGTCTTGAGACCATATATAGACAAATCATTCAATAATGTCTACTTATGGGTACTAGGCATTAAGTAATCATGCAAGTAGATTCTGTCCTTTAGGACGCATACGATTATTTCCTTACATATCTATTTTTTAATTTGTTTTATTATTATTATTATTTTTCCTTACCTCCTCTAAAGTTACACATCCAGCATAATAAAGTGTTAATAAAGTCTTATCGACGAGATGAGAAAGATAAGAATTCACATCCTTGGCCTCTAATGATTCTAGGCCATAAAAAGTTGGATTTTTCAGCAACCTCCTACAAAATAGCATGATGAACTATATAAATAAACTTTTATTTAAAAAAATAAATAACAATAAAGTAATTTCATGAGCAATTAATTTCTAAAAGAATAAGAAATAATCATATCAAACAGTGCTACGTTTGTAGTTTCATTTCTTTAAGCTAATACGATTTTCATTCAAACCAAAGCTGAAGAATTAGTTTGAAACTACTAATATAAGAAATTAATAATTCAATTTAAGACTTAAATTTACAACAATTTTAAATTGAAATTTAAACAATGGCAACACCGCAAGAATAGAACAAAAAATAAAAACCTGAAGAAATATGTCCATGTGAGATAATCCAGTGCTTCTTGTTTCGTCTTGATGGTTCCAGCAACAATTTCAGCACTCAAGTGATCTGGCAGCACCTGAAGAAGGTGTGACTCAACAGGAAATGGTTCGTACAAGAATCTTCTATAAAAATTCTTCTTGACGTCATGAACCTTAAAAATAATAGCATAACACTAAAACCGGAACATGAATATCTATCAAAATAAAAATATAATAATAATAATGGGGTTATCAAACCCAAAGGTTTGATGCTAACATCCACAATTTCTGGTTGCACACCCTCTCCACCTGTCGCTGTCCAAACCTGGCTCTGCCAGTTCAACCTTAATATTAATACAATCTTCCCCAAAATAACTAACATTTCCCGTCTTCAACCTAACCTTCATATTTTCTTCAATTTAATTTTTTCTAATTGTCATTAACTCTAGATACCTAAACCTCTCTACATGTTTAAACATATTCTCTTCTATGTCGATGTCACAGTTTGTGTAACTAACCATATATTATGAGTTATCCGTATTTATTTTGACCCCCAGTTCTTTACAGGTTTTCTTTAACGTTGCTGTATTTAGTTTTATAGTTTCCGTTCCTTAGCTTAACTAGACCAAATCATCAGCATAACCAAGTATATATACTGTTCCACCCCCATTCAAACTTTTTTTGGTATGCATTACCTCCCTAATGGCATGTTCTAATGCTAAATTAAACAGGACAGGTGAAAGGGAATCACCTTGTGAAGAAATTCACTTGGGATTCGTTAAACCTGAACGAACCTCTAACATTTTGCATAAAATAATTGCTGATTCTAACTTTACTGCATGTTTCAGTCTAGTACATCCTAACTAGATTTGCTAATTGTTTTTGAAATCCCCTGCTCAATCAGAATAATATACAGCTTCTGGCAGTCAACGGAATCATAAGCCTTTTTGAAATCATTATATAGCAGCTGTTTAACAGCAACATTGTACTCCAATTACAATATCTATCAAAAGCTACATTAAAAAATAAGAGAAGCCATATTCAAAATTTTGCCTTGAAAATTGTCGGATTTACTCTTTCTTAAATACATAACAATTGATTTACATACTTAAGTTTCTCGTTCAAATACTTGAAGAAACTCACTTTGTTCAAGAAAATTAAATGTGGGATTTTGATAAGTTGCATGATCAAATTGTTCCAAGATGTTGGAAATGTTTGGTCAAAGTACAGCAACTCTCCTCAAATTAAGGAAGCATACTATTCTCCAAAACATCCTCTTTGGAAGGCCATTGTTACAATGTGTGATTTCAGCCATTGCGGGCATTATACAATTTTCTATTCCAATCAAAATATTGGGTTGGATCTAAGTTTTAAAAAAAAATTAATTGAGGTTATAACAAACCATGATGGTTTCTAGTAAACTAGAAAAGTGGGTTTTCTTCTCTGACAAACCTAGCACTTCAATACATAGACTAATCACCTGACTAATAATTTTATTTAATAATTAACAACATCAGAATCTTCCAAAAATAAAAACTTGCAGTTAATATAAGCTATAATTCAATTTAGAATGTTTTTCCTCAATGAAAATTTATTAAAGATTTTGTACATTAAGTGTGAATTTTTATTTTTATAACCTAAAATTAACTACATAAAATAACTAAAATTTATTATAAAAAAGTTACGAGATTCCAAGAAAAAACTGAACTTATTGTTTAATCAAAGTAATAAGTTATAATAAGAAACTTTTATAAAAAATATTTAGGACCAGAAACATTACTCTCAACCAACTCAAGTGACTCAGAGCTAAAACTAAAATATAAATGGTACTCACTAATATCACAGATATTCCTTGATTATCGTATTGAGGTCTGCCAGCTCGACCCATCATCTGAAGTACGTCAGTGATAGGCATGTCAACGTAGCGTTTGGTCTTACCGTCGTAGTATTCTGTTCCCTTGACGATGACAAGATGAGCTGGTAAGTTCACACCCCACGCAAGGGTGCCTGTAGCAATCAGTACCTGTAAATTAATACATTAATTAATTTACAGTTTACATCATAAAAGTTATCGTATTTTAAATAAAAGTTTCGTATAAAAAGTACATATTGTAATGTATACCTTTGTTGGAAGTGAGTAAAAAGGGTTTAATAGATTAATATTGAACAATTAAAAGGCAAGCTAATCTAGTTCTACTAGTACAGGGAAAAGAAAATGGCTACTCTGTAATTTCCCAAGAAGGAAAATCCCAAAGAGGAGAGGAACAAAGGTTTTTGTTTTGGCAAGGGTTGTTGGGTGGCTGTAGTGAAGAAAGAATAGGAGAAGTGATCCTGGTTCTAGTAGATGAAACCCAGTAACAGTATTACCATTTTGGGAGATGTGTTTAGCAGAACTTAGGAAAATATTAGAAGACAAATGAATTCAGTGCAACAAAGGAGGAAACAGTGTATGTAGAAAACAGGTTAGCTTGCCAATCCATATTTGACTTTATTTTAAAATCAAACAATGTTTAGTATATGAGAAGGAGTTAATCGGGGGGTGCGGTCAAATATTATTTATTATTATTAAACATATAATATTAAGTCAAATATTATTATTATTTATTTGATCGCACCCCCCGATTAACTCCTTCTCATATTATATCAACGGTCAACCATCTCTACATCATAATGTTCAGTATAGTTAAATTTAGTTTGTCTGAGAGTTGATCTGATTGTCAGTAACCCACACCTGAAATAAATAAATATATTAATAATCTTATAATTTTGTTTATTATTAAACAACCTCTTATTTAATTAGGAAGCATCCCAATGGTAAGAAGTGAGCTTCCGAGGTTATAATACTATTATTATTTTAAGATATAAGAGGGAAGTTACAATATAGAAGATAACTAGATTGAGATCATAAACATTTTGATTTAGTTTTCTCTTGTAATACTCATTCAGTTTTATTTCTTGAATTTGTTAGTTCAGATAAGTCATCTTATAATGAAGAGATACGAAAAAAAACATGCCACTTGTGTAGATCTTGTCAACATTTCTTATACCTGTATCAATTTTATTAAGGCTAAAAAAATATGACTTCTTCTCTAATGGCATTATAACACATAATGCTTCCTGGCTTCCTCCAACAGCAACTACCAGTTCTGTTCTAAGCTGCTTCCGTCCAATTTCACACATTCAAATATGATTGATAAAATGTCCTAAAAGCCATGTTTTATCCTATGACGTTTGGCATTTCTTATCCATTTATGATAATCCATATTGACTTATCCATAATCCATAAGGCACTTGTTTGGGATTTCATGAATGTATTTTAATTGCAATCAAGCCTCTCTACATGCTTTAGTATGCTGGTGGGGCTGCCACTTCCAATTAAAACCTTTTTTTTTTGTTTTGTTCTCCCCTTCCTTGCCTTTTTGGATGTGTAATGTTGATGACCTTAGTCTAAAATGTGCTATTTTGTGTTCCCCCAAACTGGAAGAATAGTTATACCATTTAGACCAGTGAATGCAATCTCTCAGTTATGTGACGAGATCACCAACTCACTAAACTTTGAGATAAAAAATTAGAAAAGTAGTTAGTGTATTAAGCAAAAATATTAATTATGAATTATCTTGTAGATAGGCAGTCAATTTGTTAAGCTAGAACCGCCTTAAAATTTAAATTAGTATTTATATTTATACAATTAAGTTTTGTAAGATATATTTATTTTCAGTTAATTCATTTCATGAATCTAATATTTAAAGATGCAACCAGCACGTGGTGGATGGCCTACATTATAAGTGTTTAAGTCTTGTAGTCATGTAGTGGTGCCCACCCAGAAGTGATATTAGGCTGTCTTGAGCAGAGCAATTGAAAGATGGGCAATTGAATAGGGATGCATTGTGTGTACAATGAATTTGACTCAATTGTGAATTAAATAAGTTGTATAAAAATTGTTAAATGTGCATGTATAGACAATTGATAAACAAAACAACAAAGGAGCTTGGAACAGTGTCCGGCAGATAGCAGCAGCTGGAGAGGGATGCTGGCATGAGAGAAGCAACTCTACAGGGGTGATAAGAAGAGGAACATCAAGAATAGATGTTATAGGACTTTTAATCATTATTCAGTATTTATGTTTGTCACAATAAATTAGTTGTGTTTGTCAGAAGTGAATATGTTCTCTTTTATATAGTTTTTTACATGTCTCAAAATGTTTCATATAAACTAATAAAAATCTACAAAAATCAATTGAGTCCGATTCACTTTAAGTGTATTCACCCATTCCAAAATTTAGTAGGCACTTATTATTCTTGCCACAAAATATCACTTTAAGTCCTAACGACAGTAGATATCCTCAAATCATTTATCCAGAGCCGGTGTTTTGTTTTAAAATTAATATAAACTTACGGGTGTAAATAACCAAGTCCTACGTTCAAACATTAAGGTTATTTATAAGTAAATGATTTAACATGCGACATTGCTATAAATAATCTCTTAATCCTGAGGGACCACTGCCATCACAATGAATACATATTGCTATAAAAAAAAAAACTTACTTGGATCCTTTGATTAACAAACAGTTCCTCGACAGTTTTTCTATCCCTCTCCTGCAGACCGGCGTGGTGGATGCCTATGCCAAAGGCCAATGTCAACCTCAGGTTAGAGTCCTTTATCGTGGCTATTATTTGGTCCATTTCCTAAACAACATTTTATTTAATAACTAAGTGAATTAATCAGCTGATATCATTTCGAACATTCCAACAGAAGTATATTAAAGATTATACTTGAGAAGAAAAGAAGAAGTAAACTTAAACTAAATAGACAGAAGTCTTCTTAAAATAATCTAAAAAAATCAGTTTTTAAATAACCAAATGTTTAAGAGGAAGCATTTTTTAAATGTTTTTTTATTATTTCATTTTCATCTTTTATATCTACATATGTTCTTCAAGTGTTTTTTTATTATTTCATTTTAATGTTTTATATGTATATATCTTCTTACAGTGCTTTTTTATTATTTCATTAATATATGTTTCGTAAAATAAAAGTATTTTTTTGTTATTACATTTGTTTTTGTATCTGTTTACACTTTCAATAATACGAATATAATACAATAATACGAAGGTAGGAAGTAGGAGAATGCTTATCACTGCGTTATCAGTGTTGAGGTTATAAACATTGGCAGATAGCAGTCAGTGCCGGTAGACAAAAAGTACCTTTTTTATTTAGGATTAAAAAATGTTCTAATGGAAGTTTATCAATAGACAGATTTGCCATTAAGAAATTCATTACTATATAAAAATAAATAAATATGTCCATCGATATATACATAGCAAATAGTAAATAGCATTGGTATGTTGTTCTTTTCAAAAAAGCACTTTTTAAAAAGTTCATTTTACTTAAATTGTATTGATTACCATATTTGATTTCAATATAAAGACCAGTATCATTATTGACAGTCAAAGATGGATGGATATAGCGACTTCTGTTTTTTATAACAACGAAGTTTACCCCTTCGAGGTTGTAACAATATCCACTGTAAATTTATTTTTAATTTGAAAAATTATTTACGTACAAAAGAAATTCCCTGACTTTTCCCATTTTTTAGGTTTTCCAAGTTGGTTGTTACCCTGTTAAAGATACCAATTTTTCTTACTGTAGTTATATCTTTTTTGTTATTTATTAACCAAAAGTCAGATTCTGACCTAAAATTAAATTTACGATCTGCGAATCTCTTCGCAATGACCACATTTTATTAATGGCCTCACAGCGTCCTGTCACAGGATATAAATCAAGTCCTTATGTATTATTTAATTTAATAGAACAGTGAATCAATTATCCTCTGCAACACTTTGGACTGAAAAGATTGAATTATTTTAATGTTGGAGATTTTAGTAGAACTCAACAGTTCTATATATTAAGTCCAAATTGGTATTAGTAAAACTTTATACAGGTTTAATTTGTTAGTTAAAGATAATTTTAACACCTGTGAAGTAACCTGGATAAAAAACTTTATCACCTGTTTGATTCCATACTTTTTGTCTAATGTGAGTCTTCCATGTTAGTCTAGATAGAATGGCTAGATAAAAATTCAAGTATCTAATATTATCAGATGCAGGAATTGCAATGTTGTTGTAATATATTTTGGAGGAAGGTGTATGATTAAGAGTTATATAAAAAATTAAATTTTAACCACAACTAATAATAGAACTATTTCAAAATGTGAACATACTAAACATAAAATATAAATATAAACCTGTTCAGAAGTGTGCATCCACATTTTTGGATTGTCTTCCCCAGCGAGATAAGCTATCAGATCAAGAGCAGTCAGTCGAGTCTGCCTCCTCGAAGAGACAAAAACCATCGACGGCTGGCTGGGTGAATGCGTAAGGATTGCCTGGAAAACTGGTCTGTTCATCGTTGCCATCCTCGGGCAATAGTGTTTACCAGGGAATCCGTGGATATGAACTTCAAGAGGCACAGGGCGGACAGATGGTCGGAAATTGTATAATCCCATCTGAAACAAATTATTAACTATAAGTTACACTTGAAATGATATGTACCCATATTCTTTAAAACTAAAAATATACAACTTAATGAAAAGTTTTTCATTGATTCACAGAAAATTTTTACTAGCTAACCACTACAATGATGTTCCAAATTTTATTGATAAATCTATAGTGGTCTGGTAGAATATGATAATTTGTTTCTCATTTGCCCAATTTTGGATTTAATTTTAGTTTAGACATCATTTCTAAGAGAGAAAATTAAAAAAAAAAATTTCAATTTAGAAAAGGATGTGGAGATTTAGCAAAAATGATAAAGTGTCTTTTTATTAATTAATTTCTCTCTTTAGATTGAGTCCAACTAATAACCTATACAAAAATTATAATAGCATTTCTTAAGAAAATTCAGGACGACTTCTTACCTCCTTGATGCCTAACCAGTTAGCAAGATCTCTGGCATTAGCTAGGGCAGTTGAAAGGGCCACAATTCTTATTGGCCTCTCCGTGTGGGCTGAAATAAAGTTAGTACGAGAGACGATCACCTCCAATACTGGTCCACGATCTTCTCCAAGCAAGTGAACCTATTTTCAAACAAAAAAATGTATAAAATTCCTCATTGATCTATATTAATAATTCAAGATAAAAACTTTCTTTTGTTTGAATATGTTGATTTCAGAAACTTTTTTTCATACTCTAACTAACCATTTTAATCTTTTTATTGTTGCAGATGTTTCAACCCAAGCATACGGGTCATCATCAGAAAATGTTAGCAGCATTAGAAGTTTTAAATTACTGGACTGGAAACATTGGCATCAATAAAAATATTAAAAAGACTGAATCCTGACTATTTATCACCCACGATATATAGAACAATCGGTTAACTTTCTTCAATAATTCTGAAATACAAAGATTTTTTTTCTCTCTATCTTTTACCTCCTTCATCGCCATCTCTGGCATAAATGAGGGTTATTCTAAAAGTAAAACCGACCTATACTAACTAGAGTTCGAAGGTCCATTCCGTGGGTCTACCATAAAATAAATTTTAACCCGTACAGACCAGATTTGAACTGCTGCTGCTACTAGACCCAAGAATGATAAAGTATTTTGTGATTTAACATGCTCGGTCACCACGGCCTCAACACACGAGGAATGGGAGTATTATTCTTAAGGTAAACAACCTATTCTAATCACAGTAAGAGGGTCGAGATTCATTCCGTGGATCCGCCACAAAATAAATTTAATCCAACAAGGCCTAATTCAAACCAGCAACACTAGTGATTTCAGGAACAACAGTCCAATTTAAATTTACATTGACACATGAAACATAAGACATTATTGTTTTTATTACAAAAAGATCTTAGATTCTATAACATCACAATATGACCTGGAAATTACTGAGATTGTGAAAAATTTCCAATCCCAGTTTTCAACAACATATACCCTTAGATGAGTCCGAATGACCACGCCTCCTGAATTTCTCAAAAATGGCTCTAACAATTCAGATTAAACTTGATATATCAATTTGCGATAATGTGTTCTTTAATATCCTCATTACAATAGTCTGTCATGGCTTAAACACAGAGTTTTCAAAATTTCTTCCTCTTAAGCAGCTTTAATTTTGTTTAATTAAAATAGTTAACCATTTCACATTGTAATTATTAAATCAGATGGGACTTTGAATCAAGAAGAATAGTATAGAGGTTATAATTCCTTCCGAACATAACAAAAATATACTATATTACAGATGAAGAATACACAGGCTATGATTATAAGGTATAAGGTAATGGCCCTGAAGCCAGGGCCCAAAAATCGACCTCATCGCAGGCGAAGGTTTGATTGTAAATTACGAAAGTGTGTGTTTTTCTGAGTAAAAAGAACCCTGTCTACTGTTCCAGAGTCGCTGCTTTGAAAAATGATGGCTGATTTAAAGCATATTAGGCCAGTAATTTGAGGATCGAAACAGGAAATCCATTTCGAAAAATGTGAGAAATTTTTTTATTTTTTTAACTTGTATGTATGTTAAGACATGTAAAAAACAAAATTCCAAACACTGGCAACCAAGGAAAAACTTTTTACTGCCAAAAAAGTCAGATTTTTTCTATATTATTTTGTTTTTTTAGCTATAACTCCTTAACGATGCATCAAAGTGAAAAATGTATCCTCTAATTAATTAAATAACGTTAAATTTTGTATCGAACGAGTACATAAACTTTATAATTTTGTTACGTGGCAAGGTATAAAACCACGGTCAATCAATGCTGATTTTTACCAAATTTGTCAAAAACTGAGACATGGCCCTGAAACTTGGAAATGAGTTCCTTAAGAGGAAAAACTCATAGAATAAAAGTTGTAGAGCATCAAATTTTGCATCTAGTGAGTACCAAATAATTTACTTACTCCAAACAAAATCAGTAACCTTCCGATGGTTAGCAATTGGTAATGAAGGTAAATGTGATTTTCAATACTTTATCAGTATGGGTGTCTATTCTACTGAGTTATTTTTGTTTAGAGCCTGTTACATGCAGTGTAAGTCTCTTTTGCACCCCTCAGCAGCTAAGATTTTGATAAACGATATGCCGAAAGATACCGAATTTCATTAAGAAATAACGAACCACGAATCGAGACATATAATTGGCTACAATAAAAATGTCAGTACTCAGTGGAGGCGAAATTTGATGCTCTACAACTTTGATTCTATGGTCTTTCCTCTTAGGGGACTCATTTCCAAGTTACAGGGCCATTTACAGTAATTTGTCTCTTGATAGTGTCCACCATTTGACAAAAAATTGAAATCGGGAAACACACAAAGTTGGTTTTTTAAATTAAAGGTAATTATTGTTAATCTTAAAATGAAGAATATGAAATTTCCCTTAATTACATCCTTTTTCTCATCCCTGTCAGCTATAGGAACATTTCAAATCAAACACTATCAGCTACTGGTTCAACAAAACTATTCCGTTAATTTACATTTTTTTAAATTTAGGTGAATGTTACATGGATTTCAAATGTGTCGTACTAAGGTGAAAAATAGATCTATAAGACGAATCTAAGAAAAATACAATTTTACCAATATTTAAAATTCTACACCTAAAAGTTCAAACAAATTTCCTGAAGTATGTCAACTGCTGGTGCTTTTACCTCAAGTGGTTTTCATAAATGCTATCCAGAGATCAGAATATAAATCGAAATGATATGAATCGTATAATTGCAAATGATAATTTACCTCATCAAGAACAATAAGAGCAACTTCTTTTACATAACCCCTCGTCTGCCAACTTCTTGAGATACCGTCCCATTTCTCAGGGGTCGTTACGATCACGTCTGCTTGTTTGATTGCTTGGACATCAGGAGTTACATCACCTAGAGGCAATAAATATTAATCACAGTCAAATTCTTATATCTTTTTTTTTTTTTACGAAAAACATTTGTTTTGACTCCTTTAGGAAAGTGAAAATTTAAGTTCTCAAACTAACCAATTGGCATTGCCTAATGTTTAGTTTGAAATTTAATCTTTAACTTCTCCATACACTGAATCATTGAAATAAAATTTATAAAATTATATTCTTATAATATGAATATGCAGCATACTTAATATAGAGGTCAGACAAATTATATAAATATATATATATATATATGTGTGTGTGTGTGTGTGTGTGTGATAATATAATTTCACATATTTCATTATAATTTTGAATTATATTAACAATGATTCATTTCTATTTACCTGTTAATTCTACAACATGTCTCTTCAGATTTTGTTCAATCCTGATCTTCCAATCTTCTATGCGCTCTCTGACCAAAGCTTTCAATGGAGCCACATATACTACCTAGAAAATGATTCAACAAGTTTTAATTTTCAAATATCATGAACAATAATAGAATATCATAAGTTATAACTGAAAATATGTAATATTTTTTTCAGTATTTTTTTTTTTTTATATAAACGAACGACAAACCTTACAGCCAGGATATTTCCTGAACACTCTGAACATGGCGATCTCTGCCATTATAGTCTTCCCCGAGCCTGTGGGCGCTCCGACTAGAACGTTCGAATCTGTATGATACAGGCAATGGAAAATCTGGGTCTGTATTGGATTAAAGTGAGTGAACTTGTACAGACTTTCAAATTCTTTTTTTTCCAAAGCTTTCACTGGTAACGGTTGCAAATCCAAAAGTTCTAAAAAATAAAAAGATAATTGATAATTTTATACAGAAGCACAGTGTTAAAATTAGGCTCTCGGGGTAATATAATTTGATGAATAAGATGTTAAAGGAAAGGGATTTATACAGAGAAGTGAAGAATCAAAATTTTGATGCTTAAATTCATACAACTTTATTTAATAAAAGTATTGAAAAAAGTATGAACTTTCAAAATTTCAACGGATCAAGATGGGATAAAATGTAGTTTAAGATTTTGATACAGATATTGCGTTCTGGTAAAGTTCCTTAAAAAAATATCAGTACTTGTCTTTTAAAGCCCTAAAATAAACATAACTAATGCAAGACTTCTTTAACAGATAACAAAGTAATCATCATATCAAATAAAATAATTATGTATCTAACGAAAGTCACATTTCAAAATAATATGAAATTTAAATGTCATATAAAATAGTATTAACAATAACAAACTCTACTTTCAATTAAAGTAAATTTTGTCTGGTTTACTATGGAGCAATGTTCAGTTACTTAAATCAATTTTCGCTTAAAAAGAACAAATCTTAAATTTCCTATTTTTCTGCTGAAAATTGGGCTATTGTTTATATGAAATTTTTGTAGATCTTGATGTTTACTATCAACCTTTTAAATATTTCCCTCTACTTACGGGACACCCTGTATATCTAGTAGGCACGATGCAAGATGATAATAGTTACCTGTATGAGGAGGATGGCTTTCAGGTAAGATAAGATTGTGAACATTAATTGGTAAAACATTTGTACACCCCAGCCAATGATCATTTGTTACCTTGATCATGTATTGTGATGGCATTGGTTCTACTAACGGCATTGTCATTACAAGTTCCTGAGTTTCCTTGTGAATGACCTGAAAAATCACATATATAAAAGGCATCTACTGTAGATAAAATGGCTCTTTAGATTAAAAAAATTCAAAACAGTGTTTGAGAAACTTGAGATTTTTTGAAATTTTGCAATAAGTACTACTCTACTAATAAAATTAAAAAATGAAACTAACTTAATTATTGATTAATAATAAAATATTGAACAACTTGACAATACCTGTCGTCGAGTAATTAGAAAATATTCTGAATGGTAGATATTAGTATCGACTGGATCCTCTATCCAAACCCAGTACGCTTCGGAGGATTTGCCGTGGACTTTATCATTCCATCTGCACAGAAAAAGACATTGTTTTTATTTAATTTAGTTAAAAACATTAATGAAAAAGAAGCATCATTATCTCCCAAAGAAAATAACAAAAAATAAAATGACTTCACAGCCAAATTGCAAGAGTAATTATTTTTATTAATTTCATTTCAACATATCAGCCCACATTACACAAGTGATTTCTTAACTACCTGTTTACTCCAAAGATAATCCACTTCAATTTAATTTTTCTTTTATATGAATTATAAAAATAAATAAATAAAAATAAAGAGGCAAAAAAATGAGATTTTATGCTTCAAGATAAGTAGAATTCAAAAATCTAATAAAAAATCTGTCACTCCGCTGTTCGTGGCTTTTCTCCGAAAGTACTAAGCCAATTTTTTTCAGATCTAACATCAAAGTCACAGGCCCCTCTTGTATGATTCTTAGAGCTCGATACTACCATCCACTATTTTGTTTCAAAATGGCAGTGAATTACAGGTTTCATACCCCATATCGACGTCATTTATGAAGATATCGGAAATATATAAAGTGTTTTGAGATCATCATACCAAGGCTTTAAGCAAAAAAAAAAAAATGATAACACTATCTCAGTATATGGATTTTTTTTTTTTATATTAACAATAAACGTATGAATGATACTACATTTTTTTCAACTGAATTTGATATAGATAAATCATTTGAATTATGAATACAAGCAGAGGAGTTAAACAAGAAAATAAAAGAATGAAACAAATTTAAATTTTAAAAACATACTTAAAATCAGGAGTGATTTGCAGCCGCACTCTCAAAATTGTCCTGGTGATAGGATGAAGTGATGCAGACAGCTCAAGTAGGGGAAACTCAAAAGCACTTTTCTTTACAATTGTTGCCATCTTTGTATTCCTCAAGAATATGCCTGAAAACAGATAAAATGTTCTAAATAATACAAATGTAAATATAATATATTAATAGATATGAATATATTTAATTTTTAATCTTTTATAACTTTCTGATTTTGTAGATTTATGTTTATGCCTGTAATTCTACATTCTTTTGTTTTGTTTTTTAAACGTAAAATAGTTTCCCTTTTTTGTATATTTTTGTTTTAAGCCCTGACTTATAATATTGGTCAAAACATTATTTTTGAATAAATAATCAGAACTAATTTTAGTTTTTTAAATTTTTTACTCTTTTCTGGACTATCTTCTTCATTTCTTAAAAACTTACTTTTATAAAGAGCCTACCTATTTCTCTGGAATCCATTTCCCTAATAGCCTGGACGGAGAGGTCCCTCTTTTCTATCTTCTCGATGATGTCGTGAGTGAGAACAGTGAACTGCCTTAAGGGCGTCTCCCATTGCCACTGCTGGTGCTCCATCATCAACGCCATCTGGTGGAGTTTGCCGGCCAGCAGAGAATTGTTACTACGCAGATTAATCTCAAAGAGAGCACGCATTATCCTCACAGCATTCTGATCAAAAATTACAAATATTATATTAATCATAATATACATATTAATAATTCATTATTATTAAGAAATACTAAAAAAAAAAAAACAATAGAAAAGATTAAATTATGACATTATAGTATACTAGATGGTTACACCTGACCAACCTCCATTTTACAAATTATACAACTGTTCATTTAATTGTACTACTCATTGCTCAAATTGTATAACTTTAATTTACATGTAGTCTGTAGTTCAGATTGTATTATTTTTTATTAACATAAAATAAACTGAACGAAACCACAGTTCCGACAAATTTTTAAACTTCTTTAAAAATCTATATTATACATCGCACCTCATTGCCAATTTGTAACCAAAATATATATTCAACTTGTCCAGCTTCATATAAGCCTAACAATAATTTGAGCCTTTTATTTCTAATATTTTCATTGTACATTATAGTATGCTTACCTTTTCTATTGCATAATAATTATAAATATATCACAATATAATATAAATATTATATATAATTAATATATTTTATTCAAGGGAAAATGTCTAGATCGAAAAATAACTGCTGTCACCTAGATAAAATCAAATTATCACGTCTAGATGAATAAATACCATTTTCCATACAAATTTTTAGTCTAAAATCTTTATTTTATATTAGGAAAGTATTAGGTAATAGGAGGTCAACACACTATGTAATCAAACGAACAGCTGTGTAATTATTGCTAATTATAGAGCAAATAGGAGAGCTCCTGAAACCTCTTACTCTCCTAATATTAAAATAAAATGACATACATTAAAAACATTTTTAAATAAAAAAATAAATTAAAAAGAAAAATATAAATAATCATAAAGCCTGTTTATACAACTCTTACAACTTATAGGCCTCCCCTAATTAAGGGAGTATTATAGTTTAACTTTCCGCGGGGAACAGCCATATTGGGAAGTAGGGCCGAGACTTGATCCTATGATCTTTGCTTTACTAGTATAGCGTGCTAATAACTCTGCTATACTGGCCCCTTAAAAATATAAATAATAATAAAAATATAAATAAATAAGTGCAGTCTCTACTCGATTGCTTAGACCACTATGGCTTGGGTTCAATTCCCGTACGGCAACGGTAACATCCCCACCCTGAGATTCACAGATAGGTGAGAGTGACCTTTGTGTCTAATAACATAGCTCCTTTGGTCCTCCAAATTTGGGGGTTGAGAACAGGACTAATAACCTTATTGCGTAAAAAGCAACAACAGGATAGAGACGTATGCAAAAGGTTGCCAACCATTCTAATGAAGAGGGAGTGATTGTGATCGCGTCCGGTTATTATAAACCACGTGCTCCCTGGATATCATAAGAAGAGAACCAAACGATTACAGCTTATTGCCTAGAACAGCCCCAATGCTGTGAGAAGACTAATGGTGGAAGTCATAAGAGTCAAGAGACATTTAAAAAAAAATTATAATTATCGACCATGATGATATTACCTGAGTTATGTAAGAGAGATCTGACATCAAAGAAAAAGAATTGACTCTCTGCCTTGCCAGGAATGACTGAATGAGAATGTTCACTTTTCCATGAAGATTTTCTTTACCCCCGGCCACTTCATATTCACAGATGTCACATAGATTTTCCAATTCATCCATTTCGTCATCTCTTACCTGTAAACATAGATAAATTATTTATATTATAAATTATTATTAGATATAATCTCTGATCACTTAGTTAATAAAATCATTCCACTTGAAAACCATTTTAACACACAATTACTGATGAATAAACAGATATAAACTAACCGTTTAATTTTCCTTTTACTTCATATTTTAAAAAAATCCAATCTTTGAAAACTCAAGACCTAGAGAGATAGTGAATCATTTCAAAATCACAACAATAAATATATTACTCACTTTTAACTGATGGAATTCCTGAGCATGTGAAACCATAGCTAGGATTTCCGATTCGCTCATAACATTATTCATCATGTCGTTGAAAACTTCCACAGTGTCATATTTAATATAGAAGTTACTAGCAATCCTTCCCAAATCTGAAAATTAAAGTTATATGTTTGAATAAAAAAGTTGTATAAAGTTAAAAAAAAGAAGGAAGAGAAAGAAAACAATATATGAATTCGATTATGTTATTCAAAATCATTAGATTACTTCAGAACACACCGTTCCCATCAATATCTAACAGAAATAATAATAATTGAATGGCATAAATTGGGTACTTGGACCTTAGCAGGTTATTTGAACCTCTCCTCCTCCAAAAAAAAAAACATTGTAAAGTGCCTCAGGCTAAGTTAACTATTGGAGAAATATTTATGTCTATATATTTACGATTTAGGTGTAATTTACCTTTTCAATTATGTTCAACCCATTCAGGATTCAAGAAGCCACAAGTTGAGGCAACTTCTAATATTTAACAATAACAAATGTTTAAACAATAATGTTAACAAAGGTTTTAAAAAAAAAAGAATCTATTACTACAACTCATGAACGGTCTAGGCCTCAATAATTTGAAAGGAAGTACTGTCGTGCAAGGAAATGATTGAGACGAGATCAAGCTCAACCACCAGGTCTTTCCCTTTAATTAATTATTTAATTAAAAATATCTAGTTCATAGAGGTTGGATATGCCTCAGGAGGGTTTACAAATCTCAGGGTCAATCCAAAGCTGATGAAATAGAATAAATAATTACCTTTGGCAGCTAGATTCAAACTCAGCTTATTCTAATGATGCATCTCTTTTCTTTTTCTTCCCTCTAAACGGCTACGTGAGGGAGTAAAAAAACAAAGTTAGCAATCCTCCTTAGGTCCTCCAGACTTCAAAACAGCTTGGTCCCAAAGTCCAGTTGCCCGGCGAGAATCCACAAGAGAAACGCCTCTCACCATAATCTTTTGTCCATTTGTAGCCATTTTGGGAAGTAATGAGTGATGTCCAGTTTTCCTTGACCATCGTAAAAGATGTCAGGGGACTATGTGCACCTTTCGGCCAACATCTCCGACTTCTGCGTCATTTTAGGGTTTGTTCCCTCGCAGTTGATTTTCTGGTCAGGAACCAGCTGACTACTACCGTCTTCAGCTCCATGCCAGTACTGATAACACTGCTGCCTGCTACCAGAGATAATATTGATCTCCCAGTCTAGATCCGCCATGATTAGTCGAAAGCAGTGTCATTTCGGGCATAATGCGGTTCTTCACCGCACACGGACGGTCTTGGCAGTAGCGTCCTAGAGGTCTCCACTTACAGATTCTTAGGCCTCTCAGCTACTCCTCTGGTTTTGAGTGAGGACCAGTTTCAAGGTCTTTCCAAGCTAAAGGTACTACCTCTCCTCAGCATCTTGACCCAGCTTCTTTTTTATAACTTAAAAAGAAGAGTCTTCATCGAGATATATTAGTTCATTATTGACATGCGTACCAGTACAGCGAGTTAAGTAAATCAACACATTTTTTACAGTTTTTCTCACCTTTTATTTCTTACTGCAAGCAAACTGTTTAAATTTTCAGTGAGTGATCTCGGTCAGATCACCTCCTTACACAACTATTGACCAAGAAACAGTACTTCCTGACATGGAACCGAACCCAAGACCCTTCATTGATCGTAATGGTACAGGTTTTTTATTTATACTCAGGCTAATTACTTTTACAAATAGTTACATAATTTAAAAAAATATTACTTATTTAATTATCCATATAATCGATGAAATATATATTTTGAAATACTAACCTGTGATGGCTAAATCATCAGTCCTAATATTAAATCTTATCATTCTTGCTTTATCTAGAGCTTTAGCTGCGATGGTGATTAGTTCTCTCCTCCTCTCCTCCAATCTTGGATCGTCCTTAAGAATAAAATTGATTTGACATTCTCATGGTATATTGAGATTTCTTTATAAATAAACAAATATTACATACCATAACATCTTGAACAGTCATACCGTAAACCAATGGATTTATTCTCATTCTAACAAAGAGGTAAGTATAACTCAGCCATTCTACTGCTTCGTTGACATTTGAAATAGTTCCGAGAGATATCTAAAAAAAGTTCTTTCCTTATCACAAATTGGTACTCAATTTAATACAACTAAATTATTCAAAATGTGCACTTATTAGAAGATTAGCTTATTCTATAAAAGCCCTTAAAATAAAGTTCTTGAAAGAACTTTAGTAAAAGTTCTTGTAAGAATTAAATAATAAAATTTATATCAACAAATTTTGTAGCTAATTTGGAATATTTTTAAAACTAATAACAAATGCTTACCTCAGCATTAAGATTGTCAGCTAGAAAATTAATGAAATTACTCTCAATTGGAAACTGGTTAGTGAGGAGTGATAAATAATGTGACAGCTTGTTATGAGATGTAATGATGATTCCGTGACCAGATGTATCGAACTGAGGTCTTCCAGCTCGTCCGAAAATTTGAAGAACATCCAAAATTCCCAAATCAATAAAAGAACCATGCTTAGCATCGTAAATCTCGGTTCCCTAAACATACACAAAATAAAAATAAAATTATTTTATTTATTTTTAAAAATTATTTGTAATAATTTTAGCTACATTTATTGAAATTTAATTATTTTTAAATAACAATAATTTACTTAAATTAGAGATTTGTTTGTAATTTTTATATGATAATGGTTCTATATATCAGTTATAAATTAGGGAGACCAGAAAGGTAAACCATGTAGGGATGGTTGTCCATGATATAATATGAGGAGTTGGTGGGGGGTGTGGTCAAATAAATACTAAATTTTTTAAATAGTATTTTTAATTGTTATTCCGATTAAAAATACCATTTTAAAAATTTAGTATTTATTTGACCACACTCCCCTACCAACTCCTTCTCATATAATAATAGTGTTGAATATTTAATAGTTGACAGTTGCATTATAAAGGAAGGAGAGGTGGCGGTCATAAATAGGCTGAATAGTGGCAAAACTATTTTATTAAAAGCCAACGTTTCAACCCGACTTTGCAGGACTTCTTCAAGGCTAGAACGGACATTAATAATTAATTAATATTTCATAGATATAATATTTTTTCCCTTATATCCATCCATATCTTCAAATTTTAGATACTATAATTTTCTAGATTTTTCTCCATTGCCCAAACAAGACAGCAAATTCCCCAATACCTGCCCTTACCCTGATTTTCCAGTTCTAAGAGAAACTTCTAGCTGAACACACCTGTAAGTCTCTATTTTTATTCTTCTAATTTTATTTACTTATTTATTGTTTTTTTTTTCTTTCTCCACATTCCTTTATGACTATTATTTCATATTGTATCCTTTTTCCTTTTCTTTCAATCTCTCCCGTAGATCTGTAGAAGTATATTCACATTGCATATATTATGTATTACACTATAACAATTGTTACCATCTATTTACTTCAGTTTAGGATCTGGTTACTTAGCTTACTCTGTTTATATTTTAATGTACTTACTGTTTATAATTTTAATAAGCTTATTCACATTGTTTATAATTTTTTGTCTAAATATTATGTAACTTCCACAATTCTCTATCTTTTTGTATCTTGTCCGTTCTAGTCCTGAAGAAGACCTGCAAAGTCGGGTCGAAACGTTGGCTTTTAATAAAATAGTTTTGCCACTATTCAGCCTATTTATGACCGCCGGACCATCTCCTTCCTCTAAATAATGTTGTTTATCATAATTAAAAATAATCCAAATAGAAAGAAAATAACGCTACTTACTGTAGATACATACCCTAATAATGACAGCATGTGCCGGAAGATTGACACCCCAAGCGAGTGTTGAGGTGCAAACTAACACCTTGATCATTCCCAATCCAAAATATTTTTCAACAAGGGACCTAATAAATAAAAATAATCTTTCTAAATAAGATATTTATAATTAACAAGAAAAACATTTGTTTGTTTAACATTTATATTATACATAATATCATAGTATAGATCCTTCTTTTGACTCATAGAAGTGATGGATTTTGACAAATGAAATGTTAAAAAATAAAAAAAAATTTCGTAGATGTGACAAATTCCAACTTTGATTCTTAACTTCAGACAATTTTAATAAAAATCAATGAAAAAAAAAAGTCTACCAAGTAAGGTCAGTTTATTAGGTCAGCTTCCTCACACTGAAAAATATCTATATTAAAAGGTCTAAAAAATTGTTTACAAGAATAAATTCTCTAGAAGCCGTTTTCGGCAATTCAGTAATACTTCAACATATACGGGCTTGATATCCATGAGTTTTATTTATCAGAAAATACTAAAATGCAAGAAGGTTCCGCATTTGCAAATTGCATATTTGATAATTCGTAATTTAAATAAAAAATTTCAGTATATACTGAATATGTATCTCGCTACTGTTAGAGCAAATGATGTATATAAAAATTGAGTGTTTTATACCAAAGCATAAAAACTAATTATTTCTTTATGATTTATTAGTATAATTTTATATTTTATTGCCCTCTGCTCTCTGCTATTTTTCATAGTAGCAGACTACTTATGTCAATTGCAGACTACATAATGTCAAAAATAGAATAAAGAAAGAAGAAGTGAAGGCATGACAAAATACTATGGAAATAAGTAGACTCTATGTATTATCTGAAAAGGAATTAATTGCGATTTACTTGGTTGATTACAGTATTTCATTTAACACAATTGACCAAAATATTTGTACAAATAACAGATATATGTTCTATAGGAAATAATAAAGTATGTATCAGTAAGGAAAAAATGGTAGCAGAATAGGAAATGCAGTATCGTTTAAGAGAAAGAAGTTATTATGAATACCAACTCTAATATATAATTCACTGTATCTTTCTAATAATCATGAGTACAGTAAAAAAAGTTCAGACTTTTTTAGTTATTCGCAAATAAAGTTTCTTTTCCTTCATAATTTTTTTTTTCTTAAATTTCGAAGGGACGTGGCTATTTTTCCCATCTGAAGGAGAAGATCTTTAAAATGAGGACTCAATCATTGGATTTGATGAAGAATTGACGAAGTTATGGCGTTGCGACAAAAAAAACCCTTTTAGAAATCATATATAATTGAAAAGATAAAAGAACGAATATAGTTCTAAGGTCCCTATCGGACCTTGGGTAATATATTTTGTTTATGCTTTTTTCAGTTTGTATTTTTTATGAGAGCTCTGTTAGACAAATTAAGTATTCTTACAATTAACAACCACAATATTGCAGATTTGTAGTTTTGGATTATTTGAAAAACTAATAAAAAGTGAAAGTGAACTGGTTTCCATAGGAACCAGCTCAGCATCGCACTATCTTCATACACTATTTCTCATAAGGTGTTTATAAGGTGTTTAATTGTCGATACACCATATCGACGTTACTTCTTTACTGATTAATATCTGTGGAAACATTCCGTAAAGTGTAATTTTGTGAATTTTTAAGAGTAACAATAGGAAGCTATTTTTTCTCTCTCTCTCTTTGTGGCTAATGGGCTAAGTTATGCGTTTATTACAGAGATGAATATTCCTTTGTGAATCATGGGTCGAAACTTGAAAACTTAACCTGTACCTGTGAAAATTTCAAACTTTTAATTGGATTTTTCCGAAAATATGATTTTTGCACTAAACACACAATTCATAGGTATCACAGATATAATTAACAAATCAATCACACAGGTCAACCAGTTTAATCTAAATCAAGAAACTTCTTTTTTTTTTTAATTATTGAGAGAAAATTCTGGTAATCAGAATATAGTAATTGTATAAACATATATATCTCCTTCTTCTTCCATTGGCTCAACAGACCATTACTGATCCCTGGCCTCTTTCAATAACCTCAGCCAGTCTGTTGTTGGGCAGCAGTAATCCAGTCCCTAACCCCTAGGATCGTCTGTACTACGAATGGCCTAGCTCATTATTTTTCTGGGGATCTCATCCTCTGATATTCGTGCTACATGGCCAGTCCATCTCAATATCCCTAATATACTTCACAATGTCAGTTCACCAAGGAGATTATATATTTCTTTATTACCTCTCCTGAGGTATGTTTGACGGACTCTTCTAGGTCCATAAATTTATGGTACCGCCGCAGTATTCTTCTCTCGAAAGCCAATAAACTTCATCTATCAATGATATTACCCATGGCTCCAAGCCATACGTCAGGACCTGATCAACGTCTTATACAACCGTAATTTTGTTGTCCTTAAGAGATATTTGTTCCTTAGATGTTTTCCTAGCCCAAAGTAACATAGGTTAACAATGATTTTTCTCCTCTCATTTTCCTTTGTATTGTCATTTCTCACAGTTATCAGGGATCCCAGGTAGACAAACCCATCCACTTTTCAAACTTATAGGAACTAAAGTTCACATTATTAGACAAGATACCAAACTCGGAGGACATAAACTTTGTTTCCACAGCATTTACAACGTAGTCCCAGTTGTCCGGCTGTTGCTTCCAATTTAAAGAAAGTCTCACAAATTCCAGCCTGACAATATCCAGATCGTCCTGCATAATGAAGGATCTGAACCAATCTATTATACATATATATGAAATTATTGACTATTTTTTGTCATGGTGATCCCAAATAACATACCATATGTTATTAAAGTTAAAAACACTTATAGTTGATAATGTGTGTCACCTATCAGGCCTGAATAATCCAGCATGGTGGACGGAAAAGCCGGCATTAAATAGTTCAGCTAACTGTTTCGATTTAGCCTTAGAGAAAGCCTGCAAACCTCCAGTTAATGCAGCAGAGTTTTCAGGAGTGAACGATCCAATATCACCTTTTTGTCTAGCCATTTCTAATAATACATTGGCAGTCCTTACTGTAGCATTCCTCGCATGGACAAAAACCATAACCTGAAACAAATATATTCCTGTCATTCACTTCAATAAATAATACGATTATCTAACATGTAAAGCACTGAGTAAAAGAAACATTTAATTTTAAGAGAAGGAGTTGATTGGGGCATTCCTAAACCCATCGATGGAACTCATTTCATCTTTGTATTATTCATTGATTAAATCACAGATGACTCAGATCAGCTATTGGGGGGGGGACAGATCTACTAAATGTAATATCATTAAAACAAAGTATTATCATTTATCAATTAACTATACATATTGATGAGAAGAAGTTGATAGGGGGGGAGAGGGAGGGGTGTGGTCAAATAAATACTAAATTATAGAAATAGTATTATTTAATTATTATGCCGACGTTTCGACCCACCTTGCTGGTCTTCATCAGGGCTACAAAAAATACAATATATAAAAGGTACATCGTGAAAATTTTGTATATACTTTGTATCTTTTGAAAGGGAAAAAAATAAAAAATAGGAAATATCTACCTGCTGAATTGTTGAATTTCAAAACATAAATAAATATAGATAAAAAGTAAACAGAATATAAATATGTATAATGATATAGAGATGGTTGACCATGATATAATATGAGAAGAAGTTGATCAGGGGGTGCGGTCAAATAAATACTAAATTAAACAAATAGTATTATTTAATTTTTGCCAAATACTAAATTTATTTGTTTAATTTAGTATTTATTTGACAGCACCTCCCGATCAACTCCTTCTCATATTATATCAACGGTCAACCATCTCTACATCATTTAATTTTACATTTATTATCCTTGTTAACACCACAGCATTAATTTATTTTATTTTTATTTTAAACATTAATCTGGTTAATTGTTATTTTTGTTTGTCTCATAAGCACTTAATAATTATATATTATATATATATATATATATATATATATTCATAGGCCCACATCTTATCTTGTTTATAACCAATAGACTGGTCAGTAGTTTATACTTAAACTATACTTATACTTAAAAAGTCCTAAGCCCGTAGACTTTCCAATAAACAGTCTGACTCCGTCCTTCACAAATCTCAGTGCTGCCCATTGCAGACCACCTTTGAAGAGACCTACTTCTCTGGTCGTGCTCGCCGCTGCCCACTTACAGTTAGATTATATGAGCGCTTATGAAAAATATACGTTTGGTCGCTGCATAAAGATTGGAGTGCCAGTTGTTTCGTCCACCGTAACGAACGTCCTGCTTTGCATCCACGTAACGTTGTACAATTTATTTTTTGTTCTGTATAAATTTTATTTTAGGACTATTGATATGTTTCTTTGTTTTTTTTATTATTGATTGTAATTTTGGGCAGTTTACATATAATTTCTTTATTTGATTTCCATAATCAAACATCAAAATATTCAATAAAATATTTCATAATTGTTTTTATTAGCATTGTGCTCAGCTTATCAATATTTTCATTTTATAAGTTATTATTTTATTTTATCTATTGTTAATTTTTTAATATTTTATCTATTTAACAAGTGTAAAATTGATTTCATTTTATTTTTTCATTATTAATATGCGTAAATGTTTCAAAATACAGACCACTTTCTTTTAAATCACGACTTAATTTAAATAATAGTTAGGCTTCATTCCAAGTTTGATTTAAACTAAGAGGGAGCTTAACAATACTGTTTAATTTAATTAGGATAGTTTATAACTAATGCATCAATGTCCTTCGAATTGGAAAAAATTGCTATTATACATATATTATAATGATGTAGAGATGGTTGACCAGGATATAATATGAGAAGGAGTTGGTTGGTCGGGGGGTGCGGTAAAATAAATACTAAATTTTTAACAAATAATAATTTTAATTTTTACGCCGCAGTCCCTACTGCCAAGCCCTGTTGAAGACCTGCAAGGTGGATCGAAAAGTCAGCGTAAAAATTAAAAATACTATTTTTTAAAAATTTAATATTTATTTGACCGCACCTTCCGACCAACTCCTTCTCATATACATATATTAGTTGGCCTGTGGGAATAATTTTCATAATATACCGGTCAAAATACAAATTATAATAAATAAAGGCAATAGAATCCTCTATGTTAACAGAATTTTTTTTTCTCTGTTGATTGCATTGTTTCATTTTGTTTATGAACAGTCCTTCAATGAACAGTTAAACATTTAATATGGTTTCTTTCTTTTTTTCCAGAAGTTGAACATCGTTTCGAAATGACTGGATCTTCTTTCCTCAGTACAATTTTCTTTACTAGGATTTTTTTTTTCCCCTCATAGGAATCCTCAATTCAAAAATTTTCTTTCTAAACTTTTCTCTGTTTATACAATCTTCTTCTACAATATTGAATATTTTTAGCTCTTCCTCCATATGTTTATTGAGCCTTGAATGGTTCATTATTGAAAGTAATAAACCAAAACATGTGTACAAATTCCAATAGGCTAAATCAATGCTACAAGTCTGATTACGATGATTTTTTTTCCTGTTTTGAAGAGAATTTAGAAACTTTTCAAATTATTATTCCAATAATTGATCATAAGTTATATAATTTTTTAATTATGCCCAAATAAAGTTTTATTTTATTTTATTTTTTTTCTCTGACTTTTCTGGTGGATTGTCTTGTTTTTTAACACTGGATCAGAAGATAATCTTCAAAATGATGGTTCAATCATTGGATTTAGAGTATTAAAGATTAAAAAAAAAAAAAAAACCTTACATAAACAATATATAAAGATTATTTGTAACTAATCCTTTAATTCTAAACGAAAAACAAATGTTTTGTCAATATCAAAGATAAAAGCTGATCGGCATTAAAAATGTTCTATTTTTGGTATCTTTAAGTAAAATTTAAATCGCTTGCATATTTCAATATCTTCTTTTGGTAGCTTATAGCACTTCCCAGATAATAAACATTATCCACCACTTCAACATTCTGCCTATGGCAGTTAAGTATAACATATTGCTAAGTGGTTCCTATGTGAATAACTTTGCTTTTATAGACAATCCTTTCCTTTTTGATTCTTCAGACCATACATTGATAACTACTTGTAGACGTTCAGGCCCATCTGAAATCACCACAATGTTCCTTTCTTTTATTGCAGTCTAACCTCAAAATCTAATAAAAATGTTAACAAACCTTTGGGCATGAAGATTAATAGATAGATAGAAACTTTTAATAAAAATAAAAACATTTTTCAGACAAATTTTCATTTTTTTTTTTTTTTATTAATATTGACACAACAGTGGTGAAGTTCTTATCTAGCCGTGGTTTCTATAATCCACTTTTAATAAGAGAAAGGGTATTTCCTGGCCAATAAGGATCTTATCTTATTAAAAGTGGACATTATAATCCTATCTTTTGCACCAACTTACAACTTAACGAGTACAATACTGGGGGTTATTCTAAATTTATGGATAGTTGAATCTTAAAGACACCTTTCCTTCATTGAGCAGTGGTGCAACAAATGGCGCATCAAAATTAATGAATCAAAATGCAAGTATGTAACTTTCACTCTTCGACGCAGATCCTGTCCACCAATCCTTTTTAATTCAATTCCTCTTCCCTACTCAGACACAGTCCGATACCTTGGCTTCCTTCTGGACAAAAGACTGACTTGGAACCCACATACGAGACTTAAAAGACAAGAGCTTAACCGACGATTTGGTCAGCTATATAGACTACTAAACAGAAGATCTCATCTCTCAACAGAAAACAAATTATTAATCTACAAGACCATACTGAAACCTATCTGGACCTACGGACTCGAACTGTGGGGGACAACTAAATCATCGAATATCAAACGCATCCAATCCTTCCAGTCCAAAGTCCTTCGAACAATAGTCAATGCTCCATATTATGTCAAGAAACAAGACCCTACACCATGACCTTAACATCCCATATGTCCATGACATCATCCCATCCAGATCCTCCAACTTTCACCAGAACCTCATTCATCATCCCAATCCTCTAGCGCAATCCCTATCCAGCTCCGAGCATCCATACCATCCCCCTCGAAGGTTGAAACGGCAGTGGCCTCGAGATCTTTTGTAAATATGCCTTTGGAGGCCTGGCAATGGCCAGCTTCTCCACTCATATCCTGAGCGCCTGTGGCTGTATTGCCCTCTTTCAGTCTCCACTGGCTTCTAATACTAGTGATGCGACTGGAAAAGTGGCACTGGGATCTTCCGGAGTCTTGCTTTGCCTTCCGCGTGTGGAGGTAAAAGCCTGGCTCGGAGATTCTTGGGCAAATGTATATATTGTATATAGTTATGATTGTGTTTAGAAGTTTTTATTTTATTTTATTTTTTTATTTATTTATTTACCTTCTTCATCAGTATTATTTATTTACTTCTTATATTTATATTTATTTCTTTATTATTTGTATATATTGTATGAATGAGAACTTTTAGCCCTAATGCTTATAGCCCTCCAGCAGTGGCTGATTGTATTATTATTCAATAAATAGAAAAAAAAAAAAAACGAAGTTGAATCTTATTGCTAACTGTTCCTGTGGGACAAGTTAATAATTTCAAAATACTATATTTACAAACCTAGATTAACAAAACATGTATATTACAATATATCACAAAAACATAAAATAAAATAAAAATACCTGGTGACCCTTGCGAACCATTTCTACCACTTTATCGTAGCAAACCATATCCATATCAGCCATTTGCTGAAGCGCTTTAGTTGCTTTCACACCGATGAATGTCTGGCGTAGTGGGACAGGGCGGAACCGACTATCGAAATAAAATAGACCAACATGAGGGTTGACCCGGAGGAACCTAGCCACGTCAATGTAGTTAGGCAGAGTAGCAGAGAGACCAACTATCCTGATCATCGTTTGTGAAGATTCGACCTGCATCATAAAGATAAATAAAAAATTTAATAACTATAAATCAAATAGACAAAAATTAACTTTTTTAAAAAACTATTTATTCAAGATATTTACAACTGTATTACAATATAAATACATCAAGTAAATATGTACACAAGGATATAATCACTTGAAAACGCTTGTTCAGAAACTAACCACAAATAGCACTCTAATATGTCTATATAAGGAGATCACGAGGCCATCTTCTTTTCAGACGCCTCGGAGGGGAGACAAAAATTAAAAAACAAAAATATTAAATAATTAAATATAATATTTTAAAATATATAAATATTTTAAATACTATATTATTATATTATAATATTATGAACCTTTTTTTTTTTTCTGAAAGATGGAAAGATGAAAAAGATGGAAAATAAGTTGCTTTCCATGGAAATGGATTTCTGGAGAAGAAGCTGTGGCATATCCAGAATCGAGCGGATCCCAAACGCAGCAATTAGAGACAAGGTCGGATGTCAAAAGAACATCCTTCACCTGATCGGGACCAAACGATTAAAGTGGTATGGCCACTTAATGCGGATGGATGAGAACCGCTGGCCAAAGAAAATTTATAACTATGTGCCACCTGAAAGAAGGAAGCGTGGAAGGCCGAAGAAGAAATAGAGGACGTGGAGGAAAGCATGGCAGCCAGAGGGCTTCGTGAGGGAGATTGGATGGACAGGGAGCAGTGGCTTTTGGGTATTGGGGATATGACTCCTTGAGTTGTATAAAACCCAAATAATAAAAAAAAAAAAAAAAAAAAAATATTATGAAAGGAAATATTCATTTATTACTACTAATTGCTCACTCTTTGAGTCAGAAATGTTGTTATTAATTTCCCCTTTTATACACGATTTCACATAATCTTAATATTGATTTTCAAAAATCTTCTTTGTTTAAGAAGCTACAGCCTTCAGTTATCTCTGAAGGCTGAGTGAACCTCATAACCCAGGCCTTAACATCACTGGAGACATTCCCGAAGATACCCTGTTTTACATCTATAAATCCACAGTGCTTGTAGCAATACAATATATTAGGTAATTGATATAAAAAAAAATCTTAAAAAATACAATAATGATGCGATTTTGAAATTAGGTAAAGTTGTTGGGAATGTGGGCTTTCCTTCAACATGCTAAACAAAAAAAAAAAAATCAGAACGTAGTATGCAAAAAGTGGGAGATTATTTACAATGAATTTACTGTAAGGATACTAGCGGGACTACTGGACCTCACAGATCCTGACGGGACTTGGGGGGTTTAGAGACAAACTCAGGAAGCATGGGAAGAACATCGACCCCTTATGTCCTCATTTCGATGCCCCTGATACGGCTGAGCATGTGGCTTAGAGCAAACAAGAGACATATTAATGGCGAGGACGGGACTGCACGCCCTAGATGAAGAATAACTTTCATGGCTGATGGAAGAGGAGAAATACCCCCATTTTGTGAAGTTCATGACAAAATGGAGACAGAAGGTGGAGCCTACGCACTTCACGATAGGGAGAGGACTTCTATCAGCAGGCCAGGAGGAAGAAGACCGGCAGAGGCAGCATCCAGCTGCTGGAGGAAGCTAACCAGAAGGGCAGGACGCGCAACTAGCTGCAGACTGCGGCCACATCAGTAAGGCGCATACCCGTGCACCAGGCCGCACTACAGTGTACAACTATTAAAATTGAATAAAAATAAAATAAAATAAAGAGCCTTATTGGCAGTAGTAGACGTATACTTATTCCCAACGTGTTAACCCACTGCTGCCGAAACCCTGTAAGGAAAAAATGGCAGGAAGGAAAAAAAAATGTAAGGAAACTATGTAATAACTTACTACAGTAAAACATCATTATTACAAACTCCTCATTAAAGTGAACCAAAATCGAATCCTCTAGAAAAAATCATTGACTTTCCTACAGAACCTTCATTTTAAAAAACTACTTCTTAATTTCTAATGAGAAATAACTTTATTACAACTAATTTTTTTTCCTCCCTCTTTAGACTCTACTGGGTTTTTTTCTGGCCAGGGGGAGAGGGCAGGGGATTACTGCCAGAGTTAAAACCCCCTAGCACCGGGATGTGAACTCATAATTATTTTACCAATTTATCTTCCATCACCGTAGCGGGCAATGCGATGATGTGCAAACGCGTTTAGCCCGCTCGGCCAGCCTGCCTCTATTATAATTAGCTTGAAAGGCATAATATAAATAACTTTACACTTCTCATCAGAGTTTGCGACAATGTTACATCAATATTTTATTAAGTTTCATGAACTTTGATAAATGAATAATTATTTACCTCCTCTTTATATCAAAGGAGAGCCTTTAATAAAAATAAAACCAATAATATCAAGCTATATATATTTTTTCTTCTCTTAATTTCCATAACTATAATGTGAAATATAAAAATATAAATAATTTTATCTAGTTTAATTTTATAAGCTACGGAACATCGCTTTTCACGATATAAGGATAAGAGGAGAAAAAAATCCTTCCATGTGCCCCCACTAATCTCCTACAAGACTAGTAGATTTCAAAAATTAACTTTTTTTGTCAATGTTAAGATTATCAATAAATTGCAATACATGTTTAAAAGCTAAATGTAAAAGTCAACATATTGCTCATCTGGTTACTTCAAGTAATAAAATTTTATAGGAGAGGCCATAAGTATTATTAAATAAATCACATAATTCTTAAAATTGGTTGAACCAGAGCAAAATTCATCTGACCAAATCAAATTTTGGTTATATTATATAACCTCTATGACGTCGAATTGATGACAATTTAATGTAATTAAACAGTTTTTCAAAATTTTGCAGTTGTGTTGTTATTTCACCAGATGAGCGACATCATGTTTTAGCAGTATTTCATACCTGACGTAATGTTCTTGCAACCAGAGCTTCAACAACAGGTCCACGGTCACCATGAAGAAGGTGAACTTCATCTATTATAAGAAGCTTTACTAATCGAGTAAGCGCAACGTCACCTTAACAATGAAATAAAAATAAAATTTTAATAAGGAAAAAATGTTTTTAAAAATAATTTGTTAATATAAAAGTTATTTAATGATGAATTTACCAGTTCCCTTCCTGGTAACAACATCCCATTTCTCTGGTGTAGTTACGATCATTTGGGTTTGAAGTATTTCATTTTTAGTCAGCTGCATATCGCCTGTCAGTTCTCGAACAGACAATCCCAAACAACCTAACTTTTTATTGAAATTTGCCGTCATTTCAGCTGCTAAAGCCTTCATTGGTGCTACGTATACTATCTGTAATAAAACATCATATCAGGATGAAAATTAATAACAGTTAAATTCAATAGTTTCGATAGTTATATATTTTGATAAATGAGATATCAATTGAAAGAAAATTTCATGGAGAAGTGAGGAATGCCTATTTCAAAACTTGAGACTTTTTTGCTATAAAAAACTACAATAAAAGTTATTGTGGAATTAATGAAATTACCTTGAACTGATCTTTCTTAATTATGTCGTTGACAATATTCTGTCGTATGGTATGCATCACAGTGAGAAGAGCTATATTCGTTTTACCAGCACCGGTGGGGGCACAGATTAACAAGTTTTCATTGGTGTTATAAGCCGTTGGGAAGACGACTGATTGTATCCTATTCAGGTGGGTTATACCAGAGAAGGCAAGCTTCCCATACTGAAAAAAATAGTAAAAAATATACTATATTAATCCAAGTACAATAATATCAAGAAAAATAAATTAATCCTAAAAAACTTCTTCCATTTATTTTATCATTATTATATTTGATAATGTCTTGGGCTCACCTTGCTCATCTCCATTTTCAAATAGGCTAGTCTAAAAATAAAAATGTATGGACATACAAGAAATGTATCTTGATTTTCTGTTTCTTTTTTTTTTTTCTATTCTGAGTATCTGTTGTGACAAACCTATAGAGATGTAACACAAAACTCCTTTTAATTTTTTATATATTTAACTATGGTTTATGTATAGACATTATATTTTATGACAAAAAGAAGTCTGTTACTATATAGGTTTATAACAGAAATGTATTTTTTTTAAAATGAATAATAAAATAAAAATCTAGTGCAGTGCGCGCATCACACAGCTTTCACTTACCACCCTCCCCTTAACAGAAATAAGTATTTTCAAACAAAGGGGAAGTGAAAGTATAATTTATAAATACTATATTGATTTATATTTCATTGTGGGTATTTTTATTTGTATGAGTGCCCTTATATATAAAAATTTTAATATTTATATAGCTGTAATCTATGCAATTAAATATTAAATAATACCAACAATACATGAAATAAACCGCATATGTATATTTACATTGTTGTCGCAGTCCTTATTATATTAAGTTCATGTTACGTATGAAAGCGTATTCTAATCTTTCGGGCGAGCTTGGGTGATCTCGGATGCGCTCGTATTTATTTGGTTCCTGAATTAAAACTACTCTCCGTTACGATTTCTTATATGTAACTATCTTTTATATTATAGATTAATGTAAAATGGTCAATTGTTTGAAATAAAAAAAATTAAAGGTACTTTAGGGGAAGCTAATATTGAAAATTAGCCATTTAAGCCCTGCTAGAGAACATCAATTAGAATAAAAACTACATTTTATTTAAAATTGTATAATTTTACACTGATATGAATTGAATCAAAATCGTTAGAGCCGTTTTCGAGGAAATCGTAAAAATGTGTTTAGCCTATGATATAAAGTGCTACTTCCAGTTATCCGATTTTAGCGAAGAAGTTTCTTTAACATCCCAAGCATATAAAAACCTTAAATATGCAATTTCACTTTCGTAGGACTTTTCGTTTTTGAGCTAGACTGTTAACACACACACACACACAGACCATTTTGCAGGACTTGGTTATTTCGACTCAGGGGACCTTAAAACATGTATTTCCGTTGAAAATTGAGATTCGAAAATTTTCACGATCGCAATACTTTCCCTTAATATATATTTCACATATAGATAAGTTAAAGTAAAAATTATTAAGGAATTCTAGTTTGCCAAAAGCTAAATTAAATAGATTTAAAAATAAGACTTCCTGGTAAAATCAACAGAGATAGAAATGGAGCTTATACAAGATTCGTAATATAGCAAAACAAATTTAAAAAAAGCATGACTTATTCAATATGAACATGAGGAAATAACATAAAAAATAAGTAGAAAACAGACTTGCAGGCAAGCAAGATGAGCCTGAAACATCCTCAAATGTAATAAGAATAAATTTAAAAAGGTTAAGAAGTTATTTATCCTGTAATTATTGTTCGGTAATAAAATATATGATAAATAAACAATTTTATATTTTTCAGACTATAAATTTAACAATTTATTGTATTTGGCACCCCAACAGCGATGAACAAAAAAAGGTAATAATATACTAATTTTATTTTATACACAGAGATTTGTTTACATAAAAAAATTAAAATTACATAACTAAATATAGTCTTGAGTACTTACGGTATCCAATGAAGATATTGGGATCAAAGTATTACCCACGGACAATGGGCCCGGTGAAGATACTGGTATATCAACTTCCTCGTATTGTTTGTTGTCAACTCGTTTCACGTCTTCAGGCAGCATTATCCTACTACCCGAAATATAACCTAAACAATAAATGAAAATATTCTATTAAAAATTTAAATACATTTTTCAATAAAAAATGAGGAAAAAATAAAACAAACCTTTTAAATACAGCAAAATCTATCCTGAAAAGTTTTTAAAAGTCAGGACCTGGAAGTATACTATTTAATCTGCTTAGCAATGGAAACTTTCTAAAGAACGCAGACACCAAATTTTTCCTCACCGAAAGACATATTAATCCCTTTCAATAGGCACTTACAAAACGTGAAAATAAGGAAATCCTTATGTTTTAATTTGAAATTATATATGAAAATTGAGTTGGTATAGGAGAAGCGCCTTTAGGAACTCTAAACTCTTTTTCTCACATAAATATTATTTATTATATTATTATAAATATATTTTATTATTTCATGGATATAGTATTTTTTCCTTTGTATCCATCTATATCTTCAAATTCCGCAAACTCAGCAAATTCAAGTCAGCAAAGTTCCCAATACCTACCCTTACCCTTATTTTCCAGTTCTAATTGAAACTCCTAGCAGAACACATCTGTAAGTCTCTATTTTTATTTTGTATACTTATTTATTTATTTTTGGTTTTCTTTTCTTTCTCCACATTCCTATATGTCTATTCTTTCATATTATATCCTTTTTCTTTCTTTTTCAATCTCTCCCGTAGATTTGTAGAAGTATATTCACATTTGTATATATTGTATATTACACTATAACAATTGTTAGCATCTATTTACTTGAGTTTAGGATCTTGTTACTTAGCTTACTCTGTTTATATTTTAATGTACTTATTGTTTATAATTTTAATGAGCTTATTCACATTGTTTATAATTTTTTATTTTCTAAATATTATGTAACTTCCACAATTCTCTATCTTTTTGTATCTAGGCCGTTCTAGCCTTGAAGAAGACCTGCAAAGTCGGATCGAAACGTTGGCTTTTAATAAAATAGTTTTACCACTATTTAGCCTATTTATGACCACCACCCCGGACCATCTCCTTCCTTTATAATGTAACGGTCAACTATTAAATATTAAATTTTATTATATCATTTGTTCATTTTTTGCTTCTTTTTTTTTTTAAGGTTTCGTGCTGCTCTACAGCCCCTCCTAATTGAGTAAAAAGGATGGAATTTTTTTAATGAATACACTTTTAACAAGTAACTTTCAGTCTTATGTTTTCTCACCTCTGCCATTGTTTTTTAATGGATTTTAACTTTGTATGCGCCTCTACAGTTCCTATATGAGTAAGAGTGTTGAAAATTTGTAAATTGAGTAGGTGTAAGAGAAATGCTTTTTTGGAAACTCAAGCTTTCTACCATCCTCCGCCATTTTGATAAATTAAATTCAGCTGTTCAATTTCTTCATATAAACATTTCCAAACAAAAATAACAGAAACATGGTGCTGCAGTGAGGGGACTCTGCTGTTCATATATATTTTTTTCCAATGTAGTACAAACAGTCAAATAAGGGATTAATCCAAAAGCGTGAAATGGAAAATCACTTTTGATATATGATGGTTTTCATAGAAATCTTTTTTCTTTACTTAAAATTCAATATGTCACAGTCCTTTTCATTCTTTTACCTTAAAACCTTGAGAATGGTACTTTGTGAATAAGAAAAAATTGATAAATGAGAAGATAAAATTAAAAAACTTATTTTGATGCATGCATGTACCTACCTATCTAAGCTTGTACTTAGCCAATTTGTAGTAAATAAATATCCCTCCACAGCGAGCACAGTGAGGTTTCGAGTAGATTCTCGATGTCGCTACTGGAACGCTTTCATTATTGGTAATCTTCTAATCGTTTTATATTGTTTGCTGAGTCGTTTTGTTAAATTTCGGAATCTACTCTTCCAAGACCATTTCTCACTTAGGACATTTATAACCTATGCTTATTTTCATTACTATTTTGTTTATTTTTCTGTTTGTTTCATACAGATGTATACATTTTTTTTTCTCTCTCTCTTGTAAATTTATTATTAATTACTTATTATTTTGTAAATATTTAATTTAATGTAGGGCCAGACTGTCATGTTTTATTTATTTTGTATTTATAATTTGCTGTAAAGGGACATTAGTTCTAGAATAATAAAATTATTTTTCATTTCATTAAAAATTTATATAAATAGCCCAAAATGTAATACATATAATTAAAAGACTTTTCCTATCCAATTTAAACTTCCTTGCTACTTATAAGATTCATAATCTTTTATTTATATACATATGAACCAGGACTTTTAATTTCTATCTGTTAAAAATAAAAAAATAAAGTTTTTGTGTAAATAACCAAAAGGTTGAGAATGCTGGATATGGTTTTATCTTTTCAATCAAAAGTTCTTTTTTAATTTAAAGAAAAAAGAAAATGAAAAGAATCAGTGGAAGAATTGTTCATAAGAATCGATTCACCACTATGATTGAATCGTTTCATTTATAATAAGAATTAAATTTCCCATCTCTACTTTAAGCAACAGTGTGTCTGGGAAGTGAGGTGGGACTTGGGATGTGGTGAGTCCTAAGTCCGCTGTAGTGACGCGTGAAACACGATATTCTCTAAAACTCTCTCATCTGTACTTTATAAACATGCATTCATAAAAGCTAATAGAATAAATCTTAAACTAAATATTTTTACTCATTCACCAAATAGTGCGGGAGCCAATGACAAAAAAGCCATCTTATTTTATACTGAGATTTTTTCTTATAAACTAACTATGTCCAGAGGCCTGATAAGAAAAATGCACTTCTGCCAGCATATAGCCGTTGGAATACAAATTGGTGATCAGGTGAAGATAGATAGAAACCCTATATAGGTAAAAAACTTATGAATATAGAGAGAGAGGGCTTATAGATATAGAAAGCTACCAACCCTTTAAAATTATAGGATTTACTGTCCTAAGACATGAAATAACAGTTGAATACCTCATACCTGTGGATTTCAAGCCACAAATTTGAATTTACGATTCAAAAAGTTCACTTTTTTTAGTTATTCGTTTATATATCAGAACAACTATGCGTTCTAGCAATAATAATGTTCTGTATAAAATAAAAACTGATAAAATGTCCTATAGAAGTAGTTATATTTATTTATTCGCAATCTTCTGTAGAAGTAGTTATATTTATTTATTCGCGATCTTCTGTAGTTTCCGAGATATCTGTCCTCGTATTTTAGACAACGTTGCCTTATATAATGATTTGAAGCAATGTAATAATGAAAATTACGAATTGTATATTTTTATGCATAGTATCGGAGTTAAAACATAAAGTTCCTCTAGTTTTTGAATGGTTGGAAATAAGATATTTAAGTAATATACATTCTTAAAGGAAATTTTAAACAATTAAATTAAAGGTTAACAAATTACGGGAAATGATAAACAATTTTTTTATTTGAATTTTCCATAAAATGAAAAGATTAAAGGTTATAGAGTTAAATAGTGATAAAAATGTAAAGCAAAAACAACTTTTTTTTCCAAGTTAGTGAAATAAGAGGACAGATATCTCTGAAACTATAGAAGATAGCAAAGAAATAAATACTATCACTTCTGTTAGATTTTAGCAGCTTTAATTTTATATAGAACATTATTATCATTAGAACGCATAGTTTTACAGATATAAGCGAAAAAACGAAAAAAGTGAAGTTTTTGAACCCTAAATTCAAATTTTCGATTCGAAATCCATGTGTATAGAGTAACTGACTATTATTTCATGTCTTATATAATTTATATCTATATATAATTTTTCTACCTATATAGGGTCTCTTATCTATCTTCACCTGGCTGCCATTTTGTATTTCAGCGGCTATATGCTGGCAGACATGGTCAATTTATAAGGACAAACCTCAGGATGAAATAAGACACCTTTATACCATGGAGTTTCATACCAAAAGAGGGAAAGAAAAAAAAGAAAGATATTTCTTGAATGGAATTTTTGAAGCTGAAAATACTATTTTAAGCTGAAATGCATAAGATATCCAATGGTATTAAGTAGGCATTGGCAGTATCTAACAGTACCTGACCCCACCACTTTCCCTTAAAGCTAATTATTTTTGCAAACATGCGTCAGAAGAGTTTTTATTGTAATAACCTAATCCTCACCAATGAATACAAATTGAAAATTCATGCATTTATATGTTTTGGCTATCAGGGCATCTTCAGGTTATTTGATTATTTTTATCAAGAGCTGTTCCTAATAAGCCATGTTAAATTTAGATTTAGATCAAGAACTGCTACATATAAAAACAATCAAATCACATGAAGATGGCCAGATAGCAGAAACATTTGAAAAATTAAGTTTTTTATTTGGTAAAGTTTGTATTTTCATTCTCAAGAATTTTTACTGAATTGCATCCATTCACCTTAAGCACAAATACATTATAATGCAAAGCAAATAAAAGTAATATAATGGAAGTCAAGAAGTCTGTCAAGGAAGGCAAGAGAAGAAATAAGAAAGTACACATTGCTGTCATATTTTCAAGGTATTCAATTTATTTCAGTTTTATAAATTATTGAAACCTTACTTATCATGTTCTCACCTCTCTCCCTCCCCTAAATCTTCATTTTATTTAATTCTTTATAAAGAAGGTTGTTATCAGTGTTAAGGTTATATATTTTATGTCAAGAGTCGGTTTATATCATTTATGTCCCAAGTGCTGGTGAATTTATACCCGTAAATAGGAAAGTTTCATAATTAAATGTATTTATAGTACATAGAAGGCCTCGGATAAGGATTTTATTTTAAAATAATAATTTAAATAGTAATTCATTGATAAAAATAATCAATTGAAACATTTATTTTATGTTTATTAAAACTGACAGAAAGACACAAGATCATTAGAAAATTTATATTTATTTATTACTGTACTTGAAATAGATATTTTTCATCCATTATAATTGTATATATGTTCATCTGTATTATTTACTTGTAATATTACAAAGTTGATTTATTTTTATCCCATTTGTTTTTTAAATAACAATGGCACCCCATAATAGGTGCAAACAGGTACCTAAGTTCGTCTCTTTGTTAATGAGGGTATTCAGTTATTTGAAATAAAAACTCCAAATTAAAACTATATTATAAGTTCAATAAAAATGCAAACATTAATTTCGTAGAAAACTATTTATTTAAAAATGATACATTTCTTTTCTTATAACATCAGTTTGGTGAAACAAATATTGCACTAATAAAATTTAAAAAAATAAAAATAAACTGAATTAAAAAAAAAGAAAGTAATAAACTGAATATAAAAAATATTAAAAAATCAATGCCAACTAAATGCTAAGAGAATAAAAAAATAAAGGAACTTGGTTATGTTTCAGTTTTATTTCATGTAATTAATATTGAATTTTTGTTTGGAATTGTCAGAACACCAACCTGTGAATCAAACAGACTTAAATAAATCTAGGTGAATGAAAACATTAATATCGTTTATTTGAATAATTACCCGGAAAAAGAAAAGAAGTGAATAGTGGGCAGGCGAACTCATGCACAAACATACGCATGCTATCAATGGCTTACAGAAAAACAATTAAAATAAATAATATTAGAAAATAAATACCTGTTTGTGATTGAGCTGTTTTCATCGAGTCGTAAACATGTGGGTAGGCATCTTTCGGCTCTGAAGGTTTTTTTTTCTCTTGCGTAGCCCAAGTATTCTGGTTGCTCAGAGCTGCTATCCTGCGACAAATCATTAAATTTGTACCTTAACTCATTTATAAAAGATGGGAAGTGACAATAAGTATAATTAAATTCAAACAAGGGAAAATTAAATAACTACAGAATCTATAAATAGAACTTTCAAATCTATTTTATCATTTTGGACAAAAATTTAATATTCAAGCAGATAAATTTAAACTTTTCATGAGGTATAATTTTTATCAAAATTGTCTTCATCTTTCAAATCCTTTTGTGATTGATTTGATCATGCTTCAAAAGATTCTTGAATGTGAGTGCTGCTCTTCTATGGCCTTGTATTAGAAGAGTAGGAGTTTACATGAGCTCAATACATATCACTATTGTTAGAGCAAAAGTTAGCTAAAATTGAATTTTTTTATAAAAGAGCATAAAAACTGATCATTTCTTTATGATTTAGAAGTGTAATTTCTTATTTTATTTCTTTATACTATTTTTCAAAATAGCAAACTATTAATTGTAGGTGCAGACTATAAAATATCTGCCATTAGTACAAATACAATCTATAAATAGAAAATTGTTACATATGACTTTTTGCACTGACACTAAAAATATATAATTAAATGAACAGTTGTATAATGTTGTTTAAAAATGGAGATTGGTCGACCATTAAGTGCCCCGGTAGTAATCACAAAAATATTTTTTTTTATACATCAATTTTTTTATTCTGACATATTTCTAATTTTGTCTATAACAATAAAAATCCAGAATTTTAGTTATACATATTTTGAGAAATATTTGGTGTTAAAGAAAAGTGGTGGGGACAGAGCTACATCATGAGAGTGGAGAAATGGCTTTCTACAAGCGTCTAGCTCACACCGATGATTATCTTAAACCTTTTAGCTTAGAACAGTGTTTTCAGCTTCAAAACTTCTACTCAAGGTAATATCTATCCACAGTATAGTATAGCATGATATGGACATCAACCCCCTATGCCTTATCTAAGATGTTCTGGAGACTGTTGAGCACATCTTAGTCGACTGAACGGTCTTTGAAGCACAAACGACTACTGAAGGAAACCAGTCTCTACATTCTCACAGAGAACGATTTCCCTCAGTCAGTCACTTCGGAAAACTACACATGCTACAAAGATTTTGTTTAGGAGTGGAAAGCTGAGGTGGGACCAGCCCACTTTAATCGAACAAGAAGAAGAGGAGCTGATAAAAGACAATCAGATTGAGAGAGATTGATTCAAGACACAAGAATAAACAATTCAAGAACAGAATTTAAGTTTTACTTGCAGTAATGAGATATTATGCAGACATGCGTAACATCTTACAATTGCAAACACCCATATTGCCTAAAAGGGCATGGTGAGAATTTAATAAATAAATATCTATCCATGGTGCCACTTACCTTTGACATTAATCTCCTCTCCTCCCTCTCCACTGACCCAGCAAAAAAAACCTTGCATAGGCAAAGAGGTGAGGTAGGAGAGAAAAAAAAAAAAATCTGTACTACAACTCATGAAGGGTCTTGGGTTCAGTACTATTTCTAGGTCAACGGTTGAGTAAGGAGGATATTTGGCCAAGGCAATCACGCTGAGCTGCCACGATTTTTCTGTTAATTAATTATTTACTAAAGGGTACCCACTTAATAGAGGCTGGGTGTGCCACAGGAGGGTCTCTCCGGGCCGATGAAACAGAATAAATAATTTATATACCATATACCGGGATTTGAACCTCTGGAATCTTGAGCAATGGAAGCTCAGTGTCCTACTACTGAGCTACCACACTCCGTAGAAGAGAAAAACATTAATAATAAATAAAGTCATATCTTTCCAGTTTAACTCCTATCCTCATGTTTTTTATCAAATTATTTCATTTAGAATTTAATTTATTATTTTTTATAAATTAGAGCAGATAGAGGTTTAAGAGTATCATGTTTGGCAATCTTCACGTCATGATAGAGAGGAATCAGGGCCAGACCCTCAGTCCACACCACACTTCGAAGATGCACTGTTTTAAGCTAAATATAAAATTTTTAATTATTTAAAAAGTAAAATCTCAATCTTATATATATTCCTTATCAGTTGAATTCTATCGCAGCTCAAATTTATTCCATTCTTTTCCCATCCAAGTATCCAATTGGAGAATTAAAACTAAAAATTTTATTTTCATTTTTTAAATTGTAAATATTTAAAACTGCTCACTTTAGACAAGGTTAAAATTGAATTCATAATAATATTTTAAGTAAAATAACAATACCTCTTATTTCTAAGTTCTAAAGGGTCAAACTTTTCTTCCTCTTGCGCATTTTCTTTAATTGTTCCATGTTTCGAGAATTTTTTCTCTTCTTTTCTAGCCAATTTTTCGAGTTGCTTTTCTTCTTGAGATTTGACGGTAACTTGACTAATATATCCTTCACGTTTTCGTTCAGTACTGTTGCCTAAAATCAGAAATTGCGTGCAGCTTATCAACATTAAACTGAAATAACTTTTAAAATACGTCATTATTAAAATATGACTACAACAGTGATGCACCATATTATTAATAATTAATAATTACAGTAAAAGCACCAATAGCTGAGAGTGTAACAATACCTAACATCCTCATTGAAAAATATGTCCTTCAATATGTCAGCTAATGGTGCATTTAACCTAAAGTTATACAAGTTATACAAAAGTTGATGGATTATTTGAGATTAACATCTATTAAAATTCATCAAGATTAAATAATAGTAAAATTAACTGCAGAAGATTGAGACCAGAATAATGGTTCGCAAACATGTGTTTGGTATATTCTATCAGGTAGGATAATAAATTGAATAAGTCATAAAAAATAAGTTTCAGGCAGATAAATTAATGAATAAAATAACTGAAATCCAACAATTTGTGTAAATAATGAATAAATCGCCGGTTTATTGCAAAACATCACTAAGTGTATTTTTTATATAGGCTTACTTTCAAACATGTTTTTGTGAATTTTGACCTTATTTATCTTTACGAAATCACCATAAGTACATTAAAATGACAAACTCTTTATTTTTTGCACATAGTTGCACTAATTGTGCAATGGTCTGATTTTAATAAGGAAAAATGTATTAAAGTTCTTAATTATTTGAGGTTATGAAATTTTACAATAAATTGACGATATATTTATTAGTAATTTTTAGTTTTGAAAATAATATTTATTTATTTCCAATCCTGCTTTTTTATATGCAATATAGGTATTTGCAGTAGTGGGATGTTACTGTTACATTTTTAAACAATTAACATTTTTTAATATTTAATAGTTGACCGTTGCATTATAAAGGAAGGAGATAGTCCGGGGTGGCGGTCATAAATAGGCTAAATAGTGGATTTTGTCTCTTATTTCTATATTTATATTTTACTTCTATGTACGTTTTACTTCTTCCATTTTTGTTTTTACTCACATTGTACTCTTATCTATAATCTCTTAATTCTATTTTATATGTATATATTTATAATTTAATATTTCATAGATATAGTATTTTTTCCCTTGTGTCCATCCATATCTTCAAATTTTAGATACTGTAATTTTCTAGATTTTTTCCCCATTACCCAAACAAGTCAGCAAAATTCCATAATACCTGCCCTTACCCTTGTTTTCCAGTTATAAGTGAAACTCCTAGCTGAACACACCTGTAAGTCTCTAATTTTACTTATTTATTTAAATTTTTGGTTTTTTATTTTATTTTATTTTATTTCTCCACATTCCTTTATGTCTATTATTTCATACTATATCCTTTTTCCTGTTTATAATTTTAATAAGCTTATTCACATTGTTTATAATTTTTTGTCTAAATATTATGTAACTTACACAATTCTCTATCTTTTTGTATCTTGTCCGTTCTAGCCCTGAAGAAGACCTGCAAAGTCGAGTCGAAACGTCGGCTTTCAATAAAATAGTTTTACCACTATTTAGCCTATTTATGACCACCACCCCGGACCATCTCCTTCCTTTTTAATTTACAGTTTTATTCTTTAGCTTGCTCATCCTTCCAGTTCAGCTTTGTCCTCTTCTCTCCTTCTTCGTTCCAATGATCCCGCTGGTGCAGCTCTGCCTCTTCCTTCCAGAGAGAAGTGGACTGGTGCTATGACTTCTTTCTGCCCATATATGAAGGTTTTGAAGAACATATATTTCTCTTTGAACATCAATCGAGGAAGATCTCTCTTCATAAGGACACAGAGATCTGTCTCCCTCGACAGCTTCGCTCATTAATAACTCATAAGCCGTTCGGGTTAGTACAATACGCTCAGCGGTCTATGCTACCTCAGAGCTTGGGCGTAGGAGATCGATGTTTACACCACACTTAATGAGCTTTGCTCGGAAATCTCTCTGCCCCATGAGAATGTGTGAGATCCAGTAGTCCGGATTTATTTTGTTTCATGTCAATGATCCCTGATAACAGCAAGATCACAATAAATTTACACCTCCTCCACCACCTGCTATTCTTTATGATTAAAAATATTTCTGACATTAAAAGCCACCTGTGACCTGAAGAGCCTTCATGAGGAAGTTTAAAAAAAAAGTATATTATATAGTTTTCAATTAATTTGGTACTGAAATGAAATTAAATTAAATTTTAAATATTCCAGAAACAGAAATTAACTCATACCTAAAGGCTTCAGTAGCAACTTCTTCTCATTTTCCAACTTGCTAATCATAGCTATATCTTTCCTATGTTCCAATAGCAACAAGGTTAACTCAAAGTTATCGTAGCCTAAGAAATCGAAAAGCTGAAACAGATGCATGTGTTTAATTAATAAATTAAATCAGCAGGAAAATTTTTTTTAAAAAAAAGTCAGCAAACCTATTCATAAAAATAATATAACTAGTTTCAAAGCATAATGTTTTTCCCTAATAAACAATCTATCTAATGAATAAAGAATTTTTTAAGTAGGTTTGGTAATTTTTGAAATTAGCAAATACAAAAAACAACTTCAGCTTTATATTATAAATCGTAAAATATAGACATGAGCAATGTTTTATTTTGTTGTGTTGTTTCTGGTTCTACTTTAGTTAATTGTTGTAACTATGAATTCCTGCCCTACTGTATCCTTTAAAAATACTACACTTATCCCTGTTAAACAGATCCGCTACCTAGGACTCAACCTGAACAAACGTCTTAGTTGGATTCCTGACAATACAAGAGAACTCATAGACATTTACAGCTACTTCAACACTTGACAAATGCTCTAAACTTTTAATGGACTATAAAAGAATCATTTACTAGACTCAATTAAAAAAAAAAACTCTGTACCACTACAAACCATAAAGGTTCTTGGGTTCCGTACTATTTCAGGAAAGTGCTGTTTCTTAGTTAACGGTTGTACAAGGAGGAGATTTGACAGAGATGCTCAGCCGCCAGGTTTAAGGTTATCCACTTTATAGAGGCTGGGCATGACCCAGAAGGGTCGAACCTAGGACTTCGAGAGTCCCTTTGGGGTTCTCTTAAACCATCAATTCTTCTAATATTCAATCCTTCTAATTCAAAATTCTTTGCAAAATCCTTGATGCTCTCAACTTTGTCATAAATAAAATGCCATAATGATCTTAATGTTCCATATGTTAGCCCAATCCAGAAACCTTATTTTGTTATTTTTGGCTGCATTCGGGTGAATACTTAGTTTGTGAATTTGGTGTCATTTTCAACAACTGCCAAAACCAATTTTAACAGCAATATAACGGATAAACATTTATACCTACTCACCAAATTCTCTAAACACAATTGAAATTATTTTATATTTTCTTCCTACTGGACACATCAAGGATTTTAATAGCTTAAAACCTTCAAGGTACAATAAGGAACCATTTTGCAAAAAACATACTGAACTTTTAAATAATAGAACAATTCCTAGTACTACTGTACATTATGAATTTATTTTTCTAATTTTGTGGAAATGAAAATAATTACACCCCGAAATAAACACCATATTTTTAACATTCCATACTTTGGGTACTATAGTACTGACAGTTAACAGAAACTGGCAAATAAACATGTGACGGTTAATCAAAGTTTTACTCTATGAACATAATAATAACAATGTAACATACATCATTTTGTAGTTCATCAGTTGATTTGGGACAGTTAAGCATCTCAATGATGGAATCACAAAACTCTTCGTTAGAAACCCCGATAGGATTACCAGCCGGGAAACACTTCTGTACTTCCTTAATCATCCAGCTCTTAGTGTACTGAAAATAAATAAATAAATAATTATAACAAAAAATAAATATTTCAAACAATAAATTATTCAAAAACTAAGTATTAGTAAAACAATTAATGATAAACGTACTAATCCTTTTTCTTCGGATAATTCTTTTTCGACAGGTTTATTATAAGCCATCGAAAAGTTTTCAATAATATTTTTTTGTTGATTAAGATCGGTAAGAAAGCTTGTGTCGGGAGGGATCCATTTCGTTGGCGGATTAAATATAATATGGCCTCCCCAGAGTGACTTCTCGTTTTGACGCTCATCATCGCTTTTATTTTCAAATCCTCTTTTAATTTTATCAATGCATTCATCAGTTAGCTCGTCCACAACTTGATTTACAACCTAGAAAAAAAATACAAACTAAGTTAAGAAATTAATAAAATTAAAATATAAAAAATAAAATAGTACCATTATCAATGATAAATTATAAAGGCGGTTTTTAAAGGAATTTTGATTCAAATAAAACACTAAGAAGTAATCCAGGAAACTGATAGACTGATATTCAATAGAATAATTCATGATTATACAAATTAAAGAAAATGTAACAATCGATATTTTAAATTATATATGACAATAGAATAATGGTAAATGGTTTAATTATTAAGCAATTTAATGAAGGCAGGATGACATTTAGTGAAATGAGAAATGTATATAAATAATATAGAAGATTAGGCAATGAAAAATTCCTTATTTTCTTCTTTATTATTTAACTCACCACAATCAAGTTTTCGTTTCGGGATTATAATTTCACCATTAGAACCTTATTATTTTTGTTAGTGTTTAGGCAAAGATGATTTTAATCTATGATAATAATGTTTTGATTTCGATGAGTTAAATGATAAAGAAAAAACTGAGGTAGTTTTAAAAGATTAGCCTATGTATGATAAGCTTACAAAAATTTCTTTCAAAATTTAAAAATACTGTATATAAATAATTTAAATTCTTTATTAGTAAAATCAAATGAATAACTGAAGTACTAAAGGTGAAAGAAATGAATGTTCTGATGATGAGAAAAACATTCTCTGAAACCTCAATATTTTATAGAAATGATCAAAGAAACCAAATAAATCTATTGAAAATTGGAACTTACCAACTAAATTTAACTAAGAAGAAAATGTTCAATTTTATATCATAAGCAGTTCAGATTATTTCACATGATACGGAATAGAAGAAATATAGCAGAACATTAAATAAGAAGTTGGTCGGGGGTGCAGTCAGTAAATATACTATATACTATAACAGTATTTTATTGCCAATTTTACTATTTCATTACCTTATTTACTGACAGCACCAAGAGAACTTCTTTTTAAATTAGAATTACCGTCAATTATCTCCATACCAAAGCAGAAAATTAATTGTTTTAAATATTCTAAAGGTGAATGCAATTTTTAAAATTAGTAAGTCATAGTAAAACATACATGATAAACTTTTAAAATGCAAAAATCATCCATATTAGAATACAAATTTCCATAAGATAAAAATAAAAACTTTTATTTAAAAAAAATAAAAACATATTAGTTTCATAAAGAATAACAAATAGAACATTCACAATAAAATAAAAAATAATTACCTACCGAACAGATCTGGTTAACAGTCGTAAAAGTAACATTGCCATATAACTGTTTTATAAGAGTGCAATGTTTATTGAGAGCTTTTTTCTTATCCATAAAAAGACGAAAAAGAAATACTGCTGTTTCATCAACAATTTTTTGTTCGCCACCTACAGCAAACATAATTATAATTTTTTAATAGTATACATATTTTTTAACAATTTTAAACAGAAAAACAATATAATATTTGGTTGGCAAATAAGTCCTTTCGGTTTTTCAAGGTGAAATAAAATTCAATGTATTATAGATGTAAAATTTATTTTAATCTACAATATATTGACCATTATTTTATATGACTTGTTCCCATCTTTCCACTAACTGCATAATGCCATGTTCATAGAATGTCTGCAGTTTATTGTTGAAAAACTGATCCAAGTGGTTTTTGGTTTCCTCTTCCTTTGGGAATTTCTTTCCATTCATGGAGTTCTTTCTGCACAGACCAGAATAAGTGGTAGTCAATTGGAGCTATGGTGAATAGGGAGGTCATTTTGTGTAGTTTATGTGGTCCTAAATTCCAGCTAAATTTCTTGTGGATAGCTAAAGTCGTATTGAAGTTAAAACATTTTTGTGATTTTCAAAAAGAAAATCATGAAAGGGACACAAACATTAAGCCTAGAAACATAGCCGAGCTTATGCAAATGGTTTTCTACGCTTGTGTGCAACACATTTAGGGCCATAGCAATCTCTCGCACTGATTGGGTGGGATTTTGATCAACAATGGCAACATTGCTCGTTTCAATTTCATGTGAGCAACCAGAATGTTGAGCATCATTGATGTCAAAATTTCCTGAATGAAATTTGGGAAACCAATTTTGACAGGTACGTTCGGTTAAGGCATCATCGCCATAAACACTGCAAATTTTTCTATGAGCTTCTGCAGCACGCTAACCTTTTTTTAAAATAATACAACAAAATATGGCGATAATGAATGATATTTTCTTCTAAATTCACAGTGCAATAACAAACACAATACTAGTTAATAAAGCTAGTTTGAACAAGAGTTAACAGATATAGTTGTTGACATATTATAAACAGGATAAACAATCCACCTTAGGGATTAATTCATCAGACAAGAAGTGTATCATAGTGACATAAAAGTAAACAGAAAAACCAAAAGGACTTATTTGCCAACCCAATGTTTATGATAATAGTATATGTAATAAATAAAAGAATCAGAATCCTCAAGTTGATAAGTGCAAAATTAAACATCACATTTAAAAATAATATATGTCAACTTATGAATAAAAGAAAAAGAAAGGAAACATTGAGAAAAGAACTATGTGCAATCGATAGGATTATCATAAAAATGTATAAAATTGATGATTATAAAGTGCCACTTCTGGTTAGTCGATTTTGTTGAAAAAGTTGCTGTAACATTCCAGGTATATCGCCTTAATACTCTTTTAGAAATACTTAAATGCAATTTACTTTACATGAAGAAATATGACCGAAGTAATTGTAAACCACCCATAATCCATGTAGAACTCTCGAGAACCAGTCCCCTAAATTACTTCATTACATTCAAGATAATTGGGGCCCTTCTACAAACTTTTAATTTGTTTTCATCAGTGAAGATTAAGTCGTAACAATAAAAATGAAAGAAGTTCCAAATTCTTCTAATGCATATTTGTGTGAAATGTATTTTATTAGCTTTTAAAAATGCATGTTTATAACTAGAGCTGAGAGAGGTTGAGCATTAGACCAGGTGCAAGTTGAGCCGCAGCTTGATGGGCGGATTTGATACCACTCACGGTGAGATTCTGTGAAACGTAGAATATAATGAAACAAAGATTGGGCCACAGAGAGGTCACAATGGATTAAGCTCAACCTCCGTGAGCAGCAGATGTTTGTGTCTGCCAGTTTTCCTCAAGTGACTCCGAACTGAGGTTCGCAGGTGAATTAAATGATGCAGGAAAAATCAATTGAAGTAATTTAATTGGAGAAATTAATTAGTCGCAATTAAGAAAAATTTTGTTCGACACTTCACATGATGACTATTAAGTAAAACTAGAATTGCAGATTTGAGAAAACAGTCGCCAAAGAAATTGGTCTGAAAACTGGTATGTTCATATATTAATCATTTATTCTTGCACAAATAAATGCCATTACTTTCTAAATATTTAAAAGGTGATTTGCAGGAAATGAATAAAAAATACAGCTAACTTTTTTTCACATCCGATAGAGCTGGACAGATTACAACCTTCAGCAGCTATGGATTTCTGAATGAATTCATGAAATTGCTTCTAGTTACTCTATAATAATTTCTATATTTACCACAAGAAAAAAGTCTTTTAGCACAAACTCTCCATGCGTCGTACATTTATTCAAATAACTACTTTTTAGATATTTTTTTTATGCAGTAATGAATTAATAATTCCGTCTTCTACATAATCGGAACTTAGTAATGAATCGATAAAAAAAATCAATAATCCCATCCATTTGAAAATGTTAAATTAACAACACAAAGGTCAGCAGTTAGGAAGAACTGTGACACAACTTTCGCTAATCCCCGCAGTATCACTCCTCACAGCCGATTTAATTCCAATTTCCTGTATTTAATCCTGCTTCTTTTGTGACACATCCGTTCAACAAACTACGACACAATTTGCTACCGGCCTTATCATGGTTAGCAGCAGTATGTGTAACACCATGGTTGACCCTGACTCCTTCATTCCCCACCACAGTGAACTGTTATTTGAAGTTTTTAGCTAAATATGAACATTTTTATATCATTTAAAAAATCCGATCTCAATCTTATTTATGTTCTTTATCAATTAAATTCGATTGCATCTCAAATTAATGCAATTTTTTTGTGACAGAAGCACCTTATATTTTATTATACTATATTATATTAGAGAGGGGTGGCCGAAGACAGGTCTGTTTGAAGGAAGATGTTAGAAGAGGCCAAGGTTCTGCAAGGACCATAACACCATCAGATGATGATGATGATGATGATATTATTATACTACTTATTATACTGATTATTTTTAATAAAATATTGTTTCCCATTAATAAAATGTCTACGTACCACTGATTGTTTTTGCCAGTTCTTGTAAGTGAGAAAGGTCCTTGGATACTTGTGGTGACAAACAGGAATGGCCTTCAATTATCTTTTTAAGATCAGGCCATGAAAATTTACTGAAAATTTTTAAAAGTATTAATATAAATACATTACAAAAGTAAAAATATAATAAATAGTTAATTAAAAATTTGATATTATATTTTTTCTTTAGACGTAATAAATATGAAATAGATAAACCATTCTTTAATGAGCCGATTATCAAAGGGCATAGAAAGGAGAACTAGATTCTGTAAGAAAAGTGTTACGATAAGAAAACAGTTATGTTTTAATTAATCTATTCATATGACTTAATACCAAGTAATAAATATGTTCCTAGCTCGCAAGTGTCATGTCTGGCTGACACGTGTGTCCAGATCAAATCAATAAAATTGTACATTGGATTGCCGAATATCATTCAGGAAATTTTGACATCAATGATGCTCAACATTCTGGTTGCTCACATGAAATTGAAACGAGCAATGTTGCCATTGTTGATCAAAATCCCACCCAATCAGTGCGAGAGATTGCTATGGCCCTAAATGTGTCTCACACAAGCATAGAAAACCATTTGCACAAGCTCGGCTATGTTTCCGGCTTAATGGTTGGGTCCCTCGCTCTCTAACCGAATTCAACCAGGCAACAAGCATTTCTGTTCGTGATTCACTATGGAAACGACCCATTTTTGAAAAGGTTGTTTACAGGAGATGAATAATGGATATTTTACGATAATATAGTACTTAGAAAATCTTGGGGGCCTAGAAGTGAGGCTCCAAGAAGAATGTCAAAACCCGGATTGCATCCAAAAAAGGTAATGCTTTCCATATGGTGAGATTTCAAGGATGTTATTTTATATAAGCTATTTCCATCTGTACAAACAATTGATTCAACTCTATACTGTTCACTATTAATGAAATTGGATCAATTAAAAATAAACACCCAGAACTGGCAAATCGGAAGAGTATTGTGTTCCACCAAGACAACGCTAGGACCCACACCTCATTGATCACTCGCAATAAATTTTTGGCCTAGGATGGGACCTTTTGCACCACCGTCTCTATTCACCAGACCTAGCTCAAAGTGACTACCATTTATTCCGGTCTCTACAGATCCACTTGTTTTCAATTTTTTAACAATAAACTCCAGACACTCTATGAAGATGGCATTATGCAGTCAGTGGAAAGATGGGAAAGTCATATTAAATAATGGTCAATATATTGTAGATCAAAACTTAAACTTTTATTATGATATTTACAACTGTATTAGTATAAATACATCAAGTAAATTTGATAACAGAAAATAAAAACATGAAATGACTTGTTGAGAAACTACCCACTGGTAGCACTCTATATTGTAGATCAAAATAAATTTTATGTCCGCTTAGTTGCCAACCAAATAGAATTCTGAAAAAAGTCAAGCTTCTCCGAAAATGAGCAGAAGTGGCCGATTTTGGCAAGGACCCGACCTCAATGACAAAAAGACTTGTTTAAGCCAGGTTTAACCAGTTTAGAAAGCAATCGCTCTTTATACATTACATTCCCACACTATTCGAAACAAAACTTGATACAAAAATTCTTTTAACTTTTGATTCATAAATATTATAATCTCTCACCTTTGAATGGTAAATTCAAATGAAATCATTAATATTTAATCTAAAAAAAAATAATTAAAGGTGATAATCCCAAGAGAAAATCAAGAATAAATGTAAATAGCAATAAAAAACCAGGGATGACAATGATTTCTCATATTCAGGTTGGAGCCTGGAAATGTAACATATGCCTCCTTAAGAGCCTCTACAGCAATCACTAATAATACATGTAAGTGAAAACTGAGTATAACTACACAAGATGACCAGAAACATTCATTTTTTTTTAAATTATTATTAATGAGCTTACTTTTCATAACAATAAAAAAAATCCAATATCCAATAATGAATTTTCATGATGAAGACCTTTTCTTGTGACAATTACTCTATTGTCTCATGAGAACAATACCACTGCATATATCTAAACTATTCAATTTGTAATGTATGATTTAACTTACAAGCAAAACAAAATACATACATAAGACTTAAACTTGATAAGAGGATAGAGAAGCGAGGTGAAAAATATGAGAGCCAACTAAACTACTATACGAGGATAAAAAATTTCTTTATATATTTCTCTTTGTAAGTATAAGAGGATAAACATTAAAAGAAATAAAAGGGTACAAAGGAATATTTATGAGAAGCAGATGGATAAGATTTAGGAAGGCTGAGTTGAGCAGGAACATAGCTCGGATGGAGAGGTCTGAAATCCCGATAAGAGTACTTGAGGAGCCGTTACACTATAAGAGGACAGCTGGCAGACCGAAATTGAGATGGGCAGATGGTGTGACAGGTGACGCTAGAGACCTGTTGGTCAGAAACTGGAAAGTGGCTGCACAGAATACAGAAATTTAGTGGAAGCTCATTGAGGAAGCCAGGATCCACTGAGGGTTGTAGAGCCATTAAGATATACAGATGAATGAGATAATATAGCAGTTGTCTAAAGATACTAGGGTTGACAGGTTAATCATTCCTTGTTTATAAATGTTTACTAAACCAAATTGTTCTCAGAACTACTAAAATACACTAAAGCTTCGTATCTGTTAAACTAGAATTTCAAATTCAAAATGACTTAATTAATATTTCCTTATCAGTAAGAAATGGGAATATCTAAAATAATTCATTTACTTATGTCTTTCCAAAGGTTTGACAGAGGTATTGTCAATAAGATCCTTTCTTGGCTCGAGTCTTGTAAAAGATCTTAAATATCTCGTTAATCTTGGAAGTGGTTTAGTTTCTATTCCAGAATACTGCTTGCAGTCAAATGCTGTCATTAAGCCATCCATTTTAAGTTGTTTGAATAAAACTGACTAGTTATACATATCCAAACTGCTAAGACTATATATATATTTTTTAAATAAGTACATAAAGACTATGGAATAACAAATAAAATTGCTCCATTGCACCAAATGTTGAACCAGGTTAAATTATATAAAGAACCTTCCTGCAGGCTTCCAACAGTTTTAATTCGATTTAAATCATGACAACAAATCTATAATTTAACACAATAATATGAAAGACATATAATCCATTTCTTTATTTACGAAAATTTCTTAAGTTTTACCACTTCATTATTATTTTTTTAATGTAAAGCAGCAATCCAAGAGCTAAAAATATAAATTAAATGCGTCTATTACGATGAATCGATTTATAAAATCATAGCTTAGCCCTGCTGGGCCCACACTACAGGCAAACTCGGTTTGGCAAAATTTCTGGCAAACTTGCGGCAAAATAAGGAACTAATCGAAGCTCGTTAACCATGGAAAATGTGCTCAGTAGGGCGGAGTCAGTCCAAGCAAACAATATGGACCTTCTAGAATTGCTGTGGGGTTGATTGCTACTTTTGGTTATGTCTTCTATAAAAAAAAAGCAAGTAGAAGAAAATAAGTGGAGAAAACAAAGAAGATGACAGATGTCGAAAATTCATGAGAATCATACAAGGTAAGCATAAAATTGATCTTAGTTTTCCTTATTAATATCAGTTGTTTATTTCTTTGCTATGACATTTCTCTATAAATACATTTTACCTTGTTTTTCAAAATATATTTCTGTAAAGCTAATTAACGCGATTTTATGTAATTTTTCACACACAATTGCTAGGATTGTCAATTTCCTTCCGTTAAACATAGTCAATTATTAATTCTCTAACCAGTGAAAATTCTTGATATATCCTCCGTTTACTGCATTCAATTCATGCACTATGTGCATATTTGATATAGGTTAACTTTCAAGATTTTTTTTTTTGAATTTTGACTTTATTTACCTATACAAAAACACTGTATGGGCATGGAAATGAAACAAACCCTTTTATACATCAATTATACTTACAAGAAGCACACAATTTTCTGATTTTATAAAGAAAAAGATATTCAAAGTTCTTGATTACTTAAGAAATAATGAATTTTCACTTAATTACTTTGCAATGAGCTGCCAATATTTTTTGAATTATTTGATTCAAGGAATGCATTTAAAAATTTTTTTCTTCATTTATTTATGAGGTTCTTTGATTTACTGTATAGACATTTTTTACAATTTAGTGAATGGTTAATTCCTCTTTTACTAAATTTGCAAGTGTTACTTTATTATTTTTCAATTCAAACAATCAATTAAGTCTGTAGTAAGTTAATTTAGTTCTATTTTCTTTTCTAACGTCCAACTTAAGTACATCATCTCAAAGGAAACAATGGACAAGGGGTGTTAATTATTTAGCATTTAACTGGTTATTTATATTTAGTTAATTGGAAGTTCATTGTTAGTTTTCGATATCCCTCCTAGTCTATGATTAAGTTATTTTTTTTATACTTTTTCATATAGCAAAACAATGTACATAGGGTAATGACTATAAAGAGAAAATGCCCTATGATGCCTTAGCCATTCTGTCTTGTTTCCTTAACCCTCCACATTATCTGTTTACCCGTAACAAATTATTTATTTTCTTCTGTTATGAATTTGATTCCATTGTTTCCTATTTCAATTAAGGATTAGTTTTGTTTTTTCCTCGACTTTCATTATTAATGTAAATGTTACATAGCTTTTATTTGTTCTCTGTAAAATTGAGTCTTAAAGTGTGCCAGACATAGACCCTCCTCTAAAAATGAAAATCTCAACTAAATGTGTTATAAGCATCGCAAAAAATAGAAGGGAAAAAATTATAACGAAATTAAAAAATCTGATTTTTTAGTTGGATGATACCAGGCCTAAGATTGGTAATTTTTTTTTTTTTTCAGCGTTCCCCTACTGTTGAGTGTGAACATGAAGGACAGGCTGAAGTACTCGATGATTCATCTTTATTGAACAACGGTATGTATTGCAGCCTAAGACAAAAAATAAATCAAACAAAGGCGAAGAGAAAATTATGGCCCCGTTCAATAAACTCGTCCAAATAATAGAAAAACAGTGCGGAAATACAAATAAACCCAAAACAATTGCACAGAATTATGGGTCCATGTTAGGAGAAGGGTTGGACCAATTACTTCAACCAGAACAAAGTTTGTGCATATGTGAAATGGAACAAGGCTTGGGGAAGATGTGTGCGGACTTTGTGGAATAAAAATATTTGTAATATTGAAACCAGCACTAGTTTAAACAAAATGGCAGCCTGTGCCCGTGGTATTGCGAATGCACCATAAAGAGTGATTTTCCAGCAACATGCTGGGCCATTTAAAAAATATAAAACAGACACTTTTTCTGTAAATACTAGTAAGGTTGTACCTCCAAAAAGACATATTATTAATAAAGCCTTTTTAAAGGTGTTTGAAGAAGATGGAGAATAATCCAGTAAATTATTAGAATACTCATTAGTTATTCAGATTTTTCTGATGCATTTAAAAATGCTTTATTTGTAATGTTAAATTCCTTTATTCATGATGTATAAACAAAAACATATCTTGTATTCATTAATTTGTATGTTGTATTAATTCATTTATATTTTGTATTGTATATTTGAACCTAAAAATATTTATTTGTTCATTAATAGAATTTCTATTTTGTATAATAATAACAAAGTTAAGATATAAAGATTAATTTTCTAGCAACATTATAATTATTAAATTTAGTTTATGTATATGATTTATTATATTTTGCAAATATATGGGTTGTATGTATTATAAATAACATCTTCCATCATTTCCCTTCAAACATATATATTACAACTTGTGTATAAATAACCAATAAATGATAGGTATATGTCAAATTTCTAAAATTAAAAATGCGAATAACAAAACAAAGGCAGTCTCACTATGTGGTTAAAATTTCCACACTTAGACTTAATTGTTATTTTAATCAGACAATGTTTTATACAAATATAACTTTTTTAGGCTTAGGATGGTTGATTATTTATTGAAGTAGGCATCAAAATTGGCACTGTATGATGTTAGTCTCTAACCATGATACAGTCATTTAATTACAAATATAGTATTGTATTATGGTGTTTCAATATGTGCTTAAAATGTTATTAATGCAACTTTATTAGAGTCTAGGTTAGTAATTTTGTGAGTTGTTCGGTTTTATTTGAACTGAAGATATAGAAAAAAAAAGAGATATAGCTTAACACTAATGTCTGTGAAATGTAAAATTAGTAGACAGCCTGACACAAATATGGACACTGAAAAAGAAACTAATCATTTAAAAAAAATAATGAATACTTGTTTTCAACTCTCTAAATGTAGAACAAGCATAGGTTAAAAAATAAATAAATTTTGAACTTTTTTTTTTATATTGACTGTAAATAATATTTGAAAATGGATATTATTTTATTTTAATGTAATGCGAAGTATTGGGATCATTAAAAATTTCAACTCTGAGTTTTCAATTGAAAAACATGTTGTAGGGTTCTGTAAGCACTTCCCTGTATAAAAAAAACTTTTTGCGTAATGGTTTTTTTGTGTAAATGCAGAATCAAGCTAAAAATTGAAAAGTTAAGTGATTATACTTATTTATTAAGGTTGATAGGAGTATGGCAGCGATGTAATTGCAAATTGTTGGCTGAATTAATTTTACCAAAAGTGGAACTTGACATAATTGGTTTTATAGAGTATTTCAATTGAACTATAAAACGGAAATAAATAATGAAGAGTAGTATTAGATGAAGAAGAAACATGAAATGGAATAATAAGATCTAAATAATAAAATGTAATTAGATGAATTAACAAAAGCTTAGTTTATGATAATAACAGGTAATGAATAAGTACGAAAGGTTATGATATATATGCCTTACACACAAAAAGATGATAAGTACAAAATGGCAAATATATGGAAATATAATAAATCAAATAAATATATATAAGTAATGAAAAATGGCAATAATAAGTAATGGATTAAAAGTTTTGATATTTAAAATATATTATGTAAAAATGTTAAAAGATATAATATGTTATATTTCATATCTTATTTGATTTTATTTATATGAATCCTTCTGCTAACAAACTTCCATAATTCATTTAATGGTAAATAATATCTTCATTTAATTTTTGTAGTTTATAATGATTTGTTTGTTATTACTGAAAGACAGAAAGTTAGTTGCACAGAAAATTTTGATTTTGAAAAGATTTTGATTAAACTCGTGTATCGTTGTATAATTAAGTGGTCTTTAATATCATTGAGGTCTTATCCCCATTAATGTCACTTTACATAGCTTAAATGCCGAAATGTTCAACATATCTTCCTCTAAAGTACATTTAATTTGATTAATCGTAAATAATTAACCATCTCTCATTATTAATAATTACCAAAAAAATGCTAAATATAACTTTTGAAAGAATTTGATAATTGAAAAATGAAGAAAAAAGGGAAAATGTGTATTGAGGATGAAAATGAATTTCCGGAAATACTTGTCAGAAGTTATATCGTTGGAAAGCGGATAATTTTAGAAAAAAACAATATGAAATATAGAAAGTAATGGAGAGAAATTATTATAAATAATAATTTGTGTAAACTAATATTATTTTACGGAAATCACATTTTTTCAAGGAAATTAAATAAATGAAATTTACTAACTAAATTTAAATTGTTTTTAAGTTTGAAAAAGTATTTAAAATTCACCTAATCAACGCAATGTTATTGTTAAAAAACTATTTCATAGTACTAATGTGAAAGAAGTGAAATATAAAAATATTAAATGGATGTATAAAGCCTATGTTTATAACCTTAAATACATTTACTGTAGTTTAATAATTCTAAATCTGATATTATATTTAAATAATTAGGTATCAACGTCCGTTGATCGTCGTATAACATTTAAAAAAATTAAATTAGTGAGTAATTTGATGAATTTTCCCTTTGTTAAATTAGTGTAACAACTTTTGAGCTATCTATGACAGGCTATGAAAATCTCGTAATTTCTTTGTAGTAAACTTTACAATGGAAAGTAACAGTTTAATAACTAATAGGCGTAGAATCCATAATAATTTATAGGTTGAATATAGAGATATGCTTGAAAATCTCTCTAGACATATGTATATTGCTCAGAGACCGGAGTTATATGGTTTACGAAAAAAGATGGGGTAGGGAGGTTTTTATTATCTACCGTTGATATAATTAATAGGGTTTCTGTTATTTTAGGGATGATAATGATTAGTTAGCTGTAGACCTTTAAGCTATAGATCCGTTAAAAGTGCACTTAAAAATTTTTATAATTGCTCAACATTTCCAGAAAATAATTTCTATTCAAAGTAGAAAGGTAAGTGAAAGTTGTATGTTGTGCGCACTAATTTTGTTTTATTCCGGATATTGCAAAAAAAAAGCGGAAAATGGAAGTTTCTGTGTCAGCCAATCACAGTGGCTATTCAATGCATCACTAGCGCAGCGCAACGGCCATAATGCAAAACTTGCTTGGATTTTGCCTAAGTTTTCCATTTCGGATGGATATGCAACAAACCGGGGTAAACAGCCCATTACCTTCCACCAGCTGGTCAAAATATCCCCACCACCTTCTCCCACTCTCGCCCTTTCCTTTGTTCTCTACGACAGTGGCGCTAGCAAACTCGGGCAAATTCCCATAAAACTGAGGCAAAATGCGGGAATTTGCCTCGATTTGCCTGTAGTGTGGGCCCAGGGCGTTTCAATTTGAACCATTAATTAACCTTCCACCTGTTGAGAAGTTATTTGAATTAGTTCTTTAAAATTAATATTTATCGATTTATATTAAAATACTCTTAAACTTTGTCATTTTGAATTAATCATTTATTTTTCATCTTATCTTTAAAATATGAGCGATTCTGAAGAGATATCTTTAAGCCAAAAATCATGGATTAAATCAATGGATGCTATAGAAAAAGTAATTTACATGAATTATCTATAAAATATTTATTATGATTCAAGCATTTTATGTGATTTTTATTACAGGATGGATTTAGAGAAGGTTTCGAAGCTGGAAGAGAAAAAAATTTCCAAACTGGGTTTGACTTGGGTTATAAACTTGGATTTCAGCTTTGTCATGACATGGCCTTACAAGCTACTAAAAAGCAGTGAGTATTAAAGTATTAGTTCATTTATTTTTTTTTATCTGACAAACTTCTGATTTATTCCTTAGATCCATGGTAGCACTTCTGATGTTCCTAGCTCATATTTTTAAAGTAATGTTATTTGGACAATTAATTATCAGCAGTTTTAGTATGAATAAAAAGACATCTTGTTCAATGCAATGTATATTATTTAGGTGTTCACATTTTAGATATTGGCATATTTTCTACTGGACGTTTTCAGTTAATATCATGGCATTAATTAGCTTTAATTACACTACTGATTTTGACTTCTGCTCTCTCTAAAGGGATAAACAAACCCCAATGGATCCTTTTCAGTGGAGGTCCGGCCTTACCAGACGGTTCAGTTACTTCTGCCTATTTCGGAAACCACTTGACAAGGCAGAGTGACATACAGTAGTAGTGACAAAAAAGAATTTTTAAATTAATTTAACTACTATATTTAATCGATATATGATTAAATTTTTACAAAACCCCATTTAATCTCACAACCTTTCATTTTATACTTAAAACCTTTTTATATTAAAATATTATTTAACATTCCGGCTCCAAGAGCCATTTTCTAAGATTTTTTTTTCCTCTTTCAAAAACAAAACATTAGTCACAATATAACATTAATCAAAAATAAAATAGAACATTATTTCTAAAAAAAAAAATTAAAAATTATATTTGTATGTAGAATAGTATTCTATGGTAATAATTGTTTAATTAATTATAAAATGTTTTGTTTTATTTCTTTTTACCCCCAAATCTCCACAAAAAGTATTTTCTTCTCATTATATCTGAACATCATTCATCCTTAATTTCTTTCCTTTTCAATCATCTTCATATTATCTTTACTAAGGTGTAACTAACTAATATAGAGCTTCTTGATCATTCTTCTTCTACAATTAAAACCTCAATCTTTGACTTTTCCAAAGCCTTTGATTTCATTTACGGATTATTTATGGATTATATTTGCATTTATAATTATTATAAAGACTATTTATAGGATTATAAAGACATGACACACTGATTTGGCCATTACATGAGGTGTGTATAGTTTGTTATAAAGGGTCTCAAAATTTGATTAATATTATTTTTCATTCATTATTCCCCTGTCAGTGTGCGGAGCTATTTATTAAATTTAGAATTTAAAATTATATACTCAATACTAAGACTCATCCCAGCCTACCAATAATTTATTTGTTTTCCGTTGTTATGTTTATTCATGATTTTATTAATTTAAAATTTTTTTTTAGGATAAATGAAAAAGCAGTCGCTGCATATAAACCACCTGCTGATAACTGTGTTATTTGTTCAATGAATAATGAAGATAAAATGATGCAGCTACCTCTGGAAGACATAGTAGAGAAACAAAGACTTTCATTTGTTCACTCTTGATCAATACTTCTTCACAAAACTTATAAATGGAGAAGATAATTATTTTTACATAAGATCTGTTGCATAGTTAAGACCACAATTAAAGCCATGACATTATAAATGACAGAAGTTTGCTACTTCACATTTATAGATGTCCGGTTGTTCAATATGAATGATTGTATCTGTTTCTCCATTTTTTTTTTATTTTTTTGTAAAGTTTCAATCTCAAAGTACTCATAATACAAAATTAAGTTACGAAATTTCTTGGTACTGGTACTGGTAGTGGTGAAGAGTAGGGAGTTGATCACCAAATTAAAGTATACAATCATACATTGGTCATCTTCAGTACACACATTTCCTAGGAAGTGGCCATTGTACAGAAGCTGGTCGTGTATATTTACTGGTACTTAGTATCAAGTAAAATCTACTCCTGTCCAGATTTGAAACTGTAGGAGCACAGTTAACTACACAAACGTTACTGCAGCTGCTCTTCCCCCATGGAACGGCCCTCCCGAGTCAGTTGTGTCAGAAGGTACAGAGGATAGAACAGGAGCCTGCTCCTTTTAAACAAGATGAAGTGAATTCAGGGTTTCCACTTTGGTGAAAAATTTCCCATTTTAGAGAAGATGGAAGATAAAAACAATTTTTATCAATGAAAGTCTAATCTAAGTCACAGTTTAATCTATTTTTTAAATAATATAAATAAAACAGTACTAATACAATTATTAACAGATAATGTTACATGTCGCTCCATTTCTCTGACTCCTTAATTTGTGACAAGTCTTCTGGTCTATTACCCATTTTTCACAACCGACAGAAAGTACTGTGCTCACTAATTGAGGATAACCGTCAGGGGAATAGAGCGATATCTTCTCGGAATAACATGACGGGATAAAAAAGCAAATAAATGGATCAGAGCTAAGACGGACCTTCCAGATGGAACATGTCATTAGAAGGAATTATATAACATGGGCCAGAGAGTTTATAAACTTATATACATTTTTAAACATGAAGAATATTTATAATAGTGGAAATATAGTAGACTGTAAATCAATAGAGGTTAGTTGGGTGCAGTAAAAGGCACACAAAAAAAATGTTTAAATATAGTGATGAGCTGTTGAAAATGTCAGCTGCAATAGGAGAGAAGAGGTAAAACGTGTTACTGGTTTAATGTACTCAGCTGTAACAATTAAGCTTACAAGATTTGTAGAACAATGAATATTTTACAGTAGAAATTTTAAGACTACATATTTTTTGTCTCTATTGACAAAACAAAAAAAAAAAATGTATAAATGTTAACAGACAATAGTCATGCTGGAACCATAATTATTTTGTTTATTTCAATGATTGTGTGTTTTAAAGACATAACAAACTGTAAATTTTAATTTTTGTCCGTTTTGTAAAATTATGTTTACAATTGTTATTTACATTAGTTCTGTACAATTCATCATAAAATACATACCTTTCATTGCATTGAACTATATTCATCCATTCTTGTATATTTCATATAAGTCAAGAACTTTCTAGTTCGTATAATGAAATAATATCAAACCTACTTTGTGGGTATTATTTTTATGTACATTTTATTAAACTATGTGATTATAAGATTCATGAATAACTGGTATTTTATTTTTATTTTTTTAAGTAAAATATTATTTTTGTATATATTTTATAAAATTATTTAAATATAAGATTGATATCAATACATAATTGATTACAATAAGATTGTAACATCATTCACAGCATGAGATCAACCCCCTTTTTTATATTTAACATATTTGCTTATATTTATACTAATACCAATTTCCCCATCAGGAATACTTAATAAATAGCTCCCCACAAAATATTATAACCAATTATAATATTTTATACTAGAGTAGGGATCCTGTTCATATGACATATACCAGGCCACTCCCTACTTCATTATTTTACAATCTCACATAAAACATAAGATTAGTTTATTACAAAAAAATCACTAAGTACATTTTCACGGAGCTAAAAGTTTAAGTAATACCAATCCTATTATTTGTCAAAAACATTTTGATATTGAAGAAAGTAATATGATATAATTTTATAAAATGTTACTTGATGACTTTTTGAAATAAACCAATAGACAAATTTATATAAATACAGGATTTAAATTGTCAAATGGAATAATCTAATTTAATTTGCAATGTGTCAAATACATTAAAGATACAAGACAAATTACAGCATTAATTAAAATCATTTATTAACAATAATATTTACAACACTTAATTACAAAAATTGATCACAGAGTGCTGGCATATTTCTTTACAATGCTTTTATAGTAGTCGAAAATGTGTTGAACAGCTGATTTACAAATCAAAACTGCTTTTTCATAAACTTCCAAGCTGCATTCTCCTACAACATGAGCTGCTACAATGTTATACTTCACATTTTCGAACCCAAGAGTAATAACGATTTTCGCTTTCTGAAATTGGAGAAAAAATTATATAAGCAAACTAAATTAAATGTACATTTTTATATTTAAATTTATTTATTATAAATTATTTGGTCTGTTTAAGTGATATTGGCTCAAGAGTGTAATGTAATAATGAAATGTCTGATGGCAACTAACACGTTATCTTCTTACCCTTTCTTTTCACTTTTCAAAAAGGAGAGCTGTTGGTGATATCAAGTTTTGAGGATTATTTTGGTCTAATCTGTGACTTCGATGCCAAATTAGAGAAAAGCCATTGACTATATATGTGATATCAAATCAGCCATCATGTAGAAACAAAATGGCAGATTGAATGACTTGGAGTGACAGTGATGTCGAATCGGAAAATAACTGGCCATATAGTTTTAAAGAAAATTCGTGGACAATAGACGGGTGGATTTTTGTTTTGTATTATAATTTCGGATTCTATCTGTCTTAAAACGTAAAAGTTGAAATTAAAAAAAAAAAAATTATAAGAAAATAAACATGGAATAGAAAGGAGCCATTATCAGTAGAAGTCAAAGACTACAGAGATAGAATGTCGTGTTGCAAACATATATAGTTATGTTATGTGTACAAACTAAACATGATAAAAATTACGCAAGCAGGGAGTAAGATGAGTTCAGAAATGACTTGAATGAAAAGGAAAGGTTTATCTAAGGAGAATACCTCAGAGTTAGCACTGAGCAATTAATATGGGAACGGGAATGTCTCCAGTATGAATTTAATATTTTTACTGAAAAGAGTATTATGAAATATTTAAAAAAATAAAAAAAATTACTTCAGTCACATTCTTGTCAGGATCAATGATGAAATTATTGCCTCCATCCACAGCACAGGTAACCGCAGCAACAAGGCAGCTCATTTCCAGTCCCGAGTTTATCACTGCTAGGCAAGCAGCGTTAATAGCAGCGGCTAACATCTGGTAAATTAAGTTTCAAGTATAACAAAATTCTATTAACAAAGTTAATAAATGATGTGGCTTCAGTTAAGGATACTACTGAATAACATTAATACTCTAATAAACTGTTGGACTCAATTGCACCAACAATAAAAAAATTATTTCCGCAACAGGTAAGGTGACCAGGATTTAATGTTGGTAAAGCGGGACACCATTGATAGGGGAGGTTCTTAATTAAAAAATTGGTTCATTAAGTCCGAACAATATTTCAAATTTGTTGATACAATAATTAATTTTACATAATGATATGATCCGGATGTTAATCGGGTGACGTAGTATGTAGCTACAATAAGGTTGAGAATTTAGTTCTAAAGGCACATTAGGTCTTTTATAAAATGCTAACAACTTATTAAAGGTGACAACACTTTGGTTATCAAAGTAGTAAATGAAGTTAATTTGTTGTGATGACCAAGATTTAACCTTTTCCTAATAAACACATTTTTTTAATAACGATACCTTATTAAAAAAAACGAATTCTAACAACTGATCAACAATGCGAACTTTATAATCAGTTTCTAAACAATTATTCGTTATTATTAAAGTTTAACATTATAAAATCAACAAAAATAATAAAAAAAATTCATATCTTGGTCAAAATAGCTACATGGTCACCTAAAATTGTATATTTTCTTCCGTGCCATTCCCTAGCTTGTCATGCATGCTTTCCGAAAATTGAGACTTTTAAAAAACGGTGTGGGACGCTGGACAAATTGTTAAAAATCGGACTGTCCCAGCAAAAGTCTGGTCACCTAGGCCATAGGCCTAATAAAAAGACTTCTTTCTTTCAATTAAAAAAGTATTTTCTTGTTCACTAATTTTTTTTGCAAACTAAGTTTGGATAATTATTATTATAGGTTAAAAACACTATTACATTAAATCTAAGTAAAAGCTACCTGATACCTTTAAAACAATAATTAATTAATTAATTTGAAGGGAAAAATATGGTAGAGTAATTACTCAATACTTTCAATTTCTTATTGATTTTTGTTTGAAGCACTTAACTTAAAACTACTAGATTTTTTCTCTCACTAAAATCAGATCGTCATTTTTAAAGCAGAATGTTTATCCTAATGCAACAACACAGTGCTTATTCTATACATTGAAATATAATAATTCCATTTTGTTAAGTGATGAAGAATTAATTTATTAAAAGTGTGCTAAAATCAATAGATTTAATACTCACAGATCCTGAATCTTGTAATTCTTGAATCACAATGGAGATTTCATGACGACAGAATGGTTTGGCAAATATTAATGCTTCACATGAGCTCTGAATAATACACTCTATCGTCTTATCATATACTCCTACAGAAAAAAGAAAGTAATATATAGACAACAAATCTAAATATTAACAAAAACATTAATTAAACATAAGCTATAGAGAAAGAAAATAGAAATATATAGCTACCTTGCCTCCCTGATTTAGATCTGTAGGTCACAAAAACTGGAATGGCATCGTTTTGAACTTTTTGATGTTTAACTTCTAAAGGTCCGTATAAAGCAGCTAATACCACAGTATTACCTGTAAACAATACTTTTTACTATAAATAATAAAAGAAAAGCAGGAATAAATGTAATTCGATAATGATAAAGTTAGTTACAGTTTAATAAAAAAGTATTGCAATCTATATTTGTATACAAAACAGCTTATTTATATCAAAAGTATTTTTATTTAATTATTCTAGATGTCCCATAGTTGATAATAACAACACATAATTCAGCAGAACCCACACCCAACTTCTTTTTAGGGTCTAATATTACACAATTTTTAACTACTCAGAAACATGACTCTATCATGCACAATTACTTGTTAATTTAAGCCTACACCAAAATGGCAACACTGCTACAGTATTCTCATAGTCAGCCACATTTTCCAACAGAGTCCATATTACATATCAATTCTAACTAAACTAGGACTCATACCAAAATTATCAGTTGTTTTGAATAATGATGATGTTAAAGTCAGTGATAATTTTTTTAAAAGCTAATGATTAACTAAACAAAATTTTAATTTGAACTCTTTTTTTTCAATAATAATTTATAATTGAAATAAAGATTAGATAGGCATTGAACACATTGGGGTTTTACTCCTCTAAGCCATAAATAACAACAACTTCTCACTTTATCTTCATTTTGCTTGCAGTTTACTGTATTACTGTACCCGTTAGGGCCTGCAGCAGACTCAGACAACCTTCTTAACTGATCATATTCCTCTGCGATTCTTCTTCTCGTTCACCAAGCTGCTTTCTCTGGCTCTTCCAAGACAAGTATCTAGTATAATTTGAGCCATACAAAGTAGTTACAGTTCAAGAGGGCAAGCCTCAACAAGCCATCTTGCCCTACTTACGTCACCCATTCTGCATACATATTCAATCCACTTGACCAGTGTTTCTTCAAGGACATTTCCAACAGACCATCTACCCAAGCTCTTGGATTTCATTGCTAACCTCTACACAAATAATTTCTTCAAAAATTCTACTGTGTTACATGCTAAGATAATTTTCAGTCTCACAACCATATCACAGAAGTGGATGAGATTAGAGTTTAGCATCCTTGCTGATTTTCTGGTCAAGAAGGATGGTTGATATTTGGTATAATACACCATTATCCTTCATTACACAATTCACTACCTCTTAATCGATCATTCCGAAGTTGTAATCATAGACCCTAAATAATCAAAGCTATCTACAGCTCTAAACAGCAGGTCGTTATGTGTAATTTGCAAATTATCTTCATTCTTTTAAATATGCATAATCCTGTTCTCTGATAAGTTAATAATAAAGTCTCTCTTCTTAAAAGCTTCATTCCATTTCATCACAAAATTACAACTGATGGGTAAATTGGCAATCAGTTCTCTTCATCCATATAGATGAAACCGAACCAGGACAGATTCCGGATGAAAGTTGTTCGAGTGTTGCTTTACAACTTCAGGCTTAATATGGTATTTAAGCAAATCAACGCCAACCGTATCATAAAAAATGCCTGGATTAACAAACAAACTATGAGGTAGTTCAAAGAAAAATATGAAGGTAAGACTGCCACCATGATGAAGGCATTTGGCCGAAACATTGGCAGATATTCAAAATAAGTTTGGTGAATAAGTGTCACATCTAGTTGACTAATTAGTAATATGATGATATCAATCATTCCGAATATAAATTCTGAAAGTGACAATATAGACAACTATATGGGTCGGCTCCCTTAGCTCACTCCAGAACTAATCAGACACCCAGCAAGTCATTCTATTTAGTTGAAGATGAGTCCTTATCAAGAGATGGATCACCTCCATATATTTTAGGGGTACTATTTTACAAGTGTACATCCAATTTAATGAGTGGGCCGAGGTCTCATGATCGCACTGTTAATGAAATTCTGAGAATACCCTAGTATAATATGTTCGATGAGTTTAACCTACCTTTATTCAGATTGCAATTTATGGCTTTCACTAAAATCCACTGATTTTTAGTTTATATTGAGGCTTTAATTTGTTTTTATTAATTATTGCAATCAAATTCTACATGCTCAAAGAGGATAATTAAAAACCCCGAGTCATTACCAAATGGTTAGGTCACCTCTGTCTACAAACTGAAACTGTCAGCTATTCAGAATATCATTTAGTGTGATCATGAGATTTAGTGCCACCCAACAAAGTAGTTCAGTACTTGCAAAGTAATATCATCGGATAAACTCAGCTACTTTTGTAATACTAAACAGTGTGATCAATCTAACTACTAACCACAAGTGACAGTTGCAAACTCCTACCAAAAGGGGTAAATAATAGTTGTTCATGAGTTATCACTCAGATAACTAATCTTGACATTTCAGAATCAGAATATGGATCAGACAAATTAAATAGTAACCATGTTATAAGGATCAACATAATTTAATATGTCAAAAATATAAACAATTTACTGAAAATAAATACATAAGTATTCTCAGGAACTAAGCAATAGCTTTCACAGTAATAATTACCTTGAGAAAGCATAGCCGAACCATCTGCTTTGCTTAAAACATTTAATTCACACTTCATGGTTCTAGCACCTAAATCAGAATTCTCTTCCATTTTCAAGTTTTAAAAAAGTCAGAAATATTCCTAGAAAGAGAAAAGTCTAATTCACATAAGTAGAATGTTCTAGTATTTTTCTAGACTTCCCAGTGAACCAAAATTTAAATAAGAAACAAAATGTCAAGTTTTTAATATTAACTGAGATTATTGAATTCCCAAAAAATCATCAGTTCACATGCTTTAGTGTTGTTGAAACTATCTACTAGAAAGGTTATGATGCTTGTAACAAAGATCTACATCATGTCACAAGAAGATTTCTGGAAAACAACAAGATATATTTCTATTCTTCACTGAAAATTCTGCAATGTTTAACTTGTATAGTATCTAAAATAAAGTTATAATCACAGCCAAATCTCATAAGAACTATCGCTTGAAAGAAAACTGTTGAGAAAAAAATGTTTAATTGACATTTTAAAGTTCTTATTCACTGGTTTTTCCAAATGCTAAAAACAAGTATCAATTTGTTTTTATTCCTTCGTGGAATATTTAATAGACATAGTTCCGAAAATGTTCATGTATATAATATTAACAATGCCAGTGTTATTCTTATTTTCGGATCGAATAAGGAAAATAAACCAAGGTTTGAGCATCTAATTTTACTGTAGATACCCGTACAATTTAAAAATAAAAAAATATAACTGGCATATAACTGTAAGTATGGTATATAGTAAGAACTAGCCAACTTATAGATGAAGCCGGATATAGTGAAATATATCTGGATAGCAAGGTTGAGATGGTCGGACCACGTTATATGGATGGAGGAGACCTCAACCCCAAAGACGCTGCTCAGCACGGAGCCGGGTGGAAAAAGAAAAGTGAGCAGACCGAAGCTGAGATGAAAAGATGGAGTAAGTGTTGATACTAGAGTCGTTAGCATCAGGAACTGGTGGACGGGTGCACAGAATAGGAAAACGTTGAGAAATATTCTTGAGGCAGCCAAGATCCAGTAATGGACTATCGAGCTCAGGATGATGAAGCTATAGTATGAATAGAATATTAAAACAATTTCTACCGACCCTACTAGCAAAGTGGATTTAAATATTTTTGTAAGGAAAAAAAAATTAATATTTTCATCTCACACCTTGAAAAATAAGGAAGTACGAATTGTATAGCAATTGAAAAACAAAAATTTTCACCTAGGAGACCCTTCTGTATTTCTTTCAATATCACAACCATTGTGATACCTTCAAAATGACTCCACCTATCCACAGAAAACGTAGCATGGATTTAGGATCCTAGAAACCTCACGAAATAACACAAACCTCCATAACCAAATTAGATCTCATAATATAAAATCAAAACTTTTGAAAAGTTTTTCTTTATTAATTCCTAACATAAGCGTAAAGTTTTCCTCTTCCTCTCGCTCTGTAATAAAACATAATTACAGTATAAAAATATAATATAACTGATAATATTAATATACGAAAGAAGTCGCACCGGCTCTACCACCTACTGACGTCGCCGCAGCTCTCGCTGAGACTCAAGCTCCAAATTTATAAAGCTGTTATCAGACCAACACTGCTCCACGGGGCCCCTCTCCTGCGATACCTATATAAATCCACGCTTACGAGTCTACAGGGCTTCCAGAACTCTATCCTTCGGCGAATTGTCCGTGGCACCACCCTACAAAGGGCTAAGAATCAAACAATACGCGAGGAGCTCCAGCTCCCCTCGGTACCTGAGTTCATAGGCCGGAGGCACATCAAATTTTTTGATGGGCTGAAGGCCTGTGCAAACCCACTGTTCAATGAGATCTCACCACCACCCAGACCTGGGAGGTGGCAAGGTAAACTCCCTTTGGTGGACATACTCGCCGAAGGATGTGGTCTGGTCTCTGCGGTCCAAACTCATTAATTTGTATATATTGTAAATAATAAAACATTAGCAGAACGGTCCTTCCCCGTTCAATGTCAAATTCACAAGGCCTTCTGCCACATATGTAACCTTTAGCTATCCCCAATCCTTAAAATGCCCTCGGGCAGTGGAAGGAATTTATTACATGTTTATATTGTATTATTGTATACTATATATGTAATTGTTTCAATAAACTTTTTGGAGGGTAAGAAAAAAAAAAAGAAAAAAAAAAAAAGAAAAAGAAAAAAAAAAAAAAAAAAAAAAAATAATAATATTAATATTTAATGCTGGGCGGTCCCTCCACGCCCAGTGGTATAATAAAAGGCCTCTGGCCACAGATGCAAAGAACGCATACAGCGTGCATAGCCCTCTTACCTTAAAATGCCCTTGGGCAATAAAAGGAAATTGTAAATTTATGTATATATACATTTATATATATATTGTATTTTGTAATCAAGAAATTCCTGGGGGATAGGAAAAAAAAAAAAATAATAATATTAATATTATTTTGCAGGGCGGTCCCTCCACGCTCAGTGGTATAATAAAAGGCCTCTGGTCACAGATTGCAAAGTATTCATACAGCATCCATAGCCCTTTTACCTTAAAATGCCATTGGGCAATAAAAGGAAATTAGAAATTTTTTGTATATATATTTCTTTATGTATTTATATATTGTATTTTGTATAGTAAATAAATTCCTGGGGGTACGGGGAAAAAAAAATTAATAATCCTAAAAAATGGGTGAGCTACATCACTTTATTGTTAACTAAAGAAAAATTGTAAACAACACATCAAGTATTGGTAATTCCACTTATAAATCTTAAAATGTAGTACAGTTACAGAAAAAGGCATTAAAAGCACAAAACTGTAAGAAATCACATTATTACAACTATTAAATATTGGGGATATGGAAAAAAAAATATTAATAATACCCTCCTTAAAATTCAGAAAAAGGACAACTTTTGGGAATTTTAAACCAGTAATAAAAGTATATAATAATCTATGAAAAAAAATAAAGGTAATATTAATATGAATTCAGGAAGTAAAAAGGATTTTAAATCAGTGGGCAAGTTCCAAAACTCAGCGCAGTGCTTCGGAACTTGCCCATTGTTTCTCTTGAGAAATATCGATAATAATAACGTTCTTTCTATCTCTATGCAACTCCTTCTTTGGGAGGGGAAGTGTTGAGCGTCTTAGTCTCTTGAGGTCAGGAAGCCGGTAGCGTTTTCTAACTGATTGATTCCTTGGATCATTCCGATATTCAAAGTTTTCCTTCTAGTTCGTTCTCTTAACTTTTATTATTAATACCTTCCTCCGTGAAGTGAATTCATTCGCCGAGAGGTATTTACTAATAGTGATTTTCAAAATGGTAAGTTTGTTTACAAATATAACCTATATTACCCACGTGTGTTTTCACAATCATAATTTTAACTTCTGTTGTAGACTGATGAAGTTAATCCTAAAGCCTACCCATTGGCAGATGCTACACTCACTGCTAAGATATTAAATGTTGTGCAGCAAGCTCTGAACTACAAGCAGTTAAGAAAAGGTGCCAATGAATGTGAGTATCTGAAGTGTCTTATATTTTTTCTGTTACTAGTGATTTTTGTTTTTGTTCCACCTAGTATTTCCGTCAGCTATATTTTGCTATAAATGCGATTATTGAAGAACTTCCATCAAAATACTCATGCACATGGTTTTGCTCAATGGTGTAATCTATCTTAATTTCAATATTAGACTCAAATGTTTTTAAATTGCTACTTGTTCATATGTGGATTGCTATGGAATTTTATTTTAAAACCTTAAGGCCTTTCTGTGACCCTTACAAACAAGTTTTTCCCTATTGTTATAATGCCATCTGCTAACTCGAAAATTATGAATGATAATTAACCATTCTTAAAATATTAATTTCACAATTTATCTTATTTTTACATTTTCTGACCTATTTATTTTCAAAATTATGTTTTAAACTCATTCAAAAACATGATGTATTATTTCATTCATTCTTAATTTTTTAAGAGACCTACAACAAAGTTTCTATATTTAAGCTAGTTGTGAGGTATTTATTTGAGAAATTTGTTTAAAACACTGCTACTGACCTACAAAGAGCTTATTTATACTGGCTTAGAATAAGTATCTATTTCATTGTGTAATACCACGTCTATACAATAATCGAAGCTACTATACATGATTTTATTTTGGCTTTTAGAGTGTCAATTCTTAAACAGACTTCAGTTTTTATTCTAAATTCCATTGTATTGCTAATATAATACTCCATGGTACAGACCCCTTTTTTTATCAAATTATTAACATCCGTCTTAAACTTTGTAACGAGCTTCTCATCATAATCTACAACTATTTTATTTACGAAAATTCTCGGAATTCGGTCGTTTTCAGTCTTGAGATCGGCAAACTTTGTATATTTCATTATGTTTTATAAACTCACAAATATCCACCCATATGCTTTCCACTTGAATCGTCAAATAATTTGAGCACCAAATCGAGAAAAACTGTGGCCCTTAAATGTCAAAATAATGAGGTTATATAGGCCAATCGGTACGATATTTTTGATAGGCAACCTTTTTCCTTGATCAATATTGTGATAAAATTATCTTGCAATGACAGTGGAAAGCAAATGGTTATTTGCGAGTTTTTAATACCTAATTAAATGAACAAAGTTTGCCGAGCTCCATATTGAAAATGCCTTAAAGCTGTTCATGAAGTTACTGGCAGATGTTAATCATTTGATAAAAATATGAAGAACTTTTTGTTTATTGGAATTTATGGATTCAGGAGATTCTGCATACAATATCATTTAGAGAAGTCAGCAGCGTATGCATTAAAAATTTGTTAATAAGTTATCCTTCCTTTTTGTGCTGCTTAATTCTTCAATTAGATTTGCTTTTCCAGGCATTCTCTATTAACCTATTCTATATTTGAAATTTTTTTTTAAATTGGTGGACAAACCTCCATCAGGTCCTTATCGGTCATGCCTACTTTAGGATACACTGGCCATTTTCGGGATTCCATTATTATTCAGCTATACCACAAATTATGTTTATATTCAACTCTTTAAGTAACTAGAACAATTGAAGAACCTGGATGGTAAGTCAAGGAGGTAGTGCACAGGAAACACTTGTTCAGTTTTCCTTACATTCTTGATCTAGAAGTTTCAACTAAATTTCTTTTTATTACAAATTGTTAAGTTTTTGTTGTGACTTAATTACAGCTATAAATAAAATGGCCTAATTTAAACTGTGAATTATTTCTGAATTTACAATGATAAATGTTTTGTTTTTTTCAGCTACTAAAACTTTGAATCGAGGATTAGCAGAGTTTATAGTGATGGCTGCTGATGCAGAACCACTAGAAATATTATTGCATTTACCTCTATTATGTGAAGACAAAAATGTGCCATATGTTTTTGTCCGTTCCAAGCAAGGTATGTATATTTATTAATATTTGTTTGTGCTATGAATTGTCAATCATGTATTCGGAAAATTGATTTAACATTAATGTAACATGCATGCTATAAAATTCATTCAATTGAGCCAACGTGTTAATTTCAGATATTTATTAAATTTTATGACATTTAATGTTTCTATTGATCTTAATGACAAATTAACTTTTTAAGTTCTATTTAAAAATGCTCATAAGCTTTAGAAAATATGTCAACCAATAATGTTCATCATAAAAATATTTTTTTAAGTATTGTGAAATAATGTCGATACATGTTGATAATTAAAAACTAACAACATGAAGAGTCAATTATTTTTATAATAATAATTTCATTATGATTTGTTTCTTTTTATAGCTCTTGGAAGAGCGTGCGGAGTTTCTCGACCTGTTGTTGCTTGCTCAGTGACTGTCAATGAAGGATCTCAGCTCAAGCCACAGATAACAAAAATACAACAAGACATAGAGAGACTTTTAGTGTAAATAAATAAAAAAGAAATTGTTTTTGTTTTTTTAAATACTATATTATTATAAATCTGTTATGATAAACCATTTATAATAAAATATCGTAACATTTTTTATTTTATGGTTTTATTCAGCCCATACTTCTTTGACATTAATTAGTCATAAATGACTGTCTTAAGATTGACTTCAATCAGAAAAGTCCATTTGTATATATATCTTTTTTTTTGTCTTAAGATTAACTTCAATCAGAAAGGTCCATTTGTATATATGTTTTTATTGAATAATCCTCAACTCACCATTTTAGGCATACAGGGAGTTGTTCTAGAGGTATAACCAAACCTCTATTCTAACCAGAGTGGGAAGGTCGTTTCATTCCGTGGAACCGCCACGAAATAAAAGTCAACCCACACTAGACTATCACGACTCTCTCGTTTGTATATCAGTCATAATGATGACATCAACTCTTTTGGGACAGTTTGAATGCCTGTTGATATGTTAAAACTTGTTTGCGGATAATCCCAGCATTAAGTAACAAAAGAAAAGTTATGGCAAAAGTAGTGTTTAAAAAAACATAATGGTATAATCTTGCTATAAAAATTTATTTTGCTATCCAAAAAAAGTTCAACTATTTAACAAATTAAAGATGCTAAATAATAAATAATTTGTGAAAAGAAAGATAACTAAATAACATGTGTACAATCTTCCATTTTCATTATTTATTGCTATAAATATAAAAAAATTTACTTGTATATGGAAATATAGCAAGTTGATGAACTCGGAGCTAATTCCATTGATGGAATCCAGTACCAATGGACAGCTATTCATGCTGTTTGGAAACTACCTTTTGTGTTTGAAGAGAGTAAACTGAATATAAGCAAAGTAAATAGAGGAATAACACTGAGGTTATAATAATGTTACTTTCATAAACCCCTAAAGTCTTATAAGACCTAGAACCATCAGCAATTCAATCAATGAATAAGGAACATTCTGAATTACATTGATTAGTTTAGGGACAGCCTAACAGATTTCTGATGCCATAGATAAACTCAGTGCTGAGTTAAGGAACTTGCTAATACATAAAGGGATATGAAAAACTTCATTTTATAGTACATTTATAGAAGTTTACAACTGTACTGGTTAAAAATACAAGTAAATTTGAAATTGTGATGACATGCACAACTTGAAAGATAAACTACCCATTAGTAACAAGGTCTCGAGGCCATCTTCTTTTATCTTAGAGGTCTAAAATTGAAGAGAATGCAAGGTAAGGATGGACCTAAGGTTTATAGAATGATGGTTATCTAAAATGGGCCAAGCAATATATGGAACATAAGATCATGAATAATTTTATTTGTGCTAAGAAATAAAAAAAGAATTTATGATTGTAAGGATTGGATATGAGAGGAATTTGATGGTTAAGTGGAACTAAAGCTCCACTCCAAATTGGCCTTATTATAGTCAAGTAAATGAGTTTCTTATAGTCGATTGGAAGTTCAGAATGTCTGTCTAGTAAGTGTTGAAGTAGTCAGAAAGGTCCACCAGTTTCAGACTCGTACGAGCATTTCAAGAAGATATTTTTCCAAACGGACAGGAAGTAATTCAAAATTTAAATTAATTTGGAATATAGATCAATTCTGAAACAGTTTATTAGACTGGTTGGTCCCATTTACTCATGATTTAAGTTCTAATTTCAGGAAATCAGTTAGTCTTAAAATACTCAATCGTCAATCAGAATTGTGAAGTGTCTAGTCTATTTTATATCTGACTCGAGACCTAGATTGATCCTCAATCATACAATCCATCTCGGGTTCAAGTCATCAATGGTTACAAGAAAATAATTGTAATTTGCAAAGTGGGAGAAAAAAAACAATTAAAATTATTTAGAATTACTCATATATTTGTTATATAAATTACTTATGTTATTTTAAAGGTTGGCCCACAATTAAGTAATATATGTGTAATAATAATTAGAAATCCTTTAAGAATTGTTTAAATATATTTGTTTTGGTTAAATAAATTAACATAAATTCAGAAGGCACTTTATACATACATTTAACAACAAGGAAGACAATAAAATATGATTAGAAATTTGGTATATCTGTTGAAAGGTTAAAAAAAAAATCTTAACAAACCTTAGTAAATTATTTATAACAGTTGATCCATAATAAATCAGAAGTAGCTTATGTCCATTTTAAATTAATAAATCATAAAATACACCATATATATTACGTTTCATCAAACTGGAAATATGGCAAGTTTAGGCATTCACTTTGGTAATGGACCATATTAGTAGTTAATTACAAAATGGTTTAGGAAAAAATTATATAACTACATTAAATAGCTGAAGTTAATTAAAATTAATTATTTAAATTTAGAAACGTTATTAATAAGTAAACAAGAATATTCATTTTGATGTTTACTTCAGGTCTTTATTTAAACTAGGGGTCTCCAAATTTGTTGGCCTGTAGTTCTCATTAAAACCTTCGCTAATAACTGCAGCTCATGGTTTGTCATGAAAAAAAAATCTTGTTCGGTAAATGGCAATTTAGTAGTGAAATGAGCTTTCTAAGAGAAACAACTCATTCAATAGATGTAGTAACCTCATTATTTGAGAGATCTCTAAAAAAGAAAAAAAAAACAAGGCTAGCGGTAGTGCAGGATGTATTTATCCTGATGCATATGGCCTGCCAGGTTTTCTCCCTTAATTAATTATTTTAAATAAGAATACCCACTTTGTAGAGGCTGGGTGTGCCCCAGAAGGGTCTCTCGATCCACAGCTGATGAAAAATTACTTATCATTAGACCTAGAGCTTAGCAGCCCAGTGCCTAACTTACTACGCTACTCCGCTTCCTACTAAATTTCATATTTTTTTTAAATTTTACCATGTTATCAAAAAAACTTTCAGGAGCCTTAGTTAGGAGAATTCTGATTTAAACTATAATGGCGCCACAAGCACTGCAGGTGTTATTTACATCGTACAGGGCTTGAAACTTGTACGACAAAAAGCTTTTAAAATAAAAACTTTCTGGAAAAAAAGTTTTTTATTTATGGTAAAAGTTTAACTTACATAGATTCATGTCGAATGAGAAATAAACAATAACTGGTCTTATAATTAAATAATTTGTTTTTAATTTATCCTTGTTCTGCAGCAACAGAAACAAAGCTTCTCTTCATAATGGAACTGATTTAAAATAAGTTAAAATTTTCAAGCCCTAATATAAAAATATTATGTTATATTTGACAATTATTTATATTTAATAATCAAACTGTATATAATTAAAACACATATGGACGGACCTAACTGTAAAAGTTATCAAAAAGTTCAATTAAAAAAAAAAAGATTTATTAATTTGCCTTTATAATGTGATTAGAAAATACCTAAACTTGCTCTATATAATAGCTATATATGTTTTAAAAGACTAATTACACAGTATATAATAATACACATAAAATAGTAATAATACTGATTGGTGTTGGATCAAGTGTACATAAACCTTACAAAAAGTTAACATGTACATACTTTTTTATTACATGATATGCTATATTAAAATAACAGAGGCACAAAATAGGTGTTACAGTTTATTATCTCAAAATTGAAGCTTTGAGATAAGTATGAAGATTCCTAATTAATGTTCCCTTTTATGACATTCATTATATTAAAATAAACTGTTAAGTTAATTGTAATAGATTGATATAAAATAATAAGAGAGTTTCTTCAATTAAAACCACAAAATGGCTATAACATTTGTGCTATTGCCTAAGTAAGAACATCAGAATCATTATTGTCTTAAAGTGGTTGATTTTTTTTGTTTATTTTACACATAAATGCAATAAGGGTTTCCAATTAGTAAGGGCTCGAGGGCCATATTGGAAAACCTTAAGTATGATAAGAGGTTATGCTTAAATAATTGGACAAGATGCAGTGGCGGATCTAGGATTTAATTTTTTAGGGGGAGGGAAGAGGGGGCTTCAGCACGAAAGATTTTGTTATATATATATATATTTTTTTTTTCTGTTGGCGCTACAGAAGATCTTTGATCGGGAGATGTGGTCTCCTAGACCACATCCCGATTCCTGATTTAAGTACACGGGGGTAGGGTCATCAGCCCAACGCCCAGTCGGTGAGCGTTGCCTCAGTAGAGTAGTCAGTAGGCTGACAGGCCTCACATAACGTGGGGAGGGTAGAGGGGGGATAGGAATCTCAGGCAGCGTTGCTTTCTCTGGTGGACGGTCACCCACCCAAGTACTAATCACTTGTAATTATATAAATATAGATTTAATAACAAGATCAATAATACTTTTAGAGATAATTTTTTAATATATTTTTCATATATGAATTTTTTAATATATTTTATAATACAGGGTTTTATTTAGTGGCTCAATATGCATTATAATTTAAAAAATATAACATATTGTGATTTTTAAGCACATAGCAGCTTACATCACTCACGGTAACAAATGTAGAACAATTACAAAATCAGTTTCCCGTTTTGGTGAGCTTCAGCCTAAAAATTCCCATCTCTCCTATAGATCCGCCAGTGACAAGAAATACCTCTATGGAATACACGTGTTTTAGGTTTTTTAAAAAAAATGATAAACGTCTTAATTAGTTAAAAACATATTTTCTGAGTTACTCATGGGAGAAAAATTAAAAATAAATACAATCTATTATAACCAGAAAAAAAAAGTTAGGTGGAAACAAATGTCAGTTAATTTAATATATGACAAGTGGCAAAAGAGAAAAACAAAATAAACTTATGACTAACTGAAATCAAATTTGTTTTTATTATCAAGACATATAAATTCATATTTTTTAAAAGGATCATTACTTATAATTCTTGTTTATATGAAGGAATATTATTTATATAAGACATAAAATGTATAAATTTAGAATGTTCCCTTATTGGTGTGTTGAGATTAAATCCTTGTAGCCAGTAAATATTTTACTACAAGTTAATTGTCAAACTCTTAATTTACATGACCAAGATCTTGTATTTGTATCTATATATTTTTAAAATAGCTTAACCTAAACTTTCATACTATATTGTTCATCAAGATTTAATATCTGAATACAATCCTGATTATTTATTTATTTTGCTTTTAATTCACTTTTCACTGTTCATTCAGAATTTTATTTTATTGTTCTAAAAATGAATCAGAACAGGACGATCCAAGCAGAGCAGTTTTATATTATTATTGAACCTTTAATTTTTGGTATTTATTAAGAAATATTAAATAAATGAAAATTTATGTGTGTCATTAAAATAATACACAAGCGTAATTACAAATTAAACTTTTTTATTTCTTATTCACGAGAGACTAATCTTATTGAAATAATCAGAAAACTTTAGTGAAAGAAATGATGAATAAATATCTCATTATAAAATTAATTCAGGAATGTCCAGAAGGAGATTTCATGGTGCAAGTTTTGACATTAAAATATTTTTAATGGAGGTACATCGACGGGGTTATGAATTTTCAAAATGAGAGGTTTCAAAACAAGGGTCAAGAGGAAAAAATGAAATAGGTAGGCCACAGCAAGTATAATTTATATTATCTATGATTTTATAAATAATACTTTCGCTTGTGTTGATTGTAATAAGAGAGGAGCAAGAAAATATCTTGGCAGGAGGGAAGATTCTTGCGCCATCGACGTTGGGTGGGATGAGCATTCCTTAGTTATTTATAATGAATCATGATATACATATAATGTTTTATACTTTTTATAGTGGTATTATTTTTTATTTTTTTAGTAGGCCAGGCCCGATATACACTATCATAACAAAATCAAGTGATTATTAGATTTCTGAAGGAGTATAATATATGAGTTAAATGTTATTATTTTTATAATTTTCCAAAATAATTCCTCCTGGATAAGCTATTAAAATAAAATATTAAAAGACCTATGTGATTTGTCAATTTAATATTAAAATAATATATTTAAAAAAATTAATAAATTTAAAGTTTGTTTCCTTCATCTAAACTCTTAAAAAATTATTTACAAGAATGTAGATAGAAAATTTTTTGGGCTTATCACACATATAGATAAAATAGAAACTTATACTTAGATATATGTGCCAATTCTTAAACCAACAGCTAAAGCTAATTCTAATTAGTAATACGGTATTGTAACAGTGTGCATTATTTTTTTATATTATTCTGACGAGTATACCAAGAGAATGGTATAATTTAGAATGGCACTTTAAAGTTATATCTAAATAAGATGAAACACAAAGAGAAAGGGGGATACAACAAACTTTTACAGTTATAATCCGATAGATTAACATTGATTTTCATTCAACTTAAGAAGGTAAGAAGACTTATTAATAATATTATATAAAATTTCTAGAATCCAGAAATGGACTAAATAAAATAGAAAAAGAAAATATTTGATTTTAAATATATCAGAACTATTTACTAATTTAATACCATTAGCACTTATTTATAATAGAAAATTATCTGAAATTCTTCTAGGATAACTAGAACCAAAATTACTTCAATAAAAAATTTAAAAACTATAATAATCTGGTTGACTAGTGGGTCAAGATGCAGTGACCGCAATGTACATGGAATACCAAAATTAGCCGTAACTTGATAAAAAGTAACATTTCATAAAATTAAATCACTGAGAACTTTGATGAATTTCCACTAGGTGAAATCAGAACATTGTGTAATTAGTGTAACTATCTTTTATATATATATATATATATATATATATATAAAAGAGTTTGTGACATTTTTGTACACATTCCGTTTTTTTTATCAATAAATAAATAAGGTTGGAATAAGCAAAAATGTACTTAAAAATTGAGCTCCATTAAACATTTACCAAGCGATTTTCTGTAATTAACTGACAATATATTTGAAAACATATTGACGAAGAATAAACCATTCTTACCATATAATTGTTTCTTACCAATTTTTTTTTGTCTGATTTTTTTTAGTTGTTTTTGTTGGAAATGTAACCTAACCTTACCATCAAAAGGTAGATGAATTCTGCTAGCTTTAATATTCCATCTAGAGTGTGATCGATGTAATCTTGGCCCATTAGTGATCCTAATACGACTTTACTATAGCTTTACCAAATGATCAAACAATTTTAAAATTAAATCATTAATACTTTAAAACTCTAAATAAATAAACAGCTCATAAAAATAAACATAATAAAATTACGAACAAAAGTAAAACTTTGTTGATATTCCCAGTCAGTATTATAACATAATATATTTTATGTAAACAAAACAGCTAAGGACAAACTATACTATAAGTATATATTCATATACATATCTACTGGCTTCATGTTAGCAAGAAATTTGTACACCTGCATTGTATAGCAATAGAAGTAAGCTTCCTTGCTTAGGATGTGTTATAACTATATTCCTGTTTTTACAATAATATATATATATATATATATATCTTCAATATAAAATTCACTGAGGTTAATTGTTTTAAAAAGTTATTAAAGGGAAACCCTTGTAATCCAATATGAAAAAATTGTAATAACCATCATAAAAAATATAATAAAAATACATTATTAATATAACTCATTAGTACTAAAATATAACAGCATTTAACACTAATTGGCAAAATAACTGGTGGGTTAAATATTCCATTGATCAATGATGATTTCATCATTTTACAAGAGAAAAAAAAACAACGATCAAATGATTAATTTAAAATTGTTTTCATAACAGCAGTTAATAAATTATTGTGTGAGAAAGAACTTGATTTTTCTCATTGGTTAAATATAAAACTGTATCGACAGTTATTAAATTTATAATATAATGATGAAAAGCGTATTAGTAACACATAGCAAAAACAAAAACATTGTCACTATATAAAGTGATGAAAATGAGTTTTGTAAAAAAAAAAAAAAAAAAAATTATGTTACATTATAAAATGGCACATTTTCTCCGTGAACTGTTATGTTGTGGCTTTAACAACGGCCTTTCTGAAGCTTGATACTTCCTCACAATCCTGACTAGCTCGTGAAAAGCTTGGTCGACGTTCATGCGTAGCTTAGCACTGCACTCAATGTATGGAATCCTCAATTCCCTTGACATATTTTGGGCTTCTTCAGCTGGGACCTAAAATGTGTTAGTTAATGTTATAAAATAAATAAAAAGTGGTGTTATTTATTTCTATAAAAAACAAAACAATACTTTTCAGACCATTTCTAAAATTGACACAGTTTTCAACACTAAAATAACACAATAACATTAGGTGCTAGTACTTGATATTAAAAAAATAAAAAGTATCTATATTGGTAAAGATAACAATTAAAAATGGTCTGACAGTTGAAGTCTCTAAAAATAATAATAAAAGATGCAAATCTAATAAAAAATGTATTAGATTTATAGAAATTGATTATAGAAAAATTATAATGACTATTAAATTGCAAAATACTCACTTATAAAGATCAGAAAATGGAATTTTAGAAATAAAACTAATCATAATGTGATTAAAATGAACATACCAGTCTTTGGTGATCCAAATCAGCTTTGTTTCCAACCATAAGCATAGGAAACTCATCCCTATCTTTAACCCTTAGTATCTGTTTGTGAAATTTATACATCTCGTCGAAACTAGCTCTATCAGTAACAGAAAATACCAAAAGGAATCCTTCACCTGATCTCATGTATTGTTCTCGCATTGCGCTAAACTCCTCTTGGCCAGCAGTATCGAGAACTAAAATTATTATGAATTAAAAAAATGAAAGGAACAAAAATATTGTTTCAAACAAACTAAAAAGAATTCTTACTATCCAGTTTCGCTGGGACATCATCAATAACACACTGTTTAGTGTAAGAATCTTCGATAGTGGGATCATAATCAGTAACAAAATAACTCTGTAAAATTTAAAACAAGATAATGACCTAGAAATGAATATTACCAAAAATAGGCAATGAGATTGGTTAGTGGTTGATTGTGTGGGTGTTAAGAACATTGTTCAACAAATCAAAAGTTCATAGGTCTGTTTTATAACTTTTAAAGTTTAGAAAATAAAACTTGATTTAAAATGTCTTATAATAAAGGGGAAAAGATGATAATCGTTTAAGTTAAAAGTAAAACATATATATTTGATTTGTTATATAAATAAACTCTAAAGGCACTGAAAATAAAATAAAATAATTTTATAATAAATGAACTTTGAACTCACTTGAATAAATTGTATTGTTATTGCTGATTTTCCAACACCACCTCCACCAACAACAACTAATTTATAAGTTTGAGCATAGCTCTGCCTCTCGTTTGACCTGGACATCTTAGAATACTAATGACTAACAACACATTTCATTAAATTTATTAACATCTGCTGTTCTCAGACGCCTTTTCATTCATACCATTCACAATCAGTCACTCTACTTCTAAAGTGGGCAGTGAGATTTCTCGTTACCCAACTGACACATATAACAAGGCCGTCTATGGTAAGCATAAATAGAACAATCACCAAATATGAGCAGATATTCTTCTATAACGAATAGTAATCAATTAAGATATATTAACAAGTCCGATATTTCATTACTTTGCTCTTTATAAGAAAATCGCATTTACAGCCATTTAAAAAGAATTATTAAAACAACTTCAATAAATTTAACTCTGGCCAACAATATTACGCGAACAAAACAGAGCGCGCGCAAAGTAACAAGTTCAAATATCATAAATTACTTTATTATTATTCATTGCTAATTACAACGTTTGTAAAAAGCCTATCGTAGTACGAAATCCCTCTGGTCTACAAATTTACAACTTTATATAGAATTTTTATTCATAACTAATATTATTTAAAGTAATTCAAATTAAATTGTTTTGTATTATCTCCGAATTGAGCGTTAGTTTGATTACTTATTTACAATCGTAAAATTAAGTGACTGTTGATGATATTTTGTGAGTAGTAGTAGTCAGAATAAAACGAGAGTGAAGCATTTTCCCTAGTCAATAAAACAATTCCTGCCCTTCCTTCTTGAACAGTTGTAAATCTATTGTATTCTCAATTTTTTTTGTTTTGTTTTTTATCAAATTATATCACGGCTTTGCCTATTTCATCAAGCCATATCTTTTGTTTTATAGTTCGTTTGTTTTTAAATTAATGGGTCCACCAGGAAAATCAGTTTTATTTAAGGTATCAAATACGTTTAACAAAACATGTATAACAGTACATATATTTTTATAAATTCTTCGACGAGTTTCTATAGGAATAAAATAAGGCTGGAGAAGAAACTCCTCAGGAATAAGAAGAGAAAAAGGGAGAGAAAGGAATTGGAGGATATAGAGACTCAATAGAGTTTAAAAGAAAGTAGGAAATTCTTTCAGAAGGTCAGTAGTGGACGTGCCCCTTTTAAGCCTAGGATTCAAACATGTAAGAAAGAAGATGGAACACATCTTACCAATTAGCCGGATATACTGGATCGGTGGGTTAGGCACTTCCGTTTGTTATTAAATGAGGAAGCGGTTATAGAGGATATAGAGGCACGCGACATTGCTGGAAACGATATGCCTAAATATCTTGGAGATATCGAGCCACCGGACTTTGAGGAACTAATGGATCCTTCGCATGAAAAACAATAAGGCGCTTTTCAGCCTTATTATTATTTCCGGGACCGGATGAATTGCCAGCCTAGCCCTTCAAGTATGGGGAAGATGAGTTGCATAGAGCACTGTCCGATATAGACCTGACAATTTGAGATCAGCAAAGAGTGCTACGACAGTGGATTAATGCTATAATATGTCCCCTCCATAAGAAAGGAGACAAACTTGATTGCACTAACTACCGTGGCATAGCCCTGTTGTCTTGTGCCTGCAAGATCTTCACGAATATCCTTTCCAACAGACTTACCCCATTTGCGGATCGATAAATCGGGAAATATCAAGCTGTCTTCCGGAAAGAAAGATCCACTATTGATCAAGTGTTCACCCTTAGAACAATTTTGGAACGGGGTCATGAATATAAAATCCCTACACACCACCTGTTTGTCGACTTTTAGATTGCATATGACAAGCATCAAAAAACCTAAGCTGTATGAGGCGTTGAGAGAAATGGGTATCCCATGCAAACTGATACGTCTCGTGAAGTTGACAATGAAACATGTAAGGTGTCAGGTACGGATCCAGTCTGACTGCTCTGATGCATTTCCCTCCAACAAAGGATTAAGATTGGGGGATGGGCTGGCCTGTCTCCTCTTAAATCTTTCACTGCAGAAAGCTGTACGGGATTCAGGAATCCAGACAGACCACACGGTATTCACCCGTACTGTACAGATATTGGGATAAAACGAGAATAAAACCAAATATCTGCACATAGGGAGTGGATGCGACGAGGCACTGAGCGTTGACCCTTACACATTCCAAAGAGTGAACGAGTTTACGTATTTGTGATCCCTAGTAACACCAATAAACTATGTCGCTGCTGAGATAAGTAAAAGGCTGGTGTCAGCAAATAAGGCATATTTTGACTTACTGAAATATCTTCGCAGCGGATCTATTACCAGGGGCACTAACCTAGTCATATACAAGATTCTTATACGCCCAGTTCTTACCTATGCTTCCTAATCTAGGACTATCTCAAGAAATTATGAAAATAATCTTTTGATTTTCGATAGAAAATCTTACGGCGAATAGTTGGCCCAGTGAGAGATGGAGATGGATGGAGGATTAGGAGGAACTGGGAGCTTTATGACCTTTACGAAGATATGGACGTTGTAAAGTTTATAAAACTGGAGAGCCTCAGTTGGGCTGACCATGTCGCAAGGATGGAAGCGGAAGAAATTCCTGGAAAAGTAATGGACATCGACCTTCACGGTACACGACGGCCTGGTAGGCCAACGCTTCGATGGGTTGATGGATTGGCAGCGGACGCACTGAGCCTGCTACGGATCAAAAGCTGAAAAGCGGCAGCTCAAAATCGGGCCGAATGTCGGCGGCTCATTGAGGAGACCATGACCCACCCAGGGTTGTAGCGCCACGTAGATAGATATACTTGGACGAGTTTCTATAAATATTAAGTGTTATTTTGAAGGATTAGAAATAATATTTATTTAAAACTCTACCCGGCCTGTACGACAATATGAGTGTTTTGTGTAGTGGATAGCTAAGCAAACAAGCATAACTATCCACTACGGCAATCAAGACATAACATAATAGTTCCTATACGTTAAACTAAAGAAAAGAAATGATTATGACTAGATTGAAGTTCAAAGTTAGGTAACATTTCACGCCTTATAATCCCACCCCTTCTGGGCATTCCTAAATGGTCATAATTCTCTTTTCGGAGAACATCAGAAGTCGAATAAAAAGGATCTGGATGAGGTATCTGCTTACATAACTATGTAAGTAAATTAAAGTCGCGGAAGGAATGCTACTAGGTACCACTTTTCATTTTACCCGAATAAAACCAAATATCTGCACATAGGGAGTGGATGCGACGAGGCACTGAGCGTTGACCCTTACACATTCCAAAGAGTGAACGAGTTTACGAATTTGTGATCCCTAGTAACACCAATAAACTATGTCGCTGCTGAGATAAGTAAAAGGCTGGTGTCAGCAAATAAGGCATATTTTGACTTACTGAAATATCTTCGCAGCGGATCTATTACCAGGGGCACTAACCTAGTCATATACAAGATTCTTATACGCCCAGTTCTTACCTATGCTTCCTAATCTTGGACTATCTCAAGAAATTATGAAAATAATCTTTTGATTTTCGATAGAAAATCTTACGGCGAATAGTTGGCCCAGTGAGAGATGGAGATGGATGGAGGATTAGGAGGAACTGGGAGCTTTAAGATGTTTTTTTAAATTTTATTTATTTGTTCGTATCTCATAATTATGCCAGTTCAAATGCTGATTGTCGATAACAGTAATCAACTGGTGCGGATTGAAAAATAAAAGTGAAAACAAAAATTATAAAAATATAATTTTGCAAACGCACGCAAAAGTTTTGTACGAGATACGTTGTTGATCGAACCTCGTATCTCGTACAATACTTCAAATTCTCATAAAAATAATAGATATTTCGTACTTATGAAGCTTTTTTCCTCTCTCGAATCAAATACTTTCCCATAATATAATATAACCATCCAAGAAAAGCTCTCGATATAGGTAATTGTTGACAAATAAAATGGAGTATCAGAAAAAAAAATATTTTGTTCTCATCTACATTATATTTTTATCTCTATTATAGCAGAAAAGAATAAATGCTGGTTAAAGAGAAACTTTTCTTACTAAGTACTGGTACTTTTCAATATATTTCAAGAACATCTAACCATTGTAATCGGACATAAGGCCTCCTGTCCTCGAGTTAACAACGACTATTACCAACAAATTACTTTAATCCTGATAAATCTTAGTTACTTCAATAGAAGAGTAAAACAAAAATGGGGATTCAATAAATAGTTTCAGAAATCAAGGAGTCAATTTTATTCAATTAATGATCAAAAAATAAAATCTGCTGCAACGATAATATGAATCTGTATTACATTCTTTATAAACTGAGGTATCTGCATCACTAATTAGCCTGTGCAGCAAATGAAATGATATTAATATTAGTGAGAAATGCAATCATGGAACGTATTCTTGGTTGTTACGGAAGATTCATTTTTGGTATTAAAGATATAGAATACATTTTGATTTTTGTATATAAGTGATATATAATGTCCAAATCTGAATGATCAGTATGATGTGTATAAAGCAACCTTATCTAGTAGTGCAGCATTACTTTCAATAAAGTATTAATCTCTATAATTGTCTAATTATTTATAATATAAAAATTACCCGCATTTTTCACGCTATATATGATGATAAAGTAATAAATATAAGCGCTGTAAAAACTCAAAAATGATATATGAAGAACTTGGTTATGTGATTTCCATAAAAGATGAATTCAAACTCGTTGGGCCCACTATCTGGTCAAAGTAGGTACTGGATGTTTTCTTGTTTTTTCAACATAAATGGGATAACTAGACCAATTCTGAAATGAATATCAGTAGCATTATTACGGACTTAACAATATGGACGATAATCACAACCAAGAATAAAATAAGGGAATTCTACTCAAATAATACTTAGAATTACTTCTCTCGGTAGATACTTTGCCTAAGAAAACTTTACTTAGTATGAAAAACATATAGTTGCTGATGAATTTCAGCTTATTCAATATTTTTATGCAACTAAAACTAATTTTGGGACGTTATATGATTAGATAATGTTGTGTATTTTTAGGTTTCTTCAAATCCTCTTTGAAGGTTGATGCCTGCGTAAAATATTTAGTGAAAGGTTGATCTGTGAAAACTAAAACAACCAACAACTGTTCTGGTGGTAATCGCTAAAAGCTGTTTAGACAACAATTGGTATGCCCAAGGGAGTATGGAGATAGATTTCTCTCCGAAATCTTTTGAACGAGCAGCTCTGATGGAGGCCCTTTTTTAGGCCAAAACGTCAGCACAAAGAAAATAAATAATTTTTTACTGTACTCTCCTGACAGCAACTCTCAATCAAGTTCTGTTACCATAATCACAGTCAACCATTTCTCCACTATTACATAATAAAATGTTTATTATATTGAAGATATAATATCTACTATATCCGCGGACCGCAAAAAATATTTTCAACTTTATCGATATTGCAATAAAGTAATAAATATTTATTTAATTGATTATTATATTGAAAAAATATTGGTTTTAATCCAAAAACACAACATACTTATATGCATATATTTTAATTTAACTATTTTTAATCCGTAGAAAGTTTTTGTGTCACATATTGAGAAAGTGTGGTCTAGAATCTGAATTATAAAATGAGACTTCTTTGATAAATTTCGACGCTGACCTCATTGGTCTGATTATTGAAACTGATAGCATTTTAACCAGTTTTCAAACGAATCATAATGTTATCTTTGATTATTCATAATCAAGGGAATTGGGTTTGAGGAAATTTAGTTTTTAACAACTTATAATTAAAGGCTTGAATTTCGAAATAGAATTTGTAGATAATTCCTAATTTCGTTTTAAATGCCTTTAAGATGTTCAGCTATGCCAAAAAATAATAATGAGAAACCAGGCTGTGGTAAAGAATTACCCAGCCAAAAATCTGAAAATGAGCATCGTACTGATGTAAAAAAATTAACAAAACCTCAACTTCTAGAATTGTTAGAAAGAGAAAATAGACTTATCAAAAGGTAGAACCATTGCCATTTGATTTGTATTGTCCTTTGTATTGGTACAGTCATTTTATTATATTACATACTTATTATTTTCTAGCCTGCCTTTAGCCAAGTTGCCAGACAAAGGGGAGAAGGTACTTAGATTTAAGAAGGATATTGAACTAGAAATCGAAAGAAGGGATAAAACTTATGACATTAGTGATGTTTTGACAAGATTAACAATTAAAGAGAATAAAGTTGATGTACTTGAATGGGGTGAAATTAATTCAGAAGCAAAAGATACCATCAATGGTGAAGCTAATGAAGAAGAACAAAATCCATTTGCTATTTTAGTTACTCATAGTGGTACTACTCATAATCAGAAGAAATTCAAGTGAGTGCACTTCCTTTAATTTATAGTTGATCTTTATTAAATGTTTGGCAAGTTAAGTTTTCATTAATTGAAGTATTGTAGAATAATGCTTTCAAAAATATTTTTTATAATAAATTGTGTCATGTTTGATTGACACAATCTCCATATCTTATAAATTCCACAGGTAAAGCCCCAAAATCAACTAGAAAGGACTTGTTGGGGCTTTGAACATAGTTGTCAATAACTGGCTACTTTCAAAATTGCATCTACAGTATTATGAAATTGATCTTACTGTTTTTTTAATTATTATGCTAAATGATCTTGATTTTTATATTTGCCTTGTTTCTATGATATTAATTGGTAATATTTAGACATTTTATGCTGAATCATAAGTGTACTGCCTCTGTTATTGAATTAAGAAAAAAATACTCTCCAAATTTTTAGTCCTCAAGGAAATGGGCACATCAGTGAGTAAGGCTCTTATGTTCCTATTTTTTGAGTTTGAGTTCAGCTTATGTTATAAATTATTATTTGTCCTTAATTAATTGAGAAGAATTACGTGTGCTAGTTGAGTGTAGCCTTGTTCATATCACTTTGAACTGTTGGTCTTGAAACAGTATTTTCTCTCTGAGTACTGAAAAAAATACCTTACAAAGCTATTGCGGCAGCACTAACTAGAATAGAAAACCCTAACCACATCAAGATTGTGTTCCTTGTTGACTCATAAGCTGACATATTGGTGATCTAATTAATAAAGGAATCCAAGTGACATCCCAATGGGTCCCAAACCATTGCGGCCTATCAGATGCACTCCCACAGATCGACTCCGAAATGCTGCATATCAATGCTTCAGAGCCCTACAACTCTGGTAAAAAAATTTAAAATCCTTTTACAAAGAAGAGATTACGGACTGGTAAAAACATATGTAGCTATAAAAAGGTGGGAAAGTTTAACGAAGGCACTGCTCATATAAACCTAAAAGGAAAGTTTCGGTGGTACTTTTCTGAATGATGATGAGATGCGATTCCTTTCAAAGACATTTGTACAGGAATGGAATTGTGGAAAAGCCATTGTCCTCCGTGTCAGGGGGAAGAGATATATGATGCACCTCCCAATATGCACTGCTGTCTGAGAATCTCAATAAAGATATAACATTCCTGTTGCTGTGCAGGACACAGCTGCTTGCTAGATACTAAATCATCAAATTGACCTTATTGTCAAAGGCATAGGCATTGAATAAAATAAACAAAGTCAGTGCTTACACTGACAAACAGATCAACAGAATGTTGATAACAGAAATGATTTTATCGAAATGGCTCCGACTCGTTACTTATACATTAAATATCATGAAACTAATTACAAAGTAAAGAATTCAACAGTACTTTTTTTTTTTTTATTTAGGATGATGAGGATAGAATAAATATAAAGTGAACAACTTCATATGTACTGTTTCCTTTTGAGTACCTAATGTTGAAGTTGTTTTTAGCGTTTAGGTTCTAGGTTTTAAAAATCAATATTAAATTTTAATTACACCCAATAAAAAAAGATTATATTTACAGTGAAATTACTAAATCAGATTTTTTTTAATGATGTAGAGATGGTTGACCGTTGATATAATATGAGGAGTTAGTCGAGGGTGCGGTCAAATAAATAAAAAAAATTAAAATATATAAATTATTTTAATTTTTGCCGACGTTTCGATCCACTTTACAGGTCGTCTTCAGGGCGTAGGATGTGGTACTGCGGGAGGCAGTTGAAACACACAGATTTTTTTTAGTTCATTAACTTAGTTGAAATGAAGCCCTGAGTTCTTAAAAATCTTTCCTCTATATAAGTTCTCATGATTAAATAATGTTTTATGGTATTGTTTCCATTATGATATTTTTCTGTTTTGTAGGGTTGAAAAAGAAGAAGAACCTCTTATAACATTAGCTGACATTGAAGAAGTTTATGCAATTAACTTGAGTAATAAAATCGATAAAGTTGAACCAAAAAAGAAATTTCTGCCTTACAAAACATTGGTATCAAATTCAATCGAGGCTAATAAGAAAGTTAGAGATCTTTCCGCTGCAACTCCACCACCTCCGGTTTTTGGTGATGCCAAATTGATATCTTTGGAAGAATCTTTAAAACTGCAATATGAGCAGACGAAACACTTAAAAGAAGTTCAACTTAAACACGCTACTGAGAGATTGAAGGCAGCGAGGTCTACTATGGGAGACGCCTTACCACCCATACAAAGTATTACAACTTACAGGGACAACGTAGATCAGTACAGTGAAACGGAAGAAGAAAGTGAAAATGAAGAAGTTGTATAAAAAAACTTTTTTAAGAGGTTTATTTAAAGTAGCTGATGTATAAAATTTTAAGATCTATAATTATTTTTACATTTAATTTACTTTTAGTTAATAAATTGTTATTTTTTTATTATTGTTTTATTATCCTTATAAGTGCTAAGCCATTCTCCAAACAGTTTAGTGCTTAAGTCTATGTGATAGCAGTGTTTTTGAAAAAAAAAACAAAAAAAAAAACAAGAACTTCAATTGCAGGCAATTATATACTCAAGAGTAGGGGTTTCAGGGCGATAAATTGATGGATTATTACGCCCATATGACATATATACCCAATATAAATGGTAAAGAAACTACATAAATTCTACTATGCAAACACTTTAGCTTCCATTTTTTACTATCAATCAAATTCAGATGCACCCTTTGAGGCCATTTCCTGATCATCAGGTCATAAACAATCATTAACTAATTATCAAATTAACTTGTTGGAACGTAGTGGCCTTATAATATCATTACATTAGGGAATATAAATGAATAATAATTTTATTTGAAACTAACATATAGTAAAGGTCATAATGTAATATGTTCATTTTTTAAGTTTAAAATTTGAGTAAAGATATATGTACACATTTTTATTTATATAATATTTTGTACATTTTGGTCAATATGACCATTGGTTCTAAAAACATATAGAAAATAATGTATTTACAAGTAATTAATAAACTAGGATTTTAGACAATTTTAATATAAATAAGAGATAATAGATCAGATTAATATTTTCTTCTTTTGAGTATTTCAGGTCGCCAATGAATTGGATGCGATTCTTCTGTCTGCAAATTAAAAAAAAATCACATTAAATAAATAGTATCTTTATTTGCAATAAATAGTCAATATATGTAATTATAATTGAGATTTTTAGTTAATATATTATATGGGCAGCCACGTAATTTTGTCACTTTAATACAACGAAAATTGAAACATTAATTAAACATTTATAAATACTGACAAAAAACAAAACAAAAATGAAGCAGTTCTGATCAAGCTCTTAGCTCTAACATGAATATGATGGTGACGGGTGAGTGATTAAGAAACACGAGAGTGCTTTTGAAAACAGAATTATTAAATCATGAACCCTTAAGTGTGCATGAATTGAAAATTCCCAAAGACTTGCTGTTTTTAAACATAATTTCAGATTTTTTTCTCACTGCGATGATTTCTGTCTATATCTATGTATACAGATAACTCAATTGTGGAGTTCTTTTTAGTAAGTTCTTTCGAAAAATGAAAAAATACCAAATTAAAACAAATAAATAAATTATTATTACAATTGTACTTTTAATATGAGTTTAATTAAATCCAGCTAATTGCAACACAGGCAGTAAAAACAATTAGCAAAGAGGAAATGACAGCAGACTGGACAGAAAATGGTTCATGCTGCAACTTATCAAAACAGCTGATGAAATACACTAGTATCCAGGTGTTAAATTTAGTTGTAATTTGCAATTAAGGGAACCTATCAATTTTGCATTTATTATTTATCAAAATAGAAAAAAACGTAAACAAGTGTGAAAATATAACAAGAGCCCATTTTTTAGTTAACACAAAATTAATTTTAAAATCAAAGTAATACTTACAGCGGTATCATCTTCCTTATAAATTTTTATTGTTTTATCAGCTTCAGTCGTAATCAGCCTACTTCCACTCTGATCAAACGTCATAGAGAATATTCCCGACTCGCTGTCCATAGATCCTGGTTGAACTGGTGCCTATAAAATAATTTAGTTTGATAAATTATAAAAGTTATACATCGACTTAAAATTTTGATTCAAACCATGTTTTCAACTAGTAAACTATATTATAGCCACTGTAATAACAACCTAAATATAATAAAAAGTATTTAAATTAAATAAAGATTGTAACCGTGTTTATGCCACTTTTGGGAAATCAATCCCTTTTACACGACCCTATTACTGCTTAATGTATGATGCCAGAGAAAAACTTTATAGATATAAGATATAGACAATTTCTTAAATATTTATTTTCTAAATAGTAGTACTCTAAATAAAAAACAATATGTCAGTCAGAGAACCTCAGATGTGCGTTCAGTGACTCAAAAAACTAGTTTATGAAAATTTATGACTTCAACAACACTTTCTCTTATTTTTCCTATATTAACTAGACTATCTAAAGTATATTCAAATATTTAAAGCATTTAAGCAAACCTGTAACCGTTGGAAGTTGTATCCCGTCCGCCAATCCCAACAATGCAGGGTTCCGTTATCAGCTCCCGAAACTAAGACTCCCTCTGGATTGATTGCTAAACAATTCACGATGGCATTGTGTCCTGATAAGTTCTGGATAAACACTCCTTCTGGGCATTTCCATTGTTTTATGTTGTCGGGACTTGCAGATGCAAACATATATCTAAGTATAAAAGAAGGAGAAAATTAGAATATATTAAAAAAAAAAAAACATATAATAAATATAAATTATTTATAATAATTATAAAACTATTACTATTATCCGTTACAATCTCTTATTTCTCCTTTAGTTAATTATCAAATTCTTTTATATTTAACTATTTTTTAAACCAAAGATTATTGTGAAATAGTTAATGACTTCAAATAAAAAAAATTAAAGGTACTTTAGAGGAAGCTAATATTGAAAATTAGCCATTTAAGCCCTGTTAGAGAACATCAATGAGAATAAAACCTACATTATATTAAAAATTGCTTAATAATACACTGATATACCAAGTTTGATCGAAATCGTTAAGAGCCGTTTTCAACAAAATTGTAAAAATGTATAACATCAATTATATAAAGTATCATTTTCAGCTAGCCGATTTTGATGAAAAAGTTGCTGTAACATCACAGGTATATACAAACTTTAAATATGCAATTTCATACCACTATTCGTTTTTGAGCTAGAATGGTCACATACAGACCATTTTGCGGGACTTGGTTATTTGCACTCAGGAGACCTCAAAACATTTCCATTGAAAACTCAGATTCGAAAATTTTTCATGATCGCAATACTGTCTCTTACTATATATTTCATATATAGGTAAGTGAAAGTAAAAAGTGATATGTAGAATAACCAACAAAAATATGTACAAAATAGGAAAGTATTAAGGTTAAAGATGAAAAAACTACAATAGATAGTAAACAAAATAAATAATTATTTGGAATTAATAACTCTTTCAAAGATATTAGGTATTGAAATCCAAAAAAATCTCAAATTAAGAGTATACAATGCTATGACATATCCAGTTCTAATATGTGAGATTTGGATACTAACCACCACCCTAGCAAGAAGTATTGAAAGATTCGAGATAAAAATCTTCAGCACAAAAATTAAAGTGATCTGAGATGAGAGTACTAACACATGGAGAAAAAAGAAATACATCCATACAATAAAGAGCTGCTTACAGAAATTTGTCAAACAATATCATATGACTTGATCTCCAAAAAGGAGATGGATATATTGAATATTCTAACATGCAATAGAGCTACATCCAGATAACTGAAAAGAAATAACCCAAGATAGGCAGCGATGGAGAAAGCTGGTTAAGGTGTCAAAAGATCTAAAAGGTCTGTAATGCCAACAGAAAAAAATTGAAAAATAGCATCAGACCAATTCAAGCATTATTCCTTTCCAAATTATTGATTTATAAATATATGAAACATCATATGTTGTATACATTATCTGAACTGTTAGAAAAAAATCTATTGAAAAAATATTATTAATTTTAATCAATACTTACAAAGTAGGATGAAAGGTAACAGCTCGTATACTTTTTTTATGATTGGTAAGTGTTGCAATGGATTTCCCAGCAGCCAAATCCCAGAGTCTTATTGTACAATCATGACTACCAGTAATTACCTTAAAACAGACAAACATTAAAGTGATAAAAGTATTGTGATTACAATGCTTAGAAAACATTTGCATAAAAACAAAATGGGAAGAAAAAAAAAATGGTACTACTTTACAAATGTTGGATGAGGCAAAATCTCATAGTCACACTCTAAATGGAATTCCGACAACGGCCGAGTGTTGACGCGTTCATAGTATAACTTCTCTTTATTAGGATCATAATTTATGACAATTGATCCTTTTCAGTCAAAATTGGAGCCTTAATTAGCTCTTATTACATTGCTGCTTTTGCTTAAAAGGGATAAACAAATCGATAACAGATATTTTTGAGTTGAGGTTGAGGACTTGCCAGACGGTTCATTTACTTCCATCTACTTTTTAACACAATCTCCCCCATTCTCTGAATTTCATTTATTGTGTGATCATGAGATCTTGTATGATTCATCGAATTAGAGCAACACTTATAAAAAAAGAGGATTAAACTTCGTACAAAAGATACAAATAAAGATGTGACATTAGTATATGTTATTTAAGAAAATAGAATCTTTTATCTAGATGTCTATCAACAAACCGAAAAATATGTTTTATTTTTTAAATTTGTAAATTGGTAACAGCTTCAACGGCAAATTTTTGTAGATCAGCTATAGAAAAAAAAAACCATTTTCTGAGGTTAAAAAAATACCTGTGGTTCAGCAGCTTGCGAGATAACACTCGCAATAGTATTAGTGTGCCCAGTCAAAGTGTGAACATTTGCCTTTGTTCTCATGTCCCATACTCTTGCAGTCGCATCTCGACCAGCTGTGATTAGAACATCTATTGTTGGGTGCAGAGCAAGAGAATATACAGCACTTAAATGGCCGTGGTAATGCCTTATAACCTGTAAATAATATTAAATTTGTAAAATTGATTTAAATAAAAATAAAACTCTAAACAGAATTGGCAAATATTAAAATAAAGTATAATAGTAGATTCTGGCCTAAAAATCACTAAAATTGAAATTCAATGTTTAATATGAATCTGGAGTATTATTTGAAAGTGTCTGTTTCAAATATCTGTTCCTTAGGTAATTGATCTAATCCTTTAAGAAGATCACACGTTAGGTCTAAGATGAGTTGTAGGATCAGAACAATTACCAGAAACAAAATTCTTTTTTCTTTAATAAAGAGACATCTTGGATTTAAAAAATCATAAAATACAATAATAATACAAAATTGAGACATAGACCATATACCTTATTGTATTCGAGATCCCAACACTTGACTTGTCTATCTTCTCCACAGCTGAACAAGTATGGATGCCGAGGACTGACAGCAAGACCACGGACACTGCTTATATGGCCAGTTAGTGAAACTTTCAGTTTACCTGTAGCCAGCTCCCAAACCTGATAAATATAAAATCATTAAGAGAGAATTCATGTATTATATGAAATCATCTATTTCATTTTTATTTGGGCCTAAGTATTAAATAAAAGAAAGTTAGGCTCTTACTTTAATAACCCTGTCGGCTGATCCGGTAGCAAACCACTCATTACCAGGCTCCACAGTGACACAACGAACCCATCCTAAATGACCAGAAATTACTCTGTATAACTTCCAAGGAGCATGCCATTTCGGTTTAGGCATTGCTGGAGCCTTCCTTGGTATAATGGAAGTGATAGTGGTATTTTGTTGTACAGCCACTGCACCTCCACTGTTATAAGGTACCACCGAGGTTTCAGTTTGCTCTTGTATATCAGCATTTCCATCTAAACAGCAATTAAATATATTAGTGATAAAGAAGGGGTGGTACAATAGTATTTAAGGAATAAGTTCACTAATAATAACAAATTTTAACATTTTACCTGAATCAAATGTTCGGTCCTGTTTCATTTCAGAACTGATACTTCGAACTGATTTACTCTGTTTAACTTTATCTAATACAAGACTATAACTGTCACGGGATTTTATGCCTCTTTTAATTTTTTCCCTGAAATAAACACATCATAATCTTCATAAATAATACATTCATTATTCATCATTATAATAAAAATATTTAGTGTAAAATACTTACGCTAATTCATCAACGGGAGGAAGACTTCCTTGACTATTTAAAAACATGTCATGTGTCCTTTTCAAAGAACGGAAAACAAGAGTATGTACAGAATGTCTTTGAACTTCCTATTAATGTTTTAAAAAAATATTATAAGTTAATAATGAAAAGTTAAGCATTAGAATACTTCACACGTTTATAAATACAGACCTCTGTCATCTTGAAGAGTAATAAACAAACAGAGCATTCGGCTTCGAATGGTCAAACTAATCACCGATCACGCAGTTTACTAATATGTAGGTTATCCAACTCACAGTAACCAAATTTCCCTCGTTCACGAGAAAGTTTCTTCCTACCTCCCCAACTTGGAAGAGAATGTAGATTATTATCAAAATTGTAATTCTATAAATATTTTCAGTAAATAACATCTCTATTTTATATAATTTGGTTGATTATTTTAACAGGAGTGTTGAGAAGAAAGAAACGGAGAAAACTCCCCTACCGGGGGAGGGGGAAGAGGCTTTCGGGCTGAAGCCCCACCCCCTCCCTCCAAAAAAACGGGAGCGTAAAATATAATCATGTTTTTTAGGAAAAAATATTAAAAACTATCTCTTAAAGTATTATTGTTCGTGTAATTACATTTGATAGAACTTCACTTAAACACCATTTCATATTGGTAGTTAATTCCTTTTGTTTTTTTTTATTTCAAATTAATTATCAATCCCGCAGAATGGCAATGAATCTGTAACCCAAATTTGTTTAATTTAAAGTCCTCTACAACAGATAGTACTGATATGATTTATCATAGCTTGTGCAAAATCTGATTCAGATCAAGCTACTTTATCCAAGTTGTGCTTAGGGTTTGGATTTCTGAGTACCTCCTTTTCCCTACTAATAAGTAAGGAATCAATCCACAGTTCTTGAGTTCATCTTCACTTCCTTAATTTAGGAACATTGCCATAATTGGATATTCCACTAATCACTCTCTATAGTTTGTGTCAGCCTCCAGTAGTCTCAAGAAGAAGATTTTTAGAAATATGATAAAGGATGGCTGGAGATGTTTTTAATCATCTTATAATGCTTTATAACGTGTTAAATAAGTGAAATTTTGAGAATAAAATATTAAAAATACTTTCTATATTTTTCGAAAAAAGCTGACTGTATACTACTTAACACCACTAGCGGATCCAGGATTTATTTTTGAGGGGACTTAAGCCTGAAAGTGGTTTTTTTCATAAAAATAACGATAATTACTTTGGAAAAAAAGGAAGAAACTAACTACCTATATGAAATGGTGTTTAAGTGATCCCTAAAGCCCTTTTAAATGTAATTACACGAACAATAATACTTTAAGAGATACTTTTTAAATATTTTTTTCGATAAAACATAGTTATATAGTTACCATTTTGAGGGGAGCTTCAGCCCGAAAGCCCTCACCGTAGATCCGCCCGTGCTTAACACTGGAGATAAGTAATCATGAAGCAGTAATTTTTGAGATTTTTTATTGTTGCCGGCGTTTCAACCTATACATGTGGTTCATCATATAAAGGTGTTATTTACTGGTACAAGTAACTTACACCTTCTTAAACACTTTAGTACTGTAAACATGCCCTGATGATGACCCACGTGTTTGGGTTGAAACGTCGGTCAACAATAAAAAATATTAAAAATACCTGCTTTCTGATTGTTTGTCTCCTTTTGAATACTTATTGTTATTTAGGGAGGTCATGGCTGAAGGCACAACTTCTATCTTTGGCTAATTTATATTCGTATTGTACCCCTCTTGCGAAATAAATCACGGCACTCCCATTCGGGTTTTAAAACGGTGTTCTCTGGAAGGTCATGAAAGCGATCAATTTGTCTAGTTTTCTGTCTAGTTTCCTTTCCATTACTCGAGTTATTACCATAATGGAATAGAGTAAATTAATCAAAAATTCTTGTCAAATATACCTGTTACTGTTAAGAGTTAAAAAAGCCGGTTAATTATCAGCGATTACAATCTGTGTGTTACAATCTCTTATCATACCATATACAAATTCCCTCATTGTTGAAACGAGAGATATAATATCAAAGGAACATAATTCTTCTTTATTTTGTTATTTTTAAGTGTTTAATTAAAAAATAAATCAATAAGAGTCAGAAAAAATACTTTTATGAATTCTGTGTGAGTTAATTTTGTTTATAAATAGGTTACTATTATCTGTTATGGTTACAAACATTGAGTCGGGAGGTTTTATCAGTGTTGTTACTGTAACCTGAAGTATGTTTAATTTTAAAAGTAATGTTTGTGTAAATAGTTCTTTTAACCTTTGGAATATGAAAAAATGAACCTTATGTGGATAATATGAAGTACTGTATTTATTAATGTAAAGTGTAAGCTTCATATTTACTCTCCTTGCCCTCATTGAAATTAATAAAATATTTTCATGTATCCTGTATTTTACTACATAATTATTAATCTAATTGTAATATCATTTTTTATAATATTTTTTTCAGATAAATCTTAGACAATATGTTAACTGTTTATTACATTGCGGCCACTTGGCTTCAATCATGGCGTATAAATTCTATTTTACAAAAAATTAAACTTGTTAATCAAAAAAGTGGCACGATTGTTGTTCATCATGAGTTGCCGCCTTTAGTGTTTAAGTCACCAGGTAAGTTATGTTTGCAATTTATTATGTTAGCTATAGATGTTTGATTTCAGAGTATTTATTGTTTCGAAATATGTTTATATACTTCTGTTCAGCAATATAAGACCATTTGATCACTATAACTTTGTTTATTTTATAACTTTAACATTTTAATAGTAGGCCAGTTCTAGTGCCATATTCAACACATATTATGATCACTCCATGTAAATACAAGAAGGAGAGTCCCATTATGACATTTTTTTTCTTATACAAAAGAAGAAAAAGGGAAATGTGGACTGACAGTAGGTACATAAAATAATACTTGAAAATGGCCTTAGTGCTGGCTGAATGCTATCTTTTTAAATGTTATAGTTTTAAAATAAAACTATGGTTATCAAATGAACTTACGTTTGTGAAAGAAAAAAATATAGGAACACCTTAAATAGGTGAAATGGATAGATGTATATATTTTTCATGGTTATTATTTCTAAAATTCACATTCTTCAGAGTTTATCACTTATTTTCTTTATTTTTATAGTTCTTATTCTTTATTGAAAATATAGTTTAAACTTCTATTTTTAAAATTAAGTTATATCGGAAAACAAATGTGTTGTTACATATAAAATACGCCAATTATTTTTTTATTCTCGTATGAAATAAGATTTTTATATGAATCTTTATTGTGTTACTGTTAATATATGGTTTCCAAACTTAAATCACTTTTGTACAATAATATTATTTCCTGTTTAGGGAAATAAGATAAGTTGTGTTTAGGCAAACGATTAACAAATATTTGAGTAGTTGAATATTAGAATACGAAGAATTGGGTAAACTAGATCTATTTATTAAACTCTACCATCAACACTATTTACATATTTATAAAACTTAGATATTTTTTAACCATACAAAAATATTAACAATCCTGTTACTATTTGTTTCAACTATTAGTATGGTCTTGTACCAGAAATAGATAAGCCTCTTAGTTCGGTGTTGCCTTTAAAACAGCAGGATTTATTTTCATTAGCTCTTTGTTTAGTTATGTACTGCTACAAAATATGTCAGCAGTATTTATTGATTTCTGTGAAATAATACCTGTTGTGTTGACTTCTGATTAAGATCTCCATTATTATTTTTTAATGTTATACATGACAACCCAAGGTTTATTCAAGTAGTCATATTTGTTTATGATTTATTGTATATAATCCGGTCTTATAATCTGATGCTGTATAAATAACATTTTATTTTATAGCATTAAACTAAAACAATTAGGAAATATAGATTTATTTTAAAATTATTATTGTTTCATTATATCTTTTCAGTTGTTGAATTTATCAAGATCTGAAGCCTTAGACTAATAGTTGTTTTGGCTTTTGTTAGTATGATCATTTCAGTAATGATTTATAATAAAAATTTTTTTATCATATTGTATTGTGACAAGTAAATCAGTAATTTAGTAAAAGAAAATTTTTCAATATTTAAATTTGAGGATTTATTTGAGTTCAAAATTTCTTTCAGTATTTAATTTTGGTTGGATTAAGGGATATTTGTATCCCTAATAAAGAAAATTTTTAAGTATAAGATTTGAAATCCAATGAACATTGTTTTATATTAAGCCTAGAAAAATTAATTCATTATATAGTTGTATAATGAATCTATAATTTAGTATAGAAAAAGATGCTATTTCTCACTGTATAGAGACTTAAAATTTATATCACTCCCTAAAAGAATAAAAATTCTCATTTATAAAACCATAATAAGGCCTGTGGTTATGTATGAGTATGAAACTTAAACCTTAACCAAAAACTCAGATTGAATGCTCAACTCCTGGGAAAGAAAAGTATTGAGAAACATATGGGATAGACTCTCTGGGAATGGAATTTGGAAAAGAAAGAATGAGGAGCTGTGGGAACTTTATGGAGAACCTGATATTGTGACATTGATAAAAAGAGCCTGGGTAAAATGGATAGGTTATGTGGAAGTAATGCCAAACAGGATGCTCTATGATAAGCTGGATGGCAAAAGAAGTATAGTGCACCCTTGGATCAGATGACTGGGGGCATTTGAAAGTAGAAGGAAATAGTACAAGACCATAGAGATTGATTGGCCGTAGTGGAGGAGGTCCGGGTTCTTGCAGGACCTTATCACCATTATAATAATATAAGAGAAGGATAGTTTGGGTGATCAATCAAAATCAAAATAAATAATTATATTTATTTTTATATTTGCCGATGTTTTGGCCTGAAGTTTAGGCCTTTATCAGAGCTAAGAAAAGAACCAGATAACAATAGGTATGAGAAACTGTAAATATTGAATAATAAAGAATTACTATTGAAAAGGTGAAAGGTATAGACTAAAAAATATAGGTAGAAAAAACTTAAAGTAAAATGAAGTAGTTAGAGTGAAAATTAAAGTAAAATAACAATTTACTATTTTTCACTTTCTTTATTAGTTTTTTCTACCTACCTTTTTAATCTATACCTTTCCCCTTTTTAATAGTAATTCTTTATTATTCAATATTTACAGTTTCTCATCCCTATTATTATCTGATTCTTTTCTTAGCTATGATGAAGGCCTGAACTTTATGCCAAAACGTCGGCAAATATAAAAATAAATATAATTATTCACTATAGTCAACCATCAATCCACAATCATTATAATAATATGAGAAGGAGTTAGTCGAGGGTGCGGTCAAATAAATAAAAAAAATTAAAATATATAAATTATTTTAATTTTTGCCGACGTTTCGACCCACTTTGCAGGTCGTCTTCAGGGCGTAGGATGTGGCACTGCGGGAGGCAGTTGAAACACTGGCCATTATAATAATAGTTTTTTTTTAAAACATTTTCATTTAACTTTGTCTAGCATGACAAAAAAAAAAAAAAAAAAATGGAAAAGAAGCATAGCGATATGACTGTTATTAAAACTCTTCTTGGATATGAGAATATAAGCTAGAATGATCTCACTTCTGACTGTTGGACTCCTTTAAAAGGTGTCGAGACAAAGCAGTCGAGGGTGACGTTATTGACTGCGAAGCAGTACCTACGAAATATGGCCCTAAAAACAGAAGTGTGCTGCTAGCCATAACTTCCAACCATTTCGATGGCAGTACTAGCAAAGTTCTATTATTAATTTAATAACTTATTTTTGTTTTATTTACTGATAATAAAAAATAATCATGTGTAATCAAAATGGTTTTTATGATAGCATCTTTAGAAACATTATTGGTAGAGACCTGATTTCCATGTTATTGCACATTTTGTTCACTTGCGTGTAAAAACCCCAGATATCTATCCGTTTCAGGTTCTGTAGAATAACATATTTAAATTTTATATTGCATGTTTGGCCGTTTTTAGCTTACATTGCACGATTTTGATTTTTGTTGCATTAAATTGCACATTTTATGCTAGATTAAATGATTTATAAATATAAATATATATATTTGTGTAAATATTTACTTTTTATTGTACTATCTTGTCAATATTGAATTTATAATATATATATATATATATATATATATATATATATATATATATATATATATATATATATGTATATATATATTTTTTTTTTTTTTTTTAATCTGTTTATAGTTATGAAACAAAAACTGGAAGTAACAAGTGTGCTATCTGAACAGTGTATCAACAAAAAGAATGGGAATATTGGAGATCTCTTGTGGTATTCTTCAAATAAAAGAATTGCCACTATTTATCCAAAGGTATAAATATTTATTTTCTTCTAATTCAGCCCTCTTCCGTTTAATTCTCAGTAATAAAAATATCTTTGATCACTTATTTAAAGTATCAAATTAAAAAGTAAATTAAAACGGATAAATAAATAAAGTTTTAAAATCCTTGTTAATTGTAATTTTTATGTAGTTTTGCATTGTTTCTTGAAATTAAATGTTAATTTATAAAAGTAGTTGATACTATAAACAATGATTACTTTTGCTTTTACTAAAAATTATTTGATCCAATTAATTTAATATAACCTACTCATAAATTAAAAATAAATCTAGATTAAAAGTACTACTTCAATGAAATATAAATAGCTTGTGTTATTTTATCTGTTAAGAGCCTACTAAGCTCTCTGCAAAGTATTTAGTAGTAGACTGCTAACTTATGTCAATTCGGTAAGTTGTGATTAGCAAGACTTCTGTTGGGCGAATAAAAATTTATTAAAATGAGATCTGGATTTAATTAAGTGTTTCAAATAAATTAGATTGTAAATGTCACACTAAAATTAAATGAAATTAATATTGAATACTTAATAGTTGACTGCTGCATTATGAAGGAAGGAGATGGTCCAGGGTGGCGGTCATAAATAGGTTAAATATTGGCAAAACTATTTTTCTAGTTATGCTTCCTTCTAGCCCTGAAGAAGACCTGCAAAGTCGGGTCGAAACGTTGGCTTTTAATAAAATAGTTTTGCCACTATTTAGCCAATTTATGGGCGCCACCCCGGACCATCCCTTCCTAAATAAAAGTAAAGTTTCCTTCCCCCTTCCTTTCATTCCTTTTCTCTGTTTTAACTCTTTATTATATTATACGTTGTCTGTACATCTTGATAGACTTTACAATATCTCAATTTTCTATCTAACTATTCTATTCGCAATATCTTAATTTTACTATTTATTTTCATTTCTTATATAACTTCATATTCCTTTTTTCTGTTTTGCATTTTATTCTAAGATTCCCATTTTAATACTTATGTCACCTTTTTTGATTATGTTTACTTCATCATTCCACACTTTGTAACAGTTATTATTATTTATCCCTTAGTTCTTACTATTCTCATTATTCTAACAACTTCATTTTACTTTATTTTTTTTTACCTACACTATTTATGTTTCTCAGACCTTGTTATCTGGTTCTTTTCTTAGCCCTGATGAAGACCTGAACTTCAGGTTGAAATGTCGGCAAATGTCAAAATAAATATTATCATTTATTTTTGCCTTCTTATTTGACTGATCACCCCAACTATTCTTCTCTTCATAAATAAAATTAACTTTGTAGTTTTTTTTAGTATAAAATTTTGTCCAAATATATATAGGAAAAAGTAACATTATTAGAAATAATTTTGAATAATATGAGGACCTTTTTAACTATTAGTATGGCACGGGAGTCTTCAAACTTTTTGGCCCTGGGGCTACATTGAAACCTTGACTACGTTCCACGGGTCGTATTTTATGTCCACACAAGCACTGCGGGCCAGGGCTTGTGATGGAAAAATAAAAGCTTGTTCAATAAATGACACTTCAGTTTTGAAATGAGCTTTCTAAGAGAAAAAAAAAACATGCAAAAAATTTAAATGTATATATATATATATATATATATATATATATATATATATAATATATATATATATATATATATATATATATATAAATCATAACTATAATTATAAATTTAGTATTATAATTGAATGTTCTAATAATATCTGGTTACAGTTCTTTGGCCTTTAGGATAGGGTCCAGTTAGGAATTGAACGCAATCCAATAGAAATATTTTTTTGTATGAGAAATATTTTTTATGTTCTGTATTTCATTTTTTTTTTTAAAGCAAATTTTGGACATTTCTGGCTGGATATCAATTATCCCTGGAAGGACTCACCTGCCGATTCAGTTAATGGGACACAAATTAGCCGATGTGCTTGAAGATAATAATAAACTTTTCCTTTTGGTCGAGGCGAATTATAATACCTGCCAATATCGAATCAACTCACCTTTGCTAGAAGTAATTATTTGTGTTTACAATGAATTTATATTGCCTTTTTTTTTAAATCAGAAATAATTATAATTTTTCCTATATATTATTTTTGAACTTAAGTAAGTTATCATAATTCCATATGATGGCATATAAACGTTTCTTTTTTTCTAGGTAGAAAAATTTGGCATCCCTTTAGCTTGGCATGCGGCTGAATATGTCTCATTGCTGCTCGAATCTGACGAGTTGAGATTTGCTTCATTGTGTGTCACCTTTTCTCAGAACAATTTTACTTTGGAAAATGGAATCCAAATAGTGAGAATACAGAGTGAGTTTTCTTGAATTTGAATATGTGAACTATTTACAACTTTACCTGGTTTTCTACTTTATGAATTATAATTGTTTTTTTTTTCACTAAGGTATATATGAAATATATATGTTAAGGGGAAGGTTTGTGTAGTAACAGTTTGTGAATATAATAGTTTTAATCCCAAAAATAGTTTTTGCAAGTAATCACCCCCCTTTTTAATGATTTTTTGTTTGGAGTACTATTTACTTTTATATTTTATTAGCCCTTTTTTGAAGATTTGAAATGCCCTAAGATTTTTTCTTTGTGTCTTGCAATGTTAGATGTTTCTAATTAATTTTAAGTATTTATATATTCCAGGACTTGAAACGGGAAAAAAACTTTTATTTTTAAAAAGTTTTGGTATCACCAGAATTTTTACTGTTGATAATTTTTCAGTTCTTTTAGAACTAAAACTTTTCCCCTTGCAACTTTTCAAGTAAAGATTTTACAGAACTTTTATTTAAAAGTTCTGTTGATAAAAAAATTCAGTTGATTTTGTTACAAAATTCTATCTAAAACATTACTTTTATTCATAGCTACTCGAGCAAACAACACATTAAAATCATGTGTAATTCATTTAAGACAAATTATAACTGTAATATAAGCTCAATTACTGTTTATTTTCCATTTAATAGAACTTTTTTTAAGAACTTGATTAAATAAAACTTAAACTTTTAGCATCCTTTAATCCTGGAACTTTAGAACAAAAAAGTTCCAGAACTTTTATTTGGAGAACTTTTATCCTAAAAAGTTTCACAGGAACTGTTAAAATGGAACTTTTTAAAAAAGTTGTATAAAAGTTTTGATTTATGATATATTCAATACTAGATATGCCATCGTAAATTGCAAAAAAACGCTTTTATTTTTTCCCATTAGCTATTATTTTGCTTTCTATATACCTACTTATGTATTGTTTGTTTTACAGGTGTAGATGTAATCGGAACACCTTATAAAATCTTAAATGTCGGAACTGTTCCTGAAACATATGCTCCATTAGGGCCATGTAAGATAATCTTTTGTTAATATTTATTATTTTTATTTTAGTTTTAAAGGGTGAAAAACTTCAATGATTATCATCGCCCATATTCTTTGATTTTATATTTTATTAATGTAATGATTATCAATACATTATATGAGGATATTTTGATGCTATTTGTAGTAGGCAAAACTTTTAATTACATTATCAGTAATGGTGGAAATATATTCAACTGTCAAGGAGTAGTTGAGGTGCAGCCAGGAAAGATCGTAGATATGTCTAGGGCATTGGAGAGTTTAGAATGGGATATGGTGGTAAACCTTGAGTTCGAGATAAATGTATATTTTTTAAAGGTTTTTTAATACTATCAGAGAGGAAAGGGTGAGCAAAAGAAAATGGAGGCTGGTTGTGAGAAATTAGGGGAGGAAGAGAAAGTGGTGACATGATTTTTGTATTTAACGATAAGTTTGTTAATATTTGAGACCGATAGTGTCAAGGCATTATAACCTTAACATTTTCGAGTCTAACACAACAGGATCAAATCTGGCCTAGGCGGATTGAAATTTATTTTGTGGGGATCCACTGATTGTGGACCTTCCCACTTGGGTTAGAATAAAATAAAAATATTTTTAGTTATTTGGCAATAAATAAAAATAAAAAACTTGTTAATGGCAGTGGTGAGGGGAGTTATTAAATGGAGATGTCCACTTTTGATAGCGAACTCCTCAATTAATAATTTAAAATATATGTATAAAATGATACAATGGATAATTTTAATATAGTACCATTTGTGGTTTGGGTAATTTTTACAAATGAGAAATAAACACTTTCGTACAATTTTATCATAAAAAGGCCTCGTTCTTTATTGATGCCGAACAAATTATCTGTTGAATTGTTCAGAAAATTTATTGGTTGATATTTTAAATAATAAAATAATTTAAAAGCTGTTGAGAAAAAAATGAAAGTAAATAAAAGTTTTGTGACTAAGAATGATACTTATCATTTTTATTGAATGTATTTATTATTTTTTAAAAAGTGATAATAACTTATTTAAAATGATAATTTTTTGTTTACATACATTACTAGTTAAGGGAGAGTATATTGAAAATTCTATTATAGTTACTTTAATGTTAATTCATACTTACTGTTATTTATAATTTTCTCAGGCTTAAACAGGCACCAGCGAAAGGAAAATTTCATGTCTCGCTGGAGAGCTCATATTTCGATGTTGTGTACCTTTTGCGAAGCTGTAAGCCAAGTTAAAGAAACTCAGCAAGAGATATCCGTAAGGCATCCAGGATCAGGTGTCGGGTAATGTATCAATTTATCATGATGGCTTTTGTTATTGATATTTTGTTTGTTGTTGAGAATTGCTATCCATTTCTAATTGAGATCTAAATTATTGTAGCTAAGTTAATGATTATTGGTTGATAATAGATAGTGTCAGGTTCTATTAGTAATTTTGATAAAGGTATATGCCATCATCGCCATAGGAGAAATAAGGAATAACCACCATTATTTCTTAATGAATTTTTAGTTGGCCAAAGAGAAACAATTTTACCAAGTTTAAAATTAGCCAAGTCATTTCATAGAGCTGCTGAATTACATTCAGTTATGGTTTTATCTATAAATTTTTAATATCTTCCCAGTAAAAAACACTAAATAATTTGAAAAAATAAACAACTAAATATGGACGAGGTAATCTGCTACAAATGATAAGGAAGTGTAACCATAAATTGCCAATTCATTGTAATTTTTACCATGACTACAAATAAAAAATATAAAGTTATATATATATTAATGAAGAGGAACCCAATTCAGTTTATCGTAAAATGTAATAACATTATTTGAAAGTCATTCAATTTGATAGTTTTCTTATATTTTATATTTCTCTTATCTACATATTTTGAATTTATTAAAAAAAAAAAAAAAAAACAGTAATCATGTTATAGATTGTTCTTGCCCTATTAATTTCTTCCCTTTTCCATAATTATATTATTTAATTTTTTATGAAATAAGCTCATAACTGAATTATTTATTTGGTAATTAAAAATATATTTAGTTATATTTTAATTCATTTTTTAAAACTTGTAATTAACTTTTTTTAATGCACTTTTGATTACTTAGAGCATTGCTGCTACCAGTTTTTTATCCCCACTTCTTTCCATTTATTCCTGAGTCATTGTTACTAGAGTTCAGTGTACAATATTTCCTGCTTTTCTTTAATCAGTTAGTTGTTTTTAATCATATTTTTGATTTTCATTTGATTTTATTGTCATTATTTATTTTTATTTAATTATTTTCTATATAATAAAAAGCTTGCGAGAGTGTGTATGTGTTTATAATCGTTTTTATGCCAACTTGTCTACTAAAACTATTTAATAATGAGAAATTATTTTGTGAAATTGTGGTATTTATGAAAATAAAACTAAAAGGTAAGTTTAAAAAAAAAAAAGTATTGTATTTTTGACCCCGTTACTTAAACAAATCTCGCCATGAATTTGAATTACAACATTTATTAATAAAGTTATCTTAATAAAGAAATTAATATCCTTATAAAACAATGGTTGTTACTATCTTTTCTATCATTACACTTAATTAACTTTGCGTTGCTATTTTTTGCTATACTAAAATGTGTGTCACATGTCTTTTACTGAAACAAAGTCAAATAAATATTATTTTATGTATTTTTTTATAGCGATTAAAACTATCCTTGGGACAGCCCCACCCACACTTATATAATTTATTTTATCATTTTGTTTTTCAGTTTTATTTTATTTGATAAAAATTCTCACGATACTAGTTTTGAATCAATATTCAAAGATGTCGGCTGGTTTCTAGATCGCATATAGTACACTCTTGATGGACTTGAGGGTATCCAAAAGTAGAAGTAAACGACCTATCCCCAACACTTCTTACCAAAATACAATATTTTTGTTAGTTTAGGTTAGATCAGCTTAAGTTTCTATCATATTTATTTTGTTATATATAAATAACTGCGTGAAACGAATTATTGAAATGTTTTTCAGCTAATCATGTAAACTTTCACTTTTTCCTAGAAATTAGTTATCATAATTTGAGCCAATAATCTTAAAAAACAGTTAAACTGTTTGCTCGAAAAATCATTACCTACTTTTAAAGGATCAAGCTAAACACATTACTCTACTTGTGGCTTTATCATAGTCTAGTAATAAAAATAATTTTTATGTTTCCGGCCTACAACAATGAACATCCAATTTACTCTTTTGCATTGTAAAGATAATAACTACAAATTACAATAATTGAGACAGTAGAAATAAAATGATTAAATTGAAGCAATGTTGCAATCAAAATTTATATTTTAGATGCATTTCTCTGGTTATTCACTATAAAATTAAATACATCTCCACTTATAGTATCGCACTATACAGTTTTGTACCAAATATTAGCTCTTCCTCATGCTTAAATGCCCTGAACCATTGGATTCAGAATTCCATAGCGGCAAATTATACTCTATGCTTTTGTTTTTTTTTTCTAAAATAATTAAAGTTGATATAAACATTTCGCTAGGGACTGGGACAGTGATAAGTCGGTGGATCAAGATGGTACAAAGTGGGACTTGAAAATTTTGATGCGGACGTTATGACGTTGGTAGTTCTTCAGAAGGGCCTGGCATTCATAAGTCCAAAAATTTCATTACCATTTTCGAGATTATCTAAGGCAAAGCGTTCGCAGCCACACAGCCTCATGTTAATTTAGTGCTACCTAGGTAGTTGCATTATTTTCTTTTCTTATTATTTTGTCATTTGATCACTAACCAATATACTGTGCGACTTATCTGCATGGGCCAACAAGTCAAAATTAAATACTATTATAATAAATTAAAAGGTTGAGAAAAATAATTCCAATTCCGACTTAAATTTTATTGAAAACTTTATTGCTCTACCAGTCGCTGGACATAATACGCATGGCATATCACAATTTTTCTCTTCTATTTGTAGTTAAACACTGAACAATTGAGATAAGGACCTGTGACCCTCTCTTATTGAAAGAAATGAGTTGAAGAATATTATAGAATAATTGAACTTCAAAGAGTGAAGAATATTATAGGATAATTGAACTCCAACGAGTCTACAAAATATTTGTTTGCTTGATAATAATGAATGTTAAAAATTATGGTTAACCTAATAACTAAATTTAAGATGCATTTTATTTTAGAAATTCTGTTTTTATTTTTAAAAAGTGTGTCAAACTTGATGAAATATAGTAACAAGATTCATTTTCCTATTATAGACATATTATGTATGTTATATTTGTTTATTTATTTGGAACATTACTTTTTACAGGGCTGTTAAGTTGGTACCTCGTAATTATGAGACTCAACAGACTGCCGCTGGAAGCAACAACTCCCTCCAGAACAGTAGTAGCATTATAGAAGAGATACTGGATGGCGATTATAACTCCGCCATAACAGAGGAGAGCCCTATTCCTTCGAGTATTCCTTCTTTGTCAAGGATGAGTACCACAGATGTCGGATCTACTACTCCCGTATCTACTAGGTGATGAGAATTGCAATTTATAGTTTATTGTAATATATAAATATATTGTCATTAGGCGTAATTATATTAACAGTTACCACTAACGTAGCTATCACAATTGATATTAATAAATATATTGTTATGAGATGTAGCAGAATGAGAGAAAAGGCTAGATGCTAATACTGTAAAAAAAAAAAAAAAAATGCATACTAACAGTCGCTCTAACTTCTCTTGTATTAGCTTTAAATTCGCAGAGACCTGATAGCCAGTTTAGGCCATTGTAATTTTGTGTGACTTCTAGTCAAACGCTTAGATATTTCTTTAAAGTAAAAATAAATTGTGTTTTTATTTCATAAATAAATTTATTGCCATTGAAAATATTTCTTTTTTTATTTTTCCTATCCATTTATATTCAGAAAACTATTTCAATATTTTTTTTTTGTGAGATACTATTTAATGTAAATGTTTTAAGGCCCTTTGTGTTCCTAAAAGTAATTAAAAAAATAAGTTATTTTTTTAATTCATCCTATTTCTATGGACCTCTTATTTTATTTATTTTCCTAAATTACTGAACTGTTTCAATAAAACCAAGATTACTACTGAATTATGAAAAATGTTAGTTGTTAAAAAAAAAAAAAACTCTTAGCAGAGTTATATTGTGACTTCGGCAGCTTTGTCTATATCATCTTATTAGGTATACATACGCATATTTATATTATCATAAACGTTCTTCAGGCACTTTTGATTAAAGTCAATAATGACAAAATTTAACAATTTGAATTGTTATTTTAAAATGCAATCCTTACTGGAACCTTGTATACACAAAGACAAATTGAATTGAGACTTAACAATATTCTAGTACATGAAATATTTTGGCAAACATCATAAACACAAAACAATCTTATCACTGATAACCTCCACAGCTATTTTTTCATCGAAGAACTCACTCCAAAGTTAACTTTGAACAGACCGACCAAATATAAATTAACCTCAAATTCAACTAATTTCTAAAAACTAATGTTCTACGACTAATAACATAAACTGATGACGTTAACAAATAAGAGGCTGTATGCTTAGTTAATACAACCTACAGTAGGTTCAAGGCAGGACTTGATGATTCTTTCGAATCTCAATGATGGAAACTCCTGATCAACTCGAACTATCTATATCTTTCAAATAACTTTCCCTATTTTTATACTTTTTGATTTTTATACTTTCAAAATCATTATAATATTAAATTTAACTAATTATGATATTACTTAAATGTAAAAAAATGATCCATTTTCATTAAATTCCTATAAAATCACTTCTTTTTCTCCCGTTGGCTCGACAGACCATTACTGATCCCTAGCCTCCTCCAATAACTTCTGCACACTGTTGGGCACCAGTACTCCAGTCTGGGCATCTTCTGTTATGCCATCCATCCATCCAGAATGCGGTCTTCCTCTACGCCTGGTACTATGAATGAATGGCCTCACTCATTATTTTTCTGGGGATCTCATCCTCTGACATTCGTGCTACATGGCCAGCTCACCACAATCTTTCCAGTATTATATGCTTCATAATGTGAGGTTCACCAAGGAGGTTATATATTTCTTGATTAACCTTCCTGAGATATGTTTGACCGACTCTTCTAGGTACATAAATATGCCGTAGAATTCTTCTCTCAAAATCCAATAAACTTTGTTCATCCATCTGTGATATTACCCGAGCCGTATGTCAGAGCTGGCCTGATCAGCGTTTTATACAGCCGTAATTCTGTTGTCCTTGAGAGAAACTTGCTCCTTAAATGTCTTCTTAGCCCAAAGTAACATAGGTTAGGAATGACTTTTCTCCTCTCGATTTCCTTTGTGATATCATTTCCCGCAGTTATCAGGGATCCCAGCTAGAGGAACTCATCCACTTTTTCAAACTTATAGGAGCCCATCTGCATGTTATCTGCCAAGATACCAAACTTGGATGTTGTATACTTGGTTTTCACATAATTTACAATTTCCAGTTGTCCAGCTGTTGCTTCTAGTATAAAATCACTACTTTATATTTATTTATTACATGTGGATAAACAGTATCTCATGGAATTGTGGATACTCTGTAACGTTGTAATGTAAGATGTATAATCAAAGCACAAATCCTTAATTGTTTCTAGATTTATGTGAGAGTGACTGTATGAAAATCGATACAGAGAGGTTTATTATGAGTCTATTGAATGCAAAATTCAAAATGAGATTTGCAGCACTCAGAAGTTTCTTTAATATTAAAAAACATCTAAAACTTGGAATGGAGACTTTTCAGATCGTAACAGGATTTGTTGTTTAAAATACTCTTGTAGCCCAACTAATCTTTCTGATTTTCATTGAAAACTATGGCATGACCTCGGGCCCTCTCCCAATATATCAACATAATGATATATAGGGGAAATGGCCCAATATTTTTTAGGCTACCTTTGTGATAAAATTATCTTACGATTCAAGTAGAAAGCAATTATTCATGAGTTTTTAAATAAAAAAGTTGTAGGTTACAATAAAATGAAGCCGTTCAAGAACTTTTAGATGAGTGTTTAAAATTTGATAAAAAGGGATTTGTATCGCGGACTAATTTATTTACTTTTAATGGACATTAAAAGAATTTCATGAAAGCGTACACCAATGGTCCACAACAGTACTCCATAAATTGTTCCAAGCATAGAACTCAATATACAATATTCTTTTTAGATGATTTTAGAAATAAACGGGAAAGTAAAATTATGATAGAGTTTATTATAGGTTGTGTATCTGTTTCAAGGGCTTGTTTTTCTTCTTCCATAGCTCTACAACCTGTGAGAGGTTATGGCTGCCTGAAGTAAGGCCCACCATTCTTCTCAATTCCGAGCAGCCACCCTCCAGTCCCGCATCTCCAGAATGGTACGTGCCTCCTTATTCACCTCATTCACCCATCGCAGCCTGGGCCGTCCATAACTTCTGGTGTTGTGAATTTCTTCTTCGAGGAGCCTCTTTGGTATTGAGTCAGCACTCATCCTGACCACATGCCCAGCCCACCTGAGCCAGCCAACCCTGATGAAGCGCACTACATCGCAGTCCTTGTACAGCTCAGATATTTCGGCATTTGTCCTAATCCGCCAGGCTAGCTCACGGGCATCAAAAGTCGCTCCAAAAATTCTTAATACCTTTCCGTCAAATTGGAGGAGTTGATTTTCCTGGGCATTGGATAAAGTTCAGCATTCAGATCCATATGTAAGCACTGCCCTAATGAGGGTTTTGTACAAACGCAATTTAGTTGTGCGAGACAATAATTTACTTTTCATCAGTCGCACTTTCCCGAAATAACATTTGTTAGCTGCAATGATCCTTCTTTGGATTTCCTTCCCTTTGTCGTTATTCTGAGTTATTAAGGAGCCAAGGTGTATAAATTCCTCGACTCTCTCAAATGAACATCCGTTCAGTAGTACATAAGAACGGAGCATCCCTTCACAAGGGCTTGTTTTGTTAGACAAAAATATTAAAGTAATTGTAAAGATTTTAGTTAGGACTTGTAAGGATATTTGAAAATTCTCCAAAAGATTTTTCATTCAAAGTTTAGTTGAGGAAGGAAGTAGATGGCTAATAGTCTTTAATATAATCAGACGTTAAATGAATGTTGGTCCTCTATTTTAACTGGGATATATAAATCCTTTTTAATATTTTTTATCTTTTACATGCTTATATTTAATGAGTAAATCAGTAATAAAATTATATTGTATCAGTAATAAGTTATATTATTTAATCAGTAATAAAAGAAAGATCCTTTTAAGCTGTTAATTCCACTTAACCTATGGGGTTTAGGAGATTCTATTTTCCTTCTCACCAAAGATGTAGTAACAATGGAAAAAATAAGTTTGAATCGATTTAATTATTTTAAAATCTCAATAAGTGGAGCTATGTTTATATTCAAATTGTCTGGGTTGAAAACTTTTTACATCAGATGAAATACATTAACTAAGTTTAGGATATTTAGTCAATGAATATTTAGCCAATTAACAATTTACTTATTTTATTAAATTATCAATAATATGATAATAATACTCTAAATTTTTTAATGATTCATTCATGTTGTTAACAATACTGTCCAAAATTAATAAAAGTATCTACGAGAACTGGAAAAGTATATTTTGGTGAAAAGGAGTTTTATTTACTTTTTGCAAACTGAAGTGTAGTTTTTAACAATTTAAATAATTTTTTAAAGATGAAAGATATGAAGAAAAAAAAATGGTTCATCTCTTACATTATTAAATTCACAATTGATGAGCTTGAATCTTGCAAAAAGTAACAACTTGGAAATAAGACAAGGATTAAGCATGTCATTAGAGTCGACAAACAACCCCTCAAGCATTTATAGGTAAATGAACGAAGGGAGAAACTTTAAGTAAAAAATTGAAAATGATGTAGTTGACAAAGCTTTAGCATAATCTCCAACCCATTAGGATTTCTTTTAAGTTGTTGGTCTATACAAAGTTTCAAATATCTAGAAGCACCACACCCACATGAAAACGGATTTATAGATATGGTTGTGATAGAACCAAAAGGAGGAAATTCCGGAATAGGAAAGAGGTGGAAAGTGAGAATGCAAAGAACTTAGTTTCTTCTAATCCTCGCATACTATTTAAAATCATGAATCTGAGAAAATAGAAATCAATGAAAAGGACTCAAGCATAAATTCTTTTGAAAGATTGAAGGAAAGACAAAAGAGATAAGAGTCCGTACCACTTATAAGTTGAACCTTGATTGACTGAAGAAAATCTGCTGAGATGATTTAGTCACCTTTTAAGAATGGAGTGTGGAAGAATCGCAAGTTAGGTTTATGAGATCAAGGTTGGTGGAAAAAGAGCAAAAGGTAGAAAATCTAGGACCAAATGAGAGGATAAGGAGAAAATATATTTTCAGAAAATAGGACTTGAATGGGACAAAAGAAAGGAGCTGATAGAGGATTGGCAAGAGTGAAAAAAGTTGCATGGTATATATTTTTTCCTCTCACTGCATGATTGATAAAATAGATGGGCGATGATGATGAAGAATACGTTGATTTCTCATGTCAGAGACCACTTAGCATGTTGTCATTTTCTTCACTGCCTGAAGAGAGAGCCAAGTCACAGAGAGTTACTGGGATCTATGCTCTATCTGAAATAGAATTTCGGCAGCTAGTAATATTGGTTAACTACCTGTACTACTAGGCCTTTGTGTATGGGTGACAACAGCTATCGGCCCTCACCACCTAATCTATCAAGAAGATGCGATGTTGCCGATGATAACAGCACTGATAAAGAAGTAATAATTACAATGAATAATAATTTGTAAATGGTTGACTGTCGTGAATAATGGAGAGAAGAATAGTTGGGGTGATCAGTCAAATAAGAAGGCAAAAATAAATGATACTATTTATGTCGACATTAGCAAACGTTTCGACCTGAAGTCCAGGCCATCATCAGGGCTGAACTTCAGGTCGAAACGTCGGCTAATGTCAAAATAAATAGTATTATTTATTTTTGCCTTCTTATTTGACTCATCATCCCAACTATTCTACAATGAATAATATTCAATCTCATGTTTATTAGATGCGATAACATATGAATTTTATGTTATATGCCACTACTGATAGATACATTTAGCCAAAAAGCGAGGTAGGGTATTGTAAATAAATAAATAAAAACGATGAAGAATATATCATTTTCCTTAAACATGAAAAATCTAAATTGTATATAATTATTTTATATGTACTAATTCATTTTTTATATTTTTGCAGGTGTATTCATTAGCTTTAAGCAGTATGGACTAATGTTATTTCGTTAGATAAATTTTTAACTTATACTACTACTAAAGTATAACCCATTATATTATAATTTTAACAAACCTTTTACAGGTTGGCGGCAGATTCTGCTACTACTTCTTTGTCTTCGCTGAGGTCATTGCCGTCAACACCAAGAAGAACTATCATCACCACTAATTCATTATCAGACCGAAGCAAACCTCCCACTATAATCATATTCTCAGATAGTTCATCTGCGGCTGACTGTGTCAAAGTAGCACTAGAAACGGCCCTCACGAGAGACATGTAATACTTTTTGATTATATATCCTCCAATAATACTAGTATAATTTAATAATAATACTATTATTTATTGAAAAATCAACAATGGTTGGAATTTTACTTCTATAGACATTGTTCCTTGTTTCTTTTCTTTTTTAAGTTCTTAACTTATTTGGTTTTTCTATAACTTTCTATCATTGTATTCCTTGTGGCCAACATCTTTTAGTATTTTTATTTTAATAAAAATATGTAAAATTCCTAAATTTTCATCAATCCTGAAGAATTCTTGTAAAGTGTGAACATCAGCATTTGTTAAATAGTTTTATTATAATTTTCGGTTTATTATTTTTAATAATGAATCTTTTGTAATTGATCTAGAAACTAAAAATACACACTTTTATATTAATCAAATCTCTGATTATTTTAAAGATAACTAAATTAACTAAAAAAAAAAAAAAAAAATTGAAACGGGCTAGTTGATTTGGCGTATTAAACTTTTTATATGTGTTCTAATACAAAGTAGAAGTTTCACATCATACAGAAGCTCTTGGGAATTTTTTCGAAGATTAATTCAATTGCCTATCTTTAAAAAAATCCTTAGTATAGCAATTTTTATATTAATTTTTCTCAGAAGACGATAAGGAAATTAGTGAGAGATTCCACACATTTTTTGTATAATTTTTAGAAAATATAATTTGCAATGTGATTATTTGAAAATCTAAATTAAAAAAAATTGTTTAATAAATTATTAAGTCCATTTCATTACCATTCTACACTATAGCGTAAATAATTTTCAGGTATACGATTCATATCTTGAGCTTCTCCCAGATGCATACAACTCCATGGCTGAGTCAAACTTGCTTGGTTATAGTTCATGGCAACGTTCCCCCTTCCTTTACTGAGGGAATCACCAATTACGTTCTAGAAAGTAACGGATCAGTGTTGTGCCTTTGTTCTGACTATTTAGGTTCCGTGTTGCCGATGTTCCATACCGCTGAGGTACGGCCTAATGAACTTGTGCAGTGCTCTTACAAAAGCTGGAAGCATGTTCCTCTAATGCATCATTTGTTCTGCTACCAGCCGTCTCCGTCCATTCCACAGTTCTCACATGATGAACAAACCAGGTAATGATATATTTTTTTTAAATTTATAGTTCAATTTAATTTCTAATAAGTTAGTAAATTACATCTCATTTAAAAAATAAAAATATCCTTCTCACGATATTTACTATAAATAGAAATTAATTTTAAATAAATTTATAACCTTTAAGGGTGTTACTTTAATCTATATATATATATATATATAAATGAATGTATGTCTGTCTGTCTGTCTGTTTGTCCTTAATGCATTACTAAACCATTCATCCGATCACCATGAAACTTTGGGAAGTTTTTCCGTACACTCCTGGGAAGGTTTCTGGCATAGTACTTCTGTCTTACGATAATTTCATATATATATAAAAAAAAATAAAAATGTAAATGTTTTTCTGTTCAAAGCCGCAAAAAAGTGTGTCGCTATAAACTGTAGCGCCAAAACGGCTAATTTTAAAAATTAATTTTAACGAAACTTGGCTAAAGTCTTCCCCTTGAAACCCTTTTAATTTATGTGTATAACTGTGCTGAAAAATGTTACGATGAATTCAATATTTTATTTGACGATAACTAAAAAAATACACAATTTTTGACTGATAATACCCATATTTATATGAAATATTGCTGAAAATTTTTTTTAAAAAATCATCAAAATCGGACGGTTCGTTGCACAGTTATAGAGTTTTAAACATTTACTGCTTTCTCTTCAGAAAAGACCGTTTCCTTCCGTGCTTCCTCACTACCGAAGGTCGGCAAGCATTTTTATATTATTTTTTTTTATTGATTAATCGAAAATTTTATAATTACTACAGTAATTGAAATTATCATTTGAAGAAGTTATATGATTCTCCTTATGTAGGTCAATACTATTATACGTTTTTTTTATTAATTTTTTAATTTAGTTTTATAAGTTCAACCCAGACTGTTTTTGATGATTATTAATGACGGCGTATTCACTCAGATGATTATGAATGTTTAATTTGAATCATGAGAAAAAAAAATCATTAGAATTAGTTTAAATTGAAGCCATTTTACAGACAAATTTGTTTCCCAACTTTTTAAAAATGACAGATGTCCTTTGCTACTAATCTACTCATATGTGCTTTCTTTTTCATTTTGCCAGGCTAAGCCACAGCAGTGCGTGGCTGGGCAAAGTTAGTTATTAATATAAATCTAGAACATTTACTATAAAATGCATATTTATTTTTGTTTGCAAAATGCAGTTACTGTACCATATTTATTTTTGTCATGTTGAGGTGAAAATAAATTATTAAATTTTCTCTTGAAATTCCATTTAATTTCATTAAAAACATTTATATTATATTCAATAATATAAAAAACAATAATTCTTTTATTGATTTTTGATTGAGAGCCAGTTAGAGGAAAACCTCAGGTTTTGTGCAGTCAAGTTAATTGTAATAATTGACGAAGTCTCATTTTCTCAATATTGGAACTTTTTGATTTTTAAAGATTCTAAAATCTTTAATTATACGAGTCAGCTCAAACATTAGCTTGTAGAGTAATTTCATTTATTATTTTGTTCAGTTTGAGTGTCATACCGGATTCTGTTGAAGTTAAAGATAGTAAAGGAAATTCGCACAAGTTGAAGGTAGAAGTACTCGGTGCAGAAGAGACCTGGCAAACCCCCAGTTTGCTCTTGGTATCGCTCAACGATTCAGCAAAGATGGTCTTCTCTCAGGTATATTTATATTTATAGCTTTATGTGGGCTAAAAAAATTATGTAATATTTCAACAGTTAAATTTCCATTAACTTGTGTGATAGTTGAGAGCAGCTCCCTGGAAAATTGTATATAATACTTAATTTATGTTGTTGGTTTATTGCAAAAAGTCACTAAGTACATTTTTAATGGATCTAAACTTTTAAGTAAGTCTATCGACCTTATATCTCAATGAAAAAAATGAAGTAAGTGCCCCAAATTGATCCAAACAATATTATGTATAAAAAACAGTTACATTAAGTAAACAATGTTCTGATTTCACTGAGGGAAAATTCATCAAATCACTCAGTTATTTAATCTTAAAAAATGTTCCTTAATGATTTTTTCTGTAAACCTATGATTATATTTCACCAATATATATTTTAATGACAAAAATTTTCGTTATTGACTCTTTTCAGAATAATCTTCTTACTGTCTTATAGGTCCATTTAGAAGTTGACCCAGAGCATTTTGAGAGTGATGTATCCAATCGTGACGCACTTGTCAAAAGTAACAAAGCTCGTCTCGAAATTTTGCTGGACGTCCTTGGCAATGTTCTCGGCCTCGAGTGTATATCAGGCCAAAAAGAAGTGGACTATTCTCTCGCCTACTTTCTCGGAAACCATGAGGTAGTGATTGTAATTTCTATAGTGTAAGATTCCAGGCATCAGCTGGTTTTGGAAATCAATGCCTCATATAAGCAATTATTTTATGCATTTAACTTCATATTGTTTTAATTTAAAAAGAATAAAAATGTTCCCATTTGAAATTTTTTAAATAAGCCTTGAGTAAACAGAGGTTGTAGAAGCTAAAATTAGCGATGAAACATTTGCTGAAAACATTAAAAAACAGAATAATCCAAACAGCCAAATGCATACTGCTAAAAACATAATAAAAACTTTTAATTTTTTTCTTAAAACCCAATTAAAAAGTTTTTGTTTTGACTTTTGTCAAAGTTTTTATTTTTTATTCAAATATAACTTTTTTTATTTTAACATTTTAAGCCATTTACACTTGCGCTGCAGCGCATCTAGCAAAGTTGATGAATTAGTCATTGACTGCGAGTTTGCTTGATTAACATAATTTTGTTATTGTTGTAGGAGTAGGTTCCTTGGCCATTTTATTTTTAGTCTGCGTCGATCAGGTTACAGGGAGGAAGAAAGTGACAGAACGAGTGGGTTTGGATGATTGAGTTAAATTCCATTAACACTTAAATTCCCATTCCCATTCCCATTTTAATACTTATATCACCCTTTTTGATCATGTTTACTTCACCATTCCACACTTTGTAATGGTTATTATTATTTATCTCTTAGTTCTTACTATTGTCATTATTCTAACAACTTCATTTAACTTTAATTTTTTTACCTACACTACTTATGTTTCTCATACCTTGTTATCTGGTTCTTTTCTTAGCCCTGATGAAGGCCTGAACTTCAGGTCGAAACGTTGGCAAATGTCAAAATAAATAGTATCATTTATTTTTGCCTTCTTATTTGACTGATCACCTCAACTATTCTTCTCTTCATTATTCACGACAGTCAACCATTTTACCCACAATAATTAATTATATTTTTTGTCATTTCCTATATATGCAAGTCACTTTTCCCTATTCAGATCCCACATTAATCCAGAAGTTAATAGAAGATTCTATTATAATGTTATAGATTTTTATTTATAAGCGGACAATTTTAAAGTTGTAAATATTTTATTTTTACTTTTATTTATCGAATTCCTAATTTTTCATATTATAGGTAAAACAAGATCTGTTGGATAAACTTAAGAATGATGGTTTTTTGGAGAGCAACTTGTCTTTGAAGGCTGGTAGAATTACGCTGAAGTTCTGTGGAAAGGGAGTGAGCCCTCCACCGGCGACGTCATCCGTACTGCCTGTCCTAATGCACGCCTGTCCTCAGACTTTTTCGACGTTTGATTACTTTGAGGTATTTTATTTAATTATTTTGTGTCACAATTAATGATAAAGAGTGATTGATTATACAACTTCTATAATATTCTTGATATTATAGTGATCATGTTAAGGGAACTACTAGCATTGATTGAAGGGATTTTGGGGCTAAAGCCCTCCTTTACCCTCCAAAAAAGATAAATTTTGCTTTATCATTGTTTAATATTTATTTTTAAGAGTGAGCTGTGAGCTGGGCCAATTACTTAAACGATCACAATATGTTCTCTTCTTAAATTACAACGCATCTGTTCAGCAACTATATGTAAGCACGTTTTAAGAAAGATTGTTATACCCTAAGGTAGCGCATCTGCTTGGATTAGATTCGACTTTAGTGTTTCAAGGTGAGGGTTCACGATTTGGATGAGTATGAAAGGATAAGGAGAAGCATTGATTTATAGACAGCCATTTTAATTTTCTTAATCATTTCTCTTTTACCCATAAAATCATTCTCATTCCCTCCAAAGGAAAATTCTGAGCAATTAAATAGTGATGGATTGAGGGCACAATGAATTAGACTTAATGTGCAGTGAACAAATTGTTGTGTGGAACTTGCTAAATGTGCATGTATAACAATGGATGAACAAAGGAGCTTGGAACAGTGTCTGGCTGGGGTGTGAACGAGAGAGGTTCTGGTGGCTGTGTGAGAGAGCGACCACTCTAACTGGAGTGTTTGTCAAGAACAGAAGAGGAAGATTTTAGAAGAGAATAGAAGAAATGCTATTGGACATAGTTGAGGATCCTTTTTATCATTCGAGATCGCAGTAAGGTTAAGCAGTGCTGATTGAGGCCATAATAATTCTTTATATTCTACCTTTGCTATTTTTATTTATCACTAAATATACACACCCATATACAAAAAAAAAACAACATTCAAATATACTTATACATACATTCAACTTAATTTTATTAATTTCCACATCGTTGTTACTTAAATAATTAAATATTAATTAACTCTAGCTCTAAATTAATAAATATGGCACAGAAACTTTTGGAGGCTGCATGTGTCCGCCGAGGCTGCAACTACGTCACAAAGGCAAAATACTGCCTCCAAGGCCGCGGTTCCCCACCTATGGTATAGAACTTTGAATTATTATTCATTATCTGACTATTTTGTTTAAATAAATTAGTTGCGTTGGTCAGGACTGAATATAATTATTTTTATTTAGTTTTATTATATGTCCCAACATTTTCCATTTAAACAGTGGAAGATCGACAAAACCATGTGAGTCAAATTCATTCTAAGTGTATTCGCTCATTCCAAAATTTCGAATGTATTTATGTTTCTTACTCCAAAATATCACTTCAGAATTAGGTCCCCATAGTCAATCAAAGACGGCAGCAGGCATCCTCAAAAAGTTTATCCAGAGCTGCCATTTTGTTTTAGATTAACTTTAAGTTATAAGTGTAAATAACCAAAACCCACAAGCAAACGAAAGGTTACTTATTCATTTGTTGAGATGAGGACCCAGATATTGAAAACTACCTACTTTCTCTAGTCTCTCTTCGTTTGCTCTCAGTACTCTCATTCTTCTCTGGAGTTTGTTTTCTATTCGCATGTATTTAATCTTTCCCAGGTTGAATTTCATATTTGTTGTGGTTATTTCATCTTGGAGAAAGTTTGTATTGTATTGGAGATTTCAGTATATTGAAAGCTATTGAATTCTAATACAGAGAATCTTGTGGGTTGTAGGTTTCTGTATCCTAACTGGAGCTCCCTCATTCTTAGTTTAGCTTTACTTTGTGCTGTCTAAGACTAATGTGAATAATGGTGTGGTTCATTGACAAAATTTTGTCCAATATGTAGCGTGGCATGAGTGCCTTTGGTTGGACACATCTCATTGCACCCCAGGAGGATGGGATGGCCGAGCAGACTAACATATGTGTAAAATACAGGTTATCCAGTAACCTGATAAACCGAACAATTTAAGATCAAATCTCGGTACCAGAGAGACTTTAAACTCTGGCCTAATTCCCCCGCCCTTTCCCCTGGCCGGAAAAATCTCATACAGTCTAAAAGGCGAGGAAGTGGAGAAAAAGAAAAAAAAGTTGAGCATACTGTAGTAGTTAATATTAAACTATATATTCATAAAAGAGTTTTCAAAATAATTGTAATTGCATTTTATTGATAATAAAAATTATGAATTTTTGATTTTCTGCAGAACTTGAAGACTGAAAAAATTGGACGTCTAGTTATTTTTTCTGATGTTTTGACTTCATCCATGGACATTGTTCAAAATGTAAATTTTTGCCATGGTTTTACTGTCATACCTTATTATCAAACTAAAGGAAAAGGTAATTTAACTAAAATTCATTTGTAATATTCTTTATAGTTAATTGTAATTAAAAAATTATAATATAAAATTTTTCTTTTAGGCCGAGGCGGTAACACTTGGTTAAGCCCAAAGGGTTGCGCTATGTTTTCAATACAGATACATGTGCCATTGAATAGCGTCGTCGGAAGACATTTACCGTTGCTACAACATGTGGTCAGCCTGGCCATTGTTACGAGCATCTGCCAGCTCCCTGGTTTAGAAGTATGATTATTTATTGAACTCATTTGATCACGTATTATTCTAGTATAGTAGCAGTAATTAATAAAGAAGCAGATAGTAGTTAAAATCAACACAATAAATATTAGAAAACATTTTTATGAATGACAACATTTTGATCCACATTGTAGGCCTGCAGAGAGCAAGGTCCTATAATAATGATAAAGTCATGAAAAATCTTTATAATTATGATTGATTGAATATAATATGTCCACTATACATTGTATAGTAAAAACTTATGTTTTCCAAGCAATTTTGTTTAATTAAAAAAAAAAAAGACAATGGTTGGGGGTTGCAGTCAGAGAGAACACAAATAAATACAAAAATATTTTTATTTTATTTTTTGCCGAGACCAGAGATAGGCAAAATCTGAATCAATGATTACAACTGAAAATAAAACTTAATGACCATGCCAATTTTATTCTTGATTCGATGGCACTGTAAATATAGAAAAAGTGTGCCAATCATAATAAAAAATCTTATTACAATTGTGATTGTGTTATCATGTGATGAAAATTACTGTAATCATAATCACGCAGTCATAATCGTTGATTATGAATATGACCATCTATGGCCGAGACGTATCAGGCAAAGTTGCAGGCCTTCATCAGGGTTCCTACACCTAATGGGTCTTTGAAATGAGTCGACACACAATAAGATAAAAATATTTTATTTTTATTTGTTTTATCTCTAACTGCAATCCCTACTAACTTCTCAACTATATAGTCTATACGCAACAATATCTTCACCATGAATAATTTATTAATCTTTCTTAATAATGATTTACAATTTTGTTATTAATTTTAGTTACAATTCTTATCAGAGGCCTTATAATTTACACAAATATAATTCAGCTGTTTCACTTCGTAATATATAGGGTGTCTCAGTTGTTATTGGCTAAACTATGGAGGGAATGAAGGAATTGCTCAAAAAGTGTTCAGGATAATTAAATTCTAAGTACACCATTATAGACACAATTTTTAAATTTACTAAGGTCAGTCATAAAAGATAATTTTGTAATATATAGTATAAAAGATAAAAGTTGTCTACTTTAGGATGTTGTACTTAAAATTTAATTATCTTGAACAGTTTTTGAGCGATTCCTTCTTATTCAATAAAAAATTTTACCACACAAAATTGGTCTCAACTCCTTTTCTGTTCTTAATCGGCCCATGAATCAAATTTATATTCTTCTTCTTCTTGTTCTCCGGCTCTACAGTTCAAGGTGAACTTTGGCCTGTCCAACAATGTTTCGCCATCCTTCTCTGTCCATGGCACATCTCTTTCAGTTGGTCACTCCAATTTTATTGGAATCATCCACCACCATGTGCATGGGAGCGGATAGGGAGAGAGTTTGTTCATGGGGGGGGGGGAGGAGGCATGCGTGTGTTACAGCATTTTTATATTATTATTTATTGAAGACGTCCACTGTACTTTATGTATTTTTTATGAATTAGGTTAGAGAGAGAGAGAGAGAGGAGAGAATGTGAGGAGTGGGAACATGTATAGGAGGAGAGAAGGAAGAGAAAGGGTATAGAATGATAATAAATGAATGAAAAAAATAGTAAAAAGAAAAAAAAAATAAAAATAAAATATATATATATATATATATATATATATATATATATATATATATATATATATAAAATATTGTATACTATGCTCATACATATTGTTAATCCTATATAATTGTATATTATTTTTAAAAATTGTCTGTAGGGATTAATAAGTATGCTGTGTTGTTAGCAACCCAATGTAATTGAGCAGCACCATTTTATGATAATAAAGTGATTCTCTCTCTCCCTCTTCTATATCCTTAATCCAGCATTTATGTGGGTGTCTCTTTCTTCTTTTTTTCCTAGAAACATTTCGCGAAGAACTTTTTTGGGGATATTCTTTCATCTGGCATTCGCTCAGTATGACCCAGCCAACTAATTCTTCTAGCTTTAATGAACCTTACAATATCTTCATGCTGTATCAGGTCATCCAATTCTTAGTTACCCCTAATGCACCATATGCCTTGTTCATTTATTGGACCGAAAATGCATATCATAATTTTCATTTTGAATATTCCAAAGGCTTGCTGGTCGGCTACTTTAAGCGTCCACGTCTCCGCACGGTAGCACAAAACGGGCCTGATAAGGGTGGTATATAATTTGAGCGTTTTGGTAGTGAATCAAATGTATATTTTGGTTCGAAATTTACTCTATAATCAACCCCCAGAGTTTGGTTATTAAGAACTGAGGCATCCTGTGTATGAAATAAGTTGATAGACGCTAAAACACTTATTGATGGATCTATAAAATGAAGTGGATCTAAAGAAATGTATCTGTTTTTTTTTTTAAATTTATTAAATAATATTTTACTAGTTTTATGTTGAACTTAAGCATCTTTTCTGTGAACAATGTAAATTATTATTATCAAATTTGGTGATACAATAGGTTCACCGCTGCTTATAAAAAACTAATAGCTTCCAATTTTAAAAGAACTATTTTTTTATCTTTTACAGGGATTAGATATTGGAGTAAAATGGCCGAATGATATATATGCCAATAAAAAGCACAAACTCGGAGGTGTATTAGTGACCAGCACAGTTATCAACAACACTGCCATCTGCAATATTGGTGATTATCCAAAATTTTATTTTTATTTATAAATTTTAATCAATTCTTCAAATTTTCACCACTTCTGGCATCTTTAGGGATACAATCTGATATTAAAAATTTATTGATAATTTTATCATGAGTTATTTTATTTTATTAATTGATACTACTAAGACCTAAATTACGATCTGTATTTATATAAGTCTCTTTCCCATTATCCTCATTAGTTAGAATTAACTCAAACAATTTTAAATATAAATTGAAACTGTGAAAATTTAAATAAAATGAACATTCACAAACTAAAATTAATAATGATATATATATATAAAGTAAAACAACATTAACAAAGAAAAATTATTAGAGATATTTAAAATAAACATATGATTCCTATAATTAAGTTTCAAAATGGCCTCCTACCTGCGCCAGAAACACCTTCACACTCTTAAATACAACATTGGTCCCTGCTTATTTGGGAGGCGTTGGTTCCGTAAGTTGTACCCTCTTATAATGAATTTCTTAAATGAAATCCAACAATCTTACAATTGCAACTGAACTAACTTTAATAGGTTACCACTTCATATTAAAAAAAAAACTTTGCATTTAAAAAAATCTGGTGTAGTGCGCACATCACACAACTTTCAGTTATCACCCTCTTAGCAGAAATAAGTATTGTCAGACAATGGGGAAATGAAAGTAAAAATTATAAATGTTATATCAATTTATATTTCATCGTGGATATTTTTATTTGTTTAAGTACCCTTATATAAACAAATTTTAATATTTAAATCACTGTAATCAATACAATTAAATATTAAATAATACCAATGAAAACATTTAGGAAAACTGCATATGTTTATATACATAATATTGTCGGAATCCGTATTATATTAAGCTTATGTATGTTACTAAGGAATCCTTATCTAATCTTTGGGTGCGCTCTCGTATCCCTTGGGTTCCTTCATTACAACTATTCTCTGTTACGATCTGTTATTCCTCCTTTAGTTAATTATCAAACTCTTTTTTTATATCAGAGAATAGTAAGAATAAGAAATGGTTAATTGTTTCAAATAAAAAAAATTAAAGGTACTTTAGAGGAAGCTAATAATGAAAATTAGCCATTTAAGCCCTGTCAGAGAATATCAATGGGAATAAAACCTACATAATATTAAAAACTGCTTAATTTTGTACTGATATAATGAATTTAATCCAAAATCATTGGAGCCGTTTTCGAGAAAATAGTAAAAATGTATTTCATCGATGATGTAAAGTACCACTTCCGTTTAGCTAACTTTGACGAAAAAGTTGCTGTAACATCTGAGGTATATACAAACTTTAAATATGCAATTTCACTTTCATACGACTTTTCGTTTTTGAGCTAGACCTGTCACACACAGACACACACACACACTCAGAAGACCTCAAAACATGTATTTCTGTTAAAAACTTTGCTTGATTCGGAAATTTTTCAATATTGCGATACTGTCCCCCACTATATATTTCATACATTGATAAGTAAAAGTAAAAACAGAAACGGAAGAAGATAATTCTTGCCGATTGTTTTTATTCCTTTTAACATATGATGTCAACTCTTTAAATTTTTCCATTTATTTATGGTTTACGATTCTATAATTTGATATGCATTTATTTATTCACATGATAAATTATTTTTTATAATATTAGGGTTTGGTCAGGGCCATTAGGCTCTGAATTTTTTTTTTTTTATATATGTTCTTGTCATTTTTATGTATTTCAGGTACGCTGTTCTGAATATATCTTCAGGTCTAGTGTTAAAGAGAAATCATTAACAATAAAGATTGTTGGCATCGGGATAAGAAATGGTGAAAATTCAGTGATAAAATTACTAATCATTCCTTGCGTTGTAACTAACCTGCATTACTTTGCATTTACTTGTTCTATTACTAAAAAACAAACAATCTTAATTGTTTTTCACTCATTTCTATTTACTAACTGGACATTCAGCCTAGCAAAGTTTTTAAAACCCATTCTAGGCAGGACTAGATGATTCCCTCACATCTCATTGGTCGATCTCGGAGGCAGAATGTCGAAATATCTAGAGCTTCTGTATTACTCTCGCTATTTTTATAACTTTTGACATCCAAAACCATTATAATGTTAAATTTAAGAAATTTTAATGATTACTTAAAATTAAATATTACAAATAATCAATTTTCAATAAACAACATTAAAATCGCTACAATAGGTCATTCATGTGACTAAAATACTGCAATTATGATTTCTTTGTTTTAAGAAATTCAAAATAAATTCATAATTGTGGGTTGATGGTTGACTGTCGTGAATAATGAAGAGAAGAATGGTTGGGGTGATCAGTCAGAAATAAGAAGGCAAAAATAAATAATAATATTTATTTTGACATTTGCCGACGTTTCGACCTGAAGTAAAATGAAGTGGGTTGAAAAATGACAATAGTAAGAACTAAGAGATAAATAATAATAACCGTTATGAAGTGTAGAATGATGAAGTAAACATAATCGAAAAAGGTGACATAAGTATTAAAATGGTAATCTTAGAATAAAATATAAAACAGAAAAAAGGAATATGAAGTTATATAAGAAATGAAAATAAGTAGTAAAATTAAAATATTGAAAATAAAAAAGTTAAATAGAAAATTGAGATATTGTAAAGTCTATCAAAATGTTTTGACAACGTGTAATAGAATAAAGAGTTGAAACAGAGAAAAGGAATGAAAGGAAAATAGAAAAGAAGAGAAAACTGAAAAAATAGAGAAAAAAACCAACCTTTGTCCTTAGGTGACTGGAACAAAGTAAAGCTATGGTAGCAAGTTAGGTGGAGAGATGTATGGTTGGGTCATCTCTGACCGTTAACTGACAAATTATGAACTAAAGTACAGGAAGCGTAAATAATGGACGAGAGATGTATTACTCATAAATATTATGAATTATTAAACGAAAGTTAAAGATTTAGTAAAGGAGAAGATTTGAAATTAATACTGATCATATATATATATATATATATTATAACTTAAGATATGTATTATAATCGGATAATAGGTCATGAAATATTTTTTTCCAAGCCTTTTTAGCAATTTTGAATATATTTTTACATTTTTGGCAAGATCACTTCCGTATCGCTGTTTGATATCTTGAAAGATGCCCATGTCTTTATATCAATAAAAACAAGAAAAACAAAATTGTAACCAATAACAAGTCAGTAGTAATTCCAATAAATACAATTAATTTCCCAATCACATAATATTACAATGATTTTTTATAATTCGACCTTTATATATTATAACTTAAGATATGTATTATAATCGGATAATAGGTCATGAAATATTTTTTTTTTTCCAAATGCTATATAATATTTCATGACCTATTATCCGATTATAATACATATCTTAAGTTATAATATATAAAGGTCGAATTATAACAAAACATTGTAATATATATATATTCAAATTAAATTCAAAACTTGCTTTCTAAAAATTAGGAATTGGCACATAGTTGGTTTTGCCTTAGGTCTGATGATGTCATAAATAACTGACTAACTGTTTTTGTCTAGTTTTTCCTCTTTATTCTGTTAATCTTTGATTCCAGATTATTTTGAGTATTGTGTGAAGATCTATCAATAAATTACTACAGATTTACACAGGATATAACCTTTGTTTAGTGACACTATCAATATTAAAAAGCTTGCCTTAATTTTAATAATAAAAGCAATATGTTTATTTTTTTTGAGTGCCAACAATTAAATATTCTTTCAACTTGCTTGTATACAGGGTGTCTCGGTTCTTAATGGTCAAACTCTCGAGAGTGATTTTAGACAAAATTTCCAACAAAAAAGTTCATTTTATGCATAAGCGATTCCGAACTGAAAAGTAGTTACGACTAATTTTGTGTTTTTGTTAAGGAGGTCACATTTTTTATTAAATGAGAAGGAATTTCTCACAAACTTTTCAAGATAAATAAATTCTGTACACTATCGTAAAGTACACAAAATTTTCTTAAAACAGTGATCAAATTTACTAAGGTCAATGATAAAAGGAACTTTCAGCAAGTCTAATATCGCAAAGATGCGTTTCTCGATAAATCAGAGGTTTCTCGCGTATTAGGTTATTAAATCATTTATTTGTAAAAGAAAAGAATGTTAATTTAAAGGTTTCGAACCTTTATGGTTTCATATAATCATTTAATATCCATCACTAATTAATACCGGGAAACAATAATGGTAGAAGAGTAGGAATGTAAAACTATACATGGTACATTGATAGAAAGGGAGGTATTATTGCAGGAGACCTGAATGTTTACAAAAATGCGAAAAGAAAGTTGAGACCAATTTTGTGTGGTCAAATTTTTTATTGAATAAGAAGGAATTGCTCAAAAACTGTTAAAGATAATTAAATTGTAAATACATAATCTTAAAGTAGACACGATTTTTTGAGAAAACGGTGATTAAATTAACTAAGGTCAATTATAAAAGCGACTTTGAGGAGGTCTAATACAGTACTGTTGCAGTTACCGCACACATACATAAGCAGCATATCTCTATATTCCCGATTCGTGAAATATTTCTGCATATTGGTGGGCTTAGTTCTGCTAACGTTAAACACTAACTGATGAAAAAAATTGTGTTCTCTTGATGTTAGATAAGAATATTGAACAGATATCATAAGTAAGATAAGATGCATTTTTGTAAAGATAATATTGTAAATCTTCACGTCTCCTGCAATAATACCTTCCTTTCTATCAATGTATCATGTGTAGTTTGACATAACTATCCTTCTACCATTATTGTTTCCCAGCATTAATTAGTGATGGATATTAAACAATTATGTGAAACCGTAAAGGTTTGAAACCTTTGAATTAACATTTTTTTCTTTTACAAATAAATTATTTAATTACCTAATATGTGAGAAACCTCTGATTTATCGAGAAACACATCTTTGTTGTTATTAGGCCCACCTGAAAGTCCGTTTTATTATTGACCTTAGTAAATTTGATCACTGTTTTCTAAAAGAAAATTTAGTCTAATTTACGATAGTGTTCTTAGAATTGAATTGTCTTGAACAGTTTTTGAACAATTCCTTCTTATTTAAGGTTCTTAAAACCTTAAGAAAAACATAAAAATCGTCTTAACTCCTTTTCCATTCGGGATCAGTCCATACATTAAATGACTTTTTGTTTAGAATCACCCTCCAAAGTTTGGCCCTTCAAGAACTGAGACGCGCTGTATAATTATAACAATTTGCTGATTAAGCTGTAATTTTTTTTTTTTTTAACCTTGGCTAACCTAAATAGTTTTTGACTTCTTTAACATAAAAGTTTTTGTTTTATATTTAGTATTTCTTTTCTTTGTGAAAATATCACCTTCTGTCTCAAATATGGAATTATGCAACAAATCAAAAACATTTTTTTTATCACCTCAATCGAAATGGTCGTGACATTGAATTGCTGGGTAATTTTAACTTAATGTGTATAGAAGGTCCAAATTATCTGAGGCCAAAAAAATTTGAGTTTTCTCATTATTCATGCCTAAAAACGTTATGTTATTTATATATTAGATAGAATAATAATTAATTTTGCATAAATTAATTAATAATATTTTATAGAACTAAATATATCCTCAGTTTATTGCAAAAAGACATTAAGTAACATTTTAACGAATTTGAAGTTTCTGATTCATTAAGAAAAAATAGCAATTTTATTATTTATTTTTTGTAATTTTCAATTCTAAATATGTATTCTATTTCTGACTATTAATTAAAACACTTAACATACAGATAACAATGAGAAAAAGTGAAACCACGATGCACATAGTGACTTTTTGCACACTATCATCACTATCATTACAAAACACTTAATTTATAATCTAGCAAGTACATATAATGTAAGTTAGCCTTACTTCACTTAATTAATTTTATTAAACATCTGATCAATTAGTCCTGTGATAGAAGTCATCAAGTACCAGATATTCAATTTGGTGTTCAACTTTCACCATATTTAGAGAACACAAGTTTCATTTATCGATAGGTAAATATGTAGGTATGATAAGTGCACTGCGGCGATATAGAGGCTTGGTTCTTTTGAGGTGTCAATGGGATGCTCCTCTTCAGCACTGGTCCATTTCCCATAAATTGGCCAACGTAACAGATGTCCTGTTTCAGAGGATTTTTGATTTCGGACATGAAGTAAGAATGTGTGCTGATCTGTTAGGGATCAAAGCGAGTAACATGGAACCATCGCAAACAGTTAAGAAGGTGAGACAGTCCCTGAGGGAAAAATCCTTTGATGAATGGAGCAAGTGGCAGAGAATTGGTGTGTCCCATTGTCTAATCCGTGGACCGATAAATTTATTTATGATAGAAAAGTTCTCACCTGCTGAGAATGGACTAATGAACATGAATTTAAATGTTAATTACGCTCCTCTCCACAGAGTATGGAGATGTTGAACCCCTCTGCCACAAATGTGGCTGAGAGTCAGAAACCCCAACTCATGGTTTGGGCAATTGTCTGTATAACATGCTCCTAGTCATCCGCTGCCACAGTAACGTAAAGCATTGTGTAGCCAAATTCCTAGAAATAAAGAACTATAAATTTTTCTAGAAATTAACTGTCTGGATACAGAAGGCTCAACAAGGTTCATTGACATCTTAGCGTTCAATGCGATGGAAAAGAAGGCACTCATAATGGATCCCACGATCAGATTTGAAACCAACGATCAGGATCAGAACTTCAAGGTACAGGCAGAAAAAGAGGAAATTTATACGAAATGCATACCTTACCTGAAGGAAAAGTACAGAGGTAAATTCAGCAAGAGAGAATACTTAATAAAATCGCTATGGTTCGGAAACAGGAGAAGCATCCCCCTTAATACAAGTAATTTCTTCGCAGAGGCTCGATGATTGAAGGGAGCAGATGCAGACTATGACAGAAAAAATTATTTTAGACTCGTTAGGAATCCTCCATCACCAGATATGTTGATCTAGGCCTTTACTTATTTTTAATTATATAAACCATTCTTGGCATATCTGATATGTATTCCAATGGTCCGACCTAAATCTCTCTTATATTTTTATGCAGTATTATCTTTTGATCGATGAGTATGCTGTGACATTTAGTAACTCAACACAGTTGACCAGGTGTGAAATGTTGTTGTATTTCTCTCTATTTCTCTTGATGACTTTTTGCTCTGTATAGTGAGAACATTGTGAACTTAATGAAACTATTTTTTATTTATAAAAGAATTTGTATTATTTTTATATATTTAGTTATTGTATCGATAAATATGATTGAAATTAACAACTACGCACCTTCAGGTTCAAATCGGCCAGAAGTTTACTGAGTGACTTTTTGCAATAATAATTGATCTATTATTTAAATTACTAATTATTATCAAATGATCAATTTTTCGTGAAGTTATTAAGATTTTATATTTGATATTATGTCTTTTCTGCTATTTTATTTTACCTTTTCAGGTTGTGGTTTAAATTTAAAAAATGAAGAGCCGACCGTTTGTGTCCATGAACTGATCAAAAGAATGAACAAGCAATTATCAACAAATTTGGAACCAATATCGTATGAAAAGTACTTTGCTAATGTGTTCAATAAAATAGAGGAGATGTTTAATTTAATTGAATCGACTGGAAATCTAGACAACTTTCTACCAATTTACTACAATTATTGGTTACACAGGTTTGAAATACAATTGTATATGTGTCTAATTGTAATTTTATATGGTGGTGGTTAATTGTTGAGTGTTTGAAGATATTGTTGAAGAAAAGATGGTTGATGATTGCAGTCATTGGAAGTTCAAAGCAAAAATAAATTATATTTATTATCTTTGTGCCGAATTGAAGCTTAAGTTTCAAGCCCTCATTAGGGCTAAGTAATGACAAGATAACAAATAAATATTGAGAAAATAGTGAACTGTAAAACAGTAATAATAATAATATATATGTAAAATAAATTATTGAAGGAAGTTAGTGAACTACAGTTAGACTACGTATCACAGAAAATAAATAATCGGGAAGCAGTCATTTTGAGATTTTTTTTTTATTGTTGCCGATCTTTCAATCCAAACATGTGGGTCATCATCAGGGCATGTTTTGCAGTACTGAAGGTGTTCAAGTACTCTAGTACGTTTCGGTTGAAACGTTGGCAACAATAAAAAATCTCAAAATGACTGCTTCCTGATTATTACTTACTCCTGTTTATGTAAAATAGTGTAATAAAATAATATGTAGCTAGGTAAAATTAACATTAATGAATATACGGAATTGGAAATATATCATATATAAATTTAAAACGTTACTTCCAGAAAAGATAAGACTTACTAAATTTATATATTATATATTTCTCATTCCGCATATTTGTCAATGTTAACTCTAGAACGACAAATCCCACAATATTTTAAATATTAAATTACTTTTATATAAGTAGTTCTTTGGCCAAGGTTTCTCATGTAAATAAACAGCATACTTAGCCAGTCTAATTACAGTCATTAGCGTTCCATTGTTGGGCTTATTACATTATTAAGAGTTATTGTCTCACACCCCAGTGTGCTGGCTATGTAACTGTTCTGTGAATTTCGTATCCCATTGTTTTCTTTTGAAACTTCTGTTATAATATTTGTTAATTAGTGGTATTCTCAATTCAGACATTAATATATAGAAACTATTTTGTTAGTATGACAAATACCAAAAAAAAGAGTATTCTTCTGAAGAAATCCATAAATTGTTATATCTTATACTTATCAGCTCATACTAGTGTTCCTAACTTTAGAACTTTGATCAAAAAATTATCTTTATAAAATTTAATCCATTTCTTCATTAGGGTACCCCAATGTCTCTATTCTGACTTAGCCAGTTTTCATGATTTATTTTTTATTTATAATAAAATTACAACCAAGCTAATAAGACAAATGTAAATGACATTACATAGATATATTCAATAAAAATTATTGCTTAGTCTGTGACCAGATTTATGAATTCGAAAATGGATAAATGTGAATCCGAAATGTCAAAAATAAAGTGACTAGAAGCATGAATGTTATATTTTTAAAAATTTCTAACATAAAAATAAAATAAAACTCTAATATACTTTCAAATTAAAAAAAAATACAAAAATATAAGTAACAGAACAATATAAAGTATTTTTAATATATATATAGTACATGCTTATTATGTTCTAATGAAATGGGATCGCTAACTTATTATTCCATTTTAAAGTGATGCTGATGTAGAAATACGGACAACAGACGGCGAGTCGAAAAATGCCAAGGTGAAAGGGATCGATTCGTCTGGATATTTATTGGTAGAGCTGCCCGGAGGCGTTGAGACTGTTGTACACCCCGACGGAAATACGTTCGACATGTTGGCTGGCCTCATCGTTCCCAAGTTCTCCAGTTCGTAAGGCAGTAGCATTAAGTATGGAATTAGGGGATTCCCCGATCCAATTACCTATTTGATGTTTGCCTTATTTAAAATCGTAGATTTATTTACAATTTTTAAAAGTGTATTAGTCATTTAACAAACACTTAGGTATTTATTTTTATTACACTGTTGTTTGTTATTAGTTTATTAATAATAAATTCTTCCATGACTAAGTTAACAATTCACTTGGTTATAATTAGTTAGTATCGATTAGTAATGTTTAGAAACTAACAAAGCTTTGTTGTTTGGGAGGGAAAAGAGGAAGGAATGGATGTATTCCTAGACTTCCGCGAATTGCACATATTAATTTATTAGGACCACTTGTGTTCAATTAACACACAAAATAATCTAATTTTGTGTAAATTACTTAAATTTCAATATTATAATTTTTTTTCCCATAATTTTATTGACCGAGGTTTCATCATTTACTACCTGGTTTACTTCTTTTTTCTGAATACGAATGCGACATGGGAGGAAATGAACTGTCAAAAGGTCTGATTAATTATAAGGGTTTAAGTGCTGTTGAAGAAATATTGGGAATTAAAATATTTCATGAAAAAAATGTTGATGGTTTTTCCGACTTGTGATTTTGATAAATTTTTCCTCCAAAAGTGTCTGTTATACTAAAACGCATAAATTGAGGAGTTGTCCTTAGCTCTTTAAATGATTTTGTACTTAATTTGTAATCTAATTTTCCATTATTTATCATTTTTTACCTGTTGAACAGGATATAATAGATAAACATTTACACAAACAAAAATAGAATATATCATTGATTAATTGTAAAAAGTCATCCAAGTACATTTTTTATGAAGTTAAACTTCTTGGTATGTTTTACCAAATTACCACCTTATTTATCAGGAAGTCATAAAAATGACACAAACTTTTTAACTGTTAAATGTAGTTATACTAAACGCACAATTTTCTGATTATAATTAGGGAAAGATCATCAAAGTATTGGGTTGGCAAATAAGTCCTTTCATTTTTTCATGTATTCACCTATCTTTCCACTAATTGCATAGTGCTATATTCGTAGAAGGTCTAGAGTTTGTAGTAAAAAAACTGATCTAAGCAGTTTTTGATATGATGTTTTGTAATTTCTTTCAATTCATAGAGTTCTGCAGAGATATGAATAAATGGTAGTCTCTTGGAACTAGGTCTTGTGAATATGGTGGGTGAGTTAAAATGCCCAGGAAATATTTGTTGCCAAGTTGACTTCACAATACACTATTAGAGAGTGGGGTTATAGAAAAATCAAGCTTGAGAAGACACCTCTAGAGCCATAGCAATCCCTCACACTGATTGTGCAGGGTTCAGTTAAAAAGTGGCCTTAAAATTGTTCAATTTAATTTATTGTGGGCAACCAGACTATGGATAGACTATGATATCTAAATTTCTTTAATTAAATTTGGCAAATCAATTTCACAAGTGCGTTTGGTCTCTAAACTATGGCCCACATCTGGCCCTAAAGCACCTCAGGTATAGCCTGCGAAAGTTTCTTTGATTACTTTTTAAAGTTTTAATATACTTAAAAAATATGGAATTTAACAAAATTCACTCGAGGTTACTATAACATTTATTGCATATTTTTTTTCATCACAATTCATGGCCCGTGAGGCTTAGGTGGAGGTCTCAATGTGGCCTGCGAGCCAAAAAGTTTGGAGACAGGTCCAAAAAGTTGGGTTGAAGTATCATTAAACATTAAAAGTATCATTAAAAAGCTTCCACAGTAAGCTTACCTTTTTTAAATTATTATTATCATGGGTGATAAATATTCAGGACGCAGTCTTTTTTTTTAAATTTTTTATTTTTGCCAACGTTTCAACCCAAACATGTGGGTCATCTTCAGGGCTGAAAATGTTTTTTAAAATTACAATCAGAGATATAATAGTATACAACCGTTAATTATAAATAATAAACTATAGTGATTGATGGTACATGAATCTTAACTAATATTGCAATACACATATTGAAATTAAATATGTAAATAGTTATACAAACTAAAAAAAAATAAAAATAAAATAATGTATATAATTCATTTATACAAATTTATAATATTTTCTCTTACTAACCGTGGTTTGAGCACTGAGGGTGTTCAAGTACTGACACATTTGGTAGGTAAGTAAAAAGGTCAGGGGTGTAGGATTTCCCAGTTGTCCTTTTTCAGGTAGCAAAAGGTAGGTAAACATAGTTAGAAGAGAAGGGGGGTACAAACATAAATGTTAAAAAATAAATAAATGTTAAAAAATACTGCGTCCTGAATATTTATCACCCATGATATGTAGAACAGTCGACTAACTTCCTTCAAGTATTATTATTATCATGGCACTACAACTCGGTGACCAGTCTTGGCCTCCTCCACCAGCTTCCTCCAGTCTCTGTTCTGTGCGGACATCATCCAGCTCCTGACTCTCAGGACATCCCTTGAATCTCTTACCACACCGTCTGACCATCTTAGTTTTGGTCTCCCTCTTCTTCTTGTGCCGTAGAGAGGTTCTGTCAGGATCATCCTAGGGAATGCTTCATTCTACATCCTTGCCACGTGGCCAGCTCATCTCAGCCTTCTAAGCTTCATCCTCAGAACGACATCTTGATCATTAAAAATTGAGTAAATTTCGGCATTTGTCCGTTCTCTCCAATTTCTATCGATATGTACTGCTCCAAATATTCTTTGAATAATTTTTCTCTCAAAGATTAGGTCTTGCTCAATTCTTTTATTCCTCGTCCATGTTTCTAATGCATAGAGCAGGACTGGGTGGATTAGTGTTTTCTAGAGATGTAGCTTATTATGCTGGGATAGAATTAATATAACTATATTTCAAATCAATATAGCAAAAAAAAAAATACAGTTTTAACAAGAGTTTATAGAAATGGTTGAGATATTCATCCATCTTAGAGCTTAATTCATCATAAAAGAAATGTATGGTAGTGTCTTAAAAGTAAACTGAAAAATCGGAAGGATTTATTTGCGAACCCAATACTTAGTAATTTAATTTTATATAATATTACTTAATGAATGTTTATTGTAAACCCACAATATTCCTGCAGCTCTTGTAAGTCTGTTGCATATAACGGATAAATAATAATACAGGATATTTCATGATCACTGCTTATCCCATTTTTTTTATAAGGGGAGAATTTGTAATAAATCTTTGTAGGCCTTAGTTATAGCGAATGAATGAAGTTTCGTTTGGCAGTGAAATCTTTTAACCTTTTCCTGTTCTCGTACGAATAATTGGCTTTTTGCATTCAATTTACCTAAATTGAAACTAACCAATCAATGAAACTGGTTTTCTTGCCAATCTTAATTCTTTCTATTTCTTGAACAGCCTTGTGATGATGTGTTCCTTTTTTAATTTTTAATTTTAAATAGAAACAAAACGTGCCGCCCTAGTTATTAACTTATTATTAGATTTAGAATTGTCCATCGGGCATTCATTTAAAATATTGCATATCAATTTTCGATTTAAATTCAAATTATTTATTTGTATCTAAAGATGTTATTAGTTGAAGAATATAGAAATTCTAGTCTTGTTATTTATTTTTTACGATTCTTGTTACATTTAGAAATTTTAAATAAGATCTAATAAGTTATAAGTGGAGAAAACCCTAATTCCTTTATATTCAAATGTTAAAATGGTGATTACGTAATAACTGAATGGAATACATATATATAAAATATTTAATAATGTATTCATCTCAAATTGGTAACAGCTTTTAATGTAATATTTTTGTTACTTGTGATTTCAATGTTGTTTTTATTATACCATAGTTAATGTGATGTATCAATGTGACTGCATGTATTTTTTCTCTATTACTGTAATTTCAGATTTCTATGTGTTGTGGAAACAATTGTTTTTTAGATATGAATGTTTAAAAATTGACTTACCATTGTTTTAATGTGGCATTTAAAATATTTGTAACTTTCTATTTATCCCACTTTTTAAAAGTTGGTTATTATTGAATTCACCTAGTTCTCTCTCTCTTTTTTATCTTTTGTTAATTGTTAAAAATTATTTGATTTATGTCGTCCACTGTTCAATAAATGATATTTATTATTTTATTTTTTATTCTATCCAAAATTTTATGAACCAATATCCAATATTTAATGTTTTCTTCCTATAATTTTGTTATCATCAAACATTTTTTTTAATAATATCTGGAATCAAAAACTTTATATAATTTAAGTAGTAATATGATAACCATCATAAATTTGGAGCTGTTAATTTGGTTACTAAGGACTAGTTGTACTACCTGGTGGAATAAACCAAAAACTATTTTCTCCATGGTAATCTAATTAGAGTAGGCAACAGTATAACTTTTTGTATTTTTTTAAGACCGGTTTAGAAGTTTCTTAAAATAATTTATTAATTAGAGCCATAAAAAATACAATGTATAAACAACTAAATAATCTGTAATATAATCTTCTATGTTTATTGAGTTTTCTTTAAAATATGTGTCATTTCTTGGTGGTAAAATTGGACAATAGTCCTTAAACTACTTGATTATGGTTGATATCTCAATTTTGGGAAAATACCCTGCAAAAGGGCCAAGGATGGGGTGAGTAGCTTATAACATTTCAGCTATTTATGTAAATAAAAAATGTTTATGTAAATACAACTCCCACAAGTTGTTATCCTTTGCTAATTATTTATAGAATGTTATTCCGACATACATTGCAAATCTTCATCAGCTCTAAAAAGAAAGGTACGGAGAAGGTGAAACTATCATTTATGGTTTTTAAAACATATGCCCGAGTTAAGCAAAAATTAATTGAACATAACAGGTAAAAACTACAACTAAATTAGTTATCACTTGAAATGGGTACTAGCTTGTTATAGCTTAGGAAAATTAGTTTTAACTGCAACTACAACCAATTTGCTGAATAACATAACTAATAATTGTATTTTCCAATACTTCTGGCAGCAGCTCTGTGCACAGCACATAATCGTATTGCACATAGATTTATTTTAAATTAATGTATCAATAATTCTTCTTAAAAACTACGCCTCTAATAACCTAATAAAGTAAACTTAAATAAAGAAATATGAAAAATTGAATTAAATCACTATATCGTTGTGCAACATCAATATCGATAGTGTTATCTAAATCTACGCTCCTGATAGTCTAGTATCAAGGTCAATAAAACTACCAGGTTCGCTCACTCAGAGGGAAAATGGTGGGGAGGAATCGAGCTCTGACGTAGCCAATAGACTGATTTTACCCCTCCGGCCTTTGTTCCTTTACATTTTAAGATTATTATTTACTTTTCTACATTAAATCAATACTGTATTGCCAAATAACTTATTAATTTTAATAAATTTGAAAGGTGAGAGAAAGGTTGATTTGATATTTGGTTTATTCTGAAGTAAATAAAATTTAATTTAACAATTTAATGTATGATTTTTTACAAAGTACCACAATAATATTTTTGAAATATTTCAAATAAATACAGAGCATAATTTAAAATAATAGAAATATTGAGAAAAAAAAAAAAAAAAGTATTTAATCTAACATTAAAGAAGCGTTTTCTTTCTGTGACTTTTTGTAAATATTGCATTTTATGTCATAAGTATGAAATGAAATTTTCTTTCTCATCTTCTGTGCGTCAATTAGATTATTGTTGCAAGATGCAACTGTGCATTTTGTACCTGGTATTCTATAGGATTCTATTAATAATTATGATTATTTAATAGAATTATATTTTAATTTAGTATTTATTTGACCGCACCCCCCGATTAACTCCTTCTCATATTATATCAACGGTCAACCATCTCTACATCATTATTAATAATTATGTTATCATGAGAAATACTAGTAAGAACAAACAAATTATCTGTAACATGTTATTAAAAACAAAAAATAAATACTCGTTATAATATTGTAAGTAGTTGACTGTTAAGATTATAAGGTGAAAATAAATTATCAGGATTTGCATTGAAATTTGTTTATTTAAAGAAATTTTGACTGCAAATCCTGATAAAGATTTTCACCCTTATAATAATATTATAATATAGTTATAATATTAAAAGAAATACCCACGAGATCTACAATAAAATTACACAAACATTGTGCTAAAATATTCTCTAAATAAATATAAATCTTAGTTTTTTATTTTTATGTAATATATTTGTATATTATTTACAGAGATTTTGAAATAAAATAATCTTAATATCAATTTCGTTCTTTTCATTTCAGGGCTGGCCTGTAATTTTCATAGCATTTTATTCTAGATTGATAGCCGTATTTATTTATTTATCTGGTTGAAATTATCTTCAATCAAACGTCAAAAGCACAGAAAAGTATTCTTCTCAATAAATTAAACAAGAAAAAAGCAAAAAAAAAAAAAAAAAAAGCACAATAATGTTGAAATAAGCCTTCATTGATAGGCTTGAAAGAGTAATAGGTAGGTCTGACAGTCTATTCCTTACGTCACGTTTCAAGTTCCCCCACCACGCATTTCTGAGTGAGCGAACCTGGTAGTTTTATTGACCTTGGTCTAGTATTATAGCATAGAAATCCGAAAATTTGGTATAAATTGGAACCATATTGCGCAATCTCAAAATCGATAATATTTTCTAAGAATGGATCCATGCATCTAACCAATCCGGAAAGATGGTATAATTCTTTTTTTTTATTAACTTTATTTATTCACCCACACCTGTCATAAGCAATGACAATTAGCGGGTCTGCTGTCGGTAAGTGTACAGGTAGTGGCTTGATCGGCGTGATGGAGAGGAATACCCAGCGGCATCCCTTCCTGTCTTGATTTTAGCATATTTTTAAGCGAGGAAATCCCTCATCCAGCTCCTTTTGAGCTCTAAGTGTGTTTTCGGGCATGTTAAATGTAGCCATACTTTGTATAAGTGTGTTAGTATGTCCATGTAAGTTATTGTGAAATCGCTTGTAGTGTGTCCGTATGTGATCGTTAACTATTGGCATTTGAAGATCTTTATGTAATGTAATGTTTGTGACGTACCATGGAGCTTTGGTTATGGTTCTGATAGTTTTAGACTGAAAAGTTTGTAGTTTTTGTATGTGTGTCGTTTTGGCTGTTCCGTAAATTTGTGAAGCGTAGGTCCATATGGGCTTAAGTAGATAATTGTAAGTGTTCAGTTTTTGTTTTAGGTTTAATTTTTAGCGTCTTGAGAGAAGTGAGTATAACAGTCGTAGTCTGAGGTTTAAAGTTTTTCTTTTTTTGTTGATATGTGACCCCATGTCATTCTTCTGGTATAATTCGATTGCGCAATCTTTGGAACAACAGCTTTTTTGAAAACTGCGCCTTTTATTAATCAAAAAACGGTGGAAGTACGATGTGCCCCTAAGTCACGAACTCATGGCACTTATCGTCTTTTACAGACAGCCAACACATCCTATCTGGATCTGGATTAATCGAAAACGGACTATATTGTTTTCATCTTAATGGTAAAACAGCATTCATACAATGGGAGAGTAACAGCTTGAAAACAAAATATTAATTATTATTCGATAAAACTGGATAGATATCAATTGCCTATTACAATTAATTTTTCAGAAATAAACAAACTTGTTTTCCATAACTAATTAAATTAAATTAGTTATCTTTTATTCTTAACTAATTTAGTTACGGCTATCTATTCGACTGAAAATGACGAAATCTATATTATTTTATAAAGCAGGTTACCCACTTGGACCTACCGTCCGAATTCACGCAATCGACTACCGCTTTGTCCTAAATAGCCTTCGGTCGGACAGAAGCCTGGGTAGGTTGTGTCGATATAACATTTCTAGGTGGATAGGAGAAGCTTTTAATAAATTCATTTACCCCTACCCTTTAGTCTATAGTCAGTTGTTAACCATCGTTGTCTTCTTTTCTTGCTGAAAGCACAATTTCTAGTATATTCAAAATTCTAGGAAGACTCTCTACTTATTTAGTCACATGTACATTTTAAAGGCAGACCATAGCGTTGCAAATGGGCACCCTGCTGAAGCGTTGCTCTATTTTGATGGATGAGCCAAGATCTCATTGGCACACTATAAATGGATTTCCGAGAACCTCCAAGTATTGGCAACAAGTTCAGGGTATAACCTTTTATTTAGATCGCGATTTGCGACTTCCATTTACTCACAACAACTCGAGGCCTTCCCAGATAATACGGCCATCTTTGTCTAATTTCAGACGCAACTGGCGGTTCTAGGAATTCCATCTATGGTGTGACCAGGAAATTTTCATCATGCCTAGTAGAGCAAAACTTGTTAAGTAGGATCTTCAGATATTTTTACCACTCCCCTTTGTTTCATTTCAGCAGAAAAAGTCATGGTTATGACAAATCATGATTACAGCACATATAATTACCTGCTCGGTTTTAAAAGATGAAAATAAAAATAGAACCATAGAAGTTATTTATAACTGAGACCGTAGGAACAAAAAGATAATTCGTTTATTACCTCTGTGAAAAGAATACAAACTAAAAAAAAGTTCTCTACAAAAACAATTAATGAGCTCGAATACCCTTTGCTTACTTATTACCTCAATTAATGCCATGTTTATTTATCAGTTACAGAAGTTTTCTAGTTTACATCCAAAAAGCAAGAACCAGCCAGTAATCCAATAGTAAGCAAATTCTTAGCTATGAAATAAAAAAAAAGTGTAACTATTTATCCTGTTACTTGGGTCCGCGGATGATACTTGTGACCGATGCGGGCTCTATGACCGCTCTTCTGTAGTTATATTGTTATTTAATGTGTTGTTATTTGTATTTATATTTCTTTTTATTAAATTAACTTATTATTTGATATTACATTTTTTATTAATAGATATATATTATAAGAAATAGGTGAATAAAGAGGCAAATACCAAATATATTCTAGAGAGTTTAATTCATATGATGATAGAGATATCATGTGCTTATAACAAATGTCAGTGTTCAGGTTATAAAGATTGCCACGATAGGGATTATCAGTGCCTTATCCAAAAATGATCAGTGTTCAGATTATAAACATGGCTGGACAGCAGTCATAGAGCGGCGTCGTAAAAGGACAATTTAGTATTATTTATAGGTCGGGACGTGTCTTATGTGTGTCATCGGATATTTGTGAACTGAAGGTAACTTGCAAAAACAATATTTCCCAGAAGATGAGCAGGAGAATCACGGCTGCTATGGCGTGGTAAGGCTTTCATGAGAAGTTCCTTTCTAAACCAAGCTGAACATATAAATGTTACTGTGCTTACAGCCATTAAATGTTTAATTGGAAGCATGACTCTTCTTCAAAGTTGAATAACTGATGGAGGAGGCCCATGCTCGATGATGGGCTGATGCGTCAATTATGATGATATAGCCATAGCCGTCGCGTGGACGAGGGTGAAGTCATTTCTATAAGCTTTGTACTTTTTAATTCATCCCTTTTATTGTTTGCTTAGATCATCATACACCATAAGAGGAATAATTATTTCTAACCTCAGTTCTACTTAATGTCGTTCGATAAATTACAACAAGCTGGCTAGAGATTTATAGGTCGGGAACGGAAATGCAAAAGTATAATTAAGTACAATAAATATAGCCCGTAATCATGAGACAATATACCATTGGCCGAATTAGAGGTATGCGAGGGAGAAGGGCGCTTGATATAATTTTACTCCGGGCGCCGAAAATTCACGCGAAGGCCTTATTACATGGGAGCATTTAGGCTTTGATTGGTGGTAATGGCATCGAAACTATGGTTCGCTAAGTTTTTGTTATAATCATATCTAATAATCTCTCTTTCTCTATTTAAACATGGGATAATAAGCTATTAGTAGGTTTGGGATGGAATAGGGGGCGCTCGGTATATTCTCGCCTCGGGCGCCAAAAACTAACGCGACGGCCCTGGATGTAGCTAGTTGATATTCATTAATACTACAAACCAAAATTAGAACGATCTGGTCATTTGTAAGATGTCAAAGCTACTTATTAGTACAAACATGTATAGTGAACTAATGTGACTGGATTAATAGAACTGGTCGACAAACAAGTTAATATGGTATAGTGAAAAGGATGTTTAATTCTAATTGATATATATATATATATATATATATATATATATATATATATATATATATATATATATATATATAGGCTTAGAAGTATGGGTCATTTCTGTTTCATCATGATGAAATATTACAATTATTTACTTTGTTTGTTTTTTTGTTCTTCATAATTTTACTATTTTTAAAGATGCCCAAATTAAATTATTTTTTTGGAAATGTCATCCTCTTCATTGGGCCACCAAGGCGGCCTTGCACAGTGGCCTAGGATTTGCCCGACCCTGATGTTGGCCTGATGAAGCGCTTCGCTCACTTTCATCAAACCTATCCCCACTCTCCCTTGGTTCCCTCTCAGGTAGCCGACTGGGGTCTTCCGCTTCCTCATCACATCTTCTATCGGCGTATTGAGGGGGAACGATCTCATTTTGAGTATCTCGAGGAATATAGGCATCAGCCTGCTCTTCTGCTTCACCGCCTTGTCTTCTTTCATGGCAGCTTCTTGTCCAATGTACATGTTCTTCCTAGAACATATCCCGTTCAAGAAGTCGCAATTGACCTCCGTGGGAGAATATCGTCCATAAGGTATCTCCCTCGCCCCTTCGCCGATGCCTAGCTTGTACCTCAGCGATTTATAGAAAGACACGTTCGAGGTAGACGTTCCTTTGTTGTTAATCTTCTTGGCCACGTCCAAACCAGCCGGAGCGAGCACTCGCAAGCCGAGATAAGACACCCTCGGGTCCGGGCAGACTACAACATTCTCTCCGAGATCGATCTCTCCGATATTACCTTCGCTGGGGTTATAGATTGCCCATACATTCAGCTCATTCTCTACACTTCTTATTTCGACTCTCCTTCTTCCTCTATACATCGTCATGTGCACCTGAAGTGCCTCTATTGAAGATATGTCACATTCTACCAAGAATATGTCTTGGTTTTCGGGCTTGTATATTATTGTGTCATGAATAACTTTTCCTTTTGCATTCAAAAAAGCACTGAATATACATTTGCTACTATCCTCTAGTAATCTGATATCATTTGTCGTAAGATCTTGAAGAAAATTGAGTGAATCGGAACCTTCAACTGATAAGACAGATCTAGCCTTCAGTCTTTCTACTTTCAGTTCGCTACTATTATCATCTGTGGAATAGTTTCTTTTTGTAACCCCGAAAAATCGATAGTTGCATTTAATACATTTATCAGTCAATATTAATTTTGCTATTTCAACATTTCTTAACAATTTCGATAAAAGTAGCATTCTCTATTCTATAAGAACAGTAATGAACTATATTTTGACAAATTTAATATTGAATATAGCTGTGAAATAAATCTATTTTTATATTTACAGATGATTGATTAATATTATTTTATATTATAAAACGCTGCAGATTATTACACAATGGCTTATTATTTCCAAATATGTAAGTATCGAATATATATGGCGTTTCACACTACTATCCTCCATATCATTTCCCAGGAAAATTATTATCTAACTTGAATTTATATTTTTTCATCAATAATATTGAGAATTTAATTATTCTACAAATGATAATTTCGAATGCTTTCTTAGACGTAAAGTTTTCGAACTATCAAAAATCAAACAAAAGCAAACGGCCTTTTACTAGAACATATGTAAACATTTCAAAACGCCATACCTCTGCACCAAGCACGGACGAATCTACGGGGGGGAAGGGTTTTGGGGCTGAAGCCTCGCAAAATGGTAAAATATAACCATATTTTATGGAAAAAAATATTCAAAAATTATCTCTTAAAGTGTTATTGTTCGTATAATTACATTTAAAAGAACTTTAGGAATCACTTAATCACCTTTTCATATAGGTAGTTGGTTTCATGTAGGTAGTTGGTTTCTTTCCCACCAAAATTAAATCCGGGATACGCTAATGGCACCAAGCAGTCCGATTTATACTTTTTTTTTTTAAAGGTAATTTCATTAATTTTCAAATAAGCATAATTGGTTATAAAGTGTCAATACATTTTGAGTAATTCGTAAATAATTCATTTAGTTTTACGTTTTTTCTAAGGGATTCAAAAAGAAAACTTTAGGCAAAATTCATTAAAACTATTACAGCCTTCTTTGTACTGCAGTCTATAGGAACATACGTCTTTTGGCCGCCATTTTGAAACAAAACGGAAAATAGTAAGGTTTAATTGTGAGGATCATCTTTTGGTTACCTCTGACTTTTCGAGGAAATCTTGATGTTGTCGGTTCAGTCACTAGCGGATCCATGATTTAATTTTGGAGGGGGGCTTCAGCCCGAAATCCTTTTTTTTTCATAAAAATAACGATAATTACTTTGAAAAAAAAGAAAGAAACTAACTACCTATATGAAATGGTGTTTAAGTGATTCCTAGTCGTAAGTGTCATGGCCGAAACTGAGGTTCTATATTCGTATCGTTCCGTCTTTGCTAGCTTGTTATGTGCTTATTATCTCAAATCCTGTTCTCAGACTTTGTAAACAGTGAGTTTATAAACAATTTAACATTTTTACATTATAATCAGTGAGGTGAGTGACTTTTATTAATAATTAGCAACATTAAATTGGTACTCGATTGCTAGAGGCAGTTTACGTGGCAGATAATTCCCCTCAGCGGGTCTTATCTTTCAAATTCAAGGTCACGGCGCTTTATTTTACGTTCAGAATATCTTGAGTTCGTACCTAAGACAGTATATATATATTTTTTTTTTTCTCTGTTTTTATTTCTTAATTGATTATTTTATTTTAATATTTTTTTTCTACTGAGACTCTATTTTATTTATTTATAAAAATGTTTTTTTTAATATTTGTATATATATTTGTAAATAGATTAGTTATTAAGTATTTGTTTTGTAAATTTTCTTATTAGTGATACTTTTTTTTTTTTTTTCTCTCTCTTCTTTTTGTATATATTATTATTTAGAGGTATGGATTCTGATAAGAACATTTCTTTTGACGAATCAGATGAAGAGACTCCTTTCTCCGAAATCAGTGAGACTGATTCTCAATATTTAACAAGGCGAACTCTCCAAAAGCGCCATAGAAACTCTGCCCCCGGTTCGGCGGGCAACTCACCTAATAAAAAAAAAAACAAATCCGCTAAAACAAAGCAAGCTCTCAAAGTAAATAAAGAATCAAAAACTAGTAATAATTCAGCTATGAAACCTGACACTAAACCATCAACTAACACATCCAGTAACAATTCTGTTACAGCCAATAATAAAATTAACGAAATCACTGAACCTAGAACTTTCACTGAACCAGTGCCACCTCCGATTTATGTAAGCAAGATTGACAATTTCATTCAGTTCGGTCAAGAAATAGCTAATCTGATCGGACCGACTAACTTCCGGTGTTTTTCTCGAGTCAACGATATAAAGATTAACACCAATACTAAAGATGATTATAAAAAACTTATAAATCATTTGACAGCACTCAATCACGACTTCCACTGCTATCAACTAAAAGAAGACAAAACATATAGAGTGGTTTTGAGAGGTCTTCACTCTACCACACCCACTACCGCTATAAAAAAAGATCTGGAAGATATCGGCCATTCGGTAAGACATATATCTTCTATCTTACATCCTATTCATAAATATCCACTGCCATTATTTTTCATCGATCTAGAACCAGCCCGGAATAATGCAGAAATCTTCGAAGTTAAAAGACTGCTGTATTCTGTTGTAAAATTTGAAGAGCCGAGGCAGAAACCAATAGTCGTTCAATGCACCAAGTGCCAAAACTTAGGGCATACAAAGGCTTACTGCCATCACTCGGTGCGTTGCGTTAAATGCGCCGGGCCTCACGCCTCTAACACCTGCCAGAAACCGTTAAATGAACCACCAAAATGTGCCCTTTGTGGTGAGGACCACCCTGCAACCTATCGGGGCTGCATTATCTATAAGAAGCTATATAAGCAAAGAACTTATAATTTATCATTAAAAGAAGAACAGAAGAATTCTACCCAGGCACAGGTACAGGCACCTGAACTCCTAAATTTGGCAGCGTTTCCTCAACTGCCGAACGAAATAATACCACAATTGACGCACAACCCTTCTACATCAACAGATCATCCCCATCAAGACTCTAGGCACCTATATTCAGACACTACGGTGAAGAATCAACAGCCGCGACGTCAGACGCCTCAGATTTCCAAAACTAAGACTCAGGCTTCCAAACCTAAGATCCAGACCTCCCAATCCAAGACTCAAATCTCCCACATTCATTCAAAATCTCCACGTCAGCAAATGCCTCCTCACCAGATACCTATACGTGTAAAATTACCGCCCGAACATCCAACTCCTGTTTATTCCCACCCTACTGCTCATATTTACTCTCCTTCCCAAGTTCCAAGGGTACATCCTTCATCAGACACTCCTTATCATAAGATCTTTCCCTCACGAACTCCTAATCAAAACCAACCTGACCAACAACACCCGATCGATTTAATAAACTCCACCCTTGCTTCCTTCCTGAAAGATCTCCAAGAGACTATCACGCCACTAATTACCCTCCTCACAAGAATCCTTACCGAAATTCCCTTCAATCTCTCACGATGAGCACTAAGCCCCTAGCTGTTCTTTTATGGAATGCTAACGGACTACAAAACCACCGAGACGAACTCGACATTTTTCTTCATGACTATCACATTGATATTGCTCTACTGACAGAAACTCACTTCACTCGACGTTCATATTTCTACATACGTGACTATATCACTTATAGATCAGACCACCCCGACAACACTTCCCATGCCGGTTCTTGCATCCTTATCCATAAATCCTTATCCCATTCTCTCATTCCTTCTACTCCAACGGAGGCTATTCAAGCAACCTCGGTTATCATTTCAACTCGTCCTTTCCATTTAACATTCTCAGCTGTATACTGTCCTCCCGGTCATACTCTTACCTATAACTTACTTGAATCCTTATTTCAATCCTTCGGATCGCGCTTTATTGCTGGAGGAGACTACAATGCTAAACACCAACGATGGGGTTGTCGATCATCCAACTCCCGTGGTAACATACTATCTTCTGTCTCAACTTCCAATAGTTACTCTGTCCTCTCTCCTATGAATCCTACCTATTGGCCAACATCTCTCAAAAAACGCCCTGATATCCTGGACATATTTGTCACCTCCCAAATTTCCTCTTCCCATGTCACAATAAAATCCCTGGATGACCTCTCCTCAGATCATTCTCCAGTTCTGCTTTCATTACACACAACCTTCGCTCCTAAGCCCTCGTCCTCTCCTACACTGATTACAGGACGAGTAAACTGGGACAATTTTCGTAAAGACCTGGAAAATAAATTGGACCTAAATATTCCACTTAAGACGAAACGTGATATTGACACAGCCATAAAAGAACTTACTACATCTATAAGTGACAAAATAAAGAATAATACATCTACCAATAAAACTGACAACTCCCAACAGACAAATTTGCCGCAGCATATTCGTATCTTATTAAGGGAAAAACGCAGAGCAAGATCGAAGTGGCACAGGACTAGATATCCATCAGATAAGACATATTACAACAAATTAACTAACCAACTAAAAGCTGAAATTAGAAAATACAAAGTTCAAAATTTACATAACATGACAGAAAACCTTACTACTTGTGACAAATCACTATGGTTGACCACTAAAAAACTCCTTAAATTCAAAGATTTTAACCACCCACTTATTACTGAAACCCAAACCTGGTCCAGATCTGATGATGAAAAATCTCAAATATTTGCTCAACACCTCTCAAAAACATTTAATCCACACCCAGACATCCTTAATCCAACCCACCTTGAGTTTATTGAAGCAGAATTGGATACCCCACTCCAATTGACTCCTCCACCTAAAGCATTTCATCCTTCAGAAATATCCAATATCATTAATAGATTACCTTCTCGCAAAGCTCCTGGCCATGACCTAATCACCTCCCAGATCCTAAAATGTCTTCCTAAAAAAGCCATACTGTTCCTAACCTATATATTTAATGCTGTACTCCGCACCACATATTTTCCTGACTCTTGGAAACTATCCATTGTCAAAATGATACCTAAACCCACAAAGCCGCCAGAACACCCATCCTCTTACCGTCCTATCTCCCTTTTACCCATTATGGGCAAAATCCTGGAAAAACTCATTTTAAAACGCCTGTATCCCATCCTAGACTCTAAACACATTATCCCAGATCACCAATTTGGATTCCGCACATCCCACTCCACTATTCAGCAATGCCATCGTGTGGTAGATGTAGTCTCCTCTGCATTGGAGCGCGGAATGTACTGCACGGGAGTCTTTCTCGACGTTGAACAGGCGTTTGATAGAGTCTGGCATCCGGGACTGATGTACAAACTCCGTGAATTCCTACCACCTACATACTTCCTCATTATACGTTCCTACCTTACTGACAGATAC